GTCTAGGTATTCTAACTATTTAACTAGGAATTCTTTATCTAGTCTAGTTCCTTAATATTTTATTATTTTCTTAACTTCCTATTTATTATTACTATTATTCTAGTAATAGAAGTCTTTCTAGGTTAGTATATTAGCGTTAGCTAGTTCTAATAAAGAGATATAGAATATAGGGTGTATTTTTATATCTTTAGGTAGCTTAAGTTAATAGTTAACTAGGCTAATTTTCTCTAAAATAAAAAATAGTCTAACTTTAACTTTGTCTAGTTTTTTTATTAGTCTTCTTGTGCATAGATTCTTTATAAGGAGATTTACTTTATCCCCCTTCTTTAGTAGAGGTGCTGTTTTTCTTTTCTTATTAATATAAGAGATTACTTATATTTAAGCTCTAGTAATATTCTTAAGCAATTTCTAATATACTTTCTTTAGTTTCCCTACTAAGGATATTACTAATTCTATTTAGATATTACTATTAAGACTTTATATAAAGAGATTTAGATATCTTCTATAATTTGCAAGGAACAGCATTATGCCTATTACCTCTAATAGTTTATTATTATATGTAATTTATACTATAGGCAAGAGTAAAACCTAATTATTCTACTATTAGTTATAGTAGATATAGAGGTACATCTCTATTATCTAGTTTACTTATTCTGTTTATCTATCTATCTGCAGATAATAGGCTATTAAAAGCTTCTTCTTTGTTCCTATTACTGCTAGAAATGTTATCTAGAAATTTAAAGTAAAGAGCTTATCTCTATTACTAATAATTAATTTAGGAATGCTATAGTATTAAATAATCCTATCTAGGAATACTTAAGCAAGCTACTCTATAGTATAGCTATATTAGAAAGGCATAAACTTAGTGGCCTTTATAAATCTATCTACTACAATAAATATTAAGTTATATTTATAGTCTATTATAGGGTCCTTAGAGATTAGTAGTAATATAATAAAATCTATTATAATGTTTATCTATAGTATAGTTAGTAGTTCTATTGCCTGCATTTCTCTATACTTAGCATATATACTATATTTATTCTACTAATAGTTAATATATCCTTTAATATATCTAGTAACCTTATCTTTTATATTTAGAAACTTATAATATTATCTAATAAGTTCTATAGTCCTTAAAATTCCTAGGTAACTATATAGCAGATTATTATAATAATTATATATTATTCCTTCCTAAAGGTTATCTAGTACTTAACTTAGTATGCAGTATTCCTATAATACGCGTATAATATTATTAAGCTACTGCAATAGTCTAAGGGATCTGTCTTAGTTAATCCTAAGTATAGCAGCTCTATTAATTGTTTTTTTGCCTGCTAAGTTATGTTATTAGCTAAGAGCGTCTGCTCTACTATTATCTTTGCCTAGGGTGTATAGAATCTTAAATTTATACTAGCCTAGCATTTCTAACTATCTAACTTGTCTTTAGTTTAGAGTCTTAGTAGTAGTAAAGTATACTAAGTTCTTATAATCTATATAGATTATAAGGTCTAAATAGCTTTCTATATATACTTACTAATATTCTAGGGATAATATAATTACTAAGAGTTCCTTATTATGCATGTTATAGCATTCTTTTAGTTCTAAGAACTTGCATAAGTAGTAAGCAATTAGGTGCTATTATCTATCTTTTTCTTGCATAATATATACTCCTAATACTAGGTCTAAGGCATCTATCTCTATTTAAAGCAGTTTATTACTCTTAAATATAATTAGTGTTAGGGGGTTAATATATACTTATTATAATAACTTAAATATATTATCTTATTCTTTTCCCTATATAAAGGGTATGTCCTTCTGCATAAGCTTAGTAAGTAGCAAGGCCTTCTTTAAGTAATTCTTAATAAATTATTTGTTAAAGTTAATAAACCTAAGGAATTTTTAAATTCCTTTAACTATTATTAGGGTAGGCTAATTTTTTACTATATTAATCTTAGTATTACTTATCTTAACCCTATATTATCCCCTAGGAACTTAACTTCCTCCTTATGCTATTTGCACTTCTTAGGTTTTAGTTAGAGGTCTGCTTATTTTAAGTATTCTAGCACTTCTATAACATATTATATATACTCTTCTAGTATCTTAGAGTATACTAGGATATTATCTAGATATACTACTACTATTCTATTAAGGTATACCCTAAGAACATTGTTAATTAATTTCTAGCATATAGCTAGTGCGTTTATTAGACTAAATAGTATAACTAGGTACTTATAAAGTTTATATCTTATTCTAAATACTATCTTCTATTCTTTACCTTCCTTTATATAGATAAGGTTATATACTTCTCTTAAATCTAATATAGTAAAGTATTAAGCTCCTTATAATTAGTCTTATAATTCTAATATATTAGCTAATAGGTATTAATTCTTAATAGTAATATTATTAAGCTTTCTAAAGTTAATATAAGGTTATAGCTTGCTATCTTTCTTTAGTATAAAGAGAATAGGGTACCCTATAGGTAATTCTAATCTCCTAATAAATCCCTTCTAAAGGTTCTTCTTAATATACTTATATAGTATACTAAGTTTCTTTTCTAATAGCTAGTATAGTAGCCTAAAAGTTAGTTGCTTTCCTTTCTAGAGCTTAATCTTATAATCCTAGGGTTTATGCTTCAGTAGAGCTTTTACTATAAGCTCTTCTTTAAACATCTATATATATTATTAATATATGTCTAGGATGCTAGAAGTTGCATGTTTCTTCTTAACTACTACTTTATAAGGCTAGGGCTAGTTGCTCTCTATATAGTTAACTGCTCTATCTTAGCGCATCTTAGTTAAAGTAATATTACTAATTATCTTCTTATCTACTAGTTATATTATAGTCTGCGCAGATTCTAACTATATTATGCTGCATTTGCAGTGCTTTAGCAAAAGCTTCTTAAGTACCTAATCTATCTATAGGTTATACTTTTATAACTAGGGAATTCCTAATATAATATTATAAGTAGCTATCTTAAAAGTATCTAGAGTTATTTTCTTATAGTATCCTTAGATAGTTATTAGAATAGATAATACCTTATAGGTTATTTCTAATTCCTTAGGCATAGGTTCTCTATTAGCTACTTATAGTAGATAAGGTTCTATCTTCTAAGTAGGGCATAGTCTAGCTAGCTATATTACTTGCAAAGAGATATAACTAGACTATAATCTATAGTCTAGTAGTGCCTGCATCTATACCCCTCCTAATTTAATAGAGAGTATAATAAGGCAATTAGTCCTAATATTATTAATAGATTAATCCCTAGTATATACTGTTTGCGCTAGTCTAAAAAAGACTCTTCCTTGCTATCTAATACTTCTTTATATTTAAGGAATCCTTGCTACTTCTTAGCCTCTTTATAGCCTTTATAGTTATTATATAGGCATTATTGCTAATATAGGTTTAAGTAGTAATTATTAATTAATAACTATTTAATATATATATACTAAGTATCTTTCTCTCCTAGGAAGTAGTATTATTATTACTTATCTTATAAGTAAACTTTGCATATATTATTCTTATATTTATACTATTTATTATAGTAGTGTTATTTTATGCTAGGGAACTATCTACTATTTATTTTATTATTATAGTATACTATGCATAAGTCTATGCTATAGGCTATCTATAAAAGAGTATAGTAGAGGAGGTTCCTTATATCTATTAGGTACTAAGGTATTATTCTTTGTTGTGTAGGTATTTGCCTAAAGTTAGGTTTATCCTATACTAGGATATCTTTGCTAGCGTGTTATAGCATCTCTATAGTTATATAGTTATTTTATTAATAATCTATAAACTAGTTAGTATTCTACACTATTTATAATAAGAGTATCTTACTATTTATAGCTATATATAGTGTTATTATCTTAATAATTCTCTATTTTTAAGTAGTTACATATTTAACCTAAGATAATACTTAAATATCTCTCCTATTTAACTCTAATAGCATCTATACTTTTACTTTTACTATACTAGTAATATATATTAATCTAGTACTAGTACTATTTATATACTAAATTTATAGCTTTATATCTTTAATCTAAGTAGTATTAGAAATACTAGACTATATTAATAAACCATTTCTATATACAATATATAGTATTATATACCTTTCTTAAGCTACTAAAAAGAAGATAGTTACTTTAGCCTTAAATAGGTTACTAGGCCTAGTCTAGTTTAGTTAAGAGGTAGTATAGGCTTATATATCTACTCTTACTATATAGAAAGAATAAGTATTAACTAATAAATTTAAATTATTTAAGATAAAATTATTAAAGATAGAGTAGTTTAGCCTAAGAATAATTAGCTAGTAAATAAAGTATATATAGAGTAGCTTAGGTTACTACTTATATAAGAGGTAGAAAGAAAGGTATCTAGTATAGTAAGCTTTAAAGATAGTACTTAGTAATTTAGTCTTTAGAATTATAAGTATAAGGTTCTAGGTATTTAATAGACCTATAATATAACTAGGTTTACTTACTTAGTAGATAACTATAATATATTAATAGAGAATATATATAAAGCTACTAAGTTACTACTTAAATAGCTACCTAAGTAGTACTTAATTATTATTAAATTAGTATTATTTCTATTACTTAGTAATATTAGCTACTACTAGTATACTTAGTAAAATTTACTTTAAAATCTAGAAAGAAGAGTTTTATAAAATTAGAATATAAAATATAACCTAGAGTAGATTAGGCCCTAGGCTACTTAATTATATAACTATAAATTAAGTACCTAATATAGTATAAGAGGCTTAGGCCTATAGAGGCTAAATAACTAATATAAAGCTAGTTAAGCTATAGTAGAAGCTTAATTAAATAAAGTTTTATAACCTATAGAATTTCTCTTTATATTTAATATAAGAATTATTCTATAGTATATAGAGATAGTAGTCTATTATATAGATTATCTAAATATAGGTTTACCTACTTAATTATAGTATTATTCTTAGTATATAATATACCTACCTATCTCTTAACTATCTTCCCTAGTGTAAAGTAAGTACTATTGCCTATAACTAGAGTCTTGTAAAAACAGAGTCTATTTTATTCTCTACTAATAGTAGAGATATCTATCTAAGATTATGCTTTGACTATACTCTATAGGCTAAGCTCCTGAATTGCCTTGTTAAGGCCTTGGACAGCCTGGGTCGTGTTATGCTGTATCTGGTTTTGGTTCTTTGACTCTCTATACTGTCTCGCTACAACTTCCATTACCTTTCCTATTGGTGTCTTATCTCCATTTCCTGCCATTTCTTGCTTTATCCTCCCAAAGTTCTCTTTCACAAAGGCCTGATACTCGTTCTTTTTCGCTAATTCACCGTTCTTGCTGACTGTGACAGTCCTCGGCGCGGGCTTGGTCTGCACAAGGGTACCCTTGCACTTGCCACAACTGTGTCGCTTCGTGTCAACACTGCGGCTGTGTCTCTTGAACTCGTATCCGCAGCTGACGCATTCCCAAATAAACTTGTAGTCAATTGTGTAGCTGTGCTTGGTAGTAACTTCCACACCCTTCTCAGCGAATGCGGTGCTGACCTTACGGCCCCAAGCCTTGAACTCGGCGCCATGTGGGTTATTGCGGACCTCACTGACCATAAATGTGAGTAGATGACAGAATTCATGCGCGAGCACGTTGTAAAGCCGTGGCAAATCATCAATCACTTTCGAAGCCAGCTCAATTGAGCAGTGATGCCGTATCTCAGCCGTATACGTTGGAGGCGTGGACGAAGTCTTCAAGCGAATGACTTCACGTCGCCAGTTTGCGCGGCCAGCTGTTGTTTTTAACGTCTTCGACCAGATCACTTTGATACCGCCTGTCGTTTGAGAGAGTTTGGTGATGGTACTTGAGCAGATAGTATTGTCCAGCTCAGCCAAAAAGGAGGTTGCGATCTCGTCCTTTTGCTCGTCAAAGTCCTTTCTCTGTGCTCGAAGCCCCTTGATACTAGGCTTCAGCATGGTGGTAGCCATCCCTTTTGTAGAGTGCGGCTGGGAAGTCTCCTTGGTACGGCTCGAGACAGGCTTTGTGTACGCTTCGTCACTGCTACTGCATGGTTCGAGGTCCATCCCACCCATCATTTTGGAGATATCATCGCGCCACTGCTGCTTACTTGGAGACACAAGTCTCTTTACAGGAGAATGGCGGTCGTTCCAATCATTGACTACTTCAGGATTCCAGAACGCGTCAAGACTTGGTCGCAGGTCTGGTGACCCTGCACTCAACGGTTTCTTCTTCGAGGGCGAGACAAGTTTTGTATGGCTGCCAGGCGTGAATGTTGGAGTTGTTGGACGTAACATGGGAGGTGCTTTGCGTGGAGAGCGCTTCTTTGTCGGTGTTGGGGAGCTAGAGGCCGGTCAGTGTCTAGAGGTATTCGATTTCAGTCGAGACGTACTATACCAAGAATGGCTGAGCATCATTGAATGAGGGTGTCACTGAACCCGAACTCACGAACGAGGACGAGTGAGCACGTCCTGGCTTTGACGGGATCAACGGCTCTGACGTGTTAGACGACTCTGTTGAGTACAGGACTTCCTGCGCCCAATTTGTTATAGTGCTATGTCCTTTTTTATGAGGCGGCCGCATGGGCACCTGTGATTCCGGCTCGTTCGTTAGTGGCTCTTGTCGCTCTTGTTCTTTATCCGCAGCAACAATTTCCTCTTCGTACTCAGACTCGGAATCTGAATCAATACATCTCTGCCGTCGCATATGTCTTTGTCTCTGCCTGTTCGGCTGGATGACAGCGTCTTCGTCTTCTTCGTCTTCTTCGTCTTCTTCGTCTTCTTCGTCTTCTTCGTCTTCTTCGTCTTCTTCGTCTTCTTCGTCTTCTTCGTCTTCTTCGTCTTCTTCGTCTTCTTCGTCGCTTTGTTGTTCGCGTCCTCCAGGTGGGTTTTCGAGGTCATCGGTCGCATCATGTTGCTCCTCCACTTCCAAAGCAACATCCGCCTCATTCCCGCATATTATGCTCGTTTCCTCGTCTAGGTCAGACTCCCCCAGTAGAAGATCCACAGCTGCTGCATTCTTCTCCTGCATTGGATGGCTGGGATTTTGCAGCTCTTCAGCTTCCACCACATTGACTTTTGAGCTGGCTCTCTTCAAATCTCTCCCCACAACATTTCTTGCCAGACTTCTCATAAACATCATATCACGTCTCCTTTTAATGCTGGATTCGCTGGCATCGCTCCCACATCTTTCATGTCGTGCCCTCCTTTCCAATCTAGGTTGCTTTTCTGAACTTGCGAGACTCTCAAAGCTCAACTTCTTCACCAGGCAGTCGTTGCTTTTGACAGGACGTGCAATGCGCTGTTTACGGGAAGACAAAGTAAACATTGCGGGGCTTGCATGCGGCTTGTCTGAGTGATGATCGCGCTTCGATGATTTTGGCTCAGGGGAATCATTTTCCTCATCTTCATCCGCCGAGATGATGTCACTGATTTCGGGAAACGTCTTTCTAGGACGTGATCGGCTTGTGCGAAGTTCTTTTGGGGTTGGAACCAATATCCTGGGTTCCAATGGGCTAGCTTTGCGCAGACGAGCCATAGGTGCAAAACCAAAACGAGCTGAGAGGATGACGATATCGAGATGCGAATTAAAGGATAAAAGCCATGCAAATGGTTTTGCGTGATGTTCTCAATTGTCACAGGTACAATACGTGCGACGATAATCGGTTGCAACGATGAATCCAGATATACAGATAAGCGTTTTTGTTTGAGGCCGTTGTCGTAGCAACGACTAAAGTCACGTGGAGACGTGTCTTCAACGAATCTTTGTTGACATTACGGATATGTATCGCTGCAGTTATGATAGCATACTCTAGTCCGGCCAGCGTTGGAGTATTCTGGCGTATTAGAGCCCCTTAATCAGATCCGAGGTCAGCATCACCGCCGAGTGAAAAGCACACAGGTCGACACCCTTCCACATGTCAACAGTATCAATGCAAATGGCATCGCACTCAACATTTTAAAGGTTTCCAATTGCTGAACAAATAAAGTCGTACATTGCATGCTAACACCTTCACAAATACAAGCCGAACCCAACCATATTGAGCCCGGATAAGAGCTAAAAAGAAAAAGTTCTTGCGTGACAAGCCCAATCAAGGGCTGCCAGTCCTCATGTTCTGAGTTTCTCCACCCTTGGTAGGGTCTTCCTATCCATCTTCGTCGTCGTGACCGGGTATCCTGTTCATATCTACATCCCCAGTAGCGGTGGGTTCCATCTCATGTCAAAGTATGCATTTACTTGCGAGCCTTGGCCATGGTGTTGAGAGCGGAGCCGTTCTTGAACCACTCCAGCTGGCCCTCGTTGAAAGTGTGTGAGAGCTTGATGTCAAAAGCCTCATCGCCGTTGGCAGGGTGAACGACCAGGGTGATGGGCTTGCCGACGGCGAGCTCAGTAGCCAGAATATCCACCTTGTCGTTGGGGCCGATCTTCTCGTAGTCGGCGGGGTCAGAGAAAGTAAGCGGCAGCATACCCTGCTTCTTCAGGTTGGTCTCGTGGATACGAGCGAAGGAACGGGTGATGATGGCAAGACCGCCCAAGTGCCTAGGCTCAAGGGCAGCGTGCTCACGAGATGAACCCTCGCCGTAATTCCAGTCACCGATGACAACCCACCTGACACCGTTCTTCTTGTAGTCACGGGCAACATCAGGGACGGCACCGTAACCGCCGGAGATGATGTTCTTGACCTTGTTGGCCTCACCGTTCTCCTCGTTGATGGCACCAATCAACATGTTGTTGGAGATGTTGTCCAAATGTCCGCGGTACTTCAACCAGGGGCCGGCCATAGAGATATGATCTGTGGTGGTCTTGCCCTGGCACTTGATGAGAATGGGCAGATCGGTGGCGTCCTTGCCGTCCCATGCGTTGAAGGGAGACAGAATCTGGAGGCGGTCGGAGGTGGGGGAGACGGCGACCTGTACGGATGCGCGATCCGCAGGAGGAGCCTGGTAGGTGTCCTGGCCTGGGTCGTATCCGTTGGCGGGGAGACCGGCACCGGTGGGCTCCTTGAGCTTGAACTTGGAGCCGTCGGCTGCAGTCAAAAAGTCCTTGGTTGGGTCGAAGTTGAGGGTGCCAGCGATCGTCATAGCGACGACGAGGTCAGGCGAGGCAACGAAAGAGTGGGTGGCGGGACTGTATTGTCAGGAGCGATCTCGAGTTTCAGGGCAGAAGGCAACTTACTTAGCATCGTTACGTCCAGTGAAGTTACGGTTGTAGGATGAGATGATGGAGTTAGCAGTGCCCTTCTTGACATCGCGACGATCCCACTGTCTGTTCGAGTGTCAGTCGAAATCCACCATACGGCATGTTGGCTACGAAGTGCTTACCCAATGCAAGGACCACAGGCGTTGGCCAGAACCATACCGCCGAATTCTTCGAAGGTCTTGAGCTGGCCGTCACGCTCGATTGTAGCTAAAATCCAAGTCAGTTATCCGGATGCCGCAGGCTGCACATGACTTGTAGAATCCTGAACTCACCTCTGATTTGTTCACTACCAGGCGTAACGGTGAACAGAGCCTTGGCCTTGATGCCGTGGGCCATGGCGTCCTCAGCAATCGAGGCAGCACGGGCCATGTCCTCGTACGACGAGTTGGTGCAAGAACCGATCAGACCGACCTTGAGCTCCTCGGGCCAGTTGTTGGCCTTGACAGCCTCGGCGAACTTGGAGATGGGGGTGGCCAGATCGGGAGTGAAAGGACCGTTGATGTGGGGCTCTAGCTCATCGAGGTTGATCTCGATGAGCTGGTCGTACTCGGTGCCCTCGTCTTCGCGGAGCTCGTTGGCGTACTCGCGGGCGAAATCACCAATGTGCTGGCGCTTGGTAGCGGTCAGGTAGTCGTACATGCGGTCGTTGAAGGGGAAGACGGAGGTGGTGGCACCGATCTCAGCTCCCATATTGCAGATGGTAGCCATACCAGTGCAAGATAGGGAGTCGACACCGGGTCCGTGGTACTCGACGATGGCGCCGGTTCCGCCCTTGACGGTAAGGATGCCAGCAACCTTGAGGATGATATCCTTGGGCGAGGCCCAGCCAGAAAGCTTGCCGGTGAGCTTGACACCGATGACCTTGGGGGCCTTCAGCTCCCAAGGGAGGCCAGCCATGACGTCGACGGCGTCAGCACCTGGCAACTGTGTTAGCCAATTGATGACAGTTGGAGCGATTGCAGCTGCACTTACCACCGACACCAATGGCGGCCATGCCGAGACCACCAGCGTTGGGAGTGTGAGAGTCGGTACCGATCAGCAGAGCACCAGGGAAAGCATAGTTCTCGAGGACGATCTGGTGGATGATGCCAGAACCGGGCTTCCAGAAACCAATGTTGTACTTGGCGCAGGAGGTAGCGAGGAAATCATAGACCTCCTTGTTGATGTCAATGGCGCGAGCCAAGTCCTGCTGGTTGCCAACCTGGGCCTCGATCAAGTGATCGCAGTGGACGGTGGACGGGGTCGCGACCGAGGGCATGCCGGCCGACATGAACTGCAGAATGGCCATCTGGGCGGTGGCATCCTGGCAAGCAACACGGTCGGGGCGGAGCTTGAGGTAGCTGGTGCCGCGCTCAATGTCCTGGTTGTGAGGGTCGTCCAAGTGGGAGTAGAGGATCTTCTCGGCGAGAGCGAGCGGGCGGTTGAGACGGCCGCGCACAATCTTGAGGTTCTCCGACATCTTCTGGTAGTTGATGTAGTTGCCCTTCTCCCAGTTGGTCATTTCGACCTTGCGGGAGAGCGGTGCATCGCTGACGGTGGCCAATGACCGGCGCTGAGCGAAGCTCTGGCCAATGCGGCCGAGCCTCGAGAACCTCTGCATCTTGGAAGGGGTTGATGGGTGGAGTGGAGATGAGGAGTGATGGAGAGGGCGGAAGAAAAGAACGTCAGAAGCTGCCTCGAGCTGTCGATTATCAGCCGGCCGCTGATTGGCTGCCAAAGCGACTCCACCGCCCGTGCGACGCTGTTGCGGCAAGCCGAGGTCTTCCGCAAACGCATGCCAGGCGCTTTGCACGATGCACCCGCTGGGCCGCTCACGTGCGGGCGCGCGCGGGCGGCTCCCAGGCTGGGCTCGGCTGGTTCGCTGCCTCGCTGCCTCGCCGCATTCACGAGCGCGGCGCGAGCAGCAGCGGCGGTAGGCCACACTGGCACGCAGCGACATATCCGGATGGCGTCACACGGCGGTGCGGTGCCCGCGTCCACCCCGCGCGGACTCCAGGAAGCTTGATTGGCAGCAGCCGGCACGGCAGCAGTGCACAACTGCGCGCGCCCCAACGCCGCCTGTGTCGGCTCGGAAAAGTCAGCAGCAACGTCACTTGCAGGCGTCTCCAGACCAGGTGCATCGCTAGCCCGCACGCAGCCCTGCTGTTGCCAAGGCCTAGAGCGCGTCCGCGAAATTTCTTCAGCGTCTGCAGGTCGCTGGACAGCCGCACTAGCCAGCGGCCACATCCGAATCCTCCACCCAGCACGACAACAGCCGACGGCCGCGGATCCAGCCCGCACACTCTCGCACCGCGCCACTATGCCCGCCATCCGGGGACAGGACTCGAAGAAGAAGACGCGCAGGCACACGCGCGACCTCGACCAGGTGCACGCCGACCTGCGCGACGAGAAGCATCTTGCCGAGTTCAAGGATGCAAAGCCCGTCGAAGACCTGCCTGGCCTGGGCGAGAACTACTGCCTCGAATGCGCAAAGTTCTTCGAGAGCGAGGCCAACATGCTGGCGCACAAGAAGGGCAAGGTGCACAAGCGCCGGTACGTCTACCGCCGCGCGCGCCCCGCCTGCTGCTGACCGTCCACAGCGTCAAGGCCCTGAAGGAGGAGCCGTACTCGATCAAGGAAGCAGAGGCTGGCATGGGCTTCACCACCGACAACGGCAAGCGCACCACCACTGCGCCCGCGCCCATGGAGGTCGACAACGCCGCGTGACGTGCTGAGCCAGGCGCAGTGTTCAGGCTTGTTGCTTGACGGCGCTGACACGCAGGCCGCCGGCGGCGACCACGGGTGTAGAGTTGGTGCGAGCGTGCCAGTAGAAGGCCAGTAGAAGGCCAGTAGAAGGCCAGTAGCACGGCCAGCACAGCCAGCACGGCCAGATCCTGGCAGGCGCAGAGGCCTGCTGTCTGCTGCCTGCTGTCTGCTGTCTGCTGTCTGCTGTCTGCTGTCTGCTGTCTGCCAGCTGGAGGGAACATGCATTGCACGGCGTTAGAACTTGGGCACAGCTGCATTAGAGGACGCAAAAGTCACACGATACCCGAGCTACATCATAAATGCTTACAAATGTACACATAATTTTTGCATCTCAACCTGAGGTTCAGCACTAGGTACCCACATGCTGTGATGCCTGGTCTGCCTGGCCGCTGCCTGGGTGACTGTTGAACATCAAAAAATTGCGCGCGCGAACTTAAGAACACCAGAATGTGCCGACAAGAAGTTAACGCAAGCAAACTTGAACTCTCGCCTCAACATTGACTCATACACATCACCATGTCGTTCACAGCTACCCCCCTCTATGGCGGCGCCATCACAGTCGACCTGCCCTCCAATTTCGCCGACACAAGGTTCGTTCCAGCATTTCTGCAGCCTCTTTGAACTTGCTTTTCCACAACGCACACCGGCTAACAAGTCAGCACAGCCAAATCCGAGAGGTACCAGATCATCAGGAGGTCTACTTAGACACCAATGGCTACGCATCCATTGTCGTCGAAATTCTTGAATACCAGGAGAAGGGCAGCGACGACGAGGCCCTACAGTATCACTTTGCCGACCTCGTCGACGAAGAGGACAGCACGAACATCCTGGAGCAGGGGCATGCCGTGATGGCAAAGCTGAAGTGAGTGCTGCGACCAGCCACGTGATGATGCTCGCTTTCACGCGATCCAGGCAGATATGCTGGTATCTTAACAACTAACAACATCACAGTAACAAGCCAGTCTACACACTCAAGTTCATCCAGACGCCGCCGCCTGACACCAACCCCGGCCGTAAAGTACCTGAATTCGTTTACATTCACCTGATGCTGCTGCGTCTCAAGGAACAGGGTACAGACCTGATGGTCTCGGTCAACATCCCGCACTACCCAGGCGAGTACGAGAAGTCCAAGAACGGCGAAGATGAGGTTACCCCATTGATGAAGGAAGGCGAGTTGATGAAGGACAAGATATTAGAAAGCTTTGAGATCAAGGAGTGGGGACTTTTCGAGGGTTGAGCATGAGTCCTAGAGCCATAACCATCAGCTATCATCGTAGGCTCAAGAGCAGGATTTGAAATCGGATGACCAGCGATAACAACACGTCTCTTTAACAAAGAGCAATATTATCTCATTCCTGAACATAGGTAGTTCCTTTCCAGCATCACTTTCCACACCCCGACCATTTGTTCTTCACATCCATCTTTCCATGTCACGTCACACCTTACTCCAGCATCTCATTTCTACTACAGATCCGTATATGATCTTTACAACACAGGACAGGCACCTAGGGTGTTGAGGCTGCTCGGCAAAGCATCCACATCATGATCAGGGTCCATCCGGACGACGCTCCGATCGCTGCACTCCGTCGCCAACCCCGCATGTCCGTACTCAACTATGACGAAAGTAGCTGTCTCTCAGTCGGCTACACGATATTCTGTGCAAGTAGCCGCGATCGAACAAAACCAGAGAACAACCATGACAGCTACATACACCTCCCAAAGCCTGTGGAACTTCCTTGACTGTGTCAGAAGAGGCAATGGGTGGATATACAGTGCCCTGTAAAGGCATAGTAGCATACTCGCAGCACGAATGGAAGTGGGAAGAGATGTTGACGCGCGAACCGAAAGAAGATGAGTTTCTGGTTGAGATGATCGCAACAGGCGTGTGCCATACCGATATATCAGGTTACGGGGGTATATACCCACGCGTACTGGGTCACGAAGGTAAGTTTATCGCCCAATTAGACACGACTGAATTCCATCTGACTTGCGAGCAGGCGCCGGACGAATCCTAAAACTCGGCTCACGGCAACAAGAGCTGAACTATAAGATAGGCGACCTCGTCATCCTCTCTGCAGCCGCCTGCCTGTCCTGCCACTACTGTACCACCGGGCACCCGGCATACTGCGTCGAACATGCCGCCCTCACTCTAGCGTCCAACGAGCCGAACTTCGTGCTTGCCTCAGATCCGAACAAAGTCATTGGTGGCGGCTACTTTGGCCAGTCGTCCTTCGCGTCGCCCGTCCCTGTCAAGGTGTCCTGTGCGGCCAACGTGACGAAGCTGATACGTGGTTCTGATGAGCTAAGGGCGTATGCCCCCCTTGGGTGCGGGATCATGACTGGTGCGGGCGCGATCACACATGTTGGCAAGTGCGGACCACAGGACACCGTGGCCGTCGTAGGGCTCGGCGGCGTAGGTCTGGCGGGGGTGTGTGCTGCGAAGCAGCGTGGGGTGAAGAACGTCATCGCTGTAGATCTGCTGCAGTCGAGAATCGATCTGGCGCTACAGCATGGTGCTACAGCCGGTCTTTTGTCGACGAAAGAGGGACTGAAGGGCAAGCAGATGAGTGCTGCGATCAAGAGTCTGACGCCAGGTGAATTGGGCTGCAGCCACATCCTCGATACATCACCGAGTGTGGCGGTATTAGGACAGTGCATGGAGGCTCTGCAGAAGAACGGACAGTTGCTGCAGGTCGGTGTAAAGCCAGTCGGCGCGAAATACGAGCTGGATCTGCTGACACACATGGTCAATGGGAGACGCCTAATCGGTGTCATCGAAGGGGATAGGGATCCGGCGGAGGCGTTACCAGAGTTGGTGCAGTGGAGTAAGGAGGGAATCCTGCCGATAGAGAAGATGTTGAAAGAGTTTGGTGTGCAGGACTTTGAGGAGGCACGGCAGAGAATGGAGGATGGGGTTGTCATTAAGAGCGTGTTGGTGTGGTAGGCAACATTGAACTCAGCCGTCCAAGGTTTTAGCATATTCCCGATACCTTCGATAACATGACCACCCGCGCGGAAGAGGTATGCTAGAACCACACACAGGGGGTCGCAGCGTCGGGCTGATACAGTGTGCCGGCGCGACATGTATTCAGCAAGTCAGAAGCCCTAGGAGAGTATTGTAGCTGTTCTGTGTTGGCCAAGCCTATATTCAATCAAAGCAAATCTCAAGTTCGTTGTGACGATTCGAATTCCTGTTGTACATCTGAAGTATACATCTTTGGTGTACGTCTCTGTTATACATGTTTGGCGCATGTGTAGTCTTGCACGGCTTTAGATGCCGGGGGCCTAATACAGAACGCCATTGCTGAAGCCAGACCAGGTTTTAAACGTATAATACAATAATGCTTATGCAGTTCGACTCGCTGTCGGCCCTTTCGCTTCACATGCCCCTGTCTTCTAAGAAAGCCATGACCTTGCTTTTGTGGTGCCCCTTGACGACGATATGGCCGGTCAGGGGGTTGATGTAGACGTCCTCTTCCTTCTTGGCCAGCCAAGCGCGCAGCTCGTCGCGCAGGGCGTGCAGGTTGCCGGAGGTCTTGCGCACGGTGGTCAGGTGCAGGTTGCCGCCGCGCTTGAAGTCGGTGTAGACAGGCAGATTCCTAGTGGCGGAGCGGGCGACGTGATAGAGCGGCGGCGACTGCGGCATCTGCGGCATTGTGGCGGGCGTAAAGGGCGTGGTTTTGGCGGCGCGCGCAGCCGTCTTAAGGGCCTTGGAGCGCGAGGCGGGCAGAGGGTCGGCGGCGGCGGGCTGGGCGCTGTCGGCCTCAGTGACGGCCTCGACAGCGGCAAGGGCTTGGGCGCGGGCGGGCGCGACGGGCGCGGCGGGCGCGGCGGTGGTGTAGGGTGCGGCGACGGCGTAGGGCACGGTGCTGGATGCGGTGCTGGGCGCGGTGCAGCGGGCGCGGCACACGGCGGCGCGAACGCGGAGGAGCGACATGGCGGGCGTGTGTGTGTGGGCGCAGTGCTCGTGGGCGGGCGGGCGCAGTGCTCCTGGGTGGGTGATGCTCGTCGCTGCTGGCGCAGGCTCGTCGTCGCTGGTCCGGCGGCGTTGCGGGCTCGGGCGCCCCAGGCTCACTCACCACCACTGCTAGCGGTCGCTCCGCACAGTCAAATTTACCGCGCCCCCACCACCCTTCGCACCGCCGCCACGACGTACCGCGCAGCACCCGCCATGGCCGCCTCCGTCGCCGAACAGCACAGCCTGCTGCCGCAGCTGATGCCCAACCTCGACCGCCACCTGCTGTTCCCGCTGCTCAACTTCTCCAGCGACGAGGATGCCGAGCAGACGCCCGAGCAGAAGCAGCTGCTGCTGGCGCTGCTGAGCCCCACCAACATGACCGACTTCGTGGGCCAGCTGCACCAGGACGTCCACGGGCTCGACGAGCTGCCCGCCGCCTTTGCCGCCAAGCGCGAGCAGGTGCTGAGCAAGCGCGACGAGCTCGAGGCCGCGACGGCCAAGATGTCGGAGCTGCTCGACGACGAGAACGTCGTCACCAACCTGCGCTCCGACAAGGCGCAGAACTTGCAGTACCTGCAGGAAAGCCACGGCGTGACCCTCGACGACGTCAACCGCCTGTACGAGTTCGGCCAGTTCCAGTACAGCTGCGGCGTCTACCCACACGCCGCCGAGCTGCTGTACCGCTTCCGCGTGCTGGTGCGTCTGCCCTCGTTCTGCTCTCGCTCTGCCCCTTCCCCGCTGACACAGCCAGACCACCGATGGCGACAAGGAGCGCGAGGCCACCTGGGGCAAGCTGGCCTGCGAGATCCTGTCTGTCAACTGGGACTCGGCCATTGAGGAGATCAACAAGATCAAGGAGCTGATCGACACGCGCCTGTTCAACAACCCGCTCGCCCAGCTGCAGCAGCGCACCTGGCTGATCCATTGGTCGCTGTTCCCGCTCTTCAACCACGAGCCCGCCCGTGAGGCCCTCACAGACCTGTTCTTCTCGCCCGCCTACATCAACACCATCCAGACAAACTGCCCGTGGATCCTGCGCTACCTGGCCGCCGCCGTCATCACCGGCCGCAGCCGCGCCCGCAATTCGAACCAATACCAGCGCCAGCTCAAGGACCTGGTGCGCATCGTGCGCCAAGAGGGCTACGAATACACTGACCCCGTCACCGACTTCATCAAGGCCCTGTACATCGACTTCGACTTTGAAGAGGCCCAGAAAAAGCTCGGCGAGACCGAGGAGATTCTCAAGAACGACTTCTTCCTGCTCGCTGCCGCAGACACATTCGTCGACGCCGCCCGCCACCTGATCTCGGAGAGCTACTGCAAGATCCACCAGCGCATCGACATCAAGTACGTCACGCCTTGCAAAATTCCCTCCAGACCTCTGTACTAATTCTTTCAGGGATCTTTCCACTCGTCTCGGCCTGTCGCAGGACGAGGGCGAGAAGTGGATCGTCAATCTCATCCGCGACACACGCGTCGACGCCAAGATCGACTACCAGGCCGGCACAGTCGTCATGAACCACCCACCGCAGAGCGTCTACCAGCAGGTCATCGAGCGCACAAAGGGCGGCTTCTTCCGGACTCAGGTCCTGAGTGCGGCTGTGGCCAAGTGAGCGGACAGAGGGTAGCAGCATCGCAGACAAGGAGTACACGCAGACCAGCAATAGGTCAGGGCAGAAAAGTTGCCTGGGAAGACGCAAAAGTCGGGGCGTTTGGACATTTTCGCCGTCATGACTGGACATGTGACAGACAAGTTCACATATGCATGGCCGGGCGTCTGTAAGAGAGATTTCTTCTGAGGTTAGGATACAGCAAGTCGCTGTACTATAGACGAATGAGATGAATGAACACAGCTGGTATCAAGCAGTAAGACTGATCATGCAGGGATTGACATTCTGTATGTGTTTTGTCGTAGCACCAATTTCTCCAAGCCACTATCACAACCCCTGACATCAGGATGCCACAGAAGAAGATTTTATGAAAAGCCGTCTAACGACTGAGAATGATAAAGCTCTCAAGAGCACGAGACTCGAAGCGTGGTCAGTCCACGAAACTACATGAACCACATTTGGACCACCTACATACCTCATCAGCTGCCGCACCTTAAACAATTACATAAAGTTACTCACATCCCTTTTCTCCATCACGCTATCCGCTTGTGCATTGTCCATCTTCGCAACTCCATCCTCAGTCATCTTTAGATGCGGCACAGGGCCCCCACGCTGGCGCCGCACCAAATGCTGGCCCACGCCCGTCTCCTCAATCCTGCCATCAACAGTCGGCGCCGGTGGCATGTAATACCCGTCCGTCTCGCTCTCGTAATCATGCGAGCTGGAGCTGCTCCTGCGCGTCAAGAGCGTCGAGAGCGTCGAGAGCGTCGAGAGCGTCGAGAGCGTCGGTGTTGGCGTTGGCGTTGGCGTTGGCGTTGGCGTTGGCGTGTCGATGGGCCACGACGAGAACGTGCCATCAGTAAAGGTTTCGGTCGATGTCGTAGGTGGGGCGTAGCCGCTGCTGCTTGACGGGACAAAAGACGTGGGTGTCGCATCAGAGAGGGTGCTTGTTGTCCTTGCCGAACTGCTGTACAGCGTGTGACTTGGAGACGAAGAGGAGTGTGATGTGCGGGTGAACACTGGGGGCCATGACGGGAAAGTGAAAGATGGTGTGCGCGTCGGAATTGAGCGGGTCCATGACGAGGTTTTGGCAGTCCTGAAGCTGGATGAGCGATAGCGTGTGCTCCGGCTGCTGGGCCGTGGAGTTGGAAAGCTAAAGGTGAAACTAGATGGAAATTCGAAAGTAATGGATGAGGGAATGGTTGGGACGGATGGAGTAGGGTAGTAAATTGGAGAGGTAGTCCTTGGTGTGGCAGTCAAATAGCTCGAGAATCGAGATGGAGATGGAGTGTAGGACGAATACGAGTAGGAGTACGAGTATGAGGGATAGGTGTAGCTTAAACTCGATAACGGAGTAACTGATGATGCGGTACTGGAGTCAGTTGATGCAGTGAGCGTGTCACTTAAAACAGAGCTCGTCCGATTCCAGCTCGGCGTGCTGGAAGGTGGTTCAGGCACATAATACCCACTTGAGGTAATATTGTACGGAACCGTGAATGTCGACGAAGCAAAAGGCGCAGTACTCGTGCTTGTGCCGTTTCCGTACGGCCCTGTGGTGGATGGCAGGAAAGAAGTTCCTGTAGATAGCAAGACTTCGGTGGATTGAGGGAAGCTGATCGGAGGCCCGAATGAAGAAGTTTGAGGATCTACAGAGAAGCTCGTCGCAGTTCCATCCGTGAAGGTACCAGTGGTCGGACTTGGGGTCCTGGAGGGCGAAACATCAGTACACCAGATCAACCCTTCATCTGTAAGCCTGCAGGAAGTGGCGGTGACTGTCTCTGCGCTGGTGAAGATGGGTATAGAAGACGTTGATAATATGACTGTGGTCACAATCACGGTGCTGTGGACGGTAGTTGATGCCCACGGTCCCGATGATATTGGTGCAGTCGACAGTGGAACATCTGCGCTAGAAGAGGACGGCGTGGGTGGGGGAAGATTATCAAAGGTGCTACTCGGCACAGGGAGAGAGTAGGAAGGTGGAGGCGCGTAGTATTGGCGTGGATGTACGTGTGGAGCGTGCACTACTGTTCAGTTGGTCATTGAGCTCCTCAATCTCATCATGGATGTGAGAACTTACATGGCGCACGATCCGCAGCCGTGACAACAATGGCAGTAGCCAAGGAGATGCAGATACTGAGTCTCATATCGGAAGATGGTGGCAGAGGTGCGAAGCGAGCGTGAGATTCTAGAGATGGTGCAAGACAGTAAATCTGGAGGCCTATGACTGAATGTAGAAACAGTAAGTCCTTGAAGCAGCCCTTATATATGATTCGTGGTTAATCGCTTCCTCGCTGTCACCAAGCCCCTGATAGAAGGTGCCGCAGTGTGTGCAGTTGGCCGTCGGGTTCATGCACAAGGTTGCAATACGGGATCATGCTTTACACAGCCCGTCCTGACTACAAGCATCTTGGTGTTCAGCCAAAGTATTCCCCACCAATCATCATCAGCGATCTCTGATCCTAGCATTCAAAAGATGTAGCTGAGTGGCCGTGTCCAAATTTTGGAGGCCAGGGATGTTGCATCGTTGCTGGTATTTAGATCTGATCGCCGCTGTGAAAGTTGGATAAGCTGACGATACTCTGGAAGTCAGTCTGAATCGTGACAGCACGAGCCACGAAGAGCTTTGGTCTCCGTGTGTGACATCGCAATCGCTTTTTCCGCCACCGTCGTGCATGTGTGTGTGTGAAGGGAAAACTTGACGACATTGATCGGCAGCATTACACCCAAGTAACGACACCCATCACTACGTAGAATGACGGAGACCACGAAATCCATGTTTCCAGTAAAGCGTAGTTGCAAGCCGATCGCCTGATGCTGGCTAAACAGACAAAACATGCGTGGAGGTTGCGATCGAGTACATGGTTGAGGTATCACAAGCACCTGACAGACATCTGCCAACTGAATGACAGGCGCCCGTTTTTCAGATTGCAAAGATTGGACGCGCTCAAGGTATCTAGGTAGATATGCTGGTCCCGTACACACCGCACAGATTACTGAAAACTTACCCTTTTGAATCTGTCAAGGGCACTGCCCACACGGGACATAGATGGAGACATTGTGTCTTTAAGCCCTGGCCTGGTTTGTTTTCAGGGCTTTTGCATTGTTAAGCCGCGGAACGTGATCAGTCGCAAAAGTATGGTCTCAATGGTGGTCAACAGGCTACGATCATGACCGCCTTTTCGATAATCCCTAGCATCAACCCAAGGTGTGCGCGATCGTTGCACTCTGATTGTGGGAACCCCCGTTTAAGCACAGATGCAGATACCGAAGACGAGGCTACCCAGGTAATCAGGGACGCGATGCGTTGCGCGATTGGATGAACCGATCGCTACAGCACTGCCCTTTGAGGCTATGGAGGTCGAGTCCGTGGTACTCCGTAGTTACCGATCAACGAAAGACCGGCCTGTGCTGATGGTCGGTGCTACCTTTTGCGGTGTAGAGAGACGGGAGGTGTAGTTGACCCTGCCAATCACGTGCAGCAGACCTCAACGGCACCTAGATACTTGCGTATTGTACAGCGCGGAAAATATGAGGATGTTACTTCATATAAGCTTGTGCGATGGGTGTGGTGTCGCTATTGTTGCAGTTGGCTGGACTGGTGTCCTCTGCGTGCCTGTTACATTTCCTCAACGGTCCGTACGGCAGTAACCATAGTTAGCCTGCGATATTTGGTACAATGGTCGTACGACACCCAAGTCTATGTATGCAGGCTCACTTGTTTTTTGTATTGAGAACTGGGAGCAATGCAGATACTAGTGCTTACATGCATGCAGCGGTGTCGTACGCAATCGTACGGTACAGCACACAGCCAGCACAACGAAGAGTGGGTGGCGAACAATTGGATAACCAGGTTTGTGGACAATTGACAGGTCAACAGCCGTGTCTGTGGCGCTTGTGTGGGCCTGTGCTACCACTGGCACCCTAATGCACCAATGGTTACGTGCAAGCTAATCGTGCAAGAAGCTCCATGTACGCGTACTCTCCATGTTCAGACTGACGCAACACCGCAACACAGCAATATATATGAGCGCATTCCGGCAAGTAGATGGCTAGCTACTCAGATTACAACTATATAGCTAAGCACCTCGGGTAGAGAGGAGAAATACCGCTGCAGGGCGACCTGAAAGCGCCTGTGAGAAACTTCGCGATATATCGTTTTGGGCTGCGCCAAAACGCCTGTTGACATTCATGACCTTCGTAACAATGAAACAACAAAGTGGGTATCGCTCGAATCCATCTGAGAAAAATGTGTGTGAACAGACACGATACCCAACGCAAAAAAGCGCAGTGTACAGAAGTGCAGTAGAACGAGATCGCACGTGTGCTTAAGAAACAGGGTCATGGCCCTCTGAAAATGTACTAATCCCAGTTCACGAAGCTGGAACCGTCAATGAGCTGCTCGTTGGTGCTAGGCTCATCACCAGGCTGAGCAAAATCCGTGGACTGGAAGTCGAAGAAAGCGCCGTACGCTTCATTGCCAGGAGTAAGGAACGACTCGTTATTGTACAGGCCGGAAGAGATTGGCGCACATGTGTCGGCTGCACTTTCTGACTTGATACCGGTCTGCGGCATGCTGAGCGTGATGTTGCTGCCTGACTTTAAAGCTTTGGGCGAGTAGTTTGGGTTGTAGGTGTATGTCGGAGCGAAGGGCTGCGCTATGTGCTCACTGCCACTCATAAACATAGCTGTGCGAGGGTCATTGGGATCGAGGACAGACCCAACGAATTGCTGCGACTCGGCAGGCAGGGCCATCGATAGCGGATTAGCGCCGCTGAGCATTTGCGACCCCAAGGAGTAGTTTGCTTGAGTAAAGGTTGAGACAGATGTCTCATTATCGGCCTGGAGCTGCGGTGTTCGCTGACCTGACCCAGATCTTGGCGAAGCCGTGTCGGTCAGTGGTGAAGGAGGCTGCTGGAGAACGAAGGAAGATTTGCGAGAAGCAGCCGGTCGAGACTGGTCGTCCATCCCTGCTTGCGCTGGCATCGACATCCTCCGTGCATCGTGGGACGCCGAGGCGCCCTGCGGCAGGTACGCATCCATGGCAGTTGGGACGGCGATAGAAGCCGAGCGCTGATGCGATCTTTGAGGGATGTGGTATGGTGATGAGCGAACACCCTGTGGCTGCGTGGCCTGCGCCTGTTGACCAAAATTTTGTGATGTTTGCTGGGCAGACTGCTGAGGAGGCATCATAGTGGGATTTAACCAATTGTTCTGTCCAAAGGCGCCGTTGATTTGTGGCGACATCTGACTTCCAAACTGTTGGAATGATGGATTCTGGTACTGCGACATGAACATGTTTCTGACTCCATGCTGTGTCGCGATGTAATCATGCAGTTTCTTGTTGAACATCACAGAGGTGGTGTGCAAATGTGCGTTGAGCCTCTGGTACTGAGTCGGCAGATCGTCATCCTCCTCTTCATACATCTCTTCGTTGATGACATCTTGCTCAGTAACTCGAAGTGCACGCCCAGTGCGCTTCTTATGTATCTCAGATGCTCTTCTTGCAGACTCAATACGAGCCTCCAGGCTACGGTCACTGCGCCGTGAGGCAGCAATGTAAGCACTGCCCGAGATCAGCAACAAAGAATCAAATAGCAGTGACACAGACATACCGCTCTTGATTTTCCTCATGCGTACGCTCGGTCTTGACCGGGCGGGTCGCAGTAAAGGATCTTCTTTCGGCAGGCATGTTGAAGATCCAACGAACGGGAGTGGAACTTTCAGGTGGCAAAAGCTCGGGTGGCGGAGGGACCGGCTATCCGGGGAAGCGGGCACGGCGTTTAGTACCTGCCCAGAAAAGTGACAAATCGACACAACTGCTACGACGAGCTACTCAACTCGAAGGACTGGTGCCGATGATGAAAGGGGTACGAACAGTCAATGGAAGGAACAAATGTTCAAGAGGGGACGTGGCGGTTCTCCTGGCCAGACGCGGGACGAGTAGACGGGCACAGGGACTACTGTTTGGCCGATTGGAAGAAGTGGTGGAGCTAGGGTCCAGCGGATCAGGACGCAATAAAGAAAGCACGATGCCCGAAACGGATAGCGGATCGAGGAACGGCGGAAAGAGATTGAGCGAAGCCTGAAAGGTTCACAAGGTGGCGAAAATTGGCCGTGGTCGCTAGGCCGGAGATCGAACGATAGTGCGCAAAGCGCGATGCTCACCGATTCTCGATGTGAGCCAGAAGCCGGGACGATCAGATCGAATCTTGGGGAATCCTTCGTTGACAAATTGGTCCAAACTGGGAAATCTGTGTAATTGAATACTCTGGAAGACAGATCGTGTGTGTACCTGGCAGTACCGCAGACGATTGCTTCCGGCGACGAAGTGGTCGGGGTGTGTGCTAAACACGTATGGGGAGGAGACGAGAAAACGCGAACGGTATCCGTCCGCAGTTTACCGGTCTAGAAGTAGGCGGGAGATATGTGCGACAGGTGCTTGAGAATACTCAAACGTGTCGAGGGTCGACAAGGCGAAATTCCCAAGAGTCGAGCTGAGGGAGGAGGGACTGATAAAGAGCGTTCCCGCCGCTCAACGTAGCCAGCCAACCAGCAGTCGCGCACGTATTTCCGACACCAGTCCGCCGCTTAGACAGCTTAGGTTGCAGGTCGGCGGCGAGGTGGAGAGGGGCAGGTGGCTGCGCACGCCTCGGTATCCACGCCCAGCAACGGACAGACATGGATCAGACAGCTCACCACGCACGCTGGCTCAACTGGCGATCGGAGCGCTAGGATCTTGTAGCACCACCCCACGATAACCGAGACGGCAATGAAAGGAGCCGTTCGGCGACTGACGTCGGACAGATACTCTATCAATACTCTACCAACGGGCAACGACGATCCGCGATTGCGCTGACAAAACTCGTGGCTCTGGAAGCGTAGTTCTACAGTGCACAGTCCTGGTTGCGTCTGCCACGGAGGTCTTATCTCCAAAGATCGTCTAGCAAGACCGCAACGTGTGGCTAATCTAAAGGGCGCCCAGGAGAAAAAAGCACCGTGGGACTGCACCATCAATAACCACCAGAAAGACTTGAAACTCAGTTCAATGCACATCAGGTTGGCCTGAGATTACAGTACACAGAATGTGTTCGCCCTTAGCGTGAGCGCTGCCGAGACCAGTAGGCAATGCTTTGAAAAGCGAGCGGAACTTAGGCTGCTTAGCGATGTGGGGTAGGCTGGCTAGGTATTGTACTGTGGCCGAAATCCGTTTGTACGGACTAAGCCATCATGAGGCGACGAGGGGGCCAATGTCAAGCTGCACAGCCTGCATGCTTGCGAGAGCTGCGACAATTGTCATGCAAATTCGAAAGACCCGCTGGCTAGTTTGATTAGAAGACAGGGCAGTCCCCATCCAGCGATCGAGTGCAGATAGGCGAGGGCAATATCGGGCTAGCTCCGATCAGATCGCACTTTCCTCCACACCATAGCATTCGATCACGGAACTGTAAGCCCCGAGTTGCGATTGGCAGGACTGAGTCTTCCACCTTTCAAGGAGCCTTGCGCTCGTTGTTCGTTCCCACCACGTGCGACAAAACGGCGAACTTCAAGCCGCAATATAGATCTTGTGTGGTGCTTGCACTGTTCCTTTCTTCATAGAATTACACGAGGTCACGACATGTGACTGCCGTTTGGTCGCAACTGGATCCCGCGGAGGCTACGGGTAAAAAGCTTTCATTTGGACTTCAGCTTTAATTGCTACACTGTTACACGCAACTACGTCACACAGGAGAGATTCGAAGTGGCCGTGCGTTGTGGTGCTTTGGCGCCGCCAGCCGCTAAGTCTGCCAGATCTCTGGGACCCAAACCACCCCAGCCGCAAGCGTTGGAAGACAAAACAGACTCTTCTTGCAGTGGACCTATGTAGGATCTGGGATCACGTCTGTCCCGCTGTGGAGTCCGATCAGGGGCGATTTTGGCCAGCAGTATGTAAGGATGACAATTCGTATTATACTCTGCACATTGCATGAAGATCGCGGAGGTGTTCCCCGAAATCTCAGGAGTCACCTAGTAGGTACCTGAGTCGTTCTCCTGCTCCACGAGAATGACGTACTTTTCAGAGGGTTGGACTCGAGCATTGTTCTCTGAGACTCGCTCATGATGACAAACCCCGCACGCATCTCGCAACCATTTCTGAGTAGGACGTCAATTCCTCTAACATTAGGTATTTCCTTCAGTCGGAGCTCTGCAAAACGATCATGCCATCAACCACGGAGTTACATCGTTCTTACAAAACAAGGATCGGCTCAGGTACCTACCCTTTTGATATTGTGCTTCCTATCACGTTCAACTCTCACCGTTCAAGGATCACACTTCAGATGCAATTAATTACTTACATCATGTTTACTGGCAAGGCTGATGTAGGTAATTGGCTCGATGACCAGCCACTACGGGATGGTCACACTTGAAGGGGAAAAGGCTGGTGTCTACTTTTTAGTTCCGATCTTAGCTGCAGGATCGCGCAGACACCTGTCGCCACTCATGTGGCCTCGTTGTGAATTCAGCACCCCTCTTTGGGGAAGATGCTCCATAGCAATGCTTCTGTCGCCCTCTTAAGAAAAATTGGCGCCGCGCATGATGATTCGTTGTTGCGCCGGGTTTTATTGCAAGTCCGAAGTCCCAATCACTGACTGTTGCTTAGATCTTGCTTGATGCACACCGTGGCAATAAAAATTCCGGTAGCTCCTTGGGTACGTCCCAGGCGCCACACCACCTCCACGGCTCCGCAGCCTACGCCCGTTTACCCGAGCGCTGCTACACCACATCGCTAGCATATTTATGGCCCTCAATCGTAACACATCATTTGCACAGGCCCTGCGCGTGGGTTCTCGAGACCCAATCTATCATGCCTTGGCATGCACTCTTTCTCTTTTGTCCTTGCTTGCTCATGTCAGCCCGACGAGAACGCTAATCAACCTTGACGACTTCTAAATCGATTCTGGCGGCGAAAAGGCTCTATATTGACAAGAACAGATGGTGATGGCGATGCGCCGCTTCTCTCATTGGCACACAGCCGACGTTCAGTTTGTATAGCATCAACGCGTGCGCATGATACAGTGAGCTTGTCTCCACCTCCGATGCAGCCACCCTCCGACCGAACATCTGACATTCTCTTGGGGATGTTCTGGGTCGCATCTGACTGCAACCATGCTGCCACTGGAGAAGCCTGCTTTGGGCTGACCACATACTGGCCTACGGACACGCCTCCGAGATCAGGATTCAAGGCACCTATCAGTACTCGGATTCAGGTAAGTAACGAAATAAGCTGTTCTTTGTAAGGTAATGTGCGGATCCCACCTGGGCAAAGTCAACACCGAGGGCAACTACAGCCAATTGTCCGCCTTTCAAATTAGATATACAGATATGTTTGGCCATAACACAACATTGGAAAGTCTGCGAGACCGTGCACGCTATTGCTCGTTCTCTCTTTGCACTTTCTCAGTCGGGTTTCCACTATGCTTCAGCAAATCGCCTGATGACATCCACCACGGTCTTTGGACGGCTCAACATCGGCACATGATCCCCATCGATGACCACGACCTCAAAGTACGCTCCTTCCTGGTCAATATAAGTCCGCGCAAAGGCTGGGCTCACACTGTTATCATATTCGCCTATAACGTATACTGTTCTGAACGTCCCGTCGTACGCAATATATGTCCCCGTGGCGTTAAGAGCCTTGAAACTCGACGGCAGGAGCTGTGATGTCCAGTGATCTGCTGCGGAAGCATTTAGCAAGTTGTAGAACGTGAGATGCGGAGGGTAGGTGGCAAGGTCCCTGTCCCATGTAACGAGGCTTGGAGTGGTGTTGAAAGGGTCGTGGTATTTGAAGAATGGTGCGCCAATGTTGCGAATGTCGGGGCGGGGTGGGTTCGCAGTAACCTCAGCGATGGTCGGGATGTAACCCGATAGCTAACGGTCGTCAGTGGGCTCTAGAAAAAGGGAGCCTAGAAATGGACACAAACCATGATGAGTCCCAGTATCCGGCCTTCTACTCCTGTCCTTTCGAGTACGAAAGTTGAGCTATACGCCTCGAAGTCTTTTACGGCTTCCATGATCACAGTCGCGCCATAACTGTTGCCGACCATGATGACATCTTCGCCCTTTCTCAGTCTATATCGAAGTAACTCCGTCACGACCTCCACATCCGCTTTTCTTTCGACGTCTGCAGCAGCATAGCCTACAGATGGCAGGTCAACCGCGTCATTGTGAATATAGCCGACATCGCTGAGCTGACTTATGACTTCGCCATACACACTGGCGCTGTGGAAAGCTCCAGGTACAAGGATGAGTGCTGGTTTATCGTGCTCGGCGGCAGTGACTGGGGCCAGCACTGAAGTGCCGAGAAAGAGAAGCAAAGTCCAGATAGAAGCCATTGGTAAATAATTACACGATCAAAGCTTCCGGCGTTACGATACAAGCCTGATAATTGCTGCGTTTACGCGTTGCACCTTATCCTGCATCGGTCTGCAGTATATATACTTACTACTTCCTGCGTCTTGATCAAGGTGATGCCCTCACCGCCGGTTCGAACGCTTGAATGGGTAAGACGTGGAAGGGGCTCCTTGCTGAAGAAAATTATCATTGCACCCGGAATAACAGGCTCCAGGTCCTCTGAATGATCCCACGAGTCGGAGCACGTAAACCATAGGTGGTACAAGCATATACAGCATAGAGCCATGAGCCATACATGTGCGCTGAAAGAGAACAACATCCAGCCCAAATCGCAAACCCCCCTTCTCTTGGCTCAAGGTTTAGTGTTGTGTCAACCTCCAACAAAATGGTCTGCCACTTGGGTGGTGTGGGTCTACGGAGGGTTCATTTGCTGCAGTGCGGAAGCCGACATTCTTCGATCGTCGAAAACCGAGAGGCGTTGATAGTCAGTTTACATACAGGCCTCGGACACGTATCAGGGGCATGATAGCAGTGTGCAGGTGACAAGAGACCTGTTCCTGACAACAGTGAGTACGACATATCACCTTAGTCGAAAGGACAATTTTTCAAAGGTTACGCGGAATCCCGAATGGGCCTGCCATCTGGTCAAAATTTGTTGAAGAACTTGCTTCAGCATTACTGTCCTGGATCAGTGTGCCAAGCACTTCTTGGTGGGGGTGATCCGCTCGGAGTGCACGGTTGACGGCGATTGTACCTAGGTGTCATCGTAAACACAGATACCATGCTTCAAGACGCACGGATAACTGGAGGATTGCGACATGACGCTTCTATGGCCAAACTTCAAGCTTGATATGTCTTTTGGTGTTGAGAATGTCGTACATGTTCTCGGAAATTTCTTTTGGCATCGTACCATATTATAAACTTAAAAGGAACGAGAGTCGACACATATCGATGGGATGTGGAGACAGTATGTACAGGTTCAGGGATTTGCTCTTGTACAAAGGGTTTCAATTCAGTGAATTGATCCGTCCGCATTGCAAGTACGATTGCAAATTTGCTGTCCAGTTGCCCCAATCGTACATCCTTCGATCTTTTCGGCGTCTCTCGGACAGCGCGGACGCCGAGCACCGACACTACATCACCATCTACGGCGGTTCGGGGGCTGCAACACAGCACCATTCCGCAGAATTATCATGTGTAAGCATAACGATTCTGTATTCCAGGGTACGTAGAAGCCCTAATGATGGTGTTAGAAGTAAGTCACAGTCGTCCGGACGAGTTCCTTTGACAATGACGAACAGGGATTGCTCAGCCTCAGCTTGTCGCTCGTAGAATATATTGAACGTGCAAGCAATGACCTTCACTGCGATATGCAAGAACTCCACCCTAATAAGACTGCCCCTGTCCTGGCTGTTATATCTATCAGGTATCTACCGCGTTCTTGTGCCCACAACAATCACACAATCACCAGCTAGGCTCTCAAGGTCTTCCAGGCAATGACTACAGAAATGCAAGGTCCCTACGCAGACATTAGCTCTGTGAGAAACGATGAAGAGTCTGCCATTGAGTTGAGACCAACGACCGCCGACACAAAGACACACTCAGATCCCAGCGTCTCTACCGCACACCTCGGGCCGAGCATACCTATAGCACAAGCGATGAAGGCTTTGATTCCTGCAGCAATAATGATCCTTGTTATCTTCTGGATCAACGCGTCTCACATTTACGGTTTATTCCATCATCAGGGGGAATTCGTTCACAGGGCAAAGGTCGCATTAGCTGACTTCGACGGAGGAGATTTCGGCGAAGGGCTGCGCCTGGCAGCAGCTACGAACAATGGTACATATGGAAACCCCACCTACGTCAGTGTCGATACTGTTGGCTCGACATCTGAGCAAATACGACACGAAGTCTTCAAAGGCACATACTGGGCTGCGATTATTGTCGAACATGGCGCGACAGCTCGCTTCAAAGATGCCATAGATGGCTCGGCCGAAGCATACAATCCAGACGATGTCTACAAATACTATGTACTCGACGCGCGTTACTATACGATATACGCCTCGAGTATCCTCTCCCCAGTTATTGCTACCGCATCCACTGCGGCTAGTGTTTTCAGTGCTCAGTTCATCACGCCCATCATCGCTCGGGGTCAACACGCGAATGCCACCACAGCGCTCTCCGCACTCGCTAGCCCAGCACGCCCTGTAGAGATGCCAGCGGCTCCCCAACTGTACGCTACCCTTGACGACAAAGCGTTTATCAACACCCTTGGCGCAGTCCTGCCAATCCTGATGCAATTCTTCTTCATCATGGCCTGGAACGGTATATGCAACGGTATGCATTTCTACGCTGCCCACGATCTGCGCACACACATCCTCTCTCGATTGTTCTGTGGAACAGTGTGGCCAGTCTTCACGAGCCTGTGTATAGCTGGTTGGACCTTTGCTTTCCGGGGCTCATACAGCATCGACGTCAAAATGTTCTTTGCATTCTGGGCTGTAACATGGGTCTACTGCATGATTAGCTTCGACGTGTTGGACATTGCTACTGGATTCATCCCGATGGCGTTCGTGCCCTTCTTTGTGCTGACCTGGATTATCTGGAACGTCGTGGCATCTCTTGGTCCACCAGAGATCCTTCACCAATGGTTTCGCATCAACTACTTCTTTCCAAGTCTGCACTGGTTCAGGACGTTCATCACCATCATTACGCAAGGCGCGTTGAATGATTCGCGCTACACGCTCCCCGTTCTTGCAGTCTGGCTGGTGCTTATGAAGTGTCTGAGTCCACTGGCAACAAGACATCGCGTTAGGAAAGCGCATGAGATATTCCAGTGGTACAAGGAGCGTAACGCAATTGGCGGACCTCATTAGACTAGTTTCTTGCCATACATTTCTGTTAGCTGTTAAATCTTATAGGCGTGCTAGCAAGTTGATCGAAGCTAATGTTATCTATAAAACTTCGGCTCAATGCACCTTGCCATATGGTTCTCAGTGAAGATATATCAGTCAATTTTGGCGCGTCACGTTCTATGTTTTTAAACATTGGACTCTCACATTCGTTTCTCTGGTCTTGCAACATTCACTCTACATGAAGGGCTCCCCTCGCGGCCCACATAATTCCTCTCTTCACCAGTCCCATGTACCATGTGTTCTCCCAAACCTCTTTGAAATGACCCAAAGCGATATAAACACTCTTGCCGCCCTCAAACTCTTGGCACCAAGCAAGTGGATGATTATCGCCGTGTTTACCTCCTTTGAAGCTACTCGTGTCTCCACACAGTAAGATTTGGAGGCTCGAGTTTGCGGCTGGATGCGACTTGAAATTATACCACTCATCCATCCATTTCTCTGGAGGCCTCTCGTCATCGATGATGGGATGTGATTTATTCGATACTATGAGAGAACCTTGCTCAGCATCGGGATGCATGTCAAAATGCGCGCCGATCAGTTTTCCGTACCAGGAAGATGACGGCATCCCGGACGCTGCGCCATGAATAGAGAGAACGCCACCACCAGATCGCACGAAATCCTGGAAAGCTCTGAGCTGGGAGGCGCTGAGGAAGGTGCCAGAGGTATGAAGCAGGACGATCACGGAGTAATGCGACAATCTCGAGGGCTCAAAGAGTGAAGCATCTTCACTATCTGTTATTGTGAAAAGACCAGTTTGCAATGCTAGGTCCCTGAAGGCGGTGATTCCAGTAGAAATGGATTCGTGTCTGTACCCTGCGGTTTTGCTGAAGATCAAGACGTTGAAGGGTTGTTTGAGAGCCATGGAGAATTATTTTTCTACCAACAAGAGTTGGTGATGGAACAGCGCTGTCAGATGGTTGTCTATCTGCATCGTATCCTACGCGCATGTCTTTTTAGGGCTTACATTTAGGCTAAATGCACTGACGTCATATCCTGTAGCATGAGACAGTAACGAACTTCGAGTGGCCAGCGGGTATGCAAGCTCTCACATTTGAGGCTAGGTGACTTCAACGTAGAACTCATAGCTATTATAATACTCAAAGCTAAAACCTACTTAACTATCACCCAGATTGTAGGCAAAAAAGAGCACGTCGTAGAGCTGTTTCGGTGTTTCCCCTACTCTGCTGTTGTAAGGTGTATTTGGCTTACATCCTTAGTCCGCCGTTTATCCTGCAACGTGAGAGGCAAGTACTATACGCAGGCAAAGTGTGTCGCTTACAATCCAGCGCCAGCGCCGCTACCAAACACCTTGTCGATTCTCGTCGCACGCTCCCAAACCACTTCACCCTTACTGTTACCTGCACCACCGACCTTTTTGCGGAAGAACAAGATGCGGTGCTGAGGAATGAACTCCTCGTCTGTCTGCTCGGTCTTCCACTTCTCGAGACTGATTTCTTTTGTACCGATAAACCGGTCCTCGTAGCCGATGATATAGTCTGTAGGATCGAGACTTGGATCCCAGCGCAGACGATTGAGAACGTCGGAAGCTGGTCGTAGCTTCATCATGGACACGGGCTTCGATGATGACTTCGGCTTACAACGCATCGGCTGCTTGGGTAGTTCGACATCGTCGGTGTTGACGTCGTCCAGCTCCTCTTCCTCGTCCGAGTCAGGCTCGATCTCCATTGCAAAGACGCCCCAGTCGCGCTTATCTAATTGAAGTTTACGGAGGTCGCGTTGCGTAACGATTGATGCATCGATCCATGAACTGTTCGCGTCATAGTTCTTCTCATCCATCCTGAGCTGAGTGAGGAACCCTTCGATAATCTTGTCCAAAGACTGCTTTGCAGCTTGCCGCTCGTCTCTGTTTGTGAACATCAGATTTGCATTAGTGAGTCCTTGAAGGCCAATGAGGTAACAGCCATTATAGTCCTTATTCTCATCAAGCTGGTGAAGCTCATTGTCGGCGAAACGTGCAGGCCACAATCGGATGTTGGATTCTGGAAAGTTTCTGTGGATGTCTGGAACGGTTAGGTCTCGCTTAGTTCTCATAATAAGCAGTGCGTACCGATAACGAGTGGTAGGCAACGCGATTCTACCCAGCCTACTAACCCTTTGCCTTTTGCGAGCGTACGGCCCCAGAAGTGTATGTCAATGCGCACATAGCTCTTGTAGGCTTGCAGGAACTCCGTCTCGCCAATTCCCATGCCATCGAAAGTGTGTATACCAGTAGGCATGAAGAAACTCTGCCAGGTCGTGGAGGGGTCTGACAACCGCGAATCTGCAGTCTTGAACTCCTTCACCAGTGTCAATAACCCTGGCAACGTCGATGTATGCGCTATGTTCGAATTGGGGGGATGTAATCCCAAAATCACCATCGGCTCCCGCGTAGTCCGATGATAGCGCGGCTTGTGCCTGTGGAAAAAGACATCAAAGACCATATCGTTAGCCCAGTTGAAGTTTGCGTAATAATGGAAGAAAGTTGCTACGAGATCGCCGACTGCGATAAGATGGTCTCCATGGGTAGCGACATCGTGCGCAACGCGCTTGTAGACCCAAGACAACATCTGAGTAATGTGTATGCCTCCTAGATACCCAAACTTCGAGGAGTAGATGCCACGTTGAAAAGCCCAAAGTTTGATGGCCCGATACGCCACGCTGAACGTACTGAGATCAGGCAATGTACGTTTGATGTAAGCTAAGTCGCGGTAAGGCTTCAGTTTTCGCAAAGAGAGGATTGAGAGGTTGAATATCGGATCTGATGGAGCCAATCCATCGATTTCCGACCATCTATACGCATTAGCAGATTTTCAATCAACACAAGATACTGACTCACCTCTCCACAATTCGAGCGGCAGGGCAGTATTGTAAATCCATAACTACATCATTGACAGAAAGTTCGAGCATTGTCCCTGTACTTGCCTCGACCTTCCGGAGTATGCGAATGCCGTAGGTCTCAGCCCTCTGTAGTCTTTGGCGTGCGAGCTTGAAGAAGATCTTTGAGCTAATGGAACCAATGCAAAGGCAGTCGATGTCCGATGTCGACGTATCGACATTCAGCGCGAAAGAGCCCACTGGTACAATTCTTAGTGGAACATCAGCCGACACTGAACTTTCGTTGCAGAATTTACCAAGTACCGCTTCTCTCAGTAAATGGAACGCCGCTTGCCGTTTCGTCCTCTCTTCCTCGCTTAGAAACATGTGATTTTCCTGCAATGCGGACTCCAGATCTGGAAGAGCTAGATGGGAGCGATTCTGGAAAGCCACTTTGAAACTCTTTAACAATTCATGATGATCTGGAGAGAGTTGTTCGGGGGGTCTGCAAAGTTGCATGGAAGCTCTCACTCCATAGTGGTCACTCGGAACCACGTTTGTACCGTCGACACCTGCGGGTAGCCCGAACATCCTAAAGCCGGTGATCTGAAGTTTATCCCGTGGCCGGACAAGGATACGGTCGTATCGTTGCGGTCTATTTTGGGACGTTCCAGACGATTCAGCCGCAAGTATATTGTTTCTTGGATCGAAAGTAGCCCCTTCCTCTCCGTCGAACAATGCGTTGGTGTCAACACTGATCACACTGCTAATCCGCTCATTACGAGTGACTACCCACGCATCTAGAAGGCCGTCTCCGCGTAGCTGGTCTTCGACAGCAGCAAGAGTGTGTTTCGTCTGGCCAGTGATCGACCTGAGCTCCAATGCATTGTCGATGGTGTGGACTGAAGTTGTTAGATTGAAGTCTCCAGCAACGATCCATGGGCTATCACTGTGTTGGTAGGTTAAATAGTTGAAGAGCTTCTGTATCTGTATCTTCTTCGCGGCAACGGAGCCATCGGTTAAGCCGCACGTGAGATGAATTCCTGCAACGACCAAAGAACCACCAATAGCGGCAGAATCAAAAGTTGCAACTACAGCACCCTTGTGTCTTCTGTGGAATGGAACTGAGTCCCATCGAAATGGCCACTTGCTAATAATGACAACGTTCCGTAGGCTGGGCAGTGGGCCAATGTCCGGTTGGCTTGGCGGCCCATGAGAGCTGAACGGATACTGTTTCTGGATATCTGGATGGTTGAGGAGGGCCGAGAGAAAGTTATCAGATACTTCTTGCAGAACGGTGATATCTGCTTCTGCTGTATCTGACAGCAACGTCCGGATCAGAAGCGGATCGCGGTTCTGGGCTGGTGGGAATTCGGATTTGACCAGGACATTGTAGCTTGATACTACAAGCGAATTTTGTCTCATGTGGCTTGGTTCTATCATCTTCGCTTTGATCCAAATCCCCAAAACTTTATCGAAGAAGAAAGATTTGCCAGATTTGATAGTACGGATGAATTTTTTTGTTTGGTGAGATGATTCGGCCTCATCGTCCTCTTGTTCTTCATCAACAGCGCTAGACGAACTTTCTCTAAGCCAGTACTCCGGTGTTGGGACCGTAGATCTAGTTGGTGCAAAAATAGTGTCAATCAAACCCCACAGTCGCATTCGATATGCAAGTTGCGAGCCCGATGTTCGTTCGCGGACAAGGATGACCAATGGACCAATCTCGAAACTCAAGGTTGGTAGTAGCTGTAATTTGGATAACAAAAACTCGCGTGAAGCTAGTGAGTTATCTTCAGTTTGGCCCACAGTCAAGTGGAAGTTGTTTGGTTGGGGTTTGTGACCAAGAGCCTCGAGGGACAAAGATCGCAGTTCGTCCAAGGAACCACCTGATGAATCTCGAGACTCTTGTAGAACTGCGGTGCTGTTGTGTCGTTGCTGGAGAAGGACGGCTGATTCGAGCTTGACTTGACGTGACGTAAAAGAGTTCAGCTTGCTCTGAATTTGTGCTTGAATCTGCTGTCGTGCCTGCGGAAGATGCTCGGGCGCAACGAATGGGTATACGAGGTTTATATGAGCTGGCCATGCTCCATATGCTTTGTCGTAAAGCTCGCGTAGGTTGTCAATGTGCTCGCACTGCTCGACTGGCAGTAGAATACAAAGTGCAGTCTCGTAAGATGTCACCGGAATGGTCCTAGAAGCCGAAGTCGTATGATGGCCCTCCATAGCTTTGGGATCTTGGAAGAATTGTAGAAACGTCGCTGAGCAGTTAGAACAAATTGAATCTACTTATAAAAACTTAGGACATCACCTCTACCTTTCCATTATTTATCAAGTATACCACCTTGTACCTGATCGGGACTCAAATCATGACTCCGCAGCGGATTCACGTATTGTAGGATGTGTCGTATGGCGGTGCGATCATATCATAGTGACTCATTTGCGCTAACGAACTCGGGAAGGAGCGGTCTGCTGCGCCACGATCACATAACAGACCTATACCCAAAATTTGAGGCACGCTGTGAGGCACCTCTCCCATAGTTGCGTTTTTGGGTGCAAATCTTTGTAGATGTAGAGCAGGCAACAGGAAGGGCGCAGAGTAGCCTCCTACCCAAATCGGGCTGTGTACCTATGCAGGTATGGAACTGGGAAAAGCGGGCCTGACTGCGCCTCCACACCTCGACATCCGTTCACATTGCTACTCAGCAGCTGGAACATGCGAGGTACGAACCAACATTCCGCTGCGTATGACTGCTTGACTCGCGCACCAGGTTTCTCACAATAACGTGCATGAAGCCCACCTCTGTCTCGCATTGCTGTAAATATAGAAGACAATCCCATGTGCCAAAGTAAGAACCACGCTCACCGCGCGCTAGATCGATTACACCCAGTGAGCAATGGCTTTTCTTGCAGACCCCATATTTCTAGTTTGTTTAAATCCTAATGAGATCAATATGCCATGCATATCGCTGATCAATTTAATGACGACCATCTTGGTTGACACAGGTCTTGGTATGGACATGCTTTTTCCAAGAGCCACCCGGCTTTTGCACATGTTCAACTAGGCCATGAGGATCAGACGACACTATACTATCGCCACAGCACACTGCGCTCATCTTTCGCGTTAACCCAAACATACTCGGTACACCTTGGGTTGCTCTTCTGTTTCCCAAGCGTGACAGCAAAGAGATTGATCTCTATCCATGCAGGCCTCATACCCATTCTCTCCAGCCTTTCCCACCACTTCCTGAACCTCTCAAAATCGACTTTATCCGTAATGTCTCCATTACCAAGATGCAGCTCGATCATAACCTGCCCAATGGGCAATACACTCTTGCCGCTTGCGCTCTGGACACCATCGAAAGCATCCATGAAGGTGTCGAGCGCATCGTATTCGCTGCCCTCGATGTCGATTTTAAGAATGTCAATGTACGTGTGGTTATTCGCTTTCATTAGTTCCGGCAGTGTCCAGAACGCTGGTGATGCATCATGCTTGTCCTCATTACCGAGCCCAACTTTCTGGAAGAACGTGCGGTGTCGCTCGGATGTCGGAATCTGCTTTCCCCAGCCCTCGACCGAGAAGTCATAGCCCCAAATACGCGCGCTGGGTACACGTTCGAGCATCTCGGCTTCAAACGACGACTCGCCGTTGATGCCAAAGCTGTAGATCATAAGACCTTGCTCGGCGGCTTGGATGGCTGCTTCACGCACTTCGACAGCTTCGGCACTAATGGGTTTCGGGGCCGGTATGCTCTCATATATGCTCATACCACAGACCCATTTGCCGCCATCGCCAAGACGACCTACGCGCTGGAAATCGTGTGGACATGTCCAGGTTGCAGGGAAGAAGTCCCATACTGTGAATGGGTACTTCAAGAAGTCGGTCGGGAAGAAAGGAACCTTTGGGTTTGCTGGGTGCGATGCGGCCATCTTCTCGCGCAGCTCAACACTCTTCTTCCACGATTTTTCTGAGAGCGCCATGCGTTCGCGCAGCCATGTAGAGGGATAGGAGGGGAGCTTCGATGTTGATGAGAGGGAGGGTAGGAAGGCGTATGTCCCAGCGCTGTTGTTCTGGAAAAGGGCTACAACGAAAAGAAAGATGATTGCTATAGCGGCCACTCGACCTGTTCGCGAGTATTAGTTGTGCCGTCACGACATGACGTTCAGTCAACTTACCTGTCGATGACCTAATCATGATGATAATGAATTACAAGAATGAAAGTAAGAGAGCAATACAGGGGTATCAAGGCAATATTGTGCATGTGTAGACTCAAGTGTTGAACGAGTCTGTGAACGAAGGTCGAGGATGTTGGTCGCAGCAATAGCAGCACGGGAGCTTCGATCAGGTCATTGGAACCTCGGGCTCGGGCAGATACCACATACTGCCAAGTGCAGAAGACAGCAGGAGACATCGGCGGGACCTGTATCTGCGACTTGCAAGGTATCGCCAAGTCACCCTGACATCCATGGCCAGGGTACATACTGCGCCGTTGGCGAGCGGTACGATGCGGTATTAGATCGACCCCACCGAGAGGACTGGTGCGACGGATGCCGAGCACTCATGCTCTCCAGTCTCCGTGCGAGGTTGAGCCTTGTAGTTGGTTAACGTTCCAGGCGGTGGTCATGCTCGGTTTCCGAACAGCGGGGAACGGTGGGCCGTTGGACCCCACAGCCGCGTTTCATGCAACGGGATCGGCAGAGTTACGCGTCTCTCGCGACACGCTTCTGGAAGGCGCTGCGACTGTTTTGACGTCACGAACACGTGCAAGGTGGTGAGATGTGGAGGTGAATATATGGTCATTTGACAGGCTAATTCCGGCAGTTCAGATTGAGAGCCAATTTTCCGCCTCACGATAGAATCTTGTGCACAACAAGCGCTGCCACCAACAACAGACCACTGCATGTTGTAAACACTGCATCGCGATGTGATTCGCCTAACTGGATTAGCTATGTTTGTGTCCGCGTCAAAGGCTTAGGTATGCTTACCTTCTGTAGTAGTGCTCAAGGCAAGTACAACAAACGCGTTCAGTGGAATGCGCAGTACTGTGTACACACTTGCTCGTGAGCTGTCGTCGATGAGCTTGCCCTTAATCGACGCCATGACTGGGTAGTAGACACCACAGCAGAGTTCAAAAATGCAGAAACACCACAGTGTGAGACGCTCATCGCGGAAGTGGCCTGGAACAAAGAAGCATGCAGATGCAACTACCAAAGTTCCCATGAGTACCTGCTTTGCTGGGAAAGTTGAAGATGTGTTCGTGATGTTGTTGTACAGCATTGAACCGAGCATCATGGAGCACATGAGTATCGCAAAGATCAGTCCGAACGGAAGATCTGTGGGATGGTCAGCAAAATCCTGAAAGAGGCGAAAGTGCGAGAGCATACCATCGTCTCCACCCGCAAGCTTGTGCGACAATTTCAAAGCCGGGAATTTGAAGAAGATGAACAGAAACAGTGAGCCCTCAAAAAAACACGATACCAAGGCCAGGACGAGTATGTTCGTATCTGCTGGGCGTCAGTACTTCCACATTAAACGACTCTTCTCTCGTTTTACCTCTAAAGATGTATCTGAGCGTTGACTTGGTGGTATTTACAGCTGACTCTGCCTCTTCTTGCTGAAGTAGCGCCGCATTTTCGGACGCACCACGACGGCTTGCACCATAATTCTCGCCCTAGAAGTGTCAGGTTCCTTTCGAAGGTCGTGGATGTTTGGGTCCACTTACCCAGAACCTCGAGATCGCAGCAAATGCTACACACAAACATCCAATTGAAGCCAAAAAGGGTGCTTTGGCAGTTCCTACCAGCCCGACCAACCACTCAGCCAATATGCCCGCGCAGATCGCTACAAGACTGTTCAAGATAGTCATTGCGCTGAAGATACCGCTGAGCACTGCATTTGTATCCTCGAGCATGAGTTGATTGAACTCTGCGACTAGCCAGCTCTCGAACACACTCCAAAGCAAAGTTCCGCAGATTCCTCCGAGCACACGGCCTAAGAAAAGCACTCGGATGTCGTCGGCAAGCAAAGTGAAGCTAGACAATGAGTATAGAATGCAATATGCCAAACACGCTGTCCGGCGACCGTAGCGATCCGCAAACGTTCCGGCGAACGAGGCCGATATGCCTGCTGATACGAATCCGATAAGGAAGAGGAACGCCACTGTCTCTTCTGAGAGACCCTTCTCATCTGGATGGTGTCAGCAGCTTTTTGTGATGGCAAATGTTGCCAGTCGTACCTTTGTAGATCGGATAGATGTATGGACCTTGCAGCCAGTCGGCAGCGTTAACTAACAGGTATATGGGGAAAAATCGCCATTTCAACTTGCGCAGACTGTCTCTTTCCGACTCTATGCCCGCTCGATGTTCGATCTTCTCTGGGGTCAAAGAGTCCACGCTTTCGGTCTTATGCGATCGGTATGTTTGAATAAGTACTAAGCTGTTCAATAGCAGCGAGCCTGCAAATGTTGCCCGGTAGAGGTCCATTGTATAAGTGTAGTAGAGATCGAAAACAACGGCAAACCATGTAACGGTCTGCGCATATGACTATGGGTATGGCGATGGTAACGATAGCTTCGGGGCGGAAGTTGTTGAATTGCTTCGGAGCAATCACAGGAAATAACTTTGAGGATAGATGCTTGATGGAGTTGAATCAAAGGTCTCCACATACGCGATGCAGTTGGATGCAGGTATGGTCTCAAACTCGAATGATGATAAGCACTGCTGGTCGCTTTCGGTTTTACCAGCAGATGAACAGTGGGCGTGTTACGGACTGACAACAAGGCACCGTAGCCTAGCAGCTGATACGAGGTCCGCCGAGCACTATGTCACGAAAGATGACAGCTTGGCTGCTTGCGCGTACTCGAGCCGGCACTTGCTGTGTTTCCGAAATGTGGAGCCTAGGTTGGAGGTGGATTTGGCCTCTCACGTTGCAGAATAAACGGCAGACTAAAGATATTCATCCGTGGCAGTAGAGTAGAGGGGATACACAAAAACCCTATAGATTGTCTTTTTACTTACAAGTTAGGTAATGCTTGACAAGATTTGTGTATTGAGCATCGTAGTAGGTATAAGTTCTGTATTGAGGTTGGCCAGCTTGAAGGTCGCTTATCCGCCGTGTCTTCTGAAACCTGAGAGCCGGCCTTGTAGGTAATTGCAGCCGAGCGCTGGTCGCTTGTCACAGCCCAGTCAAACGCAGTGGCCCAGTGCCTTATCTTCCGTCAGGGGATCCGATGTCCATGGTATCCGACATGCATGTTCAGGGGTTGCGCGAGATGCATTGGCTCTTGGATGCGGTCCGATCGCCGGCTTACTCCCCGCGGCTTTGTCCCCCTCTGAACGCCAGCAGTACCTCTATAGCAAGAAGGCAGTGAGGCAATTGCTTCACAAGTCGCACGACTAGATGTGCGTACCTCAACCACTTAGTGTGTACGGTGATAGCAACTGTGTAAGCGTTGGAGAGCCACGAGTTAGGTAGTTTCGCGCTTGCAGTGATGACGTAGGTAACCCACGTTAGTTCCGCCGCTCAGCTGCGACGTTTTTCTGCAACACTCACTACATAGAGGCCTCACATTCTTACTACTCTTGGATCGTTCGTATCATAAGGTCTTTTCTTTGGGCATACCTTGAGAACCTAAGCGGACTTTGAAGCATGCGCGCTGTTCTGTTGGATCGCATCAAGTACCTATATCTTTACTTATGTGGAAGCCCCAAGGACTGGTACTTGGAAATACGACATCGTTTGCTCGATCATTTGACAGAGCTCTTGCGCTGTCCAGAGATGTGCCATATTGGTCCGTTCAATTCCCACTAGGTTCCACTCGAGATACATACTTTCTTTCGCAAAATCAGCGCGCCTTCCATCTCAAGATTGCGAGCTCTACAGCTACCTAGACTTCTGGGCTGTCTACAGTGACCGTACGTACGTACCTACGCACGCCTCAGTAATTCTAACGCCACAGGAATGTTATGGGCATATGTCTGGATCCTATCTTTTGAACGAGACGATGACGTTCATGCTTGCTCATCGCGAAAATGGTGTAACGCAGTCAGGCATCATCTTTCCTAGGAAAGCGCTAAGCTGGTTCATTCTAGAGTTGTTCAGTCGAACAGCTGAGCAGGCATGATAACTTGGCCGATGACACCGGCAATGCGAAGCTGGACCTTAGGCGACTTTAGATATCTTAAAGCCGCCAGGAACGAGCTTCTGAAATATGCCTTGGGGGTCATACTTTTGCGCAGCAGCCTTCATCTTCTCGACATTCTCCACTCCATACCCTACTAAAGGATCTTGGGTCATGTCTGCGTAGTCGAGGTACAGATATGGGTTATCGGCACCGATGCTGACCGCGTAGGTACGAATCCTGTTGATAAGGTCTGCACCGGCTTGCTGGAAGAGCTCATTTTGTGCAGCGCCTTGCCAGGACATATAAGGCTGATACACTACGAGGTGGTGAGCACGATGAAAATTTGGCCTTTACCAGTCGACACTTACAACATAGCGTCTGGCCATTGAATCGCTCCAGCCCAAGAACATTTCCACCTCGCGCAGCGCTGTCCTTCCAATATGCCGGTGCAAGAGGCTGATACAAGATGTATATCTGCCACTCACCCGTCACCTTCGTTTTCAAGTTGGCAACCACTTCCAAATAGATCTTGTGAGCCTCAACCATCACACGTAGATCGTTGGCGAAAGTCAAGGTTCCGAAGTGAACGCTCATCGTGGTCGGTGCAGCGAGAGCGGCCGCAAGACTAGACATGTCTGTTAGGGCGGTGGTGTCGGACATGTTACCAGGGATCGCAAGGAAGTCGTTGTAAGCCGAAGGACGTACAACAGGCTCAGCATGATCATAGGCATTCAAGATCAGGTGGTTGTCGATGCTCGACGAGTAGAAAGGCATTACGATGACAGCCGACTTGGGATTTTCGTTCATGTTGTCGGCAAAGTTGACAAGCGCCTTGAACTGGTCTTGAATAGTGGCTTCTGGATAGCTGACAAGACCGCCCCACATGCCAGCGTATGCAAACGTTCGGAATTTGAATTGAGTAACGATTCCAAAGTTATTGTTTCCACCTTTCAGGACGGTGAAGAGATCAGGGTTGTGGGTCTTGCTGGCGGTGACTATGTTGCCATCAGCGAGCACAACCTCGAACTCCAGAACGTTATCGCATATTAGGCCATGTTCCGGGGAAAAGTACGAGATGCCACCGCCGAGCGTCAGTCCGCCGACGCCAACAGTGGATGATCGGCCACCAGTCGTAATAACACCCAAAGGCTCAAGGGCTGTGAACACGTCATTCCACCTAGCACCGGGACCAACCTCCACAAAGTTGCTTTCAGCATCGTACCGAACGATACTGATGTACTGTAAATCGATGGTCACACCATCCTTAATATTAGACGCACCAGCATACGGCGTGTGCCCACCACTACGAATCGCAAATTCGCAGGGTTCTGAAAAGGAGGTAAGAGTCTTAACTGCGATGGAAACATCATTTGCGTTCCTGGGTTGAACGATACAGTTTGGTGTTATCGACTGCTGCTTGATATCAAAGTATGACTCAAGACTAGCATTGTACGCTGTCTGGCCCGGATAGTGAAGGTAGGATTCCAGGGAAGTGCGAGCCAAAGAGGCACACTACACTTGATCAGTCACCGAATAAAAGCTGGAAATAATGAATGCTCTACATACGCAAGAGTCTCTCTCGTTATGGACACCCGCCCATAGTGCAAGAGCTGCAGCAAATGACGCAGATATGAACCCAGCCATCTTGAATGACCAGGATCCAGGCACCACAGTGGGATGGGACAAGAGTAAGTGGCGATGCGACAACGGTTATACCTACAGCTTCCGCAAAAAGGCCCGTCTACAACAGCCGCGCAACCTCCCCACTGGGGGCAAGCTAGCAAGGTGGGACTACTCTACATCAGGGCCCAGCCGCGCTCGTTACTGGCCGCCATGCTTTTGCTACTCCCGTGCAAATTAGCGTGTGAATTCTGCTTCATTGGCTGGAAGAGGCCGTTGGTTCAACAGGCTGTGGCGGAGTAATAAGATTCTTGATTGGAAGAAAACCCTCGAGTCAAAGAGTTGGTGACCCTGCCTGGAGACAAGTCATCGGTTTTGGAACGAGTGGGTCGAGCCATGGGTCGGCGCAGGCGCATTGTCCACCTGCAACGCTCTAAGCAGTAATGTCGCCGGGCCGTGCCAGATTGCACCCGCATTTCCTTAAACATATTCGAAGAGCACTACAAGATTACAGGTCGAGCGTGATTGAAGAGAGGGTCCCTACATTTCTGACTTTAGGGGTCGTGGCGCCATAAGAGGCCATTTCTATGCGGCTACTGCATAGGTACCACAAGCAGAACAACCATGACAAATGCTTATAAAGCAAAGTTTCTCTTCTAGTCTGAGTTTTTAGCAGTCATGAATGGTGTTGAGGTGTTCACTGTATGAATTCCTCGCTGTATCTCTGACCATCTCACCAGCCAGAACGTGCACATCACGGCGATGGACCACATTCTGTATCCAATGGCGATGTTTTTGACCTTGGATAGCCACGGCGCGTAGGTCGTGTTACAGATGTCTGAGTCGATCTCACCAGTATAGATCTAGTGAAAACATTCTTACGCATCAGGTCGTACACCAAAGTATCCCTCGTGCGATACTCTACCGATACGGATGTGCCTGGAGACCGAGGAAGAATTACCAACACAACACGAGAGCCTTACTGGTTGCATAGGTAAGTGAAACCGTACCTGCAGGGTACGATACATAGAACAGTGCTCTTAACCTCGTATAGGGTGACAGTAGTGTTTCCCTTTCAAATCGTCACCTCGTGTTGGTCACCTGTTTCGGGTACTCGAACACATCTGGTTTGAATCGTCTCAGCTTAGCCTACGCTTAAACTCACCAACTTCATGTCTCCAGCAATTACTGCTAGGCGGGCAGGCAGTGTGCGGGGTGTGGCTATGATCCGTTCCGCAGCGTCCCACTATCCGGAGATCCACATCCTTCCAACTGACTCGCATTGTTCGCAACACGTTTTATAAATAATACCTGACTGTGTTAAATTCTTATATAGGTTGTGCTGGGACGTGCGGGGGCAAGAAAAATTAACCTTGAGTTGCTTTGCTCGTCAGATCCTAATTTATAGGGAGTCAGCGGTTGTTAGGGTTGTATTTTTGAATCACGGATATCGTGTATTAAAGCCAACTGTCAACAGCTGAATTTAGGTTTGCATAAACTTCGCAAGCTTTAATTACTACAAATTAACATAAACAACGTACATGCCACCTCTTTTTAATTAGGTAAGTCTGCTCCTAGTTGTGATGCAATTCGAACTTGTAGCCCTTTACCCATAAATGCCATTGTTAATGCAAGCACGGCAAAGGTTTGAACACTTCTAAGAACACAGGCACAGATGCTACTAGAGGCCCGTAGATGAGGGCATACATATTTGTTCTTCTAAAGCAACAGCTTGAATTCACGCACGAGAGACGTTAGACCCACACGCATGCATCGCAGACCTTGCATCATGGGCAGCACAGACAAGATACAAGACTCGCTGCTGGCAGATAGACTGAATGTACTTCCGTAGACACCGATAGTGTACATCGGTCAAGCTCAACTGTGATGCTTGGCCTGGTATCTGCAAGCCGCACCTCCTGACGATTGCGTACCTAGGTAGCTTCATCAGTCAGCCAGAGTTTTAGACCACATGCACGTATCGTGTACTTTCGGTGAACATGAAGTACGTCCAGTCTAAAGGAGCATGTCATTCCATCGGAGTGCAACCAATTCTAAACTAGAATCGCGGTCAGCGCTTACGCAACATATATCGCAACCTGAGTGCGTAAGAAATTGGGTTGTGTCGTTCAAAAGGACATAATCTGGAGGACCTCAATTTCCGGCATCTTTCCGTAACAATGTTACACTCTACATGTTGTGCTGAGCCGCGCAGTTTTTTTGTCTGTTCTGTTTCCCTTTGTGCGTCTGAACACTTCCGTTCGGACCAATCGACGGCAAACGCGGAGATCTTGTTTGTCCCTTGACATGCCTCGACATCCACGTCTGGAGCCATCCGAACTTCATTATCACGAATGCTCATAAACGCTAGTGTATCTTCTCATCATCCATGTACCGCTCGAAGCCAGAGGTGGAGCTGGCAACTAGAATGTCAAACTCTCTCCGAGTAGCATGAATCCCAACCTTGTATGGCCACGACTCTATGATGGTGTGCTTGCTCTTGATTTTTGAACTACTGGCTCAAGCTACCTTGGTTGTTATTTCAGATTCCGTGAATTCATCGAAGACGCCATTGAGGGTTGTCAGAACATCGCAGCAGGATTCACGACGTACGAGGTCGGGGTGAGCGTAGCCAGCTCACGTTGACCATGAGCTGTCCAGCGACAGGTATTCTCGGGTGCGCTGCATGGCCGAGAGTATCCGATCTACCTTGCTAGAATCGTTGCCGAAGTGCTCGATCTGCTTCGCTGCATTGAGAAACAGCATCAGCATCGACGCCTTCGGGTTTGCCCTCTTATCTTTCAGAAGGCATGAGAAGACTTTCAAACGAGGCATACGGGCCAACGTATCCCCGATCGCAGATATTGGAGATCTAAAGATGTTAGCTTCGAGAAGGTGAAGAAAGAAAAAAAAAAAAAAGGGGGGGGGGGGGGGGGGGGGACCGCCACAAACCTCAATGCGATCGAAGCGCCTAGTACCGTTGTGTCCGGTGATGTTGAGAGCACTGGTACACGACAGCTCGAACGAGATACTTGTATCTTGCACGCGCTCACCGAACTTGAAGAGTAGGTCACGAAGCATTGAGAAGATGGCTCCGAAAGTGGCGGCTTTGGCAGTCAGGGTATGCTTGCTGTGGTCTGCATGACTCCATTCATCCCGAGGACTTGCACTGTCCGTCATAGGCCAGTCGCGGGTCTGGAAGAAAGTACTGGCAAATAGTCAGTTTGATCTAACCATTATCGTCTATCAAACTACCGACGGGTTGGACGTGTCGAGAACACTAATCGGGCACCCGTAGGGCAAAAGAACGCCCAGTTCACGATAATGCTGCTCGCCCTGACGAAGTGCCGGAGACCACTGCACCATAGCACGCTCACGAAAATCCACCCTAGAGGGAGCCAGAGTGATGTCGCGACGGAGCGCCTGAGCTTCTTCGGCAGTAAGACCTTCTGGAGCCTGGAAGTAGGTAACCAAGCGTGACCATTGTTCTTTCTTTAGCACAAGACGTACAGAGCGGCCTCGGATGCTGAAGTCTTCGCCTGTGTTGAGTCGTGCGGCTTGTTCGTAATCTTGTTGCAGACGTCTCCGATCAGAGGCAAAATGTCGGTCTGAAGAGATCGTACCATCGCAGAGGGCAGCAAGACTGAATACCAGACGAGAGTGATGACGGGATTTGCGACTTCTGCATCGGGGAAGAGCGACAAGCAGCATGATAGCATTCCTAGCGACGATGGCGAAGTCCGTGTCGTTGACGACAACATCGCATTTGCCCTTGTGAGCTGCAGGAATACTTGCGATAGTCTCGATTACGTTGCGGAGATCGCCAGACACCGCGAAGAAAAGTGTAACATCACGCTGGCGATCATCTCCTCCTTCGTTGTCATTGACGATTAGAATATCCCCCACAGGCATATTGCCCCACAAGTACTTTTTCCTTCCAAATTTGATAAGAGGTAGTCCCTTGCCCATGAAGGCCGGCACGAGGTTCTCACGGTGCCATGCTGGTGTCCAGGAAGCATCCATGAGGGCAGACTTACAGGTGACCTTGTGACGAGACCAGTCTGTCTTCTGGCAGTCCTCTGAGCAGTATCAATGGCTTAGTACAAATCATTGCCAATAAACTCCACACATAACTGGACGAGCTGGCAGCCGCCGCAAGCGTTGCCGGCGTCATTTGTGCACTGCGTGGCTCCTTCATCGGTGCTGTACTGATTGGCGCAAAGCGCGGGCTTGAGGAAGCTGGACAGGTCGAATGTGGCAGGCGCCATGGAATCAAGGTGAGAAAGCGACAACAGAGAGCAGAAGTCATAAGCAAGAGAAATTCCGCGGGAAAGGCTAGCAAGCAAACAGCAAGTGGGGTGAAGGTGAAGGGGATATCTTTGGAGCATGGGAAACGGGGCAAAATCTGACGAATCAAGCGGCTGGTAGGTTAATGTAATGAAACGTTTGCTGTCAACGACATAGAGTACTTCGAGACGCACCTACATCGTGTTAGAGCAGGCAAAAGAAGTATCCGGACCACCCTGCGAGCCGCGAGCTTGCGATACAGCGAGCATGCCATTGCCGTGCGTCCTGCGAAAGCTCCGTGAGTGCGTGATACTGTGGAGCAGAACCGTCCTGCGAGACCGGCTACGGATACTGAGATGGAGCCGGTTGTGGTGTTGGAGGGAAAGGACCGCGGCCCGTCTCGAGGGGCATAGCTGCCGTCATCCGTCATCACAAGCCTGCCAAACTGGGTCCACCTCCGCGGCGGCGCCATGTTTCTCCTACAGCAGTAGCAACGCTCCACCCACGCCCCATGAGAGCGCGAGACCACCAGCTCCATGTCCGAGTCTGGAAAGGCTGAGCCGCCGCGCCAGCCGTCACCGAGCGACGCGCCCAGCAACCCCACGGCCGCCGCCGCCGACGATGCGCAGCCGCCGCAACACAGCAGCGAGCAGCGAGACGGCGCCGAACAGGTTGACTTCGCCAATCCCACGCTGAGCGTCATTGGCAATGCCTCGCGCAGCCCCTCGTACAGCGGCGCCACCTCGCCGTCCAGGGAAGGCACGCCGCCGCCGCTGCCCCCGCGGCCGCGACCGCAACTGGGCGTCCCTGCCTTTTCTCCACGGCCAGCTTCCTCGCACTCGGTCAGACACGCGCCGTCGCGGCCGCAGCTCGTCTCTAAGGCCACGACACAGCTCTCTTTCACCAACACCCAGGCCTTCGGCAGCGACCCGTGGGACGACTCAGCATCGCCGGCATCCTCGAAGCCACGCCACGTCCGCCCCCGCACGTCGTCCAACGCCCTGAGCGATGCTTCTGACAGCGCGAGCCTCCGCAGCTATGCGCCAACGATAGCCGAAGCGGGCGGTGAGAGCATTCTGGGCGAGGTCATGGGAGCGACCGAGAAATCGAAGCAGGAGGAGACGCTCCTGCGCGCACTGGGACACAGATTCGAGGACTCGGAGGCACAGAGCATGTTCCCGCCCGACCCCGCTTTTGAGTCGTCTTTCGACAGCGAGTTCGAAGACGTAGACGACATGGCAGCAGACGGGTCAAACGAAGGTAAGATTGGCCGACACTGTCGATGCGACGGCCGTGCTGATGTGGAGGATAGAACAAGTCATGCGCCAATGGCGAGCCAAGCTCAAGCACTTCCTGATCCTCTCGAGCGCAGGGAAGCCCATCTACAGTCGTCACGGTGACGACCAGCTGATCACGAACTATATTGGCGTTGTGCAGACCATCATCTCCTTCTACCAGTCCACGAAAGACACCCTGCGTGGCTTTACAGCAGGCGACGTCCGCTTCGTCGTCATGTCAAAGGGCCCGCTGAATCTTGTCGCAATCACACGCCTGGCTGAGAGCGATGCTCAGCTGCGCACCCAACTCGAAGCCTTGTACATGCAGATCCTCTCTACACTCACACTCCCTAGTATGGAACGCATGTTCGCAGCACGCGCCAACTACGACCTACGGCGACCTTTGCAAGGCACCGAGACGCTCTTGTCTGCACTCGCAGACGGCTTTACAAGAGGCTCACCTTCGACGTTGCTCTCAGCACTCGAGTGCCTAAAGCTACGCAAGTCCCACCGCAACACCATCAACAACACTCTCCTCAAGACGCGCTCCGATCATCTGCTCTACGGTCTCATCGTTGCGTCGGGCAAGCTGGTGTCCGTTGTACGGCCGAAGAAACACTCCTTGCACCCTGGCGATCTGCATCTGATTTTCAATATGCTATTCGAAGCAGGCAGCGTCAAGGCTGGAGGCGGTGAGAACTGGATACCCCTGTGTCTGCCCGGGTTTAACAATACTGGGTATCTGTACATGTATGTGAGCTTTTTGAATCTGCAGAATCCTGGCGAGCAGATGGAAGAACGCCCAAGGACGAGAGACGGCGGTGAGGATGAGGTTGCCGTTCTGCTGATCAGCGCGGACAAGGAGAGCTTCTTCGAGATGAGAAGAATGCGAGACAATCTGGTCGAGGTATGTACACCCTTTTTACTTGGTTGCGCTTTTTATTGGTCTTTCCCGCTTCAAGTGTATTCTACGACCCAAAGCCCGGACCTAGACAATCTCTCGACGATGAGATGCGTTCGCAGAACGTCGAACATTGGGGATCAAGCAGTACTTCGAGCAAGCTCAATCCCTTAGCTTGTGTGTGATGCCTTACAAATGGGGTCTGCGCAATGTTCTCATGACCTACCTGAACGTTAAGAGTCATCTGCTCTAATGTTGTTCAACGGCCCTTTTCGTACGAGCCAGCCGCGACGTCTCGCAGCAACCAGGATCTACCTGTTCTATGGACGGCCCATCACACGCGGCAAGATCCACACGTTTCGTTACAAAAGTCTCCCTATTCAACTCATACCAAAGCACCCCTGGACGACCTGGACGCGGGATCGGGATCGGTCCTGCTTGAACCTTGTCGAGCATCGGTAGTGGAAAATGCCGCAAGCGCGGAGCACGGCTTTCACTCGGACGAATCGCCGTTGTACAGCGCGGGTCTCGGACTGGTCGGACTCCGACTCTCCAGCACCTCGAGGGATGCGCGCCCGGTTCTGTCCCGTCTTTCCCTGCCGCTCATAACAGCGCAGCGCAGAGTTGCTCCGCGTGCCGGACATGATTAGTTAACATCCGTTCACACAGGAACCAGCTGACATGACACCACCAGGCACTTGCAGCAAACAAATCCATCACACACATCTCTGCCGCCGTGCATGCTGGCCGTCCATCGTGCACCGACATCGTGCCAGGCAGTCCAGTACGGCATTTCCTCTATAAGTCAAGGGGGAATGTGCAGTTCTGCATGCCAAGCTACACTCCCTACTTCTCCAGCCCACTCGACCGCAGGCATCTATTAACGCTATACGCGCATTTACACTCTACATTGCATGCGCGACCTACAAGTTTGAAGATTCACCATGAGACGGGCTCGAGCTGCATAGCGCTCGCGTGGAGCACGCCGCTCTTTGAGCTGTTTGCTGTGGCGCCGCCGAATACGTCGAGAGCTGCGCTGGCGCAGGGAGCCATGAAAATCGTGCAGTGGGTCAGGAGGGAGGAGGAGAGGGTGTTTATCATAGGTGGAGCGGTGTTTTAAGAGGAAGATGGAGGTGGATCGATAGTGATACCCGAGTATATACGTACAGTGCGATTCTGAAGCCGCGCTCGTATTCGCTCTTCCATGTCAATTCATTGTCCACGCGTGACAACATGCTGATGACGAGGGGTTCAGTACCTGCAGGTCTCTATGAATCTTTGAGGCAACCGAAGGAACATGGCTAAACTCAAAGATCAATGCCCTGGGACACGATTTCACCTTGAACTCCATGACCATCTTCGTGTATAAATGCATTGAAGCCAATCCGTCGTCTATCTATAACTCCGTGTATTGCTCTTGACCAACCGCACGACACAGGCACGCTATGCAGAAACGCAAATCGCAAACGAACAGAAACCCCCTTACCGGTGCTCAAAAGGGCCAAAAGCAGGCCACCAGCCACACAGCGGCATACAGCAAGAGGAAAAACACGAGCACTGAAAGGCAAGATGCGTCGCAGCAGTGCACCAAGGACGAGCACGCCGACTCTCCTGGCGGCGAGGAAGGGTTCTCTCCGTGGTATCGAGGGCGTCGGTCGAACAGGGGGTGGCGGAGGGGTTGGTATCCGAGGAGGGGCTGTCGCTCGAGAGGAGGATGCAGTGTTTCTTGCGAGCCGGCTGAATGGATTGAGATGGCGCCGTCATGGCGAAGTGTCGATTCGCTGCCACTTCCACTGCCACTGTCGTTCCCGCTATCACCGATACCATCATGGTCATTCTGTCGAATGCCCGTTGTGACAAGTTTGCTGAAGCTAAAGGAAGAAGCGCCCTCCATCAAATTGTTGAGATACAGCATGTTATCGTCAACCTAGAAGCAAGACAAGTTAATCAGAATGCTGGGCTCATTCGAAATCGGCGCCACTGAGTTCAGCTTCGAGCTTTGCACGCTCTTCAGCATCACTCACAAAAGAAGCATCCGTAACACCGTCCGTATTGCTCTTCTGTCTCTTGAGCGCCGGTTCCTCGTCACTGGAATTGGCTGAGATGCCCAGTCGACTCGCTTCGTCGGGGTTTGAGCTGACCCAGCGCTCGCGCCACTGTTCACGAAGGGTATCGTAAATGAAAACAAACTGCTGTTTTGACTGCACCATCATAGGCCGCTGATCCCTGAGCATCTCGACGACCCTGAAGACAGGGTCGTCGTCGTCAGCCAGGGAGTCCAGCGAGCCCTCATCGAGCTCTTGTATGAGCCAGTCAAGAGCAATGAAGGTGCCGCTTCTACCAATGCCTGCGCTGCAATGTACGATGCGGGGATTTGTCGAGTTGTCCGAGTTTTTCTGGCGTGAAAGTTCCACCATTTTCAGCAAAGCTGACTTATCCGCGCCTTCAGGAACTGAGAAGTCTGGCCAGCCTTCGAAGAGCAGATGCCAAATCTTACGCGATTCGCTTCCATCTTCGGTTGTCAAGTCGATCTCCCTGACTTCGGTCCGAGCGTCCGGATCGTGGGATAATTCCTTCAGGTGCAGATTGTGTATGAATCCGTCGCCGAACTCATCATGTTCGTTGATGCGCAGGTCTGGATCTGCTGTCGATCGAGGGAAATAAGGGTAGCACTTTTCACGGGCCTGTTCGTGGGTTTTGGTGACCATGACAATGACTGCTGGCGACTCGTTCTGCTGCCAGATCATGCGCCAGAAATGCGACCAACTGTCAGCCTTGGGTCCCTGGGTTGCAATGTACTTCAAGACTGTGCCCGACTTGGTTGACTTGAGGTCAATGGGCGAAGCGTTGATGTAGTCGAATGCATCCTCTGGAACGTCCAGGTGCACTCTGTTCGCCTGGTACGGGTCGACGTTGACGTAGCGATTTCGGGGAGCGTAGGCGTCGCCGCTGCAACGCGCCCACTGGGGAGGCTGTTCGGTATCGGTCACGGCCATGCTGTCCCGGAGGCGGTTCATCTGGGCCCACTCCAGATCGTTCCATTTGGCATCAAGGGCGGCTGTATGGAGTTAGCGAGTCTGCCACTAACAACACAAAGGTCGAGTGTACCTGCCTGCTCTTCTCGGCCTCAGGAAGGCGGGATAGGGGGTAGGGTCCAGGTCCTGGTCGCCATTGGGATTCGACTCGATGTGCAAGGCAGGCAGGAGGTTGTGGGTGCTCACTGCAGGGGTGCTGAAGGTGGTGCTCGCGGCGGGAGTGCTGAGCGAGGCGTGTGTGGCGGATCGCGTGCTGTCCTTGCTGCGCGAGCGCTTCGACGATGCTGGCGAGACGGGGACGGAGTTGGGGGCGGACATGACGCCCGTGACGAGCGGGTCGGTCCTGAGGAACCCGCCCTTGAGCTTCGCCTTGCGCCTGAGCGCGCGGAGTTTCTGCAGCGTGACGGAGTTGCTGGGCGTGTCCAGGCGCACTTGTGGTCCTGGTGCTCGAGCGGCAAGGAGGGTCCGGGGGGGGGGGAGGGGGAGGCAGCGGTGGACGGCAGGCGGCGCGCAGACACTGGCGCGCGAAACGACTCGCGGGTGGGCTCGAGGGTGAGGGTGAGCGGCTTGGGGGGGTGTTGCGTGACTCGCGACGGTCGAGGCGCCCCGCAAGTCCCAGCGACGGCAAGTGGGTGCAGTCGGTGTGGCTCCAGCGGCGAATATTTCGGGCGCGAAGACGCTATCGGCTGCTGGGTGGAGGGCACGACACAGACGGCGATGGCGCGGGGCAGTCCACGCCAGCTCCACGGCCACACAACTTGCCTGAAGATCACCAGGAACAAGCTCCGGCCGTGGGCTCGCGGGCGGAGGGGTCGCTGTCAGGCTGTCGGGCTGTCAGGGCGCGGGCTGGCCGGAGCGCTGCCGCGGCGGACTACCGAGCTACCGAGTGAGCGCTGGGCAGCCTGGTGACGGCGAATGCGAAGAGCGAATGCGAAGAGCGAGAGCGAGCAGTGACGATGGCAGCGATGGCAGCGATGGCAGCGATGGCACCTGGCAGCAAGTCTGGCGGCACCGCGGCACCGCGGCAATCCCAGGAATCCGAGCGGCGCAGTCAGCCGTCAACACGCAGAAGCCGCCGCTGTCAAGCGCAAGCACGCCTGCGCTGCTGCACAGCTGCTGCAGTTGCTGCAGGCAGACCCTGGTCCACTCGGACGAGCGCGCCTTCCCGCTGTCGCGCGCCACCGTTACTCCTCACTCAACCGCCACCCGGAGCGCACCACGACGCCCTCTGCCCGACGCCCTCTGCCTGACGCCCTCTGCTCGACACCCCGTGCTCATCACCCCATCTTTCCAAGGACCCCGTCATTGGATGTGAGCCTCTTGCTAGCAGTCCACCATGGCGCCCTGGTTCGCCCTCCTCGAGGTATGTCGGCTGCTTGGAACCGGCTGGAATATCAAACTGACAGCCGTTGCAGGCGTGGGCCGTCGCAGCAGTACGTCGACCGAGCCTTGGGGCTCAATTGCGCGCCGCCAACTGCTGACCCATACCCTCCCAGTTGATCCGCAGCCCCACGTTCAACCGCGCAATCCACAAAGCATACAAGAAGATCAACAGGATCCCCGATCATGAGCCAAAGAACGGCTTGGGCCGTACGTCTCCAGCAACCACCGCGAGTGCATCGTCGCTGACAGCATCAGGCACTGGTCCTTCGGCTTTCGACCACTTTAGAGACGAAGTCAAGACCCAGTTCAAGGACCTTACTTGGCAGAAACGAGACCCGCGCAAATGAAGCCCCCCATACCGTCCAGTCATCCTCCACTCCTTGTCTGCGTAGCGTTGGACCGATTGAAGCAGCGGCTGCGACATGCGTCATCAACCACGATAGCTTCTTCAGACCACAGACCCCACACGAGGATGCCCAATACTGGCAGAGCATGCACTGAAGCCGCATCGACGCTGTTCAACTAGGGTGGATGATGCATCTGCACGTCTCGAATACCCGGCTCCGCTTGAGCTAAGCTTGAGCTAGAAGCAGCCAGAGTCGTCATGGTATTTTGGTGTATATACGGGCACACGCCAGACTTTGGCACGTCACTATGTCAGGACGCTGCATACAGCTGTCTATTCAAACTGTGTAGGGACACATCGTCACATGAGAAAACACTCTGGAGTATAGCATTGGTCGAACAAGGAATCGTCATTTGTCTGTGACATAGAGCGTCGTCTTCGAATGGCATTCTGTAAGCCCTTCTCTCGCTACGACTTTGTCGTCGATTGCCTCTCGTATCGCTCTTTGTGTCGCTGCGCTTGCTCGTCTTCTCATCTTGCGTGTCTCGGTTTCGGCTGTTCTTCTTGTTTCCTAATCCCCCGAGTCGCTGCGCGCATTGCAATAAAACACTCAATGCAGAACGTGCCTGCCCAGGACCTGGTAAACCCCAAACCCATCTATTGGCAGAGGATGAGGGTCTATCATGATATACGAGGCATGACTCGGCGGTCAACGCAGCTGTAAGTGCCTCCTTTGAGTAGGTTCTCTTTTGAGTAGGTACTGTACGTAGTCGCCAAGGATTGCCTTGGTGCTGGACATCCACAGGAGCCCATTGGTCCATTGATTCATGACTCAGCAGTGAAGGTGGTGGGACACGTGTTTAGAGAACGATCGTGGTACCTGAGGGGAGTGTGCACTGTGCATGTCGTTGGCTTGGGGGTCTCAGAGCAACCATCAACGATTGGAATTCATGACGTAGCCACCCGTCGATAACGACAGGCTTTTCCTAGCCCATCGACTGGCCATGGTTACTGCGTCGCCGATGGGCTGTTCAGCAATATGCACCAACGATTAGGGGGGTACGGCAGCCACTCTTGATTGGTACCGCTGGGTAATATTGCTTGCAAGCAGCGAATTGCAGATAGTCTTTCGCCGACCTGAATCCTTCAAGTCTGTCGTCGGCGGTGCTCTGGTGCAGTCCAGCCTTGCACCAACAACCAATAGGGCCGGCCTCGGATCGCGGCTGGCGCGTGCTTCCGAATCCCTGTGCACATCATCGTCGAAACTTGCAAATCTGATTCCCGAAGATTTTCGGGAGATCGACGCATCGTAGTAAACGTGTTGTGCAACATCAGCTCGCCAAAGTTTCTACCGCACGTTCGGCAGCCTCTTTGAGGACATGCCGTTGCCCTAAAACAGCAGTATCGCAATGCACAACGGATGTACTGCGGATATGGTGAGCTGGTCCACAGCACCTAGTGATTAAGGGTTTTTGCAACGCGCTGTGTATTGGGAAACATAGAAGACTATGTGTCTCATGGCTTCCTGCACGCATGTCGTGCTGTATACCCTGTATAGAAGATGCCACTACTGCACCAGGAGACCCACGTCATCACGCATAGCTTTTGGGACTTTCTTGCGAAGGATTCATACAAGCACACTCATCTTGTTGGTATAGTCTTGGGAGGTCTACCGAGATTGCTAGGCTTCATGGAGGAGCGGCGAAGGCTGTTGACTGGCCTGCAGCAGAGCATTTCTGTACTTCGAGCCGCATCAAAAATTCAGAGTGTGGCGAGAAGAGGAGTAACAGTTGGACTTCATACAGACAATTGTCTTACTTGGCAAATGCGATGAAACCCGTATTGCCTGTGATCCCTCTCAGCGCTCTGTGGCTAGAGGCAGCATAATTCTTATATTACGCTCGTACTACTATCTTACACAAAACAGCCTGATGTATTTTGTCATGTTCAAACACTGCGATTATAGTCAAGCGCTTCCTTCCGCGGCTAAGCATCGGCGATCAAGCAGCTTCGCTTACAGCTCCATGACACGATTCCGCACCTTCGATGCCGCCGTTGAACGTGGGATGAGGTTTCAATCCGATCTGGGTTGCCAGGATGCTGCCAAGACGTGGATAAATTATGTGGCCCCAGGGGAGCATGGTCCAGAAGTTACACCATGAAGTTTTCGACCTTTGCATATCTATGAGGCTGTAGGGCGAGCGCACAGGGCCACTAGTGCGAGGCGGTGGTGACGTAGCAGGTGAGATATTGGAGTACACGGGGTATACGGGGTAAAGGGTGATGAGGCCAGACACGGATCACCTGTAGGTGCATCCTCTGTGTGCGATTGTGAGGAGCCGCGTGGCGGGGCCCTTCATCTCTCCAGTCGGGAGACAAGTCTATACGAGAGACAGTAAGTCAACGCAAAGGGTCCGTGAGGTATCAAAATCAATCGATCCAATAGTGCTCGAGTAATAGGTAGAGAAGCCGGGGTATCGTGGGTTTCGGCGCTTTTCGGTACACCTGATAAGTGACTGTCAATGGGAGGGCAGGACGTTTATTTGGTACCTGGTGCCGGGGGAGCATGCATGCAGCAAGGCAAAACCTCTCGAGGGATGTTACAATGGGTTGGCCAGATCTTGCTGTATACACGCCACGCCGGCATAACCGACTTGGGTAGTAGACGTGGGTAGTGGAATACGATAGATCGGGCCTTGTATGGCACAATAGCCAGCCAACATCAGCCTCAACGGGGAGCAGATCTTGAGCCACTAGAACAGCTCACTACCTTCAATGAAAGGAACGAAGCGGATAAAATCGAACACAGATGGCTGCCGAGTCCGCAGATTCGGTCCTTCCACGATGTGTGAGTCTCGTTCTCATTCTGGAAATCATGCTTTGACGTCAAGTGTGACCGGGCAACGTAATTCGCGATCGTCCCCGTGGTCGATCAGAGCGCTGTTTGACCATAGCTAACCCGGTGTAATGGCATGATGCTCACTTCTAGGAAGCAGGATGAAGATAGAGGACAATATACGCTTACTTCATTTGTAGCTCTGATGCAGTCGAGTAGGTGTGATTACGCCGACCAGCCCCTGTATACAGTCTTGGCCCCGTATTTCTGCCCTTTCTTGAGGACCATCATGGCCTTGTACTCGGGAACGTTGATGGCGTTCACGTAACGACTAGGCTCGACGCAAAATCCTGAGCGTGCAGCCCTCGCCGGTACTCCTTCTACAGCTGGTACGTCAATGTACTTGCCAGTATAGAACTGGAAACCAGGCTCGGTGGAGTAAACCTCCAGGTGGATTTTGCTCTCTGGGTGGTACGCAGCTACAAGTTTTTGGAGAGGTGACGAACGGGTATCGATCGAAATGCTGCTCACGTCGGCATTTGCAACGAAGCAATCGTCGACATCTGGCTCTTTCTCTCCCAACGTGAATGTCTTGCCTGAGCTGATACCCGGGTACTCTTCAATGGGACCAGTGGGTATGCCACCATCGTCAACAACTTGATACTTGTTGGTGATCAATGTGATCTCGGTGCCAGCAATCGATGGCCTCCCAGTCAAATTAAAGTAGCTTCACAGGCATCAGCAGATTGCCAAATCATGGCGTTTGGCGACTTACCTGTGGTTCGTCATGTTGATGGCTGTTTCTTCAACTTCGTCACCGATCAACTCGGCTTCATACTCAATGTAAAGGACCTCCTGCTGAGCGCCATTGACTTGCTCTTTCTTCTGCACATACCATACACTGACTTGTACGGTGCCAGGATACCCCTCTTCACCATCTTTGCTCAGATACTTGAAGAGAACTGCTTTCTCCCCATCACGCTCCACACTCACCGGACCTTCAAATTCATGCTTTCCCCAGCCCTGCTCACCGCCGTGCAGGGAGTTTGGCCCGTTGTTCACCGGAAGTTTGTATGACTTTCCGTTCAAGTCGTTGATCGTTCCTTTTGCGACTCGATTGGCAATACGCCCAATAGTCTCGCCAAAGTATGGGGCATTGTACTGCTTGTACTGCTCAGCGGTCTTGAAGCCCTGGACAATGTTGATACCGTTGACATGGAACTCCTGGATAATCGCTCCTAAGGGCAGAAATGTAAACGCCGTTGCTGACATGGTGGGGAGGCCAGCGGTGACGAGAGTCTTTTGAGGTTACTGTGATGCGTCAGCTGCAGCTCATGTGGGCAGCTCGGACAAATATCATGTTCTCGACATAATGAGGAGGGGTAGTTGCGAACATCATGTAAAGTTTGCAGAACGCGGGGCTTGCAAAACTCACCAGGGCGTCAAATTAGGCGGCGCGGTCCAGTGGATTGATCCTTTGTGATGCAGCGAAATCCTATGTCACTCGTAGGTTGAAATGGTTACTTGACACAAAAGTCGCAAGAAGTGCACATTGTGCCCTAGATGTATGGCGTTCATTAGGCTAATGAGGAGGTGGAGCTCGCTCTTCTGCCGTCTTGTCGGTACTGCGAGCGACCACACGGGGAACCCTCGTACCATGGAGTATGAAGCCCGACAGAGTCGCGCGGTATGCCTAATCGAGTCAACCCTGTGGCTCGTAAAGAAGAGGTCTCAATTTGCGGACAGTTTGAATTGTGCGAATTCGGCAGCTTGTTGGGAATTAGTAAGCGCAAGCGGAGGTCCGTGTCGAAACGTCCCCTGCATCACTAATCATCGCATCTGCCAAGTGCTGAAAACGTCTTTCGATTTGATTATTATACAGATAAAATCAACTTCACAAGCGCATTGACGACCGGGTATAGCTTTCTAATCCACCATCAAGAGTCTTGATGGTTGAACTTGGAAGTCGGTCCGGTCGGCCGCTACTGCGGTCTTCACGTCATAGTGAAGGCCTCTTTCCGCAATCGTGATATAAAAGATAACTATGCAAGGTTGATCATGTGATGCCAGCCTTGTCCGTTAACGCCGAATGCCAGTACTTGTGGATCTATCCCAAAACGCTAGAACGCTAGACTAAGAATGCTGAGAAGGAGGTCTGCGCCATTCATGCGCCAACCGGATTTTGTATGAAGTTGTTAAAGTCCAGGTCGGTCGTATTGTTCCAGTCAGGCATCATTGGGTCGTTAGGGTTCAAGTATATCGGGTCGCCCATCATGATCTGGTCAAAGCTGTTGTTGAAGTTGTCAAATCCAGACAATGATTTGCTGAAGTCCATTGGCTCGTCCATCATCATCGAGTCGGTCATCCACGCTCGAGACAGAGCAGAGGGGTCCAGAGCCCCGGTTTGCATAAATGTCGAGGAAACCATCGGTGATTCTTGTTTCATAGGTGCGACCATCTGGGGTTGGTTCGGGAATGGGCTGTTCATGGGCGGTGTTGGTGGCGCGTTGTTGCGTGCGAATGGGTCTGTAAAGGGGAACTGCCTTGTTGTCGGGGTTCCACTATATGACGAGGGAGATGATGTATGGCCGGGCTCTGAGTCCGAACTCACGGATCCGCGCCTGCGAGATAGTGGTGCCCCTCTCTCGAGCAGCTTGTGTTGCATGCGACTGCAGTCTTCCTCGAACCCTTCGTAGTTACTGCCGTTCTCGCTCGGTCCATGTAGAAGATCAAGTCGTTCGAGTATATCGTGTGTCAAAGGATGACCGCCTTGGGCCTCGCGTAAGGGTTGACCTGGCCAACCTTGTCCTGACTGTAGGCGAGTATACAATTCTCGAAGTCCGGCGACTAGTTGCGTCTGTTGTTGTTCAAGCATTTCAACGTAGCTAACACGATTAGCTTGCAAGTCTCAAAGACTAAATTGGACCACATACCCTTTAGGATAGACTTTGTCTTGTGACTTCTTCCTCTCACCAAAAACGCAGATGGCGTTATCGGCTTTGCAACGGCTGCAGGGACTTGCTCCATCACACTGTTGTGGTCAGATAAAGAACGATGCAGGTCACGTCAAGGCTCTACACACCTTTGATTTTTTCAGTCGGCACCGGTCGCAAGCTTTACAGACTCGCTTCCTGATGTTGTCTTGCGCCTCCATCGAACTCGACCTTTGTGATGACATCGAAGTTAAAAAGTTTAAGCTACGCCGGTACGATCGAGACCTCTTGGTGATGCAATTGGTCGATATGTAGTTGAACACCTAGTAGAATTCCAATGAGATTTTTTGAGGTACGTGGAGTGGGAATTTGGCCCCTAAATACGGATATAGTTCATGTGGGTAGCATGGCATTATATCTCTTCACGTCAGAGGGCATCTCCAGGCGGACGTTCGGCGTTAACCATCCATCGAAAGCCCCGGCGCGAAAACGCTGTAATCGCCCTGTAATTTATGTCTCCACTCAGCCCTGGGCAGCTAAACCGCCTCTTTCCCTGCCCGTCAATCTATCCGGGCACGTTGGACTAGTTGTCGCACTTGCAAGGGTGCCAGGGTTTTTGCACTACGCCAACCTTACGAATACGCTGGGCTGAAAGCGGCGCGAGTGACAAAGCCTCTCGCGGAGTCGGTCATCAAGCGGACCGTGGCCATGGGAGCTTCCAAAAACCGCCGTCCACGCCTGGTCGACGACCAACGTGAAACAGGTGACGAAAATTAAATTGAGCCCTACAAGCGGACAGGATGTCTTGTGCTGGGCTGATCGTAAATGATTCGGTAATCGGCAAGGCGTACATCCACGCCCAAAAATGCGCGGACTAAACATCACACACACCCGAGCGGAGATCTTCGTACAGCGCGCAGGTACGCCAGCATCAAACCCTGAGCCTGCCTCACTGGGTGCGCGCATTTATGGTATCGCTCGGTCCACGTCGTGGTCGTCGTCATTGTGATGGCTCATCGATCAACAGCGTTATTCCCATCCCTTTGTCGTTCAACCCTTTAGCCTTGCAACAGATCAGAGCCTCGGCCGACATGGTGACAGGAATTATTGGGCCGAGTGGTCTCCAATTTCAAAAAAGATTTGTCGTTTCGTCGACCTGCTGGCGTTGGCTCACGGCTTGTAATTACGATATCAGTGGCCGTGCGGATGCGGGAAACCTGAGGTGCTGCGAATGGCAAGTGTGATGCGTAACCCAAAGCGAGCAGCGACACCTTCCAAAAGGACGAGCTCTGGTACAGATTTATGACCTCATGCGCGGTCAAACGACACGTCGAACTTCTTCAACTCGTGGTTCTCTCGGATGTCATCGAATCAATCAGCAAGTTGCAGCCACTATGGCTGCTTACCTACCATAGTGCACGCCATGAGCCCCAAACGAACATAACCAGCGAAGCCAGTCACGTTTTCAGAGGGTCTTATCGCTTGCTTGCTTACCAACCGCCCATACAGTACTAGAGTGGTGCTCACCTTTCGAGATCGGTATGTTGTTCTCCCCTGCTACGCCCTTTTCCGACTGTGCTCGAGCATTTGCTACTGTGTTTTTGCAATTGCATGCAACGCTCGATGCTGCCAACTCTTACTCAAACGCGCCCTGCACTGTGTCTGATGGAGTCTAGTCTTTCTTGTCAAGGTTGATTGACTGCAAGGCGCATTCGATTTCCTTTGCGAACGATACAGGACAATTGACTCTTCCAAAGTTGGAGTCGTCGTCAATAGTGTGGCTGTGAGTGCTAATTCGTACAATGATGCGACGCGACCCGCATCCTTCATCTGGCAGATACGCCTATACGGTGTCATCGTTTCGTTAAGCGTATACAGCGCATTTCCACTGCAGCGAGTTCTGTTGGCATTGCTTGAACCTCGCTTGTTCTGTCAGCTTCACTAAGTGGTGTGTCAGCACCGTCGCAACATGCAGCAGCGCTAGGTACTCTGAGAGATATTCTCCTCATTGGGCGATCCGCTTACAGAACGTGATGGCCGCCTGAGGATCACCCGCATGGCTGACCTCCAGCCACTTTGGCCAAATTCAGGTATTTGCAAGATATGGTCACGATGAGCGCGGTTGCTGCTTACCTACGTGGATACGCGATATGTTTGGGCCAAGCGTGCTCGGTGCCCTACAACACCTGGGCGGGCACTCTACAACGCAATCTGAGTGATGTGTTTTGCCATTTTCTGAACAGCCACGTCGCTACTAATCCCAATCGTCGACCCGCTCGAAAGACTCAAGTTCTGCAAGGATCTACCTACAGCGCCGAGAGCATGAGCCGCAGTCTGGTACATGAGTGCGCGCCCAGGAGGTGGGCTCGGTCTTGGTGAACACTGAAGCTGTCTGCTACGAATCTCGACCCAGCATATGATGGTAACGAAGCTTGAGTCTTTGCCCCAGGGGTCATGGGGTGATCTTCATATCTGACGAACCAGTTTAGGCCTCCAGCTGCCCGACACCGTACATCCCTAGGTAGAAACAGACAGATCGACGAGCGGCTCCTGTCGACGATGCTTCTCACTGCCCCCCGCAACCATGCTGCGCAGGCTTCCCCGCGCTTGTCAGGGTCCTTTGTGCATTACCAAGCTGCTTCAGCACGTTCAAATGGACGAGTCTAGGCTGGTGTTACACTCGCGAATCAGCGTTCTATCAGCTGTTAGGTATGTCGGTCTTTCTAGCAAAGTTGGGTCAAGATGAGATTCGTGCATGGGTCTTGCCGATCAAGTGCACATGTTTACTCAGCTACAGAAATTATAACTCCGTTCTGACACCGTCTTCATTCGCACATCGAGACGGCCCGTTCCACTTTGTCACAACCGCCATCAACACAATGTGCACAATGGGACGACCATGGACGATCCCAGTCTTTGGGTGTCAGGCTTTCCTGGTTGAGTTGGGCTACCTCACTGACAATTGGACACCAACGTGTCTCAACGTGCAATGCATAAACCAAATATCTGTACTAACTGTTGAAATGGGATGCCGTTTCCAGCACATGGTGAGCACATCGACCTTGAGTACCACGTGGCTAATATCACGTTCTGTACTGTCGGTAGAGAGCTGTCTCCAAATTCTCGCACGCGGCGCACGACAGTGCCGAGTGCCGAGCGACCGGAATGGTGGTCGTAAGTTGCGACCAAGCCAATGCCAATACGATGTACGAAAAACCCTCTAATTCGCGATTCTCGTGGCACATGTAAGACGTTCTTGGTCGACTGCGGGGCTAACAGCGGAAAGTCACCTCCTGACATTTTATCCCCAATTGGCGACACAGCCTCACAATCTTGACCGTTAATCAAGAATGCAGTACGGCCGAGCCAATGGGAACAGGCCCCCCCCGGCCCCCCAGCGATCATATCGACGGACTTCACTGCGAACACATCGACTGGCACCAAAGAGCAACCTGATCCCTGGGTCACTCCGAAAGGACCCAAGACCTCCTGACCAGCCTCAGGACGACGTGTACATGAAGAGCGAAATATTACAGCTAAGCACTAAGAATTTCCGCGGTTCTGGGCGCAGGGACGAAAAGACTCGGGGCTCCGTTCTCTCATAGGCTCGGCGGTCGGACCACCCGCTTCCGTTCCGTCAAGCCCTGGCTCGCGTCGTGAACGATCCCGAATGCCGTTCCTAGGTGTTCATGTGCTGAAGCAACTTACGTGCTCTGGCATCTTGCCATGGGGTTTTGGACAGCGAAGTAGTCATCGCCTGTGCTCTAGGCTCTCTCAGATGAGTCCGTTCGTCACGGAGGTAATCAGTACTGAAATTCAGCCTCTCTGCGAAGCTTTAGCATGACGTACACTAACACCCGCTAATTCGATGTTTTGAGCAAGAAGAAATTGTGAAAACTTAATAGATAGTAGCGCATTTCTATCGCTCTCGCACGCATGCCTCCTTTGATTCTTGCCGTTCCAATCGACTCGAGCACATATCCACATCTCACCGTGAGCATCAACGCCCAGAGACATCAAAAAGGATGCCGCACCAATATGGACGATCCACAGCAGACCCACTCAGCTATCATAGGGCTGAAAAGCTTCACCGAAGCATGCAGGCTTCTGAGTTCTAGAAACGTTCTATTCACGTCACAGTGCGTCGGGTGCAACATCCCCACACTAGGCGCTCGAAGACAGCAAAGAATACAAGGACTTGACCGTGTGCTTTTGGATACATGTCCACGGCATCTTGGTACGGCAGCTAACTATCGGCGTCGCGTGTGTAGTGTATGCTCGTGATTACTACGGTATTACCCAACAACTTCTATGTGTACCGCTAAGTCATTGTCCGCTCACCAGCCTCGGCCGAACCTACTGTTTAGGGCTGTTTATGACTCCAAAACATCATTCCAGTGATCGCATTCATGCAGAGCTATCTCGATCGCAAGTAAAATTGAATCCACTATCAACACTTTCCCAGATGACAAATTTGTCAGCGCACCTGCAGTCTTGCCCAAAGAAATCCCACGCTGCAATGCTTCTCTAACCCACCCTCGTGCCAGATGATCGTCCCGTTTGCTCCATAGCCGGATGTGGGATCCCTGCTGTGCAACCATATTCTCGGATAGACCACAGCTTGGGCGATTTGGATTGACGCTACGCAACACCAAGATGTTCGAGACCACTGACGATGAGGAAGAGTACATAGTCTTCGTGATAGACGTTGAGCCTCAGTTTCGAACCATGACATAGGTGGCTTTGAAATGCCAGTAACACTATAATTTGACGAATACCATGGTTCCAAACGTGGCTAGTTGTCGCACATGAACACACCAGCGACGACCTGGCATCGAACCAAATATCGAAAACTTCCTTTTCGATGATCGTTTTGAGCACCTAAGTCGCCCTGCATTCGAGGCTCACTGAGTTGCCGACTCTCCGAAGCCATTGCCGATTTTTGACCGGTCGTTCGATGTCTTTGCCAATGGCATTCTTCATACGGCATAGACCGAAATTGTTGGCTTACACTTAACCATAATGGGCAAAGCATTAGCGAAGAAACGAGGAATTACGCTGACCGTGGATGTCCGAGAACACTCGTTCGCCCACCATTTCTACCTAGGTACTAGACACATGTTCACTTTTTGACCATTTTTGGCAGAGAGCTCAGACAGGCCAAGATCACAGATAGTTCCTGCTCTATGGCCAGCAGCAATAATATGGCACTGTTAGCCCTACGATTTTCTACTAGGCGTTCAGATTGACATTGTCTGCAAAACTCTCTTGTTAATCAGCAATATCTCATCTGGGTACTTGACAGCCTCGCATCCACGAGGATGCAGTGGATATGACTCCCACCCTCCTTTTGAAATAGGGTTAGAACCACATGCTGGCGCCCCACAATCCTGTTAGACCGGCTATGATTCGGACTTTGGACATGTTTTGAGTCAAATCTCGATCCCTACCACAACAGCTTATTCTTTCACTAGACCCTGAATACATCAGGTGAGGTACTTCTGCAAATGCCGCGCAGCGGAGACCCTAACTTGTAGATGCCAGGGTGCTTACACATATACTGGACAGAAGCAATAACAGGCTTAGTATTCACGTTTGCTCCTCCTTCCTGCTACCGAGATATCTGCGAATGAGTTGTCAGGGCGTTCTTAATCATCCAAGGCTTCCCAGTTCTTCACAATCACCAATGTAACCCTCGGGTCTCGATGACCAGTATCAAAGTTTCAATTGATGGCACGATTGAAGAGGCGGGGCCGGTGTTCGGCTTCATGTTGACACCCAGTCGTGCACGATCAAGTGTATAGGAAACACATGTGGTATTGTCGAGCACCTAATACACCAGCTCTACCGCATGGTAGAAACCGCCTTGTACATACTTTTGCGTACCTTTGTTACACCATCAATTTCTCCCGTATCCGTTCCATTTAATGAGGTGCCTTCGACAGAGCTGCCAACACCCCAAGCAATTGAGAACCGTGACGCTGTATGGAACTGAAAGCCTCGCTTTCCCGAAGTGGACATCGCAGGGCATGTTCGACGATTGCGTTGGACAAATCACAGGGAAAGAGCAGCATGTGGGCCTCAGATCATCGTGATTAACACTGCACCTACGGGACCCTTGAGTAGTTGGTTGCAATGCCCACACCTATCAACAGATGGGAAGCTGGGGTAGGTCATGACATAATTCAGAATGCTCAGGTACACTCAAGGTCCTTCAGACGGCCAGCCAAGGAGTATGGCATAGGAGGAGAAGGCAGGAATCGGCATTTGGTCGCTGCGAAGCGGCTGATACAAATTTCAGGTTGCAAGATCATGCTTAGACTAGTTAGCACCTGACTATGATATCTGGAGAATTTAAGCGCAATGACGGTCTGATTGCTGCGGGGAACTGTTAGCGAATAGCAACACCATAGGCCAACGCAGGTCTATTGCTTACACGCGGATGTATCATATCAGGCAGTGACCAGTACCGATGTCGCACGACGACAGAAGAGTAAGCTTACCTCAGATGCGCTGTGCCTGGGCGCTTCTAACTTCCACCTACACTGGATCAACCGTTTTCATAACAATGTCTAATTCCCGGTCAACAAACATTTGTCAGTGAGATGGTGGTGGCTGCTGAGAAGAGCGAGTTTCAACAACGTTGCCGAGTGGGTGCACACACGCTCATATGTGCTCTGGCACGGTCACATTAATATGTGCTATTGCAGTTGTCCATGGATAAAGTCCCCTATCATAACGCACGCTGCGACTAGAGCAGTTTAAGATATCACTGTCCGAGCAAAATCGTAGAAGTTAATGCCTGTCAGGAGAACATCAGACGAAAGTGATCAGAACTAGCAAGACATATTGTATATGTACCTAAATGATTCGTATAGATGACATGGCTGCCCCAGATAAGAATACCCACCGGACTTGATTGTGCCAACAAAGTTATATGTAAGTGTGGCGTGCGTGCGTGTCAAGAATGCGTTTCGATCGTGCATGCCGTCGGTGCCAATTAAGACGCCAAAAGATTCAATGCAACGGGTTTCTCCGCTTGTATATACTGACGAGAGTGCTCAAGTGGGCATGCCCATAATTGCGCTCCATCCATTTCCTCCACCTCCACCTGCCGCTCCCGCACCCCCTGCCCTTGCCCCTGTGCCGGCTCTATGGGGTGCTCCACTAGCGGCACTTCTTGATGCAGCAGCCGCTTTGGTGCCTGTGGCTTTAGAAGAAGCTCGTTTCCTTACCCCTGAGAAGCTTCCTTTGCCAAAGCTCCCACCAGATTTTCTTGAGAAGGCTCTTTTCTTCGATCCAGACGATGGAGCTCTGGGAACTCGCCTGGATGCTATGGCCTTGGAATTTGCTGCATTTGCATTCATAGTCTGGGTCAGCCTGTTATTGAATTCCTCAACCTCTGGATCAATTGGCTGTGTGAAGTGGTGACTTCTGCGTAAAGACTCGTCGTCTTCGCTCTCGCCGTACGAGTAGTCGCTCTCAGATTCCTCAACGGCTGGTGGGATATCATCATCGCTATCCAAGCACAGATCGATGACTTCCTGGTGATTCGGATCATAGACTTGCTCGTCATCATCTTCCTCATAGTCATCGCCCGAGAAGTCGTCAGCACGCTGAGGTGCGTGACTTCGTGGAGCAGGAGCAATGCCACCGTACATATCCCTCGTGTTGTTGATTAAAAGCATGAATTTTCGACCATATCGATCAACCATCTCCGGCTTTATCCCGGGTATGGCCTTCATGTCTTCCAGGCCAGGGGGTAAACAAAGACCCATCTCTCGAAGGACCGTGTCTGAGAAGATCGGCTGGCGATGGCCGTTGTTTGTCATGAGATCCTGTCTCAATTTCTTCGCGCCATTGAGGAAGTCATGCAACACGTCTTGCTGCATCTCGTCAAGGCCAACCATTCTTTGATCCTCAGTGATAGGCTTGCCCAGACCCTTGGTCGGTTTGGCCGTACGCAGCGGTTTCGCAACACGCACCTGCGCGAACTCGTCATTGAAGTTCTCAGGATGACGACTACGACTCTTCTGATCACGTGTGGCATGTCGCGGCTTTGCGAAGTGCTCGTTGTCACTTTCAGAGTGCTGTTGCTGATATGCATAGTCTTGTATCTTCCGCTTCGTTGTGCGGACAGGCGAGGAAACATTCGTGGATGGATAATCCGTTTGCTGCTTCTTTGTAGGTCTCTTTTTGACGTGAGCCTTCGTAGGCGATGCTCGGACCTGTAGCTTAAGTTGTTTGCGTTTGGTCTCATAGTCATTTCGAATGGTGGCAGGCTAAGTTCATCAGTGACTGTTGACGTGTGAAGAAGAAAAACGTACATGAAGGTAATTTGTTGCAAAACCGACTTTGTTGACAATGCTCTTTTCTTTGAGGGCTGTGGATTCCAGCAGACACTGGAATATTCGCTCGTTATCACCACGCTCCAGGTCAGCACCATAACCCCAACCATACTCCTCAAGACCGTTCTTCTTAATCTTAGCTGATTTGGCACCCCGGAAAGCATCGACACATTGATGCATTGTAACGTTGTCTTCATGCACCTTGCTGACGAGCTTGAAAGCCATAGCAGCGTAGGCAGTCAGATCTTTGGTAACAAAGGACGCGTCCGATCGACAATTGTCGCAAGTCTTGTTGCATTTGGCGGGATCGAAAGGCTCGCTGAAGTAGCCCAGTACCTGCGCGCGGCGGCAATCGGCCTTGTTCTCGCAGTATTGCACCACGGTCCGTAGCATATCGTGAAGTCTCTGCTTTTGCTCCTTACTACCATCGCCTTCGTCGATCATCTTTCGAAGCATCCTCGTATCAGCGAACTGGTAGTATAGATAGCATTCAGACCTCTTTCCATCACGTCCAGCACGGCCGGTCTCTTGGTAGTAACCTTCCAAACTCTTCGGCATGGTATGGTGAATAACGTAGCGAACGTCAGCCTTGTCGATACCCATACCAAAGGCGATTGTAGCAACGATGACATGATACTGGTTGCTTTGCCACTTCTTTTGAACCTCTGATCGCTCTTCAGCGCCCATGCCTGCGTGGTAATGGAATGCGCGAACACCCAGTTCCGACAGTTTCTTTGCTACATCTTCGCAATTCTTGCGAGATAAGCAGTAGATTATTCCAGACTTGCGGAGGTATCTCTCTTTGATCAAATCTGCAAAGACTTTGACCATGCCCTTGCTCTTCGGCAAGACCTCATATGAAAGATTGGGTCGATTGAAGCTTTGAGAGAACATCCGCCCATTCTCAATGCCGAGGTTGGATCGCACGTCGGCGCGTACAAGTTGTGTCGCTGTGGCTGTGAGTGCCATGATCGGTACTCCAGGGAATTGTCGAACCACGTCGCCCAGTGCTTTATAATCCGGACGGAAGTCATGGCCCCACTGACTGACACAATGCGCTTCGTCGATGACGATACGAGCCAGATGCCCCCTGTCGTACAATCGCTGGAAAGCACTCATCATCCGCTGGTTTTTGCTGAGCATCTCTGGGGTGACGTAAAGAAGTTGAATGAATTTCCCCGGATCGCTCTCTTTCTCCAGATAGTCCATGATCACCTTCTTCTCGTCTGAGGGTGTTTGCCCATTGATGAGGCAAGCTTGAACTCCGAAACGAGTCATGGCAGACTGGACCTGATCCTCCATCAGACTCAGCAGAGGTGAGACTACGATGCTCACACCACTTGTCTTCCCTGAGCGAATAATTGAAGGTAACTGATAGCACAGAGACTTCCCGCCTCCTGTGGGCATGAGAACAAAGCAGTGTTCTCCTGCCAGTGTCGCGTTGATGGCTTCAAGCTGACCAAGTCGAAATCCTCTCAAATGGAATTTGCAAAGAAGTGCTGCTTTGACATCCTTCGACCATTGGTGGTGCATACCAGACATCCCTTTACCAGGCAAGCTGATAGTCGATTGTTTCGGTGAAGATGGCTGGGGTTGTCGATGCGTGTTGACTGTCGTTTCACGGAGGACTTCTCGTGATTGCGTTGCAACGTCTGCCCTGTCCCCTCTCCAATCGAATCGACCAGATTGTTGGTTGTTCACGTTGTCCATCTCGTAAAGTAGATCCTCATCATCATCCATTCCGAAATCATCTTCTTCATCGATATCACCGACGCGTCCAACTGCCGTGTCGGGGGCTAAACCCATGTGTTCAGTGAACATGTTCTCGCCATCGCTGAAGTCGTAATCCCCGAGATCTTCTGCCGTGTAATGTGAATCATTTCCAACGGATACACGTGTAGAGGCATGTTCAGAACGAGGCTGTCGCTGGTGTGTCTTGTTCTGAGCTTTAGTGCTCGTCCTGTTAGCGGACTGGGTTGGAGGGACTTGGTCCGAAGCGAACCGTATATGACGAGTAGGCGACCACACCCGTTGATTCGGAAATTGCGTTTGTGGAATATGACTGGGCCCTGACTCAACAATCTTCTGCTTCCGTCGAGTAGGGCTCGCCTGTGTCGCCTGAACGACCACGTGGTAAGGCCGAGCTTCAACCTTGATGGCGGGCTTTCGTGGCTCCTTACCAACTGCTTGTGGTCGTTGAATGCCTGCAACACCGAGATAATGGTGTATCTGTACTTCAACATCCTCGAGCGATTTGGAGATTGTCCTGAGAGCTACGTAATCATCTTCGTAAATGCCATTTTCCACGTCATCCTCGACCTGTCTCTTGATAACATCCCGTCTTGTAGCAACCTCATTGAATTGTCCTTTCAACCTTGTCAGCTGCTCTACAGCAGCCTTCTTGGGTCGCAAGCGTTCTAGATTCTCTTTGACATGCGGATCTGGGTCATCCAATCCGACTTGTTCCACGAATGCTGTTTTGGCTTTCTCCCAAGCCACAGCTACAGACTGGACATATCGATCGCCGTTCGGTTCTAGGAAAAAACCGATGGCCTCGCGTATTTTCAACTTCTGTTCCTTCGTCATGTCAGATGAAGAGAACACGGGTTGTGCAAGCGGTCTAGACTGCGACGTTTTCGGATATGGTATATCCTTGCGAGGCGACTGTGTTGTATCTGGAGTAGGTATGGAACATTGCTTGTCTTCGCAGGGGCTTCGACTCCGGACATCCTTGCTTGGCGACCGGATTGGCAACTGTAGCTGCGTAGGGGGTTTTGTAGGACTCCGGCTTGCAGTCTGCTTGCGTGTGCGTTTGGAGGGAGTAGGTTTGGGCAAAAGATCAAGCTCCATGACATCTAAGTCACCAAAATCTTCTTCTTCGTCCTCTGAGTCCAACACGGCATGACCGACGCGTCTAGTCGTAGGCGTCCGTGCAGATTCGACTACAGGTGCTCTTGTGGTCGGTGGAGGGCTTCGTGCTTGCCTGCCAACCTTGCGTGCTGGGGCTGATGTTTCAGAAGGTACGCGACTTAGCGGCTTTCGTTTGCGACTTGTCACGACTGGCAATTCATGCTCTGATGATCGCACGGACTCGTCATCCCTGTCTGTCGTAATCACTTCTTGCTGTTTCTGTTCCTTGCTCAGCGCGACGGTCGAGTATGGCGGAGGTGGACTGACTGGTATAGGGGTGTTTGGAGCTATGACGAACTCGTCGATGTCGGGAAAGTCGTCCATCGATAGGTCTGGGCTGCGTGTCGGGGCTTTGAATATTGACTTTGGCGATTTTCCTCGCAATAAATCCGCCCTGTATTCATCGCTCTTCCTTTTTTTGCCCTTTCTAAGGCTATTCGGCACAGGCGATGAAGGTCCCGCATCGTCACCCGTCAGGTCGATCGCCTCCATATCGAAGACCTGCACACGGTGCTTGCGCAACGTTGAAGATTCGGCTGCACTGGATGATCCCTCCCTAGTGACCCAAACAGCATCGCTGCGAGCATCCTGAGAGACACGACTATGCGCATTATCATCTGCCTGCTGCTGTCTACTGGTGGCTGCGGTCAAGGTGTATGGTGGTACACCCGCTAGCATAAGTCTAGGCCTTCCATTGCTCGGTGTCGCGCGCAGTCTTGCCATAGCACCGTCCAACCCTTCGGTCTCAGGCGGTTTGTGTATGTCGATCGTCCTTGTCCGAGCGAGGACGCGGGGTGGTGGCGATGGCGGTACGAAAGAAGCGGTCGCGGTAGCGGGCTGTCCAGCTGGTGCTGTCTCATTGTCTATTGCGACGTCATTCAAAGCGGGACGTCCATCTGCGAGTGTGTGGGGATTGGGGTTGTCGTTGAGGTTGTAGGCAACGAGCGGAATAGAAGGCGGGACGAAAGGCTTCGCGTCCAACAGCCACTTGAGATGCTTCTTAAAGTTGTTCTGAGGAGGCATCAGAGCCTTTCATGGTGCTGCAGCGATCCTTGAATGTCGTCAACGCGTCCGTACGCGCCTGGTCGCCAAGTCGTGAGTGCTGTGGTGGCGTTATGCATGATAGGCAACTCTAGCGTTGTTGTCGACCAGGAAGGTGCTATCACGCTAGCACGTGACTGTTGCCGCCCCGCTTTGCCTGAAGTACGACCCACACCTCATCAGGAAGAGTGGCAGTACTTCGCGAGAGTGCGGTCTCAAGCTTGACTAGAAACTGTCTGACATGCCGCTCAAACCGGCGCCCTCGGGGATTGTGCCACAGTTGTCGTAGTCACTCCGTATCAAATATGTCCTTCAGTTGCTTCGTCCACCTTTTCTTCTCGCAAGCCGGCATTGCACACATCTTTCGGCTATTGTGTTGGCACTCCTTCGACTTATCAGAATGAGTCCAATGAACGTAGCTTCACCATCGATAATGAGCGCTGCAGAGTCGCGGCTGATCAACACTCTGTACACAACGATTGCTGGTCTTCACACCTCGCCACCGCCGGCAGACGTACTTCCATCCCAGAACCTCCTGTCTGAAGCACGTGCAAGTCTCAAAAGTGAGCTATCAGACGATGGCATTGGTCTTGAACACGCGATCCGTCACCTGGCCGATGACCTTGCACCAGCACTCAACGCTTCTTCGCGCTCAGCAAATTACTACGGGTTCGTCACGGGCGGCTGCACACCCGCAGCCTCTCTTGCTGACAATCTCGTCACGTATTTCGATCAGAATGTCCAGGTTCATCTACCTAATGAGACAATCGCGACAGAGATAGAAGACAGTGCCCTCGTTCTGCTCTGCTCTCTTCTGAACTTCTCTCCTTCGCAATGGCCCCATCGCACTTTTACCACTGGCGCCACAGCATCAAACATCCTCGGTCTAGCATGCGGCCGTGAGTACATAATTGCCGAAGCCAGTGCACACCGCACCGATGCCGAGGTCAGCGTTGGAGAATGTGGCCTTGGGGAAGCTATGCGTCTTGCTGGAATTGATAAAATTCAAATCCTGACCACTGTTCCCCACTCCTCCCTCAGCAAAGCAGCATCAATCCTCGGACTAGGTCGAAGTTGCGTCAAGGCGATCGGTCAACCAGGTGCGCCGCATAAGTTCGATATGGACCAACTCCAAAAACGACTTGCTCGGCCTGGTGTCGCAAGTATTGTAGCCATTTCCGCATCAGAGGTGAACACTGGCCTTTTCGCAACCTCTTCTTCTAAGGAAATGCAATCGATCCGGCAGCTGTGTGATATGTACGGCGCTTGGATACATGTTGACGGCGCCTTCGGCATCCTTGCTCGCATTCTTCCCTCCTCTCCACAATACCAGGCTATCAAAGAATGTGCAGCAGGTCTTGAGCTCGCAGACAGTATCACAGGTGATGGGCATAAATTGCTCAATGTTCCATACGACTGTGGTTTCTTTCTCTCTCGGCACCATACACTGGCTGAACGCGTTTTCAAAAACCCAAACGCCGCCTATCTTGCGGCTGGAGCGAGAGATGGGGTGCTGAGTCCGCTCAACATTGGGTTGGAAAATTCAAGGCGCTTTCGAGCATTGCCGGTGTACGCCAGTCTCATTGCGTACGGGAAATCTGGATACAGAGAAATGCTGGAACGCCAGATTGCACTTTCACGTGGAATTGCAGAGTATATCCATGAAAGCGAGGACCTTGAGCTCTTGCCTCGATCCGAGGGCTTTGTGAAGGAGTATCTGAGCAGTATCTACATCATAGTGCTTTTCAGAGCGAAGGACGGCGACCTGAACGAGCAGTTGGTCACTAAAATCAAAGAAAGCAGGAAGGTCTATGTTAGCGGGACAAGCTGGGAAGGTAGGCCTGCATGCCGGTTCGCGGTATCCAACTGGATGGTGGATGTCGAGAGAGATCTGCCAATCATCAAGCAGATATTGCATGAGGCTGTTCGAGTTCAGACCACGTTGGACCCTGTCGTTGAACCTACTTCATCGTGCTCAGGACCTGTCGACGTCGTTTAGATTTGATACATCAATAAACTTCTCGTAAGAGTGTGAAGCTATCGATTCTTCGTTTCAGATGAATGGTCGCCAAGCCTGCAAAATATTATCGATTTGTACCTTGTAGAGTTCGATAAGGTTCGCTTGGTATCGTGTGCTCGGCGACATTTCATCAAGAAGGAGCGATTTTGAAGAAGACGTTCAGCAGGGCCGTCGAGTAGGCTCGGATCACTAACAAATCTTTAGCAAAGAGATGTCATGATTCTGGTACCTGACTTGCAGTATGCATATGGAAGGAGAATTCCGTAGCACCACATGAGAGAGGCTCTCGGGGTTCAGGAAAAACGGTAGATAAGCTACCTTTAAGCTAGCCAATTTTGTTACCAAACTTACAGCTACAATAATACCTAAAGCAAAAATTTGTTTAAAGGTTACCTATATTGTAGACAACAAAGTGTTCTATAGTGTTTTTTAGTATTTTCCCTACTTTGCTGTCTTGTGGTGTACCTGGCTCACATCCTCGATCCGCCGTTCATTCTGCAACGTGTTAGAGAGAGGCCATCACTATTACGGCCTTCCTTGGCCGCAAGAGTGGCAGAACAGATTCTCTTCAAACCGATTAAGCTATTGCTGTCAGCATATGCAGCCACGCGTGACCGCTACTTAAGAGAGGCTGAAGCTAAATTAGCTCATTGGCGGCTCCCCGCACATCCCTTCGCCTTCTAGACACGCGACTCGCGTTGGCGATCCATGGCACGTACAAATTATAACCGTCCCATTCGGAGCTAGACAACAAGGGTCTTCTGAATATGGAATGGATCATCAGGCTTTACCGCTTCTGTTGCCACGGTCGCATTCTAGGGCTTGGATCTGCGGCTGCCGTCGTTGTGGATGATGCTGTTTTAAGCGATTAAGCGAGGTCTAACAAGTTGGGCAAGCCACCCTGCTGGAAATACGAAAGGCGAGTATGCACATCGGTTTCCACCTGTAAGCACCTTGACTCGTACCTGCCTGTATGTAGTGGCAGAGTGTTGCAGTTGGTAAGCCTGAGAATTAGCATCAGTACCTGTTTCTCGCTTCCACGATTTCGGTCCAACCTAACCTCCTAGAGCCAATGAGCCATCAGCCTTGACTTCTAGAATACATCTCAATCAACTTACTGACAGCCGTGTCACCAGGCTAGCCTTACCCTTCTTTTCGCCGTTCGTTGACAATAGGGTTGAGAATCTTATGTTCGGGTACCTAGACTATGGCCAAGATGGGCCAGCCCATGCACACGCGCGGATCCCGGAGTCGCATCTGTAGACGATTGATCGTAGTCTGACTATTGACTTACACCTGGTTGGCTGACGGGTGCTTTTCGGCGACCTTGGCGAGCTGTCTATATCTGAAAAGGAAAAAGCCTGGGCCGCCATGTTACTAGAAAAGCGAGCTGAAAAGCTTGGCCTCGCTAGATCAGATATCTATTATCGACCGAGGCCATGCGGGGAGACAGAGTGCCGTGTGGCGAAGCGGGACCTTGACGTTGGAAGTACGTATAAGTAACGCATCATGCCCGTTCAGTAGGTATAACCACTCTGGCTTCATATCGGACACCAACAATCTGAACAGAGTCTGTAAGCCTCAAAACCATCCATCATCAAATCAAGATGTTCCACAAGCTTCTATTGGCATTGCCTCTTCTCTCGCTTACATTCCTTGCTCTCGCCGGTCCAGTGGAACAACGCGAGGCAGCACCGGGACTCATCGATGACTTGTTGAAAGGCGTCCTGTCACCGATCGCACAACTCATCAAGGATGTCCTCGCTGGTACAAAATCTGGTATCGACGACTATAAGACCAACAAGCCACTTATTTGCTTGTCTGCCGTTGACTCTTGCTGTGCTTGTAAGTTTGTCTTCGCTTCTAACTATAGGTGAACAAAACTGACATACTGAGAAGGGTATGATGTATCGAAAGAGCTCACTAGCCTATTTTTACAGGCCGACGGTCAATGTAACGACAACGCTCGCGCAGCAGTACGCTTTGGCTTCCACGATGCCGGTTCATGGGACAAGAACGCCCCCAACGGCGGCGCCGATGGCTCCCTGTTGATGAACTTTGGCGAGGAAGGGCGACCTGAGAACAACGGATTGCAGACTATCCGCGGAGTGCTCCAGAATGTTCAGAAGAAGTATAATGTCGGCTACGCCGATCTGGTTCAGTACGCACACAATCATGCCACTATCTCTTGCCCCAAGGGCCCTCGTATCCGGACCTTTGTCGGCCGCAAAGACGCGACACAGGCTGCACCAAAGTTCCTGCTACCAGACGTCAACGACAGCGCAGATAATCTCATCGCACTATTTCAAGCCAAGGGGTTCTCTGCGCACGATCTAGCTGCTCTCGTTGGTGCTCACGCTACAGCAAAGCAGCGCTTCGTTGATACAACTCAAGCCGAGAAACCGCTCGACACCACCCCAGGTAAGTTCACCACAACCACCACCTGCTTCTGTATCCTTGTACTAACTCCTTCTGGGCGTGTGGGATGTGGAATTCTACAATGATACACTCAATCAAGAGACGAAACCAAACAGCAAGATTTTCGTTCTTCCTTCCGACAAGGTGCTGAGCGTCCACCCAAAGGTCAATGATGAGTGGAAGTCTTTTGTTGGCGACCAGAAGCACTGGAACGAAGACTACGCAAAGGCTTATATTAGGATGAGCTTGACAGGCGTCACCAATCTGAAGGATTTGAAGGACTGCACAAGGACATTGCCTGCGAGCAGACCCAACTTTGTCGCTCCCAAGCTACAATAGTTGCAGGTCTATTCGTTCTATTTTTATCTCTTATTGTGATACCCCTAGAATAAACGTTAATGAAATTCATATCGATACCTGCGAAGAAATCGAGAAGGCTGGCGGGTGAAGTACCTCCGACTCCCGGAAGCGTCTTAGTCGTCGCGTGCTCCCACGTTGAAGTGAGACACGCCCACTAGTAGGAAGCTCCACGTGCTCCCACGTTGAACCGAGACGCTCCCGAGCTTCTCACTTGTAGAAAGCTTCACGTGCTCTGCCATGACAATACTGACGAAAGAATACGTATGCATAGGTTTGTCCGAACTACCTATGTGCTCCTCTTCTCGCTCGTACATGGCACAACTAAGCAGAGGTAGGTACTTGCTTTGCGCCATCTACGCTTGTACCGTTCTCCCGCAGCTTCCTGAGTCGCCCTTCCTCTTCTGTTTTCATTCGCTCTTGGACTTTAACCCGCTCAGGTACTATCCGCTGTCTCTCTGCTGTAATCTTCCAGCCCTTCAGCTTATCCTTGCCCAAGGCCCGCAGAGTCTTACGCTCTACCACACTATAATTTCCATCTTCTCTATCAAAGACAAACGGGTCCTTGACTGACACAGGAGGGTTTGTAATGACCCTCACCTTCCTAAGCATGTTGTTGCTCGCACTGTGTAACATCATCGGATGCAACAAGAACACGTCCCCTACAACACCAGTAACCTCCACAAATGACTCATCCGACATCGTCTTTGCAAGATCGATATACCAAGTGAGACCCTGCTCCGGCACAGCCTCGTTGTAATCGCGCCGCGGAGTCATCCGTGGCGTCACACCCTCGGGATTCTCATACAAATGTTTAGCAATATGCGAAATAGCAGCAGGGCAAATCATCGTGCCACCGCCACCGGGCACAATGTCTGTCCACAGCGGAATGACCAGGAGCGCCTGCTCGGGCGAGTCGAGGTAGTGCACAAAGAAATCGCCATCGACGTGCCAATTATCCAGATCTTGTGGCTTGACGAGCTTGTTGTGCTTCTGCGGTGTCCCAAGGTTCACTATGAAGCTGTCTTTCCATAGAGAGACTTCGGAGTCGATGTCGATTTTATGCGAGCCACCTAGTAGCCCGCAGATCCCGCCCCATGCACGAGGTGCGAAGTCGGCAACTTGGAACTCTTTCCAGTGCGGCATGTTGATGCGTTCGGTATGCCTTTGAATTGTGAGTCGTTACGTTTATACACAAGGCAGCGAAGGACTAAGACGGACCACGTCGATTTGTCATTTGGATCCATGCCCAAACGAGTCCACAATGTGGACTGCAAATCGTCTGCTTGCTGCTTTGTGAAGCAGTTGCTCAGCTTAAGCCAGCCATTTTCTAAGAAGAAGTCGATTTGCTCTTGCGTGAGCTGATATTGTTGTTCCGCGTCTGTCATATTGTACTGTGGCGTCACTTGTCGCAGAATGAAAGTATCGTCCAAGGGATGTTTAGAACATGGAGGTTGAAGCCAAGATATAAGCACGTATAGAGTGCAGCATGTATCGATATGCCGACCAGCTACGGCTGTTCATCCCATTTAGCCGGTGGGGTGAGCAGGACATTCGACGTAGCGGAAATCGCTGCTGTGGGCTATCCAATTAGAATACCTATCATGACGACAGTGTCGTAGCTGCGGGGGTTGAATGCGGATTCCCGAAAAACTGAAGGGCGCTGATGCTGTGGGGTTAGGGCGCATGATTAATCATTGGCTCCGCTTCTGTCAGCGTGCAGATGTGCAGCCGGGTTCCTGGGAACGACATACATGTAGGTAGGGGAGTCAGTGTCGGGCTGATACAGTGTGCTGGCGCGGCATGTACCTAGTAGGTCAGAAGCGCCAGGAGGGCGTTGCAGCTGTTCAGGATTGGCCAAACTCCCAATGAACACCCGTGAGCCAACTGTCGGATGAATTATCCCTGTACATGTAGAACGCAGGAATCGCGTTTTCTTGGTTCTTCCGCCAAACCTAAATTCGATGTTAGCCTAGGCTCATACTAAGGTATCAACGGTCGAGGATTCTTTTGCACGGCGACTGGCGGTTCCAGTCATTATTATACTGCATATGTACCACTCTCGGGAGAAACGGCGGATAACCTTCAAGCTGATCAACGTCAACATAGAAATGCAGCTATCGTGCTTCTTATAGCTAAGATTTGGGTTGCTTAACTATCACCTACATCGTAGGCACCAAAGTATGTTGTAAACTTTTTTTGTACTTTCCCTAGGTACTTGGCTGCTGGGTGGTGGTGTACATGCCTCACATCCTGAGTCCACCGCTTATCCTGCAAGGCGAGTGCCACTTTGGTGGTCTGGGAATGATCACGCTGCTAGTAAACAGGTGAAATGGATGCGGTGAGAAAAACATGAAACAGCATAACAACATATCGATATAGTAAGATGAGACGAAGCCCGGCACCCCAGCATAGCAAACTTCAAATCCGTTGGTTGTTTACTACACATCTTCATCCTCTATCTCTTTGGCTTCGTCTTTCACCGGTCTCGCCTCTTGTTTTCGATATAGCACCGCAAGTTCCTCGGCCTCAGTCGCCTCCTCAATCCCTTTGTCGTCCCTCACTCTCAAAAACCGCGGAAATCTTGTACTCAACCCCCTCTCCTCGCTTACCAGCCCGATCGCCGCTGTGTATGTCGGACTCAACGTCAAATCTGCAAATGCCACCTCCCAAACTTCCTGCGGTTCGAACCAGACTGCCGGCCACCCCGCGCCGCCATTATACTCAACGTAGTGCGGTTTACCACCCAGCACGGTCGTGCAATCTGGATCATCAGGGTCGTATTTGGCACGATTTGCTTTGTAGAATGAGTCGGTGAAGCCAGACATGCATTTTGTGACGGCATCCAAAGTGCCGTTTGCTTCGTTGCGGATGGCGAGCAGGATTGGAGACCACCATGCTGCTTTACGGCCGGAGCCGTGGAATGCGGCGATGGGGATGAGGTCAAGAGTTTCGGAGGTAGTGGAGTAGTCTTTTTTCACTTTGAGCCACGAGTCGAGGCGTTTGTCAGGCTCGTATGTAGAGAGGAGCGCTTTGCGGCGGCCGGGCTTTTTGGGCTCGCTGGGGTCTGGTGTTGGGTCGACAGCGGGGGTTTTGCCTTTGGGCTTTGTCGGTTTCTTCTTTTTGGGGGTGGGTGGGAGAGAGGGAGTGCCATCTTCGTTGAGGTCGTCGAGGAGGTCAGGATTTGGGAGATTATCGAGGACCTTGACCATAATACCTTCGCACTTCAGCTCGAGTGCGCTTTTGAAGAAATCGGACACGATTTCTGTGTCGGCAGATGTGGCGTCCAGGCTCTTGACCCAGGTAAAGTGGTGCGGTATTTCGACAAAGAGACTGCGCAGCATATCCCTCCTCTCCCGGAACGGGCGACTGAGAAGCTCTTCGCCGTTCAGATACATCAGGTCGAAGGCAAAAAGGCAGACGTCGATTGTTACAGCGCCGATAAGAACGTCCTTTCGAGCGCGGTTGGCAAGCGTTTGGAAGGTCTTGAGTTCGCCGGATTCACGATCCACAGCCACGACCTCGCCCTCTAGGATGAAGCTTGACACACCCTCGCCTCTAATCTTCGGTACTAGAGCAACCAGATCCGGGTACTTGTCCGTCATGACTTCCAGGTGTCTCGAGAAGATTGTCACCTTGCCCTTGTCGTCGCAATGGACTTGAGCTCTCTGTCCGTCATACTTGTATTCGCAGCTAAAGTCTCGTCCTTGTAGTTTCGTAAGCATCTCACCTAGATCGCGTGTGATGCTTCCCAGCATTGGCCTGAGTGGGATATGCATAGATAGGCCACAGCGTAGCAATAGCTCGTCACCTACGCCAATTTCTAACAGTGCTGGTATCAGATCATTGTAGTTTGGTCTTCTAGCAAAGGACGCCTTTACGATCTCTTCATTCCTGCTATAAATTTCAGCAAGGTCTTCCTTCCTCAGGTTAGCAAGGTCTTTCGGGGCGCGTGTCTCGAAATCGGCGTTGGGCGGTCTTGATAGCAAAAACGCGCGCGACAACGCAATGAGCATTGTCGTCTTCACTGCACCGATTCTCAGATGTTGCACTAGCGTTCGGACGATATACCGGCTTTCTTCTGCGCCTCGTGAATCTTGCATAAGTCTCTCAACAATCCTCTGTTTGACCTCCACGCTACCATTTCCCTTACTGTTCGCAATCTTGACGAGAGCATCGAAGACACTCTTAATGGTCAAGGGCTTTGGTTTGCGTAGCGTGAAGGACTGTCGTTTCTTTGCCTCGAATGCTACGTCCCCTGCGTCGCCGTACTTATTGTTGAGCGTCCTGAGTCCTGCGTTGTCCAGTCCGCAGACCTTCTTCAGCGCCTTTGAGATTGCTGAGCCACCAAGCCCCAGCTCGAGATCGATGTATGGGGGTGATATCGAGTTTGTTGCCAGCCATACTGCCGGTAACAAGCTTTCCGGATCGCTTTCTATGATGGTCCGTAGAAGATTAACGAGCGTGTCGACGATCTTTATGCGACTAGTCGTGCTATTGATCAAGACGAAGCACCGTGTCAGCAGCGCATATGTCGCGCGCCCACCGTCCACAGTCCAGTGTCTCTGCAAGTCTGGTATATAGTTCGGAGGCTCGAATTCAAGTGGACTCTGATCGAAGGGTATGCTCGCGGTGATAGTGTCTTCTTCGGTTGCGGTAGATTGTAGCGAGAGGGTGTTCGGTTTTGGTGTTGACGCCGCAGATTCGATTGTAGCTCTCGTAGAGGAACCTTCTCCTTCAACTTTGAGACTACTACTATTTGCCTTGGCCTTGGTTGGAGGGCTAGGATCTCTGTATAGCTCATTCGAGCTTGACAGCTCCTCTTCCTTCAGGCGCTCTTCTTGTCTCTGAGACACGCCTTGAGCTTCCTTGTCCCATTCCTCCTGGAGCTTTCTGGCATACTCTTCGTCTGTCAAATTGGATGGGTCTATAGCAAGGGACACATCCAGGTCATCGGTGGTTGTCGCGTCAGGTATGTCAGCCGCAGCTTTGGCGTTCTGTTTGGCGAAGAAGAAGTCTATTTTGCGTACTGGCTTGCTTGATGATCCATCATTCTTCTTTCGGCGCTTCGACGGACTGTCCATGACTGACAGGTGGGTGTGGTCATTTGAATGCTGCTGCTCTCGGCGCGTCTACGTCCATGACGTTATCCGAGCGCTTTGACCGCCTGTAAGTCGCGTCACGGTGTCACGTGTCGTTTCTATCATACTTTCCAACGCTCACCTCGGCAACGTTCTTTTAATTTCCAAATCATCGTTGCGCGGTTTTCAAGAAGTTCTATTGCGATTGACGGTTTTCTTCAACCATCTTCTTCCCGGAACGCCAGCCTAAGATACCGTTCTTGAAATATCTTCGTCCGTTCACTATTGACTCTTGAGCAGCCTCAGTCATTCTTCCGTTCAGTGTTCAAAGAATTCAAAACCTGTCGTGTTTTGCATCATATACCATCACAGAGTCCCTGCTCTACTCATCGTACCTGAGCCTGCCCTCTGATCCACGTGAGTCGAAATCTCGATCCCGGAAACCCCCCATGTCAGTGTCCCGGCGCATACGCTTAGGCGGGTACCTCTCATTTCGAGGGCCTGCAGGTGCTGGGAAGTTGCCACGGAGAAGACTTGATGTATCGTCCTGGTCTTGTGCTGGGTCGCTGACTGCGCGTTTCCACTCGTAGAGATCGAAGATGCCTTCTCGCGGAGTGCCACCCTGTTGGCCGAATAGCTGGTCGCCCACGTCGTACTTGCCTACAATTCATCAGCACTTGTGAACTGCAAGGATATTGGGAACATCATTTACTCAGAAGAAGACCAGTGTCAACCTGCAGGCCATAGACAATGGCACGTGTCGCTGCGAGCGGACATCCAGCAACCTCTTTGCGCAGAATCTTGGCGGCTTCGTTAAAGCTGCACACCAGAATGGCAGCAAACTTGGCGTCTGGCTCGCTGTAGGCTACCAGCACATCTGCCTGCTTGTCAGTAGAAGCTCACATATGTTCTCGAGGAACGGTCTGACCGTAGAACTTGAACTTCTCGGAGCCGTAAATGATCTTCGCATTGCCCAAGGCCATCACACGAAGCTCGTGGAGTTGCTCAAGCTATCTGGGTTAGTACAAATCGTCAAGCTTCAAGTAACGCCTGCATACCTTACTCTGGTTTTGCAACCAGCCGTCACTTGACAGGCTTGTCCCGCCGTCGAATCCTTCTAGACCGTCTACACCGACCGCTGCAGCTTGAACCATCAGATCGTTGGCGTTGTTCAAGGCTGATACCATTGTCGGCTTGAATTGGTGCGCTGGAAGTCGTTGACGCAAGACAGAAGAGAAGGAGCCAAGATGCCGTTGATATAAGGATATGCGGTAGGACAGGCACTAGTCATTGGACGCACTCAGGTAAAGGTAGGGTGCTCTGTTAAGATAGTTTTTTGGTCTCTTACTGAGTGGTAATGGTAAGTGGAGATGGGAATAGTGTTCCGATTCTAGCACTCGACTTTATGTCAGGACACACACACGCATGGGTCTCTGCATGCCAAACCAGGCTTGTGTGCTGGGAAGGAAGCGAAGAAGCATATGCATCGTCGGATCTTGGTTCGTCGCGCTGTAGGCAAGCATTCGATCCAGCCTCTCATCTGTTTGGGCATGCTCAACTGGCCGATGCTGGCACTGATGCCCGCTTATGGCGAGAGGCTATCTCTTACAGAGGGCGCCATACTGATTTCGGGTTCTCTTTCAAAGTGTGCTTTCCTTGCCTTGCTACTCGCTCGTGACTGCATTGTAGCCTGCGGTTCTCCGCGTTTGTAACTCACAGCAGCTGTTTCCTACTTCCAGAGGAACGTAGAACCTGGTGAGGGAACCGTTTGGTACTTCTGCGGTGGCATCGTTCGCTTCATTGCTTCCTGTGAGGTTTCTGGAATTTCGTGAGAATTGGCGAGAATCGGTTGACCACCTGACCTTCCGTATGTACTTAGACTCTCGAATGGAGATTGCTTGATGTGTTCACACGGTAGTAATCGGTTTCGACTCTCCATATACTGCAGCTTGTATACACTGGTATTATCGAGGTAGATTTACCGTACCGAGCCTACACTAGTTCACGCCACTGCAAGGTGCGAATGTCCCCTGCGACTAAGTTCTATCGTGGTCTCTCAAACCCGTAGAATGCCAAGTGCCTATTCCAGACCGCCAGTTTCTGATCAAGTCATTGGTGAGTATTGTTCGATTAGGCCGCCTTATGATCAACGAGCAGCGTGTGCGACCCCTTTCCGCTTTGGGCTTATTTAGTCTAGATCTTATCGTGAACAGCAGAGAGTACGCCATGGCTGTGATACACGGCATGCGCGCACACCACCATGTACCCTGCGGTCTCACGTAAGCTGTTCCTGCTCTGGCGAGCCCAGGTTCAATGCAAAGGCGCTGCCTGAGCATCCGCCTCACTGAGCGAGTGGATAGACAATGCGATGCTAGCGCGGGGCCCGGACGCGGGGCAGATATCGTGAACACAGAAATGGTTGCCGGATGTTCCGGATCTCGAATTTACGTTTGACTCCCGGACTGTACAATGGCCTCCGCTCGGGCAGAGCTTCTTCAGGTACACTCACTGCATTCCCAGCAGCACATGGATTACGGCCTCTTTTGGTCCGGACCGCCCGGCGTCGCGAATCCCGCACGCCGCAGGGCCGATATGATCTTGTGCGCTAGCAGACATGCCGTCACCCGCCGCAGGGCGCTCATAGCTGGACGCGATGACGCGAAATATTACTTACATCTGACCGCTGTCCGTCTGCCGTGCCGTCCTGGACAACCCTCACTCCCCTGAAACCTTCCACACGACACACTATTATCATGGCGGACCTCAGCAGAGTCGAGTCAATGCAGTATCCTGCGGGGCATTTAGCCCATCTTACAGAGAACCAGCAGGCGCAGTTGGAAGCATTTGAGAAGCTTGCGCAGGAAAAAGGCTACTTCACGCCCGGCACAGACACAACCGATGCCAGCCATGACGACGAGACGATGCTGTACGCTTGCTTTTGAAGTGCACGCGGCGGAGCACTAACGATATGCAGTCGATTCTTGCGCGCGCGTCGCTTTGTAGCATCGGAAGCCTTCAAGCAGTTCAAGGATACAGAGGACTGGCGCAAGGACCAGAATATCCACGATCTCTTCGAGACCATCGAGGTCGAAGAGTATGAGCAGACGCGCCAGCTGGTAGCTGCCCCTCTTCCCTGCACGCGCAGCACTATCTGACAGCTGCGCCTAGTATCCCCAATGGCTTGGCCGACGCGACAAGCGCGGCATTCCGCTCTACCTATTCGAGGTTGCACCTTTGAATTCCAAGAACATTTCCGCGTACGAGAAAGCCCTTGCCAAGGCAAAGACCACCTCACCAAAGGTCGCAACGAAGAACCTTCGTCTGTTCGCCCTCTACGAATCGCTCACTCGTTTTGTCACTCCTTTTTGCTCCATGGTCACACGGCCGCATCCTGAGACCCCCATCTCGCAGAGCAACAACATTGTCGACATCAGCAACGTGGGGCTCAAGCAGTTCTGGAACCTCAAGAGTCACATGCAGGACGCGTCGGTCCTGGCTACAGCTCACTACCCCGAGACGCTCGACCGTATCTTCATCGTTGGCGCTCCTGGCTTCTTTCCCACTGTCTGGGGCTGGGTCAAGCGTTGGTTCGACCCGATCACCGTTTCCAAGATTTTCATCTTGTCGCCAGCCAATGTTTACGCGACTCTCTCCGAGTACATCGATCACGAAAACATTCCCAAAAAGTATGGCGGTGGACTAGAGTTCGGTTGGACCCAAATGCCAAACTTGGATCCAGAAATCGAAGCTGCCATGAAGTGGGAAAACCCAAGCATGGAGAACGGCAGGAAGACCTTGCCTACCGGGCCTGTGAAGTGGGAGAAGGGTCCGGACGGAGACATGCAAGCCTGGGCAGTAGGTCGAGAGAACGGCCAGCCTCGACGAAAGCTCATCTTCACTATACCTAAGCCCGTAGGATTCAGGACGAAGCCTGTGGTCAACACGCCAGCGCATGAGCTCGGCGATCCACTCACGACTGTTGGCACTGCCACTCACCCTCCAGATGTAGAAGACTCGGTCGCCGACCAGTCTCCTCCCTCAGACTCACCAGCCCTATCTGAAACAAACCAAACGCCGAACGTGGCCGTAGCCAGCACAGCACCTTCGTCTACCCCTGCACAGACAGCACTGCCTATCCGCGAGGGTACTTCAGAAGCGCGCTTCGAACAACAAGACAAGACACATGCGTCAGGCCAACTTGCAGAGGGTACACCAGATGCTGCTGTAAAGGATCATGGCTACGGTGATAAGACAGTGACGATGGAACCCAACACAGTCGGCCAGGCGCCAAAACAAATACCACTCCCCGAGCGCGAAGAGCCCCCTGCGCCAGGCTATCTCGAGCAGGCACAGAACGCAGCTGCTCAGGCCTCAGGATACGTTGCCTCAACAGTCACTTCTGTGGCCGGTGCTGTGACCGGCGCGGTGTCAGGCAACGCAGAGAAGAAGGAGGAAATTGTCGAACCCACACATACCAAGAGCCCTGCAGAGCAACAGCTGGACTCACAAATCGACGCGGCCAAGGACCAGAATGTAGAAGTGTTCCTGCGCGAGCAGAATCGCAGCCGGGCATAGAAAGTCTGGTGTTGCGTCGTGTTCTCGGTGAGGCGGTGTACGATACCAAATGGCGAAGATAGCTCTGCCTCTCAACCCCTGTCCGATCTCCGGCGTGGGCTTACGAATGAATGTTCATCTTAATCCCTTTCTACTCCAGACATGTCGATCGCAGTGCATGCAGGCGTACTTGGGCGTGAGCTGAGGTACCGCGTAACAAGTGGCTGACACGTCTGACGCAGGAAGGAACTCCAGATAAGGGTGGGTGACACGACATGAGGTCCAGGCGAGTCCAGGAGATCTGTATCGCGGAGGGTGCCGATGCTGGGGTCGGCGGATTGTGGAGTGTTGCACGCGTACCTCGTGTGTTTTGGCTTTGGACACATGCGTTGGGGGTACGGAGGTTTAATTGCATAGATGCTTACCAAACACCGTCGCGTTTGCGAGTTGACAGGTGTCAAATGGGCACAGCTTTCATCAGCGTACAGCTGCCAGAGACGGAGGACCACTATGTCAACTATAGTCTCTCACAGTGTGACTTTGTTAGAACTTACCCTCGAGCATGTTGCCTCGTTCAGGCCAAATCAGTCTTCAATATGCCTCCTTGTCCGATGTGACACCATGTGGAGGTACTCACTTGGTTCAGCAGCAAATTGTCAGACAGATCAACAGCGCCGTGGAAGGTTGCGCAACGCAGGAACCTTACGACAGCGACATGAGAATCTACCGATAAGCATGCATATGCAGGAAACATGACACACTGGACAAGTGCTGGCGAGTTTCAAACGAAAGCGCACAGCTGCAACTACGGCAGGACTGGCACCAAGACACAGACTGTGCAGCCCAGCGAGGGCGAAGATGCCGCTGACTGGCGTGCGGGGAGATACGAGTCTGACATGGATCGTCGCACTGCTCGGTATCGACGAAATTCCTCGGAGCGCAGAAGGCACGCATCATCTTATGCAGGCGTTTCATTCCCATCATCCAAGCCGCTCTGCATAAGTCGAATCGGCATCCTGGCTAGATGTCTATGCAATCCAATGGCTCCTGCGGCGTACCCGGGCCGGTAGCTGTTCCGCTTGCAACAAGAGACATCAATAGCGCTGCAGCCGCGCTTACAAGCAGGTCTCACAGCAGCTAAAAGTCAACAGAGGCAGAAATCTAGAGGTTGTAGCAACGCGGGATCGCAGCATGCATCACATTGCAGTGTCGAGCGGTAGAGTCAGTACCAACGATCGTTGGGCCAGGGTATATTTCCTCCGATACGTACGTAGCATTCAATGCGATTCGCACACTACCAGCGATTACCATACATTACCCCTATCCACTGTGTAACAGTCCATATGCAACCAGGTTTCGAAAGCGACAAGTGACAAGACGCGCCACCAGCACCCTCGTGCGTGCACCAAGCAGCGCTTAGACAACGCTTGTCTCGGTCTTGGGCGCGACAGTCTCGGTGCCTACGGGGATCTCGAGGTGCTTTTCGCCAAGATGCATCTCGGAGGCGAAGGTGCTGTGCGGCTTCCACGCGCGCGAAGTACGCGGCGTCGTCTCCTCGAGCATCTTGTCGACTTGCTCGAGCGTCAGACCCTTGGTCTCAGGGACGAGGAAGTACGCGAAGATGAAGGAGATGCAGCACAGGCTGCCCCACATGAAGAAGACGTTGGAGCCAAGGCGGGCGGAATCGTCACGGTCGGCAACAAGGTATGGTGTGATGACTCCAATAATGCAGTTCCAGAACCTGGGCTTGTTAGATTTGATATTGTAGTGTTAAAAATGGTACGTACCAGTTGGAAGCAGTGGAGAGACCGACACCGCGCGAGCGGATGGTCAGCGGGAAGATCTCGCCGATGACGATCCATGCTGCAGGACCCCAGGTGGTGGCGAAGACGGAGATGTTCAAGCAGATGAAGGCGATCATGGCGCGGGTAGCGTTGGGGTTAGCGGGATGGTCGGGCGTGTTCTTGCCAGCGGAGGCGCCAATGGCACCGACAATGAATTGCATGACGACCATGCCAGCGGCACCCCAAATGAGAATGCGACGACGTCCGATCTTCTCAACCATAACGAAGGAGGCGGGCGTAGAGAGCACGTTGACGAGAGTGGTGACTAGAGAGATCAAGAACGGATTTTCGATTGAGCCGAGCTGCTGGAAGAAGACGGGCCCGCTGCACGATATTAGCACGTTACTCTCTCGGAAGTAGAGGGTTTCAGAGTGTCTTACAAGTAGAAGATGAAGTTGATACCTGTCAGCTGCTGCATCATCTGCATACAGATACCAAGGATGGTACGGCGCTTGTTGGATGCGGGATTAGAGAGCTTCCCTTGAAAGCAGGCGCCCCAGGAGCCAATGTAGCTGGTCTGAGGAACGACTGACATCTCGTACTCGTGGTTGGCAATGATCTCAGCGAGTTCATCCTGGATATACTCGGAGTCGAGGGGTTGACCACGCACGCGACCAAGAGCGGCGGCAGCCTTGTCGAGCTTGCCCTTCTTGACCCAAAAGCGAGGAGACTCGGGCAGGAGAGCGAGGCCGACAGCGAGAATGATAGCCCAGAGAAATTGGACTGCAATTGGGATGCGGTAAGAGCCAGTGTCGCGACGGTTCTGGGTGGCGTATACAACGCAGTTGGCAAGCAAGATACCAATGGTGATGCAGAACTGGTAGCCAGCAACAACAGCACCGCGGACCTTGCGGGGCGCGATCTCAGACATGTAGCTGGCTCTGTTAGTGCCTTATCAAACACTGATCTTGTCAGGTGACTCACAGAATGACAATGGCGGAAATGAAACCAACGCCGAAACCAGCAATGAGACGACCAGCAACCATGACGTTGAGGCCAGTGGACGCAGTCTCAAGGATACCGCCGACGCAGAAGATAGCGCAACCCAAGATGATAGTCATGCGGCGACCAATGAAGTCGGCGAGATCACCAGCGATGATAGCACCGAAGAAAGTACCAGCGGAGAGGATAGAGGTGGTCAGAGACTGCTGCCATGATGGGACGCTGAAGAAGCTGTTGCGGTATTCCTTGATCTGGTCGGCGGTCGCATCAGGAGGGAGGGCAATGTCAGGGTACTCGAAGCCTGTGTACTGTTTGATGAAGAACTCCATATTTAAAACGCCTCCCATCCAGCCTGTGTCATAGCCAAAGAAGATGCCACCGAAAGCTGCGAAAGCAACAATCAGATAGGCGCGGACGGTGACGGGCGCCTCGACGCGGTTGACATCAGAGGTACCGGTGACAGGAATAGCTCCACCGCCAGGCATATTTGTTGCTGCTTATTGTAGCGAGGCTGTTGTATCGAGATTGTTGTAGCGAGGTTGTTGTCGTGAGGTTGTTGTTGAAGTGGTGGAGTGGGGTGACAGGTGTAGGAGGCTCTCCAGTCAGGCCGAGAAGCCCCGTGCAACGAAAAGTGAAAGCTGGGATGCCTTTGAAACCGTGCGGAACCCCAGATTTTAATATGGATCTCGGAGAATGATAATGCAGTGCGCACGATGCACGCGTGTTGCTGCAAGAGGACAGCCAGAGTAACATTGCTCACTTTAGCCTATACTCGAATTGGTCACTACTCCGCATCTCACTCAGGAAAGGCTTGTTGCAGGTATCCATTGGCCTTCTGCTCGGCGCATTGGAAGACATCTGCACGCACGGCTGAGACGGCAGCTTGTGTTGTCTTGTCGCTTGCGCTGTGCGGGCTGTGAGTCTGATTGCCTCATGCTCAGGTTTCCCAATTCGGAAATCCAACAGTCGGTCCGGGATGCGGGACACGATAAACCGGGGCCCAAACCTGGGGGGCGCCAAGCCTATCCAAGAGCCACCCGAGTGTCCACGACCCCTGCACCCACCCGGAGCCACGTGCATGAGCCAATCGTTGCTCGACAACCTTGAGTGGACTCGAACTAAATCGCGCTCCATCACATGCTGTGCCGTTTCTTCACCTGTCGCTACGCCCCTGTACATCGCTTCAAGCACGCAACGAATGACCGTAAATCGTCCTCTAGCTTTGTCCTGGTGACGGGCGGTCACATTTGTGTATGCCTACGGCAAGCCACAACGCCCCAGCGCCGTGTCTAAATCAACATTCACATTAACGAGATTGGACCAATGTTTGTGTGTAAGAGCAACAGTACTGTGGACTTCAACATCGCCCTGTGCATCCTCAAAAGAGCTTGTGCAACGCTCGGAGCTAGGTGAGGCGTGGCAGATGCACCCCACCTTACAGAAAGAAGCGCGTGGTGGGGATCCTCCATTGCCAGATTGGCATGCCAATACCTTACAGTGGTATTGATTGGATACCATCTCTGACGCACCAGGTCTGGATCACAACCTGGGACGGATGTCTCCAATGGTCGAAGCCGTTGCATCGAATCTCCCATCGATGGGCACTTCGTACCACATGCCTGTCTCTAGACAATATCAGGAACAGTGCTTCTTCGTCAGCTTGTCACACCAAGGACTAGGCGCAGCCACTTTGCTGTTTACGAAGGACAAGCTGTACTGTGTAGTATTCACAAGCGATTGTGGCACCATTAGTATTGCAGTCACCATTCCCTTTGCGAACCCTGTCGATAGGCGTTCACGAGCACAAACGCCCGACAACGAGCGAATAGTGACAAGTTACCGACCGCGGCATGACTTCCGAGCATAGAATTCCGACCCGCGAGCCCTCGGAGGAGGAGCACATGACGGAGCGACAATGAGCGAATGAAGAGGGCAATTCATCTACCATTACATGAGTGTCACCGGGCGTGGATGTGTTTCCCCCATCGTGAGGAGGTCTGCAACCTCCGAGTATCCAAAGAGTTTGGAAAATGCTCATAGCATCCACTGAGAGAAGCAGGACGGGTATGCGACTGATGATTCACAAGACCTCTAGTGGATAAAAGCTTTGTGCAACTGCAAAATGATCGAGCCAGGTGCGACTGTTTCCGCTGACTACGCGAAAGACATCAGCAGGAACAGAATTCGGGCAAGATGTAACGCGTTTGGACAGACTGCTGATGTTTTGCTGACGTTCACCACAGGTGGGGAAGTAGAGTACCCAGTTTTCCTACGACTCAGTTAGGACGCCCCGCAAAGTCCCCAGATCAGCACAGCTCGTGTAGAGCTTGACTCTCACGTTGCAGGGTAAATGGCGGACTATGAGTAAGCCGGGCATCCTACTAGGTACGCGACAGTAACGTAGGGAGAATACACAAAAGCTTAACAGAATATTTTCTTGCCTACAACATAGGTAGTTCTTACACAAATGTTAGCTTTTAGTATTGTGATAGCTACAAGTTCTATATGAAAGTTAGTGAGCTCTGCTTATCCACCGTTTTTTCTGCAACTTGGGAGCTTGACTCATGCTGGAATCTTTGCTGATTCGTAGTGGTGGTTGTGGAGTCGCGGCCACGCGAGACCCACTTCCGGGAACCACGACAGTTCCGTGGTTTCTCGTACCACCCCGTTGACCATGACACAGAGAATTGGCGTGGACTCTGGCTCCTCAATCTACTCCAGAAGAACCTCACCAGGATCAGTACTTCATGCTTCCACGCCGAGCAGCTAGAAGCTTTAGAAAATGGAACATCGTCAGCAACCAGCATGGGGTACCGAGGTCCTGTGGCAATGCAACATCTCGGGCGAAGTCACCCGACCGTTATGCACCCAGTGAACTTTGTCGCTATGCTGTCGCTGGGGAGCCCCTTGGCGAGGGATCAAAGCGAGATGGACGCATGACCGGGCGTCGTATGCGCCGCACGCGGGAAAGGTCAGGTATGGTGCAACCTGTGCAGTACCACTGGTCACCGATGAGAGTGGTGCGAACATGGTGCCTGTTGGATTCGCGAAGAATAAACGCGCCGCAAAGCGGTTTGAAGGTGCAGTCATCACGTCTGGTCCGGGGGGCTAATCACAAGCGCAATGCGGAGACGGGCACGTGTGGTGCCCTGCGTCAATTCACGAGTCCCTAGGCAGCACGACTTCCTCGCCTCCACGACGAAACCACACCCCCCATAACCTGCACAATATGGCTGTATGCAAACAAACCTTCTAAGAATGCCGTGCACTGACATCCTATAGCCTCGCGAAACTATTGTCATCGATGCGAATCCACCTGCCTATCCCGGCGGCTATGGCAGCATCGAGCCTCGGGCCATCGAAGTGCACCACCATTACACACTGCGCGCGCGCGACTCACGATCGGCTGCTTGCTGCAGGGCCCTCCTTGTACTCATTCTTGTACTCTTTGTCGTCGGGTCCTTTGCTATCGTCGCGTTCGTAGCATGGAACTACCACGAGGTCGCTGAATGCGAAAAGCAGCGGTTGCCATGGGAGAAGCCTTGCAAAGACTGGCTGGGTAAAGATCCCAAGGACTGGAGAGGTCGGAATCTGGCTGCATAAAAGGAACACAACCATCTATACACAACCTGCTTCTCCTGAGCACGGCCTCTTGCTTTTGGGTTTGCAGAGCCTAGACATTTTCGTGCATCGTTCATGGCTCGAATATTGTGTTCAACACAACCACAGTCTTGAGATGAAGTTGCAGCGTGTATGCGTAGTTAGAAGAGACGGTGTCACAACAGCACACATGAACGGAGCAACAGTACTGCTCGGGTTGGTCTGGCAGCGATGATCGAATTCTTCAAAGACAGTCGAGGAGAATATAGAATGAGGACAGCAACGCATTGGAGAGTAGGTTAAACTATCACCTCAATTTTGTAGACGGGAGAGAAGGGAGGGGCCTCTATCAAGAACTCGAGATGCTCGCGATGCTCGAAACTGCAATAAGGTGGCAGCTCAGAGTCGCGGCTTGGTGGCATTTGGCTGACGAATACAAATGTTTCGAGCGTATCACAAACATCACCTTGTCTCATCCTGTCGTCCTTCCGCCAGCTTTTCGTCAACCGTATCTTGCCAAGATGAGGAGCTTCCACGTTCTGGGTATTGTCTACGCTTTAGAAATCCACATATGCATCATGACGCTAGCAGGCGTCTGTCAAACGTGGAAGGTGTTCAATACCTATCGGATATTGCACCAGAAGCTTTGCTGGAACCCATGTCACTGACGAAAGATCATCGCTACGAACAGCGCTCTTCATACCGAAAGTAATACTGGATCGCCACTATCGGTCCACGCATATGTGACGATCCATATTTTCACAAAAAGCTCCAGATCAGCAGTGATTCGCGCACTCACCTCCCGTTTGAACCAGGCAACAACGAACAGCCCCGTGTTCTCAGGCAGCAACATTCTACAAATCCCGCTTACTCGCAACCCTAGTCATATCAGACCACTCTTTCTTTTATCACTCACCTTCACAAACCCCTGCTTAAGCCCCACAATGTCGTCAAAACCCTACACTGGCCCTGACGTCCCCACAATGCTGCAGACCAAGACCCTCGCAGAGAATGTCATAAAATACCACGACCATCCCACCAGCGACAGCATCCTGGACGACCACGAGCTGGGCCTTCTGAAGCGGTTTGTGGAGGATCCGACGAGGCGCGCGGAGATACTGAGGGAGGAGGGGGTTGATCCTGAGGCTGCGTGGGAGAGTCGACAAACGGGGTTGGTGGCGTATGTGGTGTGGGCGCATGGGAGAGAAGAGCGAGATGGGGGAGTGTTGAAGGAGGAAGATTTTGAGCTGCTGAGGGGATGGTTTGCGGGGGGGAAGGTGGTGTAGATGTGTAGTTCGTAGAAGGATGGTGGCGTAGTGGTCTGAGCACATTAACATTGAGGGTTCAAGGCTTATTTACTCATAAGGTAGTACAAGGTTGCACATGCTAGTCTTCTTCTTCTCTCCGAAGTGACCTTCCTCTCTCGTTCCCGTTGTTGATATCACGTATTTTAAGATAACCTGATCGCTTCACTTGCAAACTAACGCTGATTCAGCACGCCAGGCTGTCAAGGCCACCTCCCACCATCACACCTGTCATGCACTCCCGGCGGGTCAGTAGCAAGATCAGCAGCGAACTTTTCTCGGCGAACCACACATCCCAAGCTCTCATTTGCTGTTCATGCATCAGTGATGCTGCTCAGCTTACCGGTCGCGGAACGGAAATGAGCACTCGCTTTGGGTTTCAGGGTCTCCAACCAACAAGCTTCCCGCCCAAGCCGATCGCCCCCGTCAACCAGATGTCGTGCATGCATGGCGTTGCTTGATCCAGCTGCGCAGAGAGGCTGCAGAATGCCCTAACAATCAAGACCATTGAAGACGCACCGCGGGCTGCGAATCAGGTCGCCCGTAGCGCTCCCAACACTGTTTCCTCGTGAAGCCAGGTCCAGGCCCGCCGTGTGAAGGAGTTCACGTGGTGGGCTCGTGTGCGCCGGCTAAGCCAAAGCCAACTTAGCCGACCATCGAATCATCTTGGCAGGCAGGAACGAGCGTGCTCAGACCGCGACTCGCCCCCTGCCTCGACTCCTATCGATTTTTGGAAGATCTCCAAATCCATTTTGGCCGTATTTACGGTCTGACCGCGCCGTGCGCTTATCGCATGCAGCTGGCGGGGTCAATACCAGCTGCCGCTTGCCCCGAGCGGCCTGGCGGAGGTGCAACCCCTGGACCGTACAGGCCTACACGAGCTACGAATAGCTAGCCCTCATTTTACTATCGTATCGTGGGTCGCCCGCCGACGGCGTATCTTGGGTAGGCTTCGCTCTTTTGTCGAGGCTTGTCCCATGGCCTGACGCTTCTTGGTCGACCATTCCTCTCCGTCCTCACACTCGTTCTCGCCGGTGCATTTGCTACCCAGTCGCTCGTTTCCCCACGCGTAATGCCATCATGATTCCCAAAGGGTTCCGCCTTTCGTCCACGCATCTTGTTTTCTACATTTCTACATTCATTATAGCAACACAACTATGGTCTCTGTGGAGCCAGTCGGCGAAGGGTGGATGGAACTCACATGGACCACGTAATTTCGTCTTCGATGCGGATAAGCACGCAAACGTGCACACTTTCAGCCACAACCAGTGTGACAGCTCTTTCCCAAAGCTATACCACAGCCTGGACCAGTCGGTAGCTCGGCGGCAGGGGAGGAAAGTGCACATTGACGATATTGCTATTTCAAAGGGGAGATGTATGCTCCGGCTGTTGATCCACGGAGGCGAGGTATGTGAAGACAGTCCCACGCCGGTTCACATCTAACGACACCAGCTCTTCGTCGTGGATTCAGGCAAGCCGGAAGAATGCTATGTAACGAACGGAAACGAGCGTGAACGCATCCTAGGCACTCTTGCTCAAATCGATCGAGCACTCTCCACATCGCCAACTTCCGACCCTTCCGTACCCAACATTGAGTTCTCACTCTCCCTCGACGACCTGCCGCGACGCTCGAAGGGGAAGGGCGTCTTCATGGGCTACACCCGCAAGGAGGGGCGCGAATACAACGACATCTGGATGATGCCCAACTACGCCTACTGGTCCTGGAACTACACCCACGCGCCCAGCTGGAACAGCATCCGCCGCGAGATCGAGCTCAAGGAGACCGAAATGCCTTGGCAGAAGAAGGACCCGCGCGTGGTATGGCGCGGCAAGATTAAGATGGCGAAGCTGCGCAAAGAGCTCGTGCGCGTCAGCGAGGGCAAGCCCTGGAGCGACATCAAGCCCGTCGTGATCAACAACGCCTCTGACGTGCACACCAAGGACGTCATGAACCTGCGCCAGTTCTGCGGCTACAAGTACACGGTGCAGACCGAAGGCACGTCTTACTCGGGCCGCCTCAAGTACCTGCAGCTGTGCCGCTCCGCGCTCATCACCCACCCCCTCGAGTGGCAGGAGTTCCACACGCACCTGATGCGTCTTGCGGGCCCGGACGTCAACTACATCGAGGCGTCCGAGAACTTCGGCAACCTCGAGGCCGCCATGGACTACTTCCGCGAGCACGACGACGAGGCCGAGCTCATCGCGCAGAACAGCTACAACACCTTTGCTCGCCGTTACCTGACCCCTGCAGCCGTAAGACTCCCCATTGCTTGTGGATTAGTGCACCCGCTGACTGTCTTTAGGTAACATGCTACTGGCGCCGGATGTTCTGGTCGTGGTCGTCGGTGCAGGGGTATACACCACAGCTGTACACGGCGGATAAGGAGGGCAACATGGTGATGCGCGGGACGCCGTGGACGGCGTTTGCGGCGAACTGGCCGCACGATCCGTCGGTGATTCCGTGAGGGCGTGAGATAGTGTTCAGGCGTTCAGGATAGATACGATACCCGCGTTTAGCGTCATGAGCCAAGCAAAGTGCAGTAGTCCATGGAGACGAGTTGAATGCGCTTGGAGTCGGTGATGTTGGTGATTCGCCGCACGTGACTCTTGGTGCAGCCGCATGCGGGCAAGCGCGGCCCCGTCGAGCACCTCCGCCGACGAACCCACAAGTCTGCACCGAGACACACCCACGGCATGGCCCTAATCGCGTCGCGGCCCGGCCCTGGCGACATCATCGACTTCAACGACGCGCCGTCGTCGCCAGAGCCGCCCCCCCAGGTCCACACCGGGCCGCTCTACACGTCGCGGCCGCTGTGCGACTATGTCAGTGCCGACGACTACCATGAGGGCCTCAAGCAGATCCGCGCGCACCTGGGCCGCGACTGCGGCTTCGGCATCGCCATCTCGCGCACCAAGTCGTACACGCCCACCAAGACGGGCGAGCGCAAGATCACGCGCGTGATGCTGCAGTGCGCGCGCTCCAAGGAATACAAGAGCAAGGGCGTCGGCCACAAGGTCTATGCGACGCGCATGACGGGCTGCCCGTACCGCGCGAAGATGCAGCCGCACCCCGGCGGCGGCTGGAAGATCCTGTCCGTGTGCAACGACCACAACCACGAGCTCACCGACGTGCTCGACGACCGTGGCATGCCGCCGCGCGCCCGCATCGCCGCGCCCGCCAGTCGCAAGCGCAATGCCGACGGCGACTTCACCCCGCCCGCGCCGAGTACCTACGTCAACATCCCGCCGCTCGTCCCACCGCCCGTGACCACCAACTGGCCCGCCACCACGCCCAGCGGCATCCGGCGCGTCGTGGTGCCGCTGCAGCAGCGCCTGCTGACCATATCACGTGCCCAGTTCCCCATTGACCAGCCCATGTTCCTGGTCTACAACGAGCAGTTCCAGTCGATGCTGGGCACCGCCGCCGAGCTCAAGGTCGCCTTCGAGGAGGACTTCCCGTTCGCCTACCAGGGCGGCGTCTACACCCCGGCCAACGACGTGCTGTACGTGACGAGCAATCAGTACAACCTGCCCACCGGCCAGGACAAGGTCGCCGTCGTCAGCAAGATGACGCGCAACATCTACAACCAGTGGACCCGCGCCCAGGTGCCAAACCAGGTCCGCAATCCCGCTGGCGGCGCGGCCTACAGCGACGGCGTGCTCGACGGTATCCTGTTCTGCGCCCAGGGCGATCTCGAGAATCCCACCGGCCTTGTGCACATGGAGGCCGACTACCCTTTCCGCATGCGCACGCTCGTCAACAACTACTACGGCCGCCGCTTCAACTCGCCCAAGGACATCGCAATCCACTCGGACGGCAGCATCTACTTCACCGACCCTGTATACGGCCACGACCAGGGCATGCGGCCGCAACCCGAGCTGCCGAACCAGGTATACCGCTTCGATCCGCATACGGGCGATGTCAGAGTGGTTGCCGATGGATTTGGGCGGCCGAGTGGAATCTGCTTCAGTCCCAGGGAGGCAACGTGCTACATCAGCGACACAGAGTTCATTCACGGCAACGGGCACGTGGACTTTGAGAAGGCGAGCACCATGTATGTTCACTCTACGAGCTGCAGGTATCCAACTAACACTGCACAGCTACGCGTACGATGTCGGCGACCGCGCGCAGTCCAAGTTCCTCATGAACCGCCGCGTCTTCGCCATGGCCGATGTGGGCGTGCCCGACGGACTGAAATGCGACGTCGCCGGGAACGTGTACGCGGCGTGTGGCGACGGCCTGAGCGTGTGGAGCCCGGGCGGCGTGCTGCTCGGCAAGATCCTGGTCCCCGGCGGCCTGGCCAACTTTGCCTTTGGCCGCAAGGGCGAGCTGTTCCTGCTCAACGGGAAGAAGCTGTGGTTGCTCAAGGTCGCCGAAACCGTCAAGGGCGCCACCGTTAACCGTGAGGCGCTACGATACGAAGAAGTCGAGTAGAAAACAAGTTCTATCTCAGCGCTTTTCCTTCTCCCCTGTAATGAATTTCCGCACCCGCCGCTCCGCTCCCATGTACCCCATCCCGTCAATCACCCCTTCTCGCTCTACCCATACCGGCGTTTCCTCGTCCTCGTCTCCACCGAACCTCCGCTCCCCAGCTTCTTCCTCGTACTGCCGCACATACGCGTCTTCCACATACGCCCACCCAGGCCTCTCGCAACACCCCACCGCGAACACGGTCCGCTCAGCCTGTAGCTCCGCCATCGCGCCGTCCAGCGCCCGCGGCACAAGCACCTGCACCACGCCGCGCACCGGGTCGAAGCCGCGCACCAGCGCCACGCATATGAGGCGCGTGGCACGCGGATCGGGTGGTGTAACAACGCCCGTTGCTGCGTCGAGCGGAAAGTACGGGATTTGCGAGATGGGCGTGCGTGGCAGCGTGGTCTGCGGGGCGGGTGTCTGTAGGATGTGGATTACCGCGCCGGAGAGGTAGTGCAAGAGTGCGGAGGCAGGGGGCGGGGTGGTCAGCGCCAGGAAGCCGACGAGCGACTGTCTGTGCGTTGGCGTCGAGCGATATGCGAATTCCCAGGGTCGCAGGGTGGTGAGCGGCGCAGCACTCCAGGTTGGAGGTGCGACGGTCGCGAGATGGAAGTAGGACTGCGTCGCCATTGCGCGGAGAGCGGCGGGTGAGCGGTATGGAGTGGCGAGTGCGCGCTGTGCGGTGATGGTGTGCAGGGTGCTATGCTTTACGCTCGTGTCGCGTAGCGCCGGCAGCGGCTCGTCGCCCATCTGTACGATCTGCTGCGGTTTGCAGCGCCGCACCAGCTGCGTCAGAATCGCGCTGTGCGTTGTCGCCAACCACCCCGGCGTGTTGATCACCAGCGACAGCGCTGGATCGCGCGCACTCAGCGCCCGGAACGCAAGACACAGGTCCTCGACACACGCGGCATAGTAGTCCTGATAGTCGCCGAGCTCCAGCGGCACGACATGCGCGCGCACTGTCTCATTCACCTCGGCCCCCTCGCCCCCCGCGGCCACAGGATGCGCAAACGTCGGCCCCAGGTTCAGCTCGCGCACGACGACCAGCGCGATCTGGCCTGGTGGCGCGTACTCCTGCGCGCCGGGGTCGAGATCGAGAAACGCGACCGCGGGCACCGCGGGCTTCGTACGCCCCAGGCCCGTCAGGTAGCGGTTGATCAGGCGTGTGCAGAAAGAGGATTTCCCGGTCTCGGGCAGGCCGGCCACGAGCGTGGTGTTCGGTACGGCGGCGCAGTCCTCCACGGCGCGCAGCCAGGTCTCAGGCGCGGCATGGGGCTGCAGCGGGCGCCCGAGGGGGTCCTCTGCTGTAGTTGTGATCTGCGGGAGTAATCAGCGCCCGTCACAACACACATCCCCCGCAAGAGAGAAACAGAAGAAGAAGCAGACTCACCACCCCAAACGACCGCCCTCTCTCCCCCGCTACCCCCTCATTCCACAAACCCTCCCACACGCTCCCCAACCGCCCCATCCCTGCGTCCTCGCACCCCACAAACCGCACCCGATTCTCGCCATCCAAGCCCCTGATCTTCAGCACAGGGTGCGTCGCAGGCACACTTACGCGCCACGGCCCCGCGCGCTCGCCGTCGCGCGTCACAGCGCCCAGGTTCGCGCCGTCAATGTTGATTGCGCCCCGGAGCACGTGCAGATCGAAGGTGCCGAGCAGCGCAATGGTGCTGTTCTTCGCGAGCGTGATGGTTAGTTCTGCGGCGGTCTCGGCGTGGATGGCGGAGGGCGCGTGCGTCCAGGTGCTGAGTTTGGTGGCGCGGGCGGGCGGTGGTGAACTGTCGGACTCAGACTCAGAGGGCGAGTCTGGGGCTGGGGAGGCGGCATGCTCTGGCGTGAGCGCAGGGGCGGGACTCGCTGCGGCTTGCGGCTCTGGGGTGGCTTCCTTCTCAGCAGCGGTTTTGGCGGCTTCGGCGCGCAGGCGCGCGGCGGCGATGGCGCTGAGCGGCTTGTCTGTCCGGGCGGGCGGCTCTGCACACCGCGTCAGGAGGGAGTTGGGGTGGGTGGCCGGTGGGCTTACTTGGTGAGGCGGTGGGGGCGGGGGAGTCTAGTTTCCTTCTCTTGACTGGCATGTTGGGCGGCGGCTCCAAATGTTTAGTGATTCTGCCTCTTGAGGGTGTCCAGTCTCAGTCAATGGGTGATGCAGGTTTGATATGTCGCACTATCTCTTTTCCCGCTGGACTTGCAACGAGGATGTAATTTATCTCGTGATGCTCAAACCGGAACTGCAATACTCGCACCACTCTCGTTGTGTTCAGCCAGTCTTGCCATGTTCGTTACACTTGGAGGAAGTCGGACTTCATGATACCTTCGCGTAGCTCCAGACAGTCTCTAGCCTATTCGGTCCCTAGCGCGCGCTCACCGCCCGGCGACCGGCAGAAAAGTCATGAGAAGCTCCGCTCAATCGCAAGACAGAAACCGCGACCACGCAATGTCAGCCAAACGAACGCCGGTGCCGCTGCCGGGCTCCAAGCCCAAGAGCAAGTCCAAGGTCGCGCCCCCGAAATCGTCGCTGAGCCAGGAGCTGGTGGGCAGCGACGACGACTCGTCGACCGACAGCAAGAAGACCAAGAAGACGCCGAAGCCCAAGGCTACCATTGGCGTGCACAGGCCGAACGGCGCTGCGAAGACGGCCGCGAAGGACAAGCCCACACCAAAACTCACGCCCAAGGTCACGCCAAAGGTCACGCCAGTGCCCGCGCCCACGCCCACGCCCAAGAAACCCGCGCCCAAGACGGTCACCGCAGCCAATGTCGAAGACCTGTCCAGCTCCGACGTCTCGGACGACAGCGACGTCCCCGCGAAGACACCCGGCGAGGTGGAGATGAAGGATGCCTCGAGCGACAGCGACAGCGACAGCGACAGCGACAGCAGCAGCGAGTCGGACAGCTCGAGCGCCTCGGACGCCGCGCCCGCACCGAAGTCCACAAAACCCGCGCCGCGCGTGCAGGAGGTCGAGATGCGCGCCGCCGCGCCGTATGCGCCGCCCAAGGGCTACGTGCCGGTGTCTGAGAAGGACCGCACGGGCTCAAAGGCCGCTAGGATCTTCGACAATCTGCAGGGCAAGCAGGTCTGGCACATCACCGCGCCCGCGGGCGTGTCGCTGAAGGAGCTGGAGAGCATTGCGCTGGACAAGGCGATGAAGGGCGACGCGGTGCTGAGCCAGAAGGGCTCGGACTACGGCTTTTCCACGACAGAAAAGAGCGTCGACGGCCCGCGGGAAGTGCTGGTGCTGCAGAAGAACGGCTACAGCGCCGGTACGTGTGTCACTTAGCAAACATGGCCTTTCCTACTAACCTACGACAGTCCCCGCCAAGATCTCGCAGACCCTGCACCTGCAGGAACTCGTCCGCCTCCCCAAACTCAGCGCAAAGCAGGCCGACCCCAACACCGGCTCCGAAGCCGCCGCCTCCATCACGCGCTCAACCATCCGCGCCCCGCGCCCGCAGGCCAAAGGCCTGAAGATGCGCTACCTGCCCCTGGGCTTCGTGGGGGCTGACAGCGGCGGCGTGCTGGGCGAGTCGGACGCCGAGGACGACGCCGTGCCGCAGGCGCACGCGGGGCTGGCGGCGCCGAACGGGCTGAATGTGCCGGGCAAGGCGAAGCGGAAGCTGGCCGACGCGGGCGAGGAGGCCCCGGCGAAGAAGGTCAGGAAGCAGAGGTCGCCCGAGGAGGTGAGGAAGAGGGACGAGAAGAAGGCGAAGAAGGAGAAGAAGGCCAAGGCATGAATGAGTGCATTGATTGAGTGAGTTCACGGCGTTTGGGAAAATCATGTGGGAGCATAGCATTCTGTGTATATGAGTTTGGCGTGGGACGATGGCTCTGGCCACTGTTTGTGGGGAGGTGAGAGCACGTGGACAATACCCGTCAGTAGTCAATGTGTCACAAGACTTCGCAGCAGCCAGCTGTCAACAAAACATACCATAAAGAGGTATACAAGATATTTCAGCTTTAACGTTAGCACTTTATTGTTTAGTCTAGTGTGCTTCACTATTACTTGCGGAGAGGTGCTGCTAGAAGAAGAGTATCTAAGGGTCTACAATCATTACTTACCCCTGCCATACTGTACAGCCGAGCAAAATCAACCGGATCCCCGGATGATCGCCAGACCTACCCGCTTTGAGAATTTATACACATGTTGTCCACCGACGTCACTCACTTCCTACACCAAGAATATCCCAAACAGTGTACAACACCACCACCACCATGCCACCCCCACCCCCCCTCCCAGACTCCAACACCGCCCTAACCTTCACCGCCCCCTCCACCCCACCCCACCTAACCCACACCCCCCTCCCCACCCCCTCCCCAACCCAACTCCTCCTCCGCCTCCACACCGCCGCCATAAACCCCGTCGACATCCAACTCTGGGCCTCGCCGCTCCTCGGCCTGCTCGCCGGCCGCCGCGAAAAAGGCCTCGGCCGCGACTACGCCGGCACCGTGGCAGCCGTCGGCGCGGGGCTCAAGGGCCGGTGGGAGGAAGGGGAGCGCGTGTTTGGGCTCGTTAATCGGCCGGCGGGGGAGGGCGCGTTTAGCCGCTACTTGCTCGTGGAGCCGGGGAAGGAGCCTGTGGCCAGGGTGCCGCGCGCGTGGACCGACGTGCAGGCCGCCGCGGTCCCGCTGGTCGCGCTCACGGCGTACGCGTGTCTGGCGTGGCTGCCGCCTGCTGTCAAAGCGGAAGAGGGCGAGAGGAAGAGGCGCGTGGTCGTCGCGGGCGCGAGCGGCGGCGTCGGCGGCTGGGTCGTGCAGCTCGCGGCGCGCGCGGGCTGCCACGTAACGGGGATCTGCTCTGCGGCCAACGCGGCGTACGTGCGCGGGCTGGGCGCCGACGAGGTGCTCGACTACGGCGCGCAGGACGTGGTTGCGGCGCTGCAGCAGCGCGTCGAGGAGGCGGGCCAGTACGATCTCTACGTCGACTGTGTCGGCGGGACGCAGTTGTTTGGCTGCTGGACACGCGTGCTGAGTCGCAAGGGCGCGTATGTGACGATCGTCGGGGACAAGACGGGGCGGACTGCGCTGGGGGGGCCGGTGACGTATTTCACGTATCCGGCGCAGGTGGCGCGGTTTGTGTATGGGTATTTCTTCGGGCCGCGGTATGCGAATGTGCTGTTGCTGCAGCAGGGAGAGCTGTTGGAGCACGTGGCGCGGTTGGCGGATGAGGGGGGCCTGCAGGTTGTGGTGCAGGATGTGGTGGAGGGGATTCTGGATGAGGAGGAGCATGGGGAGGCGTGGGAGAAGGTCAGGGGGTATATGGAGGGGGGGAGGGTGAGGGGGAAGATTGTTGTTAGGATTGCAGACTAGGGCAATGGGTTGTGGGTGGAGAGTTAAGGCGAACGGGCTAATCCATGAGAATGAATAGTCAGGCTTCATGTGGTGCTGCTAGACACTTTTGTGAAGACCCAAGTCAACGGATGCTCAGAGACTCCAAGGAGCTCCACATGTGGCAGGCCTTTGAAGGACTTCAAGAACCGTGCAATGAGTTGTGGGTCCATATCGGAAATCTTGCCCAACATGAAGCGTTGATTATTGATATGATCATAACGAATCCTATCGCAGACATGACCGTGTTTTGCTTAAAGATTCTCTGGGGAACACCCGCTTTCAAGTTTCAGAGGAAACGGCAGATAAGACCCTAAGTTCACCAACTTTGCAGAATACTCAACTTGTAGCCATCATAATACCTAAAGCTAGAATGTAGTCAAATGGCACCTATATTGTAGGCTAAAAAGTACTATATAGAGTTTTAGAGTATTTCCCCTACCTTACTGTCGTGTGGTGCAATTGGCTCATATTCTTAGTTCACCGTTTATTCTGCAACGTGAGAGACCCGTATAGGTAAGAGAGTGCATCCTGCTCCAGTACTTTATTTCCACAAATCATCAAATTGCACGTCGAGGCTCAAAAAATTTATGCATTACTGTTTGCACACTCATCAGTAGTTGCTATATACACAGACTATTCATCATCGTCATATCTCATGTGAGCTCCATATATACACTGCCACATTATCATAAACACGGACCTAGTTTCCGCCCCACCAGACATAGTTGTTAGTCTCCTCGGGCGTGTCAAAGACAAGCTCAGAGCTCGAGTTGAGCGGGCGCTCCGGGAAAGAGTTCGCCGTGATCTCCCACGTCTTGAGGTCCGACACCTGGACGGTCGAGTTGTCGCCGACGTAGATGCCGAAGTTGGTGCTGTCGAGACGCGCGGGGTAGATGCGCGTTGTCAGCCAGAAGCGGTCCTGTTTCATGTTAGGCATAGCTGGGATATCGGATGAGAGGGCTTACGTTGATGTAGACTTCTACAAGGGAGCCGTCAACAAAGATGTCCATGTGCAGCGACTCGGTGGTGCCGTTGGCGAAGGTGTAAGGGTAGAAGTAGCCTAGCATGGTGTAGTTGGCGAATTCGACGATGGTCGAGGAGTGGGAGCGGTCGACGTTGACGGTGTAGTTTGAAGGGTCGTAGTAGATGTGGGTGTATTCCTCGCCGCCGGCACTGGCCGCGATTGTGACACCAGCAGGGCCGGTGCAGTTGCTGAGAGTTACAGCGAGCTCCATGTGGGAGCTGCCCTCACCGACAAGCATACTGGTGGTCCAGTTGGAGATGGCGTTGATGCTGCGCTCCTCGCCACGGAGGGCCTCGACAACATCAGGTAGGGGACGAGCGCCGAGGGTGTAGCCAGTAAAGGTACCATTGCCGTGCTCAACAGTGCGGGTGTTGCCCTTGGAAGTCAAGGCCCCGTCGGTGTTGACCAGACCGCGGGTCTTGATGACGTACATCTCACGAGGCAGAGCCATGGCGCCCTGGTAACCGCTCTGGGAAATACCGAAGTTGTTGTTCTCCTCGTTGGCCCATCCCCACTGAACGCGGCGGTTGTTCTTGGTGTCGTTGAAGCTGGTGACGGCGTAGAGGAGACCGGAGTCGATGACACCACCAGAGACAGGAGTGAATTCAGCGGATCCATTCTCGCGTCTGGTAACCTGGCCCTCGTTCCACAGACCCCACTGGGCGCGAGGGTGCCACGTGAGATTACCACCTTCCGTACCCATGAGGGCATAGTAGTGGACATCGTCATCCTCGTCGGCCAGGGAGAAAAAGTTGGACACCTCGAAGTTGAAGCCGTAGGTTCCGGTCTCGAGCAGCGAGCCCAGTGTCTGGTTTGGTTTTGGCTCCCACAGGGCGCCGAGGAAAGTCCAGTCTGTCAAGTTGGACTGAGGAGCAGAGTAGAAGGGGATGCGGCCACCTCCACTCTCACCCTTGATACCGGAACCAAGCACCATGTACCAATGTGGCTCTGTCTGGCCAAGGATCGCATCCATCTCAGGCCAGGGCTCAACGAAGGGATCGCGCCAGCCGGTAACGTTCCAGCCTTCAGGGTGGTCCGAGATAATTGGGTTGCCCTCGTACTGTTCCCAAGTCTCACCGCCATCATTGGAGATGGCAATGGCCTGCTTCTCAGTACCATTGATGTAGGGAAGGGCCCAATTGGTGGGCAGATACTGGACGGCTGTGTAGAACGCGAGGAGGGTACCATCTTGCCCACCCGTAAGGTTGTAGGGCTGAGCAGAACCACTGAAGATACCGAGACCGTAGTAGGACGAGTTCCGGGAGTCTGGGTCGGGACCAGTACCAATAGACTGTGCTTGATCATTCTCCCAGCCACCGACATCAGTCCATGTCACGAGATCCTTAGATGTGGCGTGGCTACGTGCATTAGCGTGGTAAGTTCAAGTTTTGAATCTGACATACCCCCATGAGATGTTGCCCCAATTGACGTGGTTAGGGTGCCATTGGTAGTGTAGATGATATGTGTCGGTGGTGGGATCGTACAGCATACCACATGGATCCTATGCAGATGAGCATGATGTCGAGGTGCTAAGGTTTGAGGCACCTACGTTTAACCAACCGGCAGGGGATGTGAAGTGGTACGTAGGCCTCCACCTGTTGAACAAGGTGTTGTTGCCCATGCTCGAGACCATATCCGCGGTGAGAACATCAGGTCCCATCGACGGTGAGCTCGAGTTCTGCGCAAGGGCAGACCCGAGCACGTAGCTCAGTACAGCAATTGACCAATGCATTATGTTTGAGGATTGTGGAAGACAGACTTGAGGCCGACAATGAACTGACCCGACAAGCAGGAAATCCAAGAGCTTTATGTAGTCACCGGAGTACTCTGGTCAATGCAGAGACTTACTGATGTGTGGCAGGGATACATCATGCCCCAGAACTTGAACATCCGACCACCAGGATCGAGGCTATACTCGTTGTATGCATGGCTGGGGTCGGGGCACAGCGGAGGTATGTCATAGACTGTATTAGTCCTCCACAACCCCTCATGGCACCCCACAACAGACGCAAGCGTTGGCGTACATCATCGTTCTCGAACGCGTATGGGAAGGCTCCAATCCAGCCTCTGTGCCTGCGATCAAGCTGGCTACGGATGGCGTGGTAGTTAGCAGGCTTCCTGGCAGCGAAGCACCCACCGCTAAACTTGAAGTGCTCATTCAGTGTGCAACGGCGTCCACATGGTTTTTCAAAATTCACCCGACTTGAGTCGTTTGCGATGGAGCGTGCCTTTAAAATTACCGTAAAAGGCCCAGCGCTGGATGGTAAGGCTTCTGTGCCTGGCCGAATAACCTCCCGAGCGTGCACATACCAGCTCAGGCACTTCTCGGCAGATGGCTGCAGGGTTGATTCATGACAGAAATGGACTTGGACTTGCGTGGAACAATGTGCAACCTTGGTTCTAGCCTTACCTTCGTTTGATAAAAATGCCGCAATGAGGCTCTGCGAAGTCTTTCAATTTTGGCGATGTTTGACGACGGCGAAAGCTTGACAAAACCTGGGGAAAGCGGGATGCGGAGGTGCAAGCGCTGATGTCATCTCGCTATCGATAATCATCGATCACGTGCCGGACCTCCGAAACGTGGCAGCTTGCTCCATCGCAATGAGCTTCAATGCTGACAGCAACGCGCTCTCTCACCACCTTGAGTAGCAATGCCATTTAATTCCTGAGCTTCCGACGCTTTGTTGATACAGCATGGGCCGCCTCAAGTTCTACGTAGCGGTGAGTTCTAACTGCCTCCAAGCAGCCTCGCATACTGACAGCTGCAGGGCTCGGCCATTATGGCCAACATCGTGCTTGCACGCGCATACTGCGAACGCCCCAACTTTTACTCGGCTGCCGTCTACATCTCGCAGAGCACTGGCTCGCTGATGTTCCTGGTCAATTTGATGCTCATTGTCGCAGCAAGCTTCGGATATGGACTCCAGCGCCTCTTCTACGGCCCACTTCGCCCTATCGAGACCGAACAGCTATATGACAAGGCCTGGTTTGCTGTCAGCGAGACATTACTGGCAATGACCATCTTCCGGGACGATATCGGCTTGTGGTTTTTCACCATGTTCCTTTGCCTCCTCGCCGGCAAGGTCTGGCAGTGGATCGGAGAGGGGAGAGTCGAGTTTCTCGAGCAGCAGCCGCCGGCAAACCCACGACTGTTCCACACTCGTCTGGCCAGCTCTCTGCTGCTTTCGGTCTTCTTCGACGTCTTCATGACCCAGTATTGCGTCTCCTCCATCCTATCAGCAGCTCGGCCAGGCGTCATGGTCATGTTTGGCTTCGAATACGTTCTGCTTGCGATCGCTTCGATGTCGACGCTCATGCGCTACGGCCTGTCGCTCGTCGAGCTAGCCATTACACAACGCCAGGAGAAAGCGAGAGACGAGGCCCGAACGATCGCACGAGAACAGGCGCGCCAACAGGGTGCGGATGCCCCGGCCGAAGTCGAGGACGAAGACGATGACGCGGACGTGCCTGGATGGGAAGAGAAGGGTCGCTGGGTCTTCTACTTGGACCTTGCAACCGACTTCGTGAAGGCCTCGGTCTACCTGGGATTCTTCACCGTCCTCATGACGTTCTACGGCATTCCAATCCACATCATGCGAGACTTGTTCATGTCTGTTCGTTCGCTTATTAAGCGAATCAACGACTTTATCCAGTATCGGAACGCGACCCGCGATATGAACACTCGCTACCCGGACGCGACTGGAGACGACCTGAGTCGAGAGAACATCTGCATTGTCTGCCGAGAAGAAATGCGACCCTGGAATCCACCTGGCGCTGAAGAGGCGCAGCCAGGGCGCAGGGTGGATGAAAGACAACGACCAAAGAAGCTGCCGTGCGGTCATATCTTGCACTTCAGCTGTCTCAGGAGTTGGCTCGAACGACAACAGGTCTGCCCAACTTGCCGAAGACCTGTACTTGGGGAGGCCACAGCTCAACCCGCGCAACCAAACAATCCAGCGAACCCAGCTGCACAGAACCAGCAGGACCAAGCAAATGCGCCATTTCAAGGCGGACTGCGAGGTTTCTTCCCGGGCAATGCGCAGCCACCAGCTCCCAACCAGGCTCAGCCCGGTGCACCTCCTCAGGGCGCGCAGCCGAATCGTCCGGCTGGCAACATGCGTGTGTTCAACTTTGGTCCTTTCCGGATTGCTCTTGGAAACCTGCGTCTACCAGCGGAACAAGCCGGCAATGCAAACAACGTGAGGAACGCTATCGATCAGCTAAGACAGCAAGCTGTTGCAGGCCAAGCACCGCAGGCACCCGTGGAGTGGCAGCAAGGCCAAGTTCCCTCACAGCCTATGCTCTCCAACGCGGCCCCCAACGTGGCCATGGATCAGATGGGTGCAGCTCTTGCGCAGCAGCCTGTCGATATTCGTTATGACATATTGCGCATTCAGCAACATATCATACAGCAGCTTCGCCAGCTGAACGTCCAGAGCGAGCAGCTAGAGGTTTCCTCTCGACTCCTTGTTGAACTTAACCGCCTGAACGCTATGTCAGTGGCTGGACAGCAAACAAACGCTGCTGCTCCATTGGATGCACAGAATGCGAGTGCCTTCGCACCGCAAGCATACTTTGCCAGGGGTCAGGCCCTGAGGCAGGGCGATATCGGTGTTCCCCAAGGTTTGACGCTCCCAGAAGGCTGGTCACTGAGGCCTATGGCGCTGGCTGCGCAATCAGGTCAGGAGAGCACACCACTGCCTTCGCAGTCAGCGGCCAGTGTCCCAACCGCGGCAACCGCAGCGACCGCAATACCAGAAGCTCAGCCTACTCCCGTTGTCACACCAACAGTACATCAAGCACAAGCAGATTCAGCACCGACACAAGCTGCACCTACGACGTCATCAGATCCAGCTGTGCCTGCCACAGCCTCATCGCCCAAGCCCGCTGCACCAAGCTCACTCGGATCAAGCTGGAGCTTTGGCGACATCCCCGAGCGAAGCGAGCCCGAAGGATCGAGCTCCGCAGTCGCAGGCAGCAGCTCGGAGGGACATGTGACGAAGCGGGCAGTGACCGTGGAAGATGCCGAAGACAACGAACAGTAGAGTTACAGACATTGCATTGCATAGCGCGGCGTTTGGATTATATTTGCAGCGAGTGAGCATAAGCCTCGGCAGGCATAGATACCCACATACTTGTGTCCGAAGCAGACACGCTCGTCCTCCGTGATTCGACCTCTACGTGTCGCAGAGTGAAGCATGTGCGTGCCCAACCACCTCAACATTCGCTGTTCGCATATTGTCGACGTGCGTTGCTGTACCTCTACCTTGCTGTCCACTCAAGTACCCCAGCCTCGCCAGGCTCCACTTCGCCGCAGCGCCCATTGACAACTTTCATAAGTCTCACCGCATGCGCTTTGTGCGGGGAGCTTGGCCAGTACAGTGGCAGTACCTATGCGGTGGTCCCGCCTAGCCCATCATTGTGCAGGGATAGCGCGAACACGTCAGCCACTAAGATTCACAATCCGGTCCAAGAGGCGGCCTCGAGGCGGCTACATGCGTCCATGAGTAGCGTCCGCACAGCACCGGGTTGAAACGGTGCGAGCTTGAAAGGTAACACCCAGTGAAAGCTGCAGGAACCGCAGAGCGGTTAGCCTCGTTAAGCTAAAAGGGTTGGGATGAAGCTCGCGGATGGGTGACCAGGCCCGCCTGGGCTACCGCACCGATTAGGGATGACTCTTTTGCCTTCGCTAATACTTCGACAGCGAAGCAGTTTCGCACTCCAATATTCCTTCTCTTTCCTCTTGTGTTTCGTTCCTACTGTCAATGCATTCGCGGGCGAATTGAAGACATGGCGGTGAAAACACAAGAGAAGCCCCACAAGGCTGTAGACGATGGCGACGTCGCGAATTGCGTGCATAATTTGATTGAAGCATTCACAAACGGTCTCAACATCTTCAAGCGCTTGCGTGACAGAAGGCGAAAACACAAGGCGCGCAAACATAACGAAACACTTGAGCCCATAAACAGCGCCGAGTTGCAGCTGTCCAATTCGTTGCGCAGGGGCCCACAAGATCTAGAGGAAAAGTATGAAGAGTGCTACAGCCAGAGTGGCATGGGGCGCAGGTTTGCAACAGGTGACTGTAAGTCACTGACCCCCGCTCTATCTACAGTACTGATCAGTCTTAGCAATCGCTCATGCGTCTCTTGCCGAGATCTTGATGAGGCTCAATACAGGCCTCGTAAGCATCATCACCACCTTCCTGCATCATGACCAAGGCACCCATGGCCAGATGAAGATGAACTACAAATCTTTGACAGATCTGTCCGAAGCGTCAAGGCGAGATGCGCTGACAAGCATGAATCAACTGTACCAGCGCTTGAGCCAATCGCAACTGCAAATCCACCCTGCGCTTAGAACCCAGGCACCACAGTACAGCGAACTGTCAGGCAACAGTTCCGACTCGAGTAAAGACAACAGGAAGTCCACAGCTTCGCGCCGCCGCCCCAGTGGCTCGCACGTGACGCGTATGCCAACCAAGAGCGGAAGCCAGCCCCAACTCTGCATGGTGCGATCCAAGTCAAGAAACACAGCAAGAAAAGAGTCCATCCCGAGTAGCTCCAGCGCCTCGAAACCCGGTTCGAAGTCGGCCTCGCCCTACGCGTCTCCCTACGCGTCGCCCCTGCAGTCGCCAGTCCCTGAATACGCTGTGCTAGACCCAATGATCTTCAGCAGACTAGACTACAAGAGCGCCCACGCGCCACCCCCAGACCGGAAACGCATCGACTCGCTCGAACCCGTGCACCCCGTCGCCTGGCCCGCGTACGCCCAGCCCTCCGACTACTTCTCCGTAACGCCGGGGCACCGCCCCTCGCCCGCCCCCAGGCTCTCCACCGCTCCTGCCAAGCTGCCCACCGCGGCCCCGAAGCCCTCCTCCGCGACCCCGAAGCCCTCCTCCGCGACCCCGAAGCCCTCCTCCGCGACTCCCAAGCCCTCCTCCGCAACCCCGAAGCCCTCAACCTCAAATCCAAAGCCATCCACCTCAACCCCGAAACCCGCCACCGCAACACCCGCGCGGAAACCCGTCCCCTCCACCTCCACCTCCTCATCGACCAAGAAACCCCCGCCCATCCCCCTAAAACCCTCTTCCCTGAGCAACACCACGAAACCCAGCGCCACGCCCGCGCCCCCGACCCCGGCGCCCCTCAAACGGCGCCTCGACAAACCCACGCCCAGCTCGTACACGTTCGCCAGCGACTCGACGAAGCTGGGCGAGATACCGGAGACGCGGTGGGCGCGGCCGTGGGACTACGAGAGGGCGGAGATGCTGAATAATCTTGCGGCGGCGGCGGCAAGGGTTAGGGCGCCTGAGGGGCGGGATAGGGAGCGGGAGCGGGAGCGCGAAAGGGAGAGGGAGAGTCTGAAGGCGGAGAAGACGGGGGAGAAGGAGAAGGGGGGTAAGGGGTTGTGGTTTTGGAAGCGCGCGGAGACTGCGTAGCGTCTCTTGTTGTTTTGTGTGCGGTTTCCTTTGGGGTTGGAGTTGCTGGATTGTGTTTTCCGCGAGTTTCCTGCGCCTGGGATGGGATTTCCTCGGGTCTTGTTGTTGGATTTTTTACTGAGCGGTTGGGTGTTTTATTAGGTGGTTTTGGCGTTTTGATTTCACGAGTGATGAGTTAACGGCCGTGGCATGAGCGATTATACCCGCATTGGTGTAGCAAGCGTTTTGGAGCGCGGCTACTTACCTGTACTTGATAACAATTAAATGTTCTCGTATCACTTCCTTGGCTGAGATGGTGGTGCTCGTGAAGGCACGGAGATGTTTGAAAACATGTGGACGCCGCTGTCTACATCCTCGCGGTCTTCAACGTAAATATTCGAGGGCTCGAATTGTCTACACGGTGGGATAGATGCAGAAAGAACGACACGAAATGGAAAGAAAGTCGCATTGCGATTATTCAGATGTCCAAACCCGAAATTGCGATACATCAGAGCGGTGTAAACGCGTCTACTGTACTAGATTCCAATACCACAAACGATATGAACCTGAATGCAACTGACAACGCAATGCGTGCGCCTTTGACACCATCTCACAACGGCCTCAGTATACCGAACTTATACACGTTCAGCTGCTCCAAGCACACCGCTGCAGCAACGTACTTCCAGCTCCGCAACACGACCTCGTTCTCCCATCCCTTTGTTTCGAGGCTGATCTTGAAGCAAGCAATCGCACGCGGCAAGGCCTCGGGGTCGTCTGCACCCTCCCAGTCTCCATCACCGCGGACCATGCGTCCAGTGATATCGCTGACGTCGCGGTCGAATCGCTCCTGAACTTCTAGATTGGCCTCGCGGATGTGTCGGCTTGATGCACGCTGCTTTTTGCCCAGGATGTTGCCGGAGAAGACCTCGATCTCAGTCAAGGGTTCCCCACGGTGGGGTCGCATAGAGTACATGATGTCAATCATGTTATCCTCATATCTCACGAACGTCAGTATATCTAAGATGCAGAGCTCTGCTGGGGACATACTCGTTCCGCATCTCGACAGCGAAGTCTTCGTGGTGAAGCCATTGGATACCTGTTGTTTCTCTGTCGATATATCGATCCAGCTTCTGTAACAATGACTCGTGTCGCGTTGCGTTTTGGGCCGCCTGGAATTTGTCTCTCATCTGGGTGAAAAACTTCCTCTCATCGACTCTGCGATAGAGTTCTCCCAGCGCTTTGGTGCTCTTATAATATCGTATCCTACAAAGCAGATCAGTACACAGTTGAGGACAAGCTGATCACTACTCACCGAGCCTTCTCGGGATCGAGGACACTAAGGCCATCAGGATCATCCAAGTCATCTTCTTCAACCTGGTCGAGCTCCGCAGCACCCATATCATTGATTACGAATGTGTGACCAGGCGACATGAAGTCTGGTCTGACGCTGTCCGCACCGCGAGGTATCTGTCACTCGTGTCAGTATAATATAGTTACAAAGCTCATCGAATAGCTTGATATGCGTGTCCTAAGACGCTATGACGGTACTCGGGAGTATTGGATATCGCACTTACCAATGCCATATTGGCCTAGACAGGAAGCGTCCGATTAGCAATATTACTAGTAGGTAGAACAGTGTCGAAGTACTTACAGGTTTACCAGATTTGCTGAAATCAACGGCGTCGGATGCAAGCTGTGCCAGTGTCAAGCATTCCGTGTTACAAGTCCCGTCGGGCTTGCGATCGGCTCGGATTTTGTGCTTGTTTGAGATGACGCCCAAACGGTCCATGTTCATGAACTCGATAAAGAAGTCCACTATATCGTTGGCTTCTACGGGTCTCCCGAGATTGAGAGCCGGGGTTGGTGGGTAGTCTGCTGGGGTGCAGATATAGCTAGGCACAAGGCGCTTGTCCCAACTGATGTGGAACAGGTCACCGTCCAGGTCTCCACCGCTGAGCTGCGATGGTAGATCACGCTCGCCTCTCTGAGAGAAGACAATACAATTCCGTAGCGCTTTTAGTGGGCTTCCACGGTCCACATCCACTGCCTTCACAACCTGAACATCGCCTGGATGAAGAGCAGGTGCTCGGCTCAGGAAGACGCGGTCATTCTTGATAACAGTATGTTGCCACTCGCCATAATCATCTGGGAGTTGTGTTGCAACATACACCTCACCCTCTTGTAAAGTATTGGTCTCGTCCATGATACCGTACAGAAGGCAGCCCTTCTCGATTGGAATACGTGCACGATACTTCAAATCTCGCAAGCTTGACATGGCGGCGATTTCAATCACGTCTGTCAGAAACCTGTCCATGTGGAATGACAGTCCAACGTAATGCATCAACTGAATGAGCCGTGGGACCTTGGCATGGACACCAGTGTGTGCCTGCTCTGAAACTTGGTCAGCAGAAGAACATCAAACCCAGCGTTCATGTACTCACCCAGAAAGGAAGCAGCATTGAGCGGGTGCTGTACGACCATCTCCAGTGCTTTGAGTGCATCGTCCTGTACGGAGAAGAAGTTTTGCATCGGTACTTTAAGATCTTCGAGAATCTTAATAAACTGATGGTTCAGGTACATGTTAAGTGGCCTGTATGCTGCGCCGCAGAGTTCGAGGTCTCGCCAACCTTGGCGAGCGACGTACTTTGTCATACTCTTGCGAATGTGAAGCTGCTCTCCGAGGAGGGCATTGTCTAGCGAAACAACCCCCTTCGCACCTCGGTAACGGATCTGGAGTACGGTTGGTCTCTTGCTCCTGCGGTCCTGTGGCAAAGAACGCCAGACTCTCTGGAGCAGAGCCTCCGATATAGTACCACAGCCATCCGAGAATGTTCGACCATTCCTCACCACGTCTTCCTTTGTCTCGATAACGTATGCGTCCTCTGGGACAGGAATAGCATGGATCGTGTCGCTGAAGGCTTGTCCAATGCGTGCTGCACATTTGGCACTGCAGTGTATGTTGCTAAAGTCACCTAACGCCTGAATCACGTCCTTTGCGCGTATCGTTGCCCCATTCTCTTCAAATGGACTCATGAACCAAGCTGCATGGTATCGCAACGATGCGTGAGAGAAGCCTAGAAATTCGAAGGTACGGCCAGCAATCGTAATTCCGCGGCGGAGGACATCAGCAAACCGATCATAGACCTCTTCCTGCGAGGAACGCGGGTCGTGGAACACAGATAGTCCATCTTCATCAGCAAAAAACACTCTCATGAAACATTCAGTATGCTGTGAAAAACGGCGAAGGACCCGATTTGATACTCCCCACTCAGGTCCTCGGAGGACAAGACCCGTAGGGGTGACCGTAGCCTTGTATGTCAAAGCAAGATGCTCGTGTCTCTTGCGCTTCGAAGCACTTGAAAGGACATTTGTTTCAGCTGCCTGTGCGGTTGTGATGTTTTCCTTGATCATATCGATCAGGACTTTGGTGCGGTAGAGGTCTCCGTTGATGTTTGGCGCCGGAGTGGGAATCTGTTGTGCAAGTTGACGCACGCCAGCTGCAGCTTCTGCTGAGCCATAGCGTCGGGCGAGAATACAGACCCCAGGGACCAACTGCGTCATGCTGTCAGGCGAGACAGTGCCTTCGAGCACAAGGGCCATCATCTGGTAAGCGACAGCAAAGTTGATGTGTAGTCCAATAACGCCAGTGAGAGCGACCTCCAGGATCTTGTAGTCCTTCTCAATGGTCTTTGTTCTGATCTGCGGTATCGCTGTTTTCCAGAGATCAACATCAGAGACTGCGAAATCTTTGATGAAGTTCCAGGCGTTTCGCATGGTCTGGATCCTTGGGAACCTCAACTTGTAGACCATGCACAGGGCAGCGCTCTTGTCGTGATGACGCTGTAGCGCGCAAAGTCGATGTAACGGTTGCTGACGTGGCATCGATAACTGTAGGGAAAGTGCCGCCAGGTCTGGCATCTGTGGGATTGGGTTCGACTGGGCACCGGTATATAGATGCAAGCTATCGGTCGATAAGATTCTGTACATCTTTGGTGGCGTCTTCAATGTTAGAGTCAGGGAGCCTTGTCCCCCGCTATCGCTTGACGGGATTGTATGCTCCAAGATACCGTATGGAATGTCAATTCTGCAGTTCCAATCAGCCGCCGCAGAGGCGCCCTTCTTACTCTCAAGGTAGATCACGAGAGCTGTCTTGCCGAAGATCATTGTTCCGCGGCGGTGGTCCTGGTACTTCTGGTCAAAAACTAGTTTACCAAGATTGTTATAGCTCCACACTCCGGTCATCATGTCGGTGAAGGCAAAGTGTGGTTGCGACAGCCGCGACGTCGGTAGTGACGGTTTCTCTGACTTCCTCCTCATCTCTTCTTCTTTGTCGAGCAGTGACATGATCTTGAGGGCCTCGGCCTTCTTGTTGCTCTTCTTGCATTTGAGATGCCGGCCATTGAACACGAGCTTCTCACTTTGGAAATATCTGATGAAGCGGTTGCCGTTCGTTTCTTTGGCCACGGTCAAGAGTGCCCACGGGTTCCCATGCTTCTTGAAAATATCGAACGCCAGTATGTCAAATAGTGAGAGCCTGTCCTTGAGAAAAACTCGCAGCTGCACATGGTTGATGTCGCTTGGGACCTAGTCGTGCGATATTAGCAGAGAGTCAGCCAAAAGGCGATCGATCAAGGATAGAGCGGATATCGTGTTGTGTATCAGCCTTGCGGGCACATGGTAGTGGGTGGGTAAGAGTGCACATACATCCTGAATGAAGATATCCATGCCAGAAGTCCGATGAGTCAACCCCTCATGTCCAACGTCGCAGACAAGTAAAATGAGCACGGAGAACGAAGAACGTCGTGAGTGAGTGGGCTGTTTGCTATCAGCTGCGACCTTGCAGGAAGGTACGATTCGGGCGGAGTAACACAACGGCGCTAGCAAGGATGCTGCGCGAGCGGGGCTAAACAGCGCAGTGGCTCTCAAGGTGAAGGTGAGCTGCGAGGAGCTGTATCGCTCATGCTGATGTACATACCTGAATCTGTATGCAACTCCACGAATTTTTGCAAGTATCCGGGGTCGGTTGTGAAGTTGACATCTCCAAACGTTCAAACAGGCACTAATCCGTTACAGACCTCGGCTGCCATTGTCGTGTGAATTCATAGTATGCCTACTTGGAATCATGTGTTTCTTCGTCTCCTTGGATCGAGTTAGGTAACAGTTTGAACATGACACACAAAGCCAACGTTGCAGGAACGGCAGACCAAGGATGTGAGCCAAGTACACCACACGACAGCGAAGTAGGGAAACCACGAAAACCCCCTGAAGAATACTTTTTTACCTACAATATAGGTGACATCAAACAAAATCTTGGCTTTAAGTATTATCATAGCTACAATTTCTGTGTCAAAGTTGGTCAGCTTGACGGTCACTCATCCGCCGAATTCCCGAAACATGAGGGAGAATTGATTGACTTGATACTAATCTACGTCTCTTCTGGACCTATGAATCAAGCCTCCCTGGGGGCATTGGTAAGACGACTGAAGCCGTGCAAGTCCAGAGTTGCATCCCAATTCACTCTCAGAACACCATTTCTGGCAGCTGGGCTTACTCTTGCGTATGTTCACGCTTGCGTGTGATTGGCAAAAGGGCCGCCGCCAGCTGAGGACTCATTGGGAGCATACAAGCGAGGCGACATGAGAGGTGTATATCACTCTGCATGATTGTGTTGCGGCCAGCGTGTCGAGCACAGAGGTCTGCAGCTAGGAGGAAGTGTTAGACTGTTACAGACTATTACAAGCAAAGACACGTACTTGAAAGCACCGCTGTCAGGAGCTCTTCAGCTTCCATCCACAGAATCTCGAGAGCTTCGGGCGCCCAACGGATGGCGCCGGCAGCTGCTATCTCGTTCCCCATCTCACGGATCATGCGGCGGAATGGGGTTGGAGGGGCGGGCAATCTGGTCGTTTTCTGGAGGTCTGGAGATTTGTCGAGTGTGCCTTCTGTAATAGTTCAGTAATAGTCCTATGTTGACAACATCCATGTTACTTACTGCGACGTGCTCCCTTGCGGATGTTGTGGATGTACAAGTCGAGTGTACCCTCTGTAATAGTTCAATAATAGTCCTGACCAGGCAACATCCATCTTACTTACTACGACGTGCTTTCTTGCGGATGTTCTGGATGTACACGCGGGCCTTGGAGACTCCACGATGGATCGGTCCTCTATACAACCAATGGTTGTGGGCAGTTGAAGTGAGAGCTGGAGCTTTGGTGCCCTCTGTCTTCTTGGCGGTAGCCTTCTTAGCAGAGGCCTTCCGGGCGGCGGCCCTCCGTGCAATGGCCTTCTGCGCAGCGGCTGCCGTTGCTTTTCTATTAGAGTATGGGTTACTTCCCTCGCCTGTCAACACTACAGCATTAAGGATTAGCGTAGGACCCTGAAGGGCTGGGGCAGTGACTGTTACCGGCTCTTGCGTTGGCTGGACCTATCATCTTTGGAGATCTTGGGCCACGCTTGCTGATGTACTTGCGGGGAGGCATTGTTGCAGGCGCCTGGTGGTAGTGGAAGTGTAGCTGTAGTACTCGTGGTGTGTGGAGTGGTGGAGTGGTGGAGGAGAAGTGGTGGTGGACTGAGCCTTATACCTCCCGCCGTAGTGCCGCAGTAAAGGTAAGAGTGGAGCTGCGGATCCTCTCTCACCCAAGTAAGGGTACGGGTGAAGTTGCAGATTCTTCTCATTACAGAACCTGTAGGTATCATACCCAAAGCGAACATTTGGTTAAGCATTGCCTATCTTGTAGGTAAACAATCGTTCCATAGAGGTCTCTCACAGCTGGTCAGGTCGAAGGAGGAACATCATCTTGAATTTCTCTCTTCAGCTTGAGTCGCCCGCGTGCCCTACTCCTTGCTGACGTCCTCTCGTCTTTCCAATATCTTGTCGACAATCCCAAAGTCGACCGCCTCTTGCGCGTCCATGAAGTAATCCCCGACCATGAACTTCTCAATCTCCTCCAGACTCCTCTTCTTCGTCAAGTGCGACTGGTAGATCTTGTTCAGCCTCTCCCTCACTCGCAGAATCTCCTTTGCGTGATCCGCAATATCGCTGGCCTTGCCCGAATACCCTCCGCTCGGCTGGTGGATCATGACCCTCGCGTGCGGCAGTATGTACCTCTGTCCAGCCTGGCCACCGCACAGCAGCAGCGACCCCATAGACGCGGCCTGGCCCATGCATATTGTAGTCACTGGGCAGCGGATGTAGTTCATGGTGTCGTAGATGGCAAGGCCGGCGCTCACGCTGCCGCCGGGCGAGTTGATGTAGAGCGAGATAGGCTTTTCGGGGTTGTCGGCTTCAAGGAAGAGTAGCTGGGCGACGATCATGGCGGACATGGATTCCTCGACTTCGCCGTTCAGGCAGATGATGCGCTCTTGCAGCAGGCGCGAGAAGATGTCGGAGGTTTTCCACCCTCCACCCTGCACAGTCAGCTACATTCAATACGGTTCTCTGGCACACGTACAACTGTCTCGGTCACGTAGGGAATCGGGAGTGCAGCTGCCCGCGGCGCATGCTGTTGCTGTGGAGGCGCATAGCCGGTAGGGAAGCCGAATTGGCTCGAAATCGACCTGGTTCCGCTCCTACATATTCCTGTGATGACGCTCGGCCGCGCTGCTCGCCGTAATAAAGTCGCCATGGTGTTGTCTGGGAAGCTCGCTCTGAGGCGATGCTAGAGCTCCATCATGACGCCAAGTGACTAGTCCGCGGCTGCGTCCATGCTGTCGGAGCTACTAAAGTTCCTCACTACACTCCCGCACCCGCGCTCCCCTCTGATGCCAGGCCAATGGACGCGACGCCTGGGACCATGTTGGAGCCAAGCTAGGGGCATCTCGACTGCTCAGCGCCCGAGCAATTCCAAGCACGTCAAGCCTTTGAGAGGCAGCGAACTCGGCTCTACAGAGCAAGATGGCTACCGCACGGTGCGCAAGAGAATAGACGGGAAAAGAGATCTTCCCCTGCCTCCACTGCTCGACCCAGTAGTGCTCGCGCAGCGGTCGCGCCATGAGCAGAAGAAGGACAAGCCCAGGTTCGCAGACTTCACGCCGTTCCAGCGCAAGCTGTGGGAGACCCCGTTTGGTAGGCGCCCCGCACACCATGACCTGCACGCGCTCACAGCATGAAGCCCACGCACTCGCGTCGCCTGTCCGCGAATGCCGCGCAAACCAAAGCTTTCTGCCCTCGGACCTGCTCACGACGCTGCACGTGCGCCCGCACCCCGCGACTGGCGACCCGTGGCTGCTCCCTGTCTCCCTGACTACCGACGCGAACCACCTCGGCCACCCATTGCGCTTCGTGAGTCGGCAGGTCATTGCGCAAGAGATGGGCAAGAAGAAGGGGTGGATGGGCTTGCTCCACCCGCGCGCAATGCAAGCAATGCAGCAGGGCAAGCTGAGCAAGCTGGTGTGGCGTGAGGACATGGCGCAGCTGATACTGGATCTGATGCGTAAACGAGTTGTGGATCGCTTGAGCTGGAACTTTTCGTTTCGGGGCCGCTTGTGTCCTGTTGCGAGTCCGCGGACCGAGGACATTGATGCTGTGGACGACGTGAGCACCGTCCTGGTCTTTGGCACGTTGCGCACGCGCGCAGACGAATGTCAGGACCGCTGTGAAGCGATCACCGTCGAGCTGGAGGCGCTGGCCACGCACTTCGCCGTGAAGTTTAGCAAATTCCTCGACCCCCACGCCTCGCCGGGCGTGACGCACAAGTCGCCGTATTGGTATACGCTGCCGCTTGTGCCGCACATGCAGCCGCGGCTACAGATACCCGAGTTGGAGTTCAAGACAACCATATGGCGCGGCAGGAAAGTCGCCGTGTACAGCCTGACGGACATGCTGGGCGCGGAGAAGGCCAAAGAGCTGATCTCGGGGCCAAACAGCAAATACGCAGACCACAGATGCGTCGTAATAAAGCGGGCGCGCCACAACGTGCCCGTCGAGATACTTCTCATGCAGCTACAGTCCTATATAGCAAAACCAGGCCCCTAATCCCCACGCCTCCTCTGCAGCCACTCCCCCCTCAACAACCCAAACACCACATAATCACTCACCACCCCGTTCTTCTCTATCGCGCCCCTCAACACACCCTCCTTCACAAACCCGTTCTTCTCAAAACACCGCACGCTCCCCGTGTTCTCCGCAAACGCCCCGCCCCACAACCTCGTCCACCTCCCCCCCTCCACCTGCGCGACCCTGCTCTCCTCGCTGCCAAACACCCACTCCACCAGCCCGGCCAGCACCTCCGTCACAAGCCCCTTCCCCCAGTACTTCTCGCCCAGCCAGAACCCGATCTCCGCGCCGTGCGCCTTCACGTCGGCCCCGGGCTTCAGTCCGCAGCTGCCGATCACGACGTCAGGGGCGTCGAGAAGACATACGCCCCAGTTCAGCACCGGCGGGGCGGCGTTCATGGCGATCCAGGTGCGCGAGCTGTCGAGCGTGTAGGGGGATGGGAAGGTTCCGTTCATGTACTGCGCCACGAGCGGGTTGTTGGCGTGGTGCGCCATGGAGAGGGCGTCTTGCGGGTGCAGGGGCCGGATGAGGAGGCGCGGGGTTGTGAAGATGGGGGCCGGGAGGGGCGGGGAGGGGGAGGGTTCCGTGGAGGGGGTTGCGGCGTCGAGTTGCGCTTTCATGGCGGGGGATGCTTCAGCCATTGCGAGTACGGAGGGCGCGTGTCTGCGAGGTATTTTGTCTGCGTGCTGGATCGCGTGTTCGGATCTGAGTACTGGCCGCCGCGAAAACCGTCTCGCGTGCTCAAAACAAGACGTCGTGCTTCAAGCCGAGCTGTCCGTATATACGTGCCCCGGCAGCCGAGTATTGACTCACGATCCCCCCGACCTTCAGACCCGCGTCTCCAGGAGTCCAGGCAGCCGCAGTCCGCCCTTGTGCCGCCCTTTCTCAGCCCGCGCCTCCACACAGATTTTCACGGATGAGCAGTCAGCACTTGGGGCTGCAAGCGCCTACGGGGCGCCCGAAGCACCTTCCGCATCCGCGCGGCGCGACAGCCGCGTTGGGCCATCTGCAGCCCCACAGTCCGCGGAGCATCTGCACGGCCGCGCCGTTGCGGCTCGCCTGAGGACTCTCCGTGGTGCGCGGCGTGACGTGAGGTTGGCGGGGCGGGGACCCTTGTTTTAGCGCGGCGCGTCGCCCGCGCGTCAACACCATGGATGTTCATGTCATTGCTGTGTACCCGCCATGTTCCCGAACGCTACAAAGTACGTGTGTGTTTTTTGAGGTGATGACGCAGGCACGGCTAACGGTGTGCTAGGAAAGTCGCGAGGACGTACTCGCGGCAGAAAACGGCCGCGGTGGGATGACGAGTCGCCTGTTAAGCGCAGACGCGTCGAGCGCGCTGAGGGGAGGGATGTGTGCTCTGCGATACTTGCGCCTACATCGCCTTCTACAGTACTTGCGCCCGCATCGCCTGTGGGATGTTCGTCGCCGGCGCGTTTGAGCTCCGCGCGGGTGAGTTCCAGTCCACAACCGTCGCGGCCGACGTCAGATGTACCGACTTCAGATGCACCGACCTCAGATGCACCAACCTCAGACGCACCAACCTCAGACGCACCAACCTCAGACGTGCCGACGCGATCCTCCCCCCCTTCGTCCCCAGCGCTGGCCAGCTCGCCGCCGGCAGACGCAAGGCGACGCCCGGTATTCTCACTGTTCCGGCGAAACCTCAAGCACAGCGTCTCAGCACCCGCAGCGCTGTCCGAGCGCAACCGCGACACCCACCGCACGCCGCCACCGCCGCCGCCCCCAAAGAAAAAGCGCATGGTGCAGATGCAACTCGACCTCGCCAGCCAGCACCGCAAAGCCTGCCGCACATGCGGAATGGAATACATACCCTCGAACGCGGCCGACGTGGCGCTGCACAACAAGTTCCACGCCACGAACCGCGGCGGCGTCGACTGCACGAAAGCCACGGCCGCGCGGCTGCGGCAGAAGCAGGTCTGGAGCGGCGACGGCGGGTTCGTGGCGGTCGTGGGGCGCAGGGATGCGACGGCGCTGCGCAACAAGGCGAGCGAGGTGTTGAGGGTCGTGAATGCGGAACTCGCGGCTGTGCCTGTCGCGGATGGGGAGCTGTGGAGCCAGACGACGCGGGCCGAGGGGGCTGCGCTGAGCAAGTGCGATAGGTTCAAGGTGTATCTTTACGTGCGCGGGCAGAAGTGCGTGGCGGCGTGTCTGGCGGAGAGTATTAGGGAGGCGTTTACTGTGCTGGCGCAAGGGGATGTGTCTGGCGCTGCGTCTGGCAATACATCTGGCAACGCATCAGGCAATGCATCTGGCACTGCGTCTGGCAATGCATCTGGCACTGCGTCTGGCAATGCATCTGGCACTGCGTCTGGCAATGCATCTGGCAATGCATCTGCCACTGCGTCTGAGCAACAACCATCGCAGAGCTCGTCAATTTCCGTGAGCACAGCAGCAGACACGGTGCTCCTTGGCATCTCGAGGATCTGGGTGTCGAGCCAGTTCCGCAAGCAGGGGCTGGCACGGCGGTTGCTGGACGTCGCACGCGGCGACTTCACGTATGGGTTGACGGTGGACAAGCGCCTCACGGCCTTTAGCCAGCCGACGGAGAGCGGGGGGAAGCTCGCGCGCAGCTACTTTGGCTGCGAGGCCGGCTGGCATGTGTACATGGATTGAGGGACATGGATGAGGGACATAGATCGAGGAAGGCTCGGAGCTGGAGGGAGCCGTGGGCCGAGTTGATAGGATGATACGAGGCTTACCGTGGTGACGCAGTGTCAATGTGCGCCGACGCAGTGCCAATGTACGCATTTGGAGGCCTAACAGTCGCAATTTGCATTCAAGCACGCAGCAGACCAATCAGACACGGCTGTGCGGCCAGCAGCGTTACTCGCCAGGCACGGTGTGATGTTGGTGCACAGTCGCGCTGGATGGTGGGGTCGTTCGCTGTCCCTCCAGATGTCCGCCCACGCCGGACGGCGATCCATCGCGGCCGAGCATCAGCAGGCAGCCGATAAAGTTCAGCACTACACACACCGCTCCGCTCGAGCTCGCCCTGTACATAGAGCAATGCATTGCCCCTGACTGCGCCATGTCGTCTGGGAACCCGTTCCGCGTCTCCCTCGCCGTTCCGCGGCCCTCCTCTGACACGCCCCGGCCCGCAGCGGGCGCCCGGGAGCATGACGGTATGCCGCTGCGTTGCTTCAGATTGCCCTGGCGGTAGAAGAGTAATGGAGACACAGTGCCCGCCCACCCCGCCGCCCTGCCGCCGCGGACAAAGAAGCACGTCCGCATAGAGTCGACCGCCGTGTCCATCCCGCCGCAACCGGCCTATGCCAGCCCCGACGACTCTCCACGCACACAGTTCGCGCCGCAGCTGCCGCGGTACGCCAGCACATCGCCCCCGTCAGCGGGCTACTCGAACAGCTCCCCTGGCGCGTACAGCCGCGAGCCGCGAAGCCATGACATGGCGGCCCCGGAGGGCTACACCAGCGCGAACGCAGGCTCTGGGGTGAACTTCCCCGCGCTCTCGCCGTCGGTGGTCCCCGCAAATCCGTTTGCGAAGACGCTCGCGTCCATGGAGCCGCGGAGGGCCGGCGGGGACGACCGGGGCCCCGCGGAAGGCGCGGCGCCAGGCAACAACCGGGCGTCGCTCGACGTCGAGAGCTTCAAGAACATGCTCCTGACCGGCAAGCCGTATCCGCGACCGGCACCGTCTCCGCGGCAAGCACCGTCTCCGCGACAGGCGCAGAATCTCGCGCCTCTACAAGCTCCAGCACCGGGCGCGGGAGGTCCGGTGGCCATCGAGAGCGGCAGCAGCACAGACACGTCGTCGATATCCCGCCAGTCGTTGCTTGAGCCCGCGCAAGAGGCCCCCGCCGAGTCTCCGCGGACCTCGTACGAGATGGCGCGCTCCGACGACGACAGCGCCGCGGGTCTGACGCCGGAGCGGACGCGGTCGAAGCGGAAGCCGCCGCCAGCGCCCGCGCACCGCCACGGCAAGCTTGTCTCGCCGCGCCAGCCGCAGACAGTGTCGTTTGACAGCTTCACCGCGAGCGAAGCCGCGCCGTCTCCTGTGACGAGATCGCGAAACGCCTCGGACGCGAGCAAGCCGCTCCCGCCGACGCCCGTGCAGTCACAACCACCGCTATTATCGGTTGATACCGCCGAAAAGACACGCGACACCACTCCACTGAGCGCGAGCCTCGAGCAGCCGCTCAGCCGCTCCAACTCGCGACAGAAGCGCGCGCCCCCTCCCGTCCCACTGGCCCGCCGCCAGAGCCAACTACGCCACTCGTCCACCGAGCACCGCTCGCGCAGCAGCTCCTCGCTGACCCTGTCCTCGCAACACTCCCTCGAAGCCCCGGCTCCAGGCGTGGTACCTACGCCCGGCGAGATCGCAAGCAGCGTCACCACAACCGCAAGCCTCAAATCACCTCCCCCTCCACCACCGTCACGCCACGGCGCCCGTCTACCAGACCACCGCTCCTCCACCACCCCAGCTACCGCCTCACCCCCCCAGCGCGCACCCTCGGTTCGCACAACCGCCTCCTCGCGCCGCAGCACCCTAGAAAACGAGCTCGACCTGCCCACCCCCCGGCCCGCGTCGAAACGCAACTCCCGGATCGCGTCCTCCGACACCTCCCCCGCGATGCCGCCCCCGCCCCCGCCGCCCCGCCGCCGCAACGGCTCCTCCCGCTCGAGTCTCGACCAGCCGCGCCCGCTCGTCCCGTCGCCCTCCGAGAGCCGCCGCACCAGCACCGATCTGCGCCGCACCAGTGTCGATAACCGCCGTGCTAGCCTCGAGGTCGGCAGGCGCGTTAGTCTGGATCGGCAGGCTGGGCTCGATGCTGGTGCCGGCGAGCTGCCTGATGAGAAGGGTGCCGAGTTTGCGCTGGTGTCGCCGCGCGAGGAGGCCGAGGATGGGTTGGCGGGCGCGGGGTTGGGCAAGGGTACGGATCTGGGTAAGGATGTTGGCGCGGGCAGTGCGATGAGCGAGGCGGTGGGTGCGGCGAATGCGGAGGCGCGGAAGGATTCGAATAGTATACTCGAGGATATGGAGAGGTTCCAGCGCGAGATTGATGAGCTAAGGAATCGGTATCGGAAGTAGGATGGGATTGGAAGCAGGGAGGGAGAAGGGGTAGGGGTGTTGACGCAGTTGACTAGGTTTGCGAGCGTTGCAATGTGTCTATTGTACTACTGGCATTTTTGAGTGTTGTTGGATAGGATAGCATCGTGGGTGATACGAGTAGGCGGGCAAGCGTTTGAGCAGGGTGGTCGTAAGATATCAGTAGGGTATCAATATATGGAGGCAAACTGCATCTGTATGCTTCGATGTTGTGTGTCTGCGTGTTTCTTGGAGTCCTCCATCACCCCGTCCATCTCCGAGTCATCTCCGCGCTGCTGTAGGCACACTGCTTTTCCCATGGTTCGAGGATCTTGTTTTGGCGCGGGGCTCAACGGCCGCTCTCACGTTTCAGAGGAAACGGCGGATGTCATTAGACCCTGAGTTTACCAACTTTGCAGAATACTCAACTTGTAGCCATCATAATACCTAAAGCTAGAATGTAGTAAACTAGTACCTATATTGTAGGTTAAAAAGTACTGTATAGAGTTTTTTAGTGTTTTCCCTACTTTGCTGTTGTGTGGTGTACTTGGCTTATATTCTTAGATCGCCGTTTATTCTGCAACGTGAGAGGGCAGTACCGCTGTTGCACGTGCTGACCTCTGCGAGATAGGGTTGTGGATCCATGTCCGACACACCTACTTCGTACACGTGCTAAATCAGTCGACAGACTCTAAGCTAACACTACGGAACCCTGAGCACGAGCAGCACAATGCATTCATGGCTTTACACAGCGGGCTAGCTGAACACAGCCTAGCCCACCGACACCGTTTCGTGTCAGTTTCGCGCACCACAACTGCTCCCCCCCATCCGCGGTGCCAACACCACAGCACCCGTTCCCGCCCACTCGACCGCCGTGCTGGCGGGAGAATCTGGGCGTTCCTCGGATGAACCGCTGCCCTGCTCGCCGGCAGCTTGCTGCGTGTTTCTCCAGCCATCACAGGATGCGCGGCGGACACACGGGCTGTTTCGTGTCTCACGTTGCGAGGTTCGCCGTTTCTATAATGCCTCAGCTATGCTGCAGCGCGCGGGGCTGTTCTTAGTACGTCCCGAGTGCTGCGCGACAAGGCGCTGCGGCTGTGGGCGAGCACTTGGCTGCGGCTAGTGTTACGGGTGCCGTGAGGGCTTTGGTGGGTACATGGTGAAGTCTCCTGCTCTCTATCTCTCTCTTCAGCTCTGCGAGCGAGGGTGCGGTCTTTTTGTCTTCGTGTGCACTGTTTCTTTGGTATCTAATTCGCTTCTGTTGGCGCTGGATCGCTTTATACTAATTCTCTAATCGGTTCTGGTAACCTCGGATTCGTAAACTAATCGACAGAATGCATCTCTCGACTGTCCTGCTGGGGGCCTACTGCGGCCTCGTGGCAGCGAATCCGCATCCATGGATGTACGGCGTGCCGGACTTTCCAGACCTGGATATGCAAGAGGTCATGACCCAAGCGGCCGTGGACTTGGTGACCGACGGCGCCGAGGCGACGACAAACTCTACGTCCACAGCACCGGGGGGCTCTGCTTCCAACTCGACCTCTTCTGGCGGCGAGCCGTGCGCAGCCATCAACCGCGCCATCTCCGCCGCACCACCCGGCTCCCGCAAGGTCGTGTCGGCCGAGATGGGCATGCGGTGTCTGGCTTCCGTGCCGCTGGACACGGCCGGCAATGTCAAGCTGATCGACGACATGAAGCTGTTCGTCAAGTGGCAGTCCAACATTGCGTATCTCAAGAGCCCGCCGGCGAACTACACGGAGAAGCCCGTGGACATCGTGGGCGAGCTGGATCGGATGCAGAAGGGGCTGGCCAACGGGACGTTCAAGACCGAGTACGAGTTTCAGATGGGCATGATGATGCTGTTCAACCGCGCGTACGACAACCACTTCGCGTACCAGCCCGACATCCTCGCGTCGGCGATGCAGTTCCAGCGCCCGCCGGGCACGGAGCTGGTCGCGGTGTCGTCCGACGGCAAGGCGATGCCGGAGGTGTTTCTGTACCAGGATATCCGGCGGGCTGCGAATGACACGGCGTTCAAGCCGTCGGCGGTCAAGAAGATCAACGGCGTCGACGCCATGACGTATCTAGGCGAGGCCTCGGCGCAGTCCGACTTCCACGACGCGGACACGCGGTGGAACGCGCTGTTCCCATCACAAGCGCTGATTGCGTCCGGGACTGTGTTCTTGGGATCGTTCAGAACGGGCCAGTATCAGGGGCCCAACACGACCATGGAGTTCGCCAATGGCACGACGTTCAACCAGATGAATGTTGCGGTTGTGTTTGGCAACTTCACTGGTGTGAACAGCGGACAGACGTTCTTTCAGCAGTTCTGCACTGGCCCCAAGCCGGTCTCGCAGATCACGCAGCCGGCGCCCACCCCTTCTGGTAATAGGACCACGACGCCGACTGCTACGCCTACGCCGTCCCAGATTGGCTACCCGAAGGCTGAGATCCTCAACCCGAATCTTTCGATTGGCGGGTACTATATCAACGGCACCGGATATGATGTAAGCTGCATGGTACGATCATTGGCTAGGCTGACAAGTTGTAGAACGTCGCAGTCCTCAGCATCCCCTCGTACGACTCCCCCGACGTCCAGAGCTTCCAGAACGTGATGAGAGATTTCATCCGCATGTGCAAGGCGCAAGGCAAGACCAAGATGATCTTCGACATGCGCGGAAACGGCGGAGGTGCGAAACAACCGAAAACATTGCGGGGAGCCAAGTACTGACGTTTCATCCAGGTAACGCAATCCTTGGCTACGACACATTCAAACAGGTCTATCCTCAGGCCGACCAGGAGCCGTTCGGCGGCACGCGCTTCCGTGCCAACGACGCCATCAAGGCTGCGTATCAGCTGACCGGCGACTTCATCGCAGGCAAGACGTACGTGCAGAGTAACCAGACCGCTTTCACTCAGGCGTTCGGTCAGGGCGTGACTTCAGGGGACATCATCGGGCTCACTGCCAGCTTCAACTTCCAGCACCAGCTCGACATCGACAACAAGGCCATCGGCTCCTCGGACGCGGCGTTCGGGCCGCAGACGGCCAACGGCGACCAGTTCACGACCACCATCCGCTACAACTACAGCGACCCCATCTCGACCTCGTACCAGGGCTTTTCGGTCATCGGCTTCGACCAGAACAAGAACGAGACCAGCACGCCGCAGCCGTTCCAGGCCGCCGACATGGTCATGGTAAGTCATTCGAGTCATCTATCGATGTGTTGCTGACAACCCAGCTCCACGACGGCATGTGCTCGTCCACGTGCGCCATCGCCGCCGAGCTCCTCAAGAACCAAGGCGCAGTCCGCACCATCGCGGTCGGCGGGCGCCCGCAGGAAGGCCCCATGCAGGGCATCGGCGGCACTAAGGGCGCCCAGGTCTTCTCCTGGGACGACATCCAGCTGCGCATGCAAGCCACCTACTTGTACTTCCCCCCCTATCTCCCCCCTTACATCCCTAACACCCCGCAGCCTCGGCAGCCCCGCCCAGCAAGCCCAATGGGACACCCAAGACCTCGGCAAAACCGCCTTCGCAACCCAGCTCTTCAAGCGCTCGGCCTACCAGGGCGGCCGCATCGCCGGCGGCGTGAACCTCAAGGACAACCTGCGCCAGAACGACGCCTCGGGCACGCCGCTGGAGTTCATGTACGAGGCCGCCGACTGCCGGATGTTCTTCACCGCGCCCATGGTCACGGACGTCACCGCGCTGTGGAAGGGCGTCGCGGACCGCATGTTCCGCAACGAGACGAGTCTGTGTGTGGCGGGCAGCACGGGCGATGCGTCGAGTGTGAGTGCGGGCGGGCAGCGGCGCGGCGGGGATGGCGTCGTGGCGGCCGCGAAGGGGGTGCAAGTTGAGACTGGGGTGAAGAGCGTGGCGAGCGGGACGGGGGTGGTGGGGGGCGCGGCGGGGAGCATGCTGGGGCGGTGGGCGAGTGTTGCGGCGGCTGTGGCGGTGGGGATGGCGGTGTTGTAGGGCGCGCTTCGAGTGTGGAGGGGGGGTTGTGTAGCTTGGCGGTCTATTGCAAATACTACCGTAAAGTAAACTCGGGCGTGTAAAACCCGGGTGTACTAAGTGAAGTCTTGCTAAGGACTAAGTCTTGGAGGGTGTCAAAGGGTAGGGGGGTGTACTAAATAAGAGTATGAGATAAGAAAAAGACTACATAGTAGCACGTTAAAGGGAAGAAATAGGGGTAAAACAGAGAAGTAGTTCTATACCTATTAGGTGATTACTTACTCTTACTATTCTCCTATATCTCCCTTCTCTCTCTTCTACTATTTAAAGATAACTTTATCTTCTTACTTATAGATTATCTCTTCTAGCATGCTTCTTTAGGTAACGTGCTGGCAGGCACGTAGTTTACTACGTACTAAGCTATAGGGGGGTGTACTATATCAGGGGGTGTACAACGTGCGAATTTACGGTATGCGTGTCTTGGGGTTTGCACTTTCTGCCGGTTGCATGTGGTGAAAGTTCGTCTCACGTGACTAGCACCGTGTCCATGTCACCACATCACCACCCCTGATCATCCACCTTACTCCCGTCATAGCTATCCACTCATACCGTATCCCCGTCCACCCGCATTCAAACCCCCTTAGACACAGGCCCTACGTGACACTACCCACGTGCCCCATCGCGCCATCCCACTAGCGCCCCGACCCTGAGCGTTTCTTTCCGCGACCGGCCTCGGTTTCGGAAAAGCGCCAGCGGCCCCAACCAGCCGACCTCGCCCATGACCGCCCAACGTTTCCTCAAAATGTCGCTTCTGCTCTCCCACCCTCTGTGCCCACAGACTCGATGAGCCCACCACACCCACCATGACACCAACCGCCAGCGCCTGGCTCCGTGCGAGCCCCCGGCGCATCACTTATCCTCGGAACCGCACTTTCGTTCCGAGACCCTCGACCTGTGGTCCGCGAGCAGTGCGCCGCGGCCACAGCACCCAGACCCCAGCGGCACCGACACCGAAGTCTGCTGCGTCTACACCGTCTGCACCGTCTGCACCGTCTGCACCCGCCCCGCCCACCTCGATCCCCGGCCCCGGGTACCTGTGGCTGCAGCCCGCGCTCGAGCCGTTCCGCGCGTACGGACGCGTGCAAGCGCGCAGGCCGTACTGGACGCAGTTTGTCAGCTCATTGGTTATATACTGTGTTGGGGACATGGTTGCGCAGGGGATTGCTGAGCCGACAGCTGTACAGGAAGCGGAGGGGGGACTTGAGGGGGGCCTTCAAGAGGACGTTGAAGAGCGCGGCTGGGTGCAGGCGTGGAGCGAGGACCGCGACTGGGCGCGGACGGGGCGCGCGGTGGTCATCGGCGGCCTCAGCAGCATCCCCAGCTACAAGTGGTTCCTGTGGCTGAGCGTCAACTTCAACTACCCGTCCAAGATGCTCAGCTTGACGGCCAAGGTCGGTGTGCTCGTCCCCTCGTGCAGACGCTTTGCTGACAACCGCAGGTGGTCGTGAGCCAGGTCCTCTTCACGCCCGTCTTCAACTCGTATTTTTTTGGCATGCAGACGCTGCTCGCGGGCGCGTCGCTGGATGAGTGCGCCGAGCGCATCCGCCGCACCGTGCCGACGAGCTGGGTCAACAGCTGCAAGTTCTGGCCCGTGATTACCGCGTTTAGCTTCACGTACGTGCCGATCCAGTACAGGAGTATCTTTGGCGGCGTGATCGCGATTGGCTGGCAGACGTATCTGAGTCTGCTGAACCAGCGGGCGGCGGCGGAGGAGCTGCTCGAGCACGGGGGCGCGGCGCATGCCCCGGTGGCGGCGGTGGCGGAGCGGGAAGAGCGGTATAGCGGGAAGGAGAAGTGCGCTGCTTGAGTGGTGTTGGACGGCACTTCGGGCCTGGTGGCGGGGTTTCTTTTGTCATAGACCGTATAAGAGGGGGTTGCATTGCGAGGCGTTCAGTTCGAGGTCATCACTATATCCGGTCAACAAAGCCACATACCACTTAGACGAAAATCACACATCTTCATCCCACCAGACGGGCTGACAGGCTCTGTTCCGAAGATCCTAGTCACAGCGTTGCTCAAACCAAACAGCACTGCCACAACTCCAAGCAGACACCCTGAACACCACCCTCCAAGCCCACCAGCACCCTGCCCAGCGCGCTCCATACCGCAGCACCCTCAGACCAACAACCCGCGCACACCCCTCTGTAATCTCTCTACTCACAAACCCCTTCGACACGCCCCCCACCCAAACACCTCCCCCACCTCTTCCCTCCCAAACCCCTACGCCGTCCTGCAGCACACCACACGATCACCACGCACAGCCCATACCAGCAGTTGGAGCCGAAGGACAGGTCGACCGCGTGGCGCAAAGCAACTCGTCGTGTGTAGAATTCGAGTCCCAGCTGATCCGCGATGTGTCCTAGAGACAGATACGGCAAGGAGTTTAACATCCGCACTAGCAGGTACTGCTTTACACTACAGACCTCAAGCAGCTTGACAACTACATCACCAAGAACAGGGCTGGCTGCGACGCCGTGTTGCGAGACTGCGCGGGTAGCATGTGCGTCTTGCCTGAGTGCCGCTCAGAATGCTTCCCGCAGAGGGTGGTAGGATGTGGAGAACGCACCGCCGTCGGTCGCTGCATCGGGTCCTTCGGATCTGCAATCACTACAGCGCGGTTCTCGAGACCGCAAGCACGCTGTCCCGGTGTCCGTGTTTTCTGCTACCTCAATGCGGTTGTTCTCTGCCAACACTTCTCCTGGCCTGGCAGGACACTACTGGTCTTGTAGACATAACACTCCCTCCGCCCCTTTCTCAAAATCAACCCTGTAACCTTGAAGACCTCCCATGTCCTGTCAGTCATCTGGGAGGAAGCCGAGCGTGGACACGAGAGGATATGGGTTCGAAGGCGGTTACACGGGCGTTTTCCGAGGAAGGGGCTTGGGCTGGGTGCGTGGCTGTGGGAGGGTCACTTCGTAGAGTGCGCCGGCCGCGGTGAGTGGTTCCGAGCACCACAGGCGAATTGCCTTGTCGCTCTAGATATTCGAGGCCCGGTGCTGGTAGTCGTGAGGTGCTTTGCTGTTCCGTCAACAGCGGCCAGCCTGTGGGAGACTGGGGCTAGAAGCGAGAGACTGCGAACTTCAGGGCGTTCATCGTACAGAACAATGGCATTTGGTTCACTTGGGGAGCACGGGGTGATGCTCGGAGGGGGACTGTGCAGAGGATGGCTTGTCGTGGATATCTGCCTTGGCAAGGGCGCATGGCAATCAACTGGCAGATGGATTCAATAGCTGGCACTTTACAGAATCCATGGTGCACTATAGTGTATGTACTAGGGGCAAGACAGAGTCATGTCAACAGTCAGTTATCGGCGACACCACCTTCCCAGACGCACTGCCCAGCCACGCCCAACACCCCCATCCAGCTGGAGCCGTTTACAATATATTGGCCCGGGCCTTTTATACATCACATCACATCACATCACATCACGAGAAGAGCGCACAAGGGGCAAAATGCGTAGTGGATCAAGAACTCGACGTCCATTCGTCATTAGGTATATACAGTAGAATCGAAAGCGGCCTTTCGCGGCCTCAGAACCCCCAGATACCAGGCTTCTTCCCTGCCATCACCGCTCCAAACGCCGTGCTCATGCCTCGCTATGCTATGCTATGATGTGACGTGCAAGCGCTTACAAGCACTGGCTGTAGTAGTCGTTCTGCTTGGTGCAGGTGCTGGCGGCGCAGCCAGTGGCGCCGGTGTAGCCGATGCCACCGCACTGGCCGTACTTGGCAACGGAGCCAGCGGCAGCGGGCTTGGTAGCGGCGGGCTTGACGACGGTGGTCATGGTGGTCTTGGCGGTGGTGGGCTTAGCGGCGGCAGCGGTGGTCTTGACGGGGGCAGCGGCGGCGGTGGTGGTCTTGACGGGAGCCGGGGCGGCGGCGCCGGAGGAAGCGCCGTTCCAGACCTTGGGGCCGGGGATCGGGTAGCTGGTCTTGCCGGCGTAGATGTCGAACAGGACACCGGCGTCGTTGGCGGTGTAGGCGCCGGGGAACTTGACGCCGGCGGGGAGCTGCGCGGTGCCGCTGCCCTCGACCTTGATGTGGACGCACTCCATGTAGAACTGGGCGCCGGCAAGACGGTTACCCTCGTGCAGGGCGTTGATCTCGGGGCGGAGGACGTAGTCGCCGGGGGCGAGCTGGGGGAGGGTGAAGTCGTGCTGGCCGGGCTTGCCGGTGTAGGAGCCAGCGAGGAGCTTCTCGACGGCCCACTTGCCGTTGGTCAGACCATCCTCCCAGAGCTTGGTCCACGAGTACGAAGAGCCAGCCTTCGAGGCGTAGACAATGATGGGACCCTTGTGGGAGGAGGCGATGATGTCGTCAGAGGCCGAGTTGGAGTCGTGGTGCCACTGGAAAGCGATCTTGTCGCCACCCTTGACGGTGATGGACTTGGAAGCCTTGGTGCCGGCGACGTTGCACTCCATAGCCTGGGAGGTGACATCGGTGACAGGGTTGTTGTTAGGGGGAGAGTCGATGTATCCACCGGCGGAGTTACCGACACCGGCATCCTTTCCGTTGACGAGGATGTTCCAGACGGTGGTGTGGGCAGAGGCGAGCTGGCTGGCAGCCGCAACAGCGAGGACCTGAGAGAACTTCATGTTGTTGGTTGGTGGTTGGTTGTTGAAGAGATTGACGGTTCAAAAAGAGTGATTGAATGGACAAGTGAAGAATTCAAAGACCGAAAGAGTGTATGTAAAATGAATGTGAGCGTCAAGCGTGCCTTTCCATCCATGAGCGGCCCATAACTCTTATACGTTCCATGATGTGGCTTCGAGATGCTCCCGTCCCGTTCGAGGAGGATGCAGTTAGTGAATCCTGCTTCGTGAACCCCCGGACATGACAGCTCGGTTAAGCAAGTATGGTGGTGATTTGTGGGTTTCCAGCGACAGGAACAGGTTAGATGCACCGTTCGACGTCCGAGTGCCGTTGAGTAGGATCCAGCCTCGAATTGGCCAGCAATACGCTATACCTAGAGAGGAAATGTGTAGAACACGCCTGGAATGCATACCCCTGGCATCGATTGGCTCGAACACCAAAACGTCGTAGTTGAGTCAGTGATGTGAAACAGAAGGATTCAGGAACCTGGTCCACGATCAGGAACAGGGTGCCCCCTACGCACTGTAGGCCCAGACCGCCAACGAAGGACTTCATGCAGCTCGCTGTGGTCATGTAGTGTAAGCGTCATGACGTGCAGGCCTACTGGCACTTTAGCACATGGCGGCTAGCAGTCCGCTAAACGTTGTGTACGGTTGGGGAGTGAACCATGCGGGCTGCCACGCGAGTACCACGGGCCTCCTCTAGCAGATGCACTGTTCGTACTGCCGGAGGCGCAGGCGACGAGGGCGACCAGAAAACAGTAACCCTTGCGGTTGTTTGTAGGTGCTGGCTCGAATAAATGTGGAGCGATAATAGATACGAAATTCGACAGCGGGCGTTGGGCTAGCCTTCCGCCATGCCGCCAGCCTTGCGGGACGGCGAAATTGGCAGCCGCAGGTCGTGCGTTTCAGCCAAGTCCGGCGGCTGTCTCTCCAACACAAGCGCTGTTGAGGGTACGGCTTGATTGTGTAGATACAAAGCTTCAAAGCCTGAATGCTTGACTGTGAAGAACCCTGGCAGATGGATTCATACAAGTGGAGGGTTAAGTGATGGTCGCATGGGCCCTTGTTTCCCATTGTTTCTGGTGCACGGCGCACATCCGCGGTCCAGGGCTGGGCTCCACCCTGCCGCCTCCACCAACGGCAGGCAAAGCAAATGAAAGGTGCCTCGACCACGCTCCCGGTCTCACGAGCGCTCGCGAGATCACGTCAGAGATTTGTCTTCTCCTGACCTGTAGTGCTACCTCGGTACCGACTTGACAGTGCCACGTTGTTTACGTCTGTGCACCACCAAATGCATGAGACTGTGGAACGAGGTTGCAGCCCTCGGTCATGAGGGCAATGCTGTGTTCGACCCTACAATATCGCTTGCAGCGCGATGGCTTAGTAAGAAACATTGGGCGTCAAGACACGACGTCATGAGGGGTGTCCGGACGGATGCTTAACAGTACAGATGAGAGTTTTGATACTTCTCCACGGACATGGCAATTACCTGTGAGTATATGCGGACAACCAAGAGCAGATGTGTGCCCTCTTATACAGTTTGCCCAGCTGACGGAGAGCCCGTTTGAGCACGATTGAGCCGTACCGTCCCGCAGTGAGAAGTTTTACTGTGCGGGCTTGGACTTGGCACATAAGATTGGAGGCAGTCAGCATACGCCACTGCGAATGCAGGGTAACATGAACGTCGAGGGGAGCAGCGTGACGTGGGAAGCAGAGTGGCATTGCCAGAGCACGGCAGCCTGGAGTGTGACACGACTATGAAGAAAGATAGGACTCGTCCCGTGTGGTCTATAGTTTGATTAAGACTTGAAAAGTTCTCGCCTTGAGGCTCGTACTGTGCCGCTGCGCTATGCCTCAGGAGCACACTCTCAGAACGCCATTCTATGTCATGGACCCCACATACACACGTCAAATACACCCGCTGCTTGCTGCAGATGCGTTTGTCAACTTTTCTCGCTTTGGCGGAGAGTCGACACGAGAGCAGGAGCGCTTCCTGCCGTTTGTGCGCATCCTGTCCGCGATCATGACCTGCAGCTCAATTGTATGCGCTGTTGCGTCGATTCTAACGCATTCTTGTTAGCAGACCAGCATGGCATTGAATGGCCTCGAATGCGTAGGAACAAGCTCACGACTTCTCGATCCCCTCAATAACCTCGGCTTCGTCGTACTCTATCTTCGGCGCGGACAAATCTGACATCTCGACATCTGCGCGCTCTGTGCTGGCCGCGGTAATGTTCGCAGTAGCAACGTCCGGCTGTCGGCAGACCGCTTCCGTGAGTAGGTCGACCTTATCCTCCCTCACAAATACGATCCCTGTGCTGCCAGCGGCCAGAGTGCCAGACCCAAGTTTGTAGATGTCTTGCTCAGAGTATGGCTTCACTGTCTCGTCGTTGTATTCGCGCCATGTGTTGTTCTGGAAGTCCTTGATGTAGATCAAATAGTGGCCTGAGCCAGTGCCACCTCGGTGAACAAAAATAGCGTGGAGCCGGTAGCCGTGATCTTGGTATTCTCGGAATACGGTATCGATGTCTGACTCGAGCTCCGTCATGGAGGCGCTAATCTCTTCAAGCTCTGACTGAAGCATTTTCGCTCTCTCATGCAGATCCGTAGCTAAGTCTTCAGGTGGTGGTGTTGGAAGTGGGTCAAGCATCTGCTGCTCTACCCCCTTCAAGAAACTCTCGACAAACATCGCAGTCTCCTCTACTGTGTTGGCAAGATCCAGGTCACCAATCTCCGTGGCTTGCAATTCCTTGCATCTGACTGCAAGACGTTGGAGCTCCTGCTGCTTCGCCCATTGCCCTCGACGTAGATCCAGGAGCTTATCTCCGGACAGCGCTTTAGTGGCCTCAAGGTAGCGATCAAGGTATAGGACGTCATTCAGGCTCAGTTGAGCTGTATCACGGACCTGTTGCTTCTTCTCTCTGTTGAACTGTAGCCGGCGTACGTTGACAATCTGTACGGGGGCAGGCTCCGCGATAAATTCGTATTTACTGTCACCGCCTTCTAGGTCACTCAGCCCAAAATCGTCGTCGAGGGCCGCATAGAGATGACGATCGCGGCCACCAGCGGAGACCAAATGATGGTTTCTGAACTCGCTCGTTCTCTCAACTTTGTTCGTTGTATTTCGCACGATTGTCACATCGCTGAAGAAAAGGTTCTTGATGAGATCTTCTTGCTCACCGTCACGCAGGAGACCATCACCTTTGATTGCGCAAGAAATCAAGTCCATGATGTTGCCCATGACTTCAGCAGCATCCTGCTGTCGAGCACTCTCGGCAATGTGGTCGTCCTTGGACTTTTGCTGCTCTTGTGTTTTCGGTCGAGGAGGGATGGGAGGTGGTCGAGATGGAGGTGACGGCTTGCTATCGGCTTCAGGCTTGAGTGTAGCCTGTGTAGAGCCTTCGCCTTTCACATCGTCGCTTCCGGCTGCGTCCCCTTCGCCCATGACTGTGTCAGTGGGAGCAACTGGTGTGCCCTCCTCCTTGGGTGGGTCGACCTTGTGATCGGTCGTCGTATCGACCTTTGCTTCGCTTTCAGCACCTAGAGTGTCTGGTACGATATCCGGGCTGTCGGTCTTACACAGTGCCAGTTCAGCAAGGTGCTTCGTAGGTAGAACATTGTCGGTGGGAGCTCGAATCATCAACCGAAATAGGCTTTGTAGCTCGCGGACGAACTTCTGAGCCGTGATTACTCGCTCTGGAGTAACAACTGCGCGACCGACTTTTTTGTTGGTGAGTGCTTCCGGCGAGGGATCCTGTTCGTAAGCTTCGAAGTTCAGAACCAGTTCCCGTAGAGGCTTGATGGTGAACAAGAACTGAAGAACGCTGTTGAGATAGCATGTGTTGCCGTTGTTGCGGCAGCCGACAGGCCAAGTTTCCAAAGGGAAGTCGTTGACCCGTGAACCTGGCTCCTTGGGTCGCTCCTCTTTCTTGTTGTAGTGCTTCTCCTGGTCTTGTTGAATCAGTGCGAATGCTTTCTCAAGTTTAGCGATCTCGCTTGGCGGTGCAACAAGCATCGAGCTTTGCAAAACAGACAAATCAACGTTTTGCCTGTCAGACATGCTCGAGATCTCGAACAAAGCGTATGCCTCGCTCAGGTCCATCTCTGGCTCGGTCATAGTCCCTTCATGCAGGAACTGCCGGAGTCGGTCGCTGTCTCGATGCTCAGCGATCACGGATACTGCTTTTCGCGCAGATTCAACACATGCGGGGTTGTCTTGTGTCTGGAGTTGTCAGCGAAGAAGTGAACAGTGTTGCCTGGGACCCACTTTTATCGCAAACATGGTTCGAACGAAATCATCAGGCTGCGAATGATCCAGTTCCAGCCAGGATAACGCCTCGTCGTACGTGTCGATGGATTCACTGGCTTCTCGTTTGATTTCCTCACTTTGGCGCGCATTTCCAATTACTCGAAGATGTCTGCGAATCTCTTCACGCTGGGTCGGAGAGATGTCGGGGAAGCGAGACCTAGCTTGGTCAATGACAAACCTGTCGCTGAGGGTAGATCCGTGTGCCGGTTCCAATCCAAGAGAGCGATATGCAGTTTCAATATCGCGCCTACTGGGAATATCTTTAGAAGCAAGCATGGCCACTTCATACTGCAGACTGTCGCTGTTCCGCCCAACAGCGATTTCTTGGAAGCACTCCAGGTAGTAAGGCGCATTGACTTCGTCTTCTGCGCTCTGCCGCCGGTACGCAAAACTGACGAGCGAATCCGCAAAATCTCCTACTGCACCAAGACTTGCGAAGTATCTACTTGTATGTCAGATAAGCCCATCGAATTTGATGTCAAGTAGAACATACGGATGATCCTCTTCGGTCGTACTTGTACTGCGTGTTCGCCCAGCCACTTTCTCATCTATAGAATGTCAGCAGTAATCAAGATGGAAACTGAGGGGAACTTACAATCATGGCATGCTAGTATTCTTTCAATGTCGCCTTGTGAGGGGACGGGGTACAGTGGGATATGCCTGACCTTCTCGCGTTCACGTTCGGGTACTGCAAGAATCATGGTGTCCAGTTCATATCTCGCGTCCTGAATCGTAGTGCGCAGATTCCTCTGGAGCGGGTCATGTTCGTCCTCAGGCTTGGGAAGGTACCAGGTCTCGATATCGGATCCTTCCTCGTCCTCGCTCACCTCGCGCGTATACTGGAATCCCAACTTGGTCAACATCGAGTCGCAGTCTCTCCAGAACGTCTTTGCAAACTTTCTGTTCAGCAGCGGGATCCTTGTCTTTCCTGGTAGTGGTGTGAACGAGTCTTTCAGAAATGTGTCGAGAAAATCAGGTCCATCCACACATCGCGACATGGTCTCGCCCTCGCGCTCTCCTATGAGTTCGCGAGCTTGCTCGAACCTCCTCCTCAGTTGTGCTTTGTTCATCAACAAGTCCTGGTCGTGCTCTGTAAAGTGCGGCGGCTTGAGCTCTGTGCGCACTGAGGTTGAACACGAGCTCGCCGTACAGCGGAAAGTGAATGACCTTGGAGTGCGTTGACCACCGAGTCCATTGCTCTCTTCAGTGCCCGCGCCATCGTAGACAAAGTGATGCAGTGGGTACTCGGCGTTCTGACTCCCACACGGTCGCCCCGACCCTCGGTCCTTGTGGTTTACGATGACGTCGATGTGCCAACGACATTGCGAGCAATAAGATGCGACTTTGTAGATAGGCCGGTCTTCATCACCAGCGACTGGCAGCAGAGACTGCTCATCTTTTCTGACAAGCGCATGTCTACAGTTCCCTCGGGGTACAGCAGGGATGCCGTTACGGCTCGAGGTGTGCTCTGGCGGGGCGCTCGTCAGGAGGTTGCGACCAGCTCGGTCTTCGCGGCGAGGGTCGTATGTGAGGAGGTCCTGCAGCAGCCGTGGCGCTGTCTTGCCTGGTTGACGCCGGGTTAGCAGTGAACACCATGGATCTTGGGAGTACCGTACCAGGCGCCATGACGGACGCAGCTAATAATGTAAAGTGGAATGCTGGGAGATAACACGGATGCAGAGGTAAGTGCTTATTAAGATGCGAGGTTCAGGATGCGGGCACAACGTGGGCGGTGTGAAGAGTGTCAAACGGATGCCATGCGACTCGGGGTGTTTAGCACAGCAGGCGCATGGCAGGCGGCAGGCAGAAAGCGGTGTTATAGGCTGGTTGTCGAGGTCATGCTGCATCACAAACACCATACAAGACTATGGAAGGATCGGGAAACTACAGTGCAGGCTTCAAGCTCCGTCCGGCAAACCGGCGAAGCATGCAGCTTGTCAAGCTCTCGCCTTGCGACGATCCAGGACATGCACAGCGATGATGCACAACCGCGCGCCACCGTTTCGGCCTAGCGCGCCAAGACGCAGCCAACTTCAACGACGTGAACGCATGTGTCGGGAGCTCTCAAGACGAGATAGCTGCAGCGATTCCGCCCACCATGGCCGACCAACAGCCCACATACCACCCTCGGGACGCCCTCCAAAACACAGGCAATGCCATGTTCCAGACCTCCCTCGCGGGTGCCGTCATCGCCGGTGTGCAGAACACACTCCGCAAGCAGAACGTCGGAGCCATGGGCATCTTCACACGGTCCGGAGGCGTAATTGCTCTTTTCGGTGCGCAGACTGTCAATTAGCCGTCTGGGAAGCATTGGGAAGCTAATTGAGCGATAGCCGCTGCTGGAGGCGCATACCAGTTCACACTCGACGCGACCGCCAACCTCCAAAAGAAGGACGACTGCTACAACGAATTCTACGCTGGGTTTGCCGCCGGCGCGGCTACCGGTGTCTTCAGTACGTGCCCATAAATTTGTGGTATAGCCTAGGCTAATTGTGTTCAGAGCGGAGCCTGCCGTACATGCTCGGTGCTGGTATGTGTTTCGGAACAGCCATGTCTGCTTTCAGATACACCGCTGGTATCCGCGGCGCCGCGGTTGAAGACTTGAACGATGAGGAGGTTGAGCGAAGGGAGGCCCTGAAGAAGCTCCGCAGACGCCCGTTGTCTGAGACCATCGAGCAGCTGGGTGAGGGTCGTGGTAAGTCTTTTGGAACCTCCCATATCGGCAATTACTGACGCGTCTAGGTATTTACGCTCCCGGATACGAGGAGAGGAGGCGAGAGAGGATCTTGGAGAAGTACGGAATCGATGTAAAGGCAGCGCAGGCCTAGACGCAATACGCAATTTCCTTGGAGTTCACAACAGAAGTAGACATCGAGTCAAAGAATCGAGCACTTCGCCACAGCTGTATATACTACTTGTTCCCACAAGCTCGAAAATGGCAATCGACATCACGTTCACGGCACTTTGCTGACAAGCTATCGACCTCGAAATCACATAAGATGTCAGACGTTGGACACCTTTTGCATACAGCCATCGCATGATTACCGTTATTGCGGGTCTGTTTCGCTGACGACAGTCCAGTTGAGGTACGTGGGACGCGCATTGCATATGAAATGTGTGTTGTTCATATTTAGTCCTTGAGGACTTGATAAGTTGCCGACCCATGTCGTGAGAGCCGACGAGGCTGAGTAAAGACTAGTGGCTGATTGGCTCTCAAGTCACGACCATGGACAAAACAACAACTACAGCAGTGCTCTCAATGCGTGAAGAATAATATATTTGGTCGAAACTTCGGCTCAAACCAACTTGCCTTCAAAGTCGTTGTGCAAGCACGTTCGTAACAGAGGTGCGAAGAACGCACGTGCGCCCATGTCAGGAACGCGTCGAGATCCCTGTGACGCACTGCGGGGTAGCCTACGAGCCGTCATCTGCATAGCGAGCAATATCGGCTATTGCAAAAAAGTAGCTGTCGCGTGAGCCCCTTCACTGCCTTCTTACCTGAATCGGCCTGTCCGTCGTAGATGATTCCATGGCACTCTGCACGATGATGCACTCGATCTTCCCGTCGAGCTTCGACGCGCTTTTTCGTTCAATCGTGCCCCGCCAAACTGGTCGACATCCGATACATCTTGCGACCACGCACTATACGGACTATCATCCTGCACCGTAGACCGCATATACTACTTTGACAATCTTGCTACGCGCAGAGTACTCGTACCTCATCGTTCCGTAGAGATGCAGGAAGCTTCCCAAACACAGACCGAAGCCGATTCGAAAGATCGCTTCTTTCGATACTTCCGACATGAAGTCACAGGTAGCTCATATATTTCTTTTAGGAAGCCTTTCAACTAACCCTTCAAGCCCTGCAAGAGCAAATGGAACGTCTAAATAGCATAGCGACAGGCGGCGGCGAACGCAACGACGCCGTTGACCACTGCCTAGCCGGCATCGACCGCCTCTCACACGAAGTAAAGGACGCCTCGAGCTACATTCCCGCCTACGACCAGCGCACATACAGCGAGGTACACCTCCAAGTCCTGTGTGAAGCGTCCTCAGCTAACTTCTCCAGGCCATCAAAGCCCTCTCCGAGAAACTGCAAAGCATCCGCCAAACCTTCAACCCGCCCAAGAAATTCGCCTTCAAGACCCGCAAGAACGCCTCTGCAATCTCCATCTCGGACGCCGCCGAACTCGCAGCCTCCCAGCGGGCCCGCGCACCCATCATCTCCACCAGCACATCCACGCCAACCTCCTCCTTCGCCCCGACGCCACTCGACCGCCTCTCCCCCGGCGAACGCAAGGAACAAGAAGCCGCGCTGCACAGCACAACAGCCGCCGATCCCCCCAACCCGCAAACCCTCACCATCTCAAACCTCTCCGGCAAAACTATCCGCGTCCCGGCCCCCGGCCCCGACGGGCCCCCTAGCTCCGCCACCCTCGCCAACCTCACCGCCTGCACAATCGACATGCGCGCCCTGTCCACGCCGCTGCACGCGCTCTACCTGCGCTCGCTGGCGGGCTGCACGATCATCACACCGCCCGTGAGCGGCGCGACGCATATCACCGGCGTGACGGACAGCAGGCTGTATGTGGCGACGCGGCAGTTCCGGATGCATGCGGCGAGCGGGGTGGATGTGTATCTGGCGTGTGGGTCGAGGCCGGTGGTGGAGGGGTGCGGGGGCGTGCGGTTTGCGCCGCTGGTGGGGACGGGGTTGGAGCACGAGGGGGAGAATATGTGGGATCAGGTGGATGATTTTGGGTGGTTGAAGGCGGAGAAGAGTCCAAATTGGGGGGTTTTGGGGGAGGGCGAGAGGGAGTTGCCGCCGAAGATTGAGGAGGAGTGAGTCTAAGATAGAGGGAGGGTGGCTGCATCCCTGCGTGTGGGTATCTGTGATCAGATTGTGGAGGTCGTTCTCTGGTTGATTAGGATCGGCATACAAATCCGCACTGCCCATCTTCATCCGCAACTGACGTCCAGGTCGCGAGTCCCCGGACCGCAATTCGCGCGCATTCATAGCGGTAGTCAATCCACTCTTGACTTGAGTCACCACACCCGCTCATCCAAACCCCCCAAGCATGTCCCCAACATCCCTCTTCTTCCCCTGCTTAACCCTTCGTTTCTTCGCTTCTCCATCTCGCGGGACCCCCTTACCCGGCGTGTCCAGTGTACGTTTGCCCAGTGTGTCGGATCTGTCCAGCACCGCGCCAGGCCGTCGTGCATACCACGCGACACGCCCAAGAACGCGTGCGTTACCGTCGCCATAGCATGTGAGGGATAGCTGTGGGCCGTGTTCTTCTTCTCCACCTCTTCTTCTTCCTTCTGCCCCTATCTCTTTTCTTGCATCTTGGTGTGCGTCTCCTGCGCATTCGCTTGTGACTGCGTCTCTCCCTCCGTCATGCGCATCCAGCACCGTCCTCACCAGCCTCTCCATCCTCTCTCCCAGCGTGTCCTTTCCCTCCATAATCCCTGTATACACCTCTTCCTGCGCGCCATCGACACGCACCCACTCCCCTCCCTCCCCCTCGAATCTAGCCCTTTTCTCTTCCCCCGCGCGTTGAATCCCCATCCGCTCAATCCCCACCAACTCCAGCCCCCCGAGCCCGCCCAGCGCCCCCAACACGCCTCTGTCACTGCTATCGTGCTCCACAGCCGACAAATACAAAACCCTCAGCCCCTGACCCCCGACCCCTTCTGCCGCCGCCCTGCTCCAGTCCCGCAGCTCCCTAATCCCTAGCCGTGGCGCCGTTTGACGGGGACAGCAGTGCACCAGCACCCTCAACCCCCTCAGCTTCAGCAGCTCGAGGAGGAGTGCGCGGCTCAAAGCGGCGCCAGGGAGCGCGACACAGACCCCCACCGCCTCGGGCAGGGTTGCCAGATACTCAACCACCGACGGTGCGCACTCCACCGGAACGCGGAACGCATGTGCTATCTCCTTCTGCGCCGGAAACGCAGCCTGGAACAGCGCCCACGCGGCCAGCGTGAGCGTGTTGCTGCGCTCCAGCGCCCCCCACACCATCCCCCCGTACGGCCACCACCCCACCCCCTCCAGCGCCGCGGGCTCACACAGCCGAATGTGCCAGCACACACTCCTCAGCGCCATGTCCCGCAGCGTCGCCGCACCAGCCCCACTCTTATTTGTGTACGCGCGCGGGTCACATGCGCGGCCGGTGGCGTGGTGCAGGACAGCGGGGGAAGGGCGGGGGACGGGGGTTGTGCGTTCTGTGTAGAAGGGGGGGTGCATTGTGTGTTTCTTTGGTGGGGCGTGGGGGGTTGGATGGGTGGTGTGGTGGGCGCGAGGTGAGGTGAGGACGTGACGCGGTGGCGCGGTATCACGTGCTGGACACCCTGCTGGGGAGGTTCGTGGATGTTGGTTGTCTTGGGCTTGGTGGGGTGGGTTGACGGTGCGTGAATTAAGATAGAAACGCGTAGTGTGGATACAGAGAGTTTGGCGGGCTTGTCTTGAGGGAATGGTATGGTCCGCTGTTGGCGGTCTGAGTGCATCACGGAGCAGGCTGGGCATGTGGATACTGAGGTGGAGGAGTAGCACTCATTGGGTCGGTAGGAGCGGATCAATATAGGCAGGGACTAGCATGTAGAGGGTCGATCGTACAAGCAGCCATCTGCGGAGTAGAGTGCTCCGACGTATGAACTTGGTCACTTACCTAATTCTCACACTTTGGCTAGCTGGATACTCAAATCTTCTATCTGTATTCACTGACATGCGATAACTCTCTCTCTGTTCTGTACTACACGATCTGCCTTACCCATGAAGGTACTTAAGCACCCTTGATATTCAAAGTGCCTATGTGTACCTAGAGGGTGGAGGACAAGACCTGCTGGTTTGCCTGGCTCTCCGTGTTCCCTGCATCTACTACAGCGAATACGTAGAAAGCCTCTTCTCCTCCGCCTGGGCCATCGACGTCCTTCACGGGCGTTGCCGACAGCATCCCAAACCCAAGACGATTAATATTTGCAAAGTAGCATGGTCTGTAGATACGAACACGAATTCCCTCTCCAAGTCCTGTGTTTATGGGACGGGAATCAAGCGCAGAATCCAGGGGTATTACATTTTTTGTTCTCGGAAGACTGCTCTCTGTAGCAATGCACACACAGTACTAGACCTCGCGCTCCCGCTACTCCGCCCACCCCTCAGCCCCCCCCCCCCCCCCACTCAACTCAAGCGCGCTGCGGCAAATACGCACCGCCCGCCAACACCAAATTCATCCTCGTAAACTGGACCTTATACACGGGGCTATCCTTGGTGGGAAACGCACTGATCTGATCCGCACTCACCCCCGTCTCCTTCCCGACCTTCTTCGCCGAGACGGTCGTCCCACTCGCGCCTTTCGTCGTCAGCGCGCCATCAGACTTCCCCGCATCAGCTTTGGCGCCGGCGCTCTCGGCCGTCTCCTGCAGGACATCCCAGACACGGACGGTCTTGTCTGCGCCAGCGGAGACCAGCACGCTGCTCTCGACGCTCCAGGCGAGCGACCAGATGCCGCCCTTGGCGTGGCCGCGCATGCGCTTGCGGCGGCGGCCGGACTCGAGGTGCCAGAGGACGATGTTGCCTGCGTCGTCGGCGGAGGCGAGGGTCTTGCCGTCGGGCGAGCACGCGAGCGCGGTGACGTTGCCCGTGTGGCCCGTGAACAGGCGCAGGCAGTTGCCGCCGGAGATGTGCCACATGCGCACGGTGCGGTCGCAGGAGCCGGTGAAGACGTACAGGTTGTTGGGGTGGAAGGCGACGCAGTCGACGTCGTTGTCGTGGCCGACGTAGATGCGCAGGGGCTCAATGTGGTCCGTGGACCAGAGGCGGGCGGTGCGGTCGTTGGAGCCCGTCAGGAAGTAGTGGCCGTACGGGCCCCATTGGAGATCCCAGACGGGGTTGTCGTGGCCGCGGTAGGCGACGAGACAGGACCATGTGTCGAGGGACCACAGCCGGACGGTCTTGTCCTCTGAGCAGGACAGCAGGAATTGGGAGTTGGTGGGCGGGCCGCCCTCGACACGCTTGGACGTGGATGGAGAAAATGATACAGCGTAGACTGGACCGGCGTGACCGACCAGGCGCCGTGACGACGACGGTTGTGTGGTCGTCTCGGGTAATGAGGATGTGAGCGGGCTGCCGTCCATGGACCAGACGCGGATGTACGACTCCGCCATACCGGCTGCGACAAGCTGGTTGTCGCCTGAGAACTCGATGCAGTTGATGCTGTCGTAGGTGTTGTGGAATGTGTACATGGTGACGCTGACAGCGGGCCCAACACCGCCAGTGCGGCCTTCCATCTTGTAACGATCACGGTATTCCATGATTTTAGATACCTCCATCGAGACGTCACGCGCTAAAGATGGTGGTAGAGGTACTGTGTCGCGCGACGGGCCGTCCTCTGTTGGTTCGCGTTTGATGCGCTGGTCATACTCGTCCACCAGCGACGATTGCCCAGCCTTTGGCCCGTCCTTCGCATCCTCATCTTGCAGTGCGGCACGGACATCATCCTGCAGATCCTGGTCGTGAGGGTAGGGACCCAGCTGCAGACGAATGCGCGCAGCGTCAGCCTCAGGATCGTGGCGGCTCGTCAGCGGATGCCCAGGGTTGTGTCCCGGGATGCCCTCGTCCTCTGCTGGCAGCTCATCCTCCCCCTGCCCACTTGCCAGGATCGCAGCTATGCTCTTCTCCGCAGTAGCTGTCCGATCGACCGTGACGATGTTCAGGTGCTCCCGAATGATATCCATAAGCGCCTGGCCGCCCTCGAACATCTTCGACTCCAGAAACTGAATGAGGTTGTAGAACGGCATCGTCGTCAAAGTCAAGCGGTACTTGTTCTCGTTGTACAGCTTAGCAATATTGCTCTCCGTGAGGTGAGACGGCAAGCGAACCTGGCGCAGGGTCTTGATCTCATCGCCGTGATCGCGCTCGAAAAGGTTCTGATATGAAGCGAAGAACGTCTCGGCGTCTTTCGTGAAGTAGTCGCGCACCAGATCCATGAACGAGTACACAAAGACAGGCCACATCAGCTTCCGCAGCTCGGGCCGGTACAGGTCCAGGTTGTCTTCTGTGTATTTCCGCAGCAGCTCAAACGACTTTGTGTATTTTGCGCCGCCGGTCTCTGCACTGCCGCTGACGAGGGGCTGTCCGTTCGCTTGGGGCTCCGATTCCTTGCGGAGCATTGCTTCGGTGCGGACATATCCCTTCTTGGACAGGTACTCTAGCACCTATGCGACAGTTAGCAATGTGGTTGATGTTGTAAGTGAATGACATGAAAGGAATAATCATGGTCCGCGACAATCGATTGGACATCACGGTGAAGGCTGGACCCGGAGACTGACAATGAGCCGACTCGAACGGTCGAGATCGGTCGAGTCCAACGGAGGCTGGGCCACAGGGCGTGCTGGTTGTCCTGGTCCGAACACGGAAGAATAGCGAGGATTCGGCGCTGGGGACGAATGCCCAGTCGTGCGGGGACGGTGCGGCGGCAGACCCATATTGGTGTTTGCGACAGTGGTAGGTCAAGGTATAGGTCCAAGATAGTCTAGGTATATCGTATTGCGACAGCCAGAATGTTTTCACTTGCACATGGCCGCGCTAGCAAAGCGCACAGAGACCGGACTAAGGACGAGGTGAAAGACAGTCACTCACAATCTGATTGAGGTTCTGCTGCGACTGAGGACCCGATGTGCTCGGCGGCGGGGGCCCAGCACTCTGCTGCGGCGCCATGCTGCCGTGGGGAGGGAGCCCAGCGCTGGGAGGACCATTCGTGCCTACGCTCATAGCGCGCGCCGGCCCTGGCCCCGGTGGGCCCGACATGTCGAATGCGTTCCTTCTCTTTGATGCGGGCGCGTGGTGTCGGTACGTCTGGGCGCGGGAGCGAGGCGCGTTGCGTGTGCGCACACGGCGGGGCGGAGGACGACGATTGTGCGCGGAGTTTGGCGATCAGAGGCGCAGCGGGAGACGCGTAGAGGCACGCGATCGAGATAGCAGAGTCGTGCAGCCGTGGCCGACGCTGTCGCATTGCGGAGGAGCGTCGGCGGCGGTTTGGCAGCGATGCACCAGCCACACGCGTGCGCCACAGCAGGAGTAATGCATCATCAACATTTCTTGCCGCACCACCACTCAGCCCAGCTCACCACCAACGATCCGCGATCCGACGCCTGTCAATCCGCAATCCGCAATCCGCAACCCCGCCACCGCTCCTCCGCCGAGAACCCTCGCACAGCTTCGCGCGCAGCCCGCCCCACCGCACATCAGCCCACCATGGCCGACGACACACGGCCAACCTCGGGCGTGCAGACGATGCAGATCGAGAACCTGCCCGCGCAGCCGCGCACCCCCGCAAACAGCATGCCCGGCGGCACCGCGCACACGGCGGGCGGCGAGAAGCTCGACAGCGACGGGCCGTCGTACATCGACGCCGTGCGCAGCCTGGGGCCCGAGTACTACATGAACTTCCACAAGCGGCCCTGCGTGCGCGACTCGCAACTGCAGGGTCTGGCCGCCGGGTTTGCGGGCGGCAGTCTGGCGGCCATCGTAGGCAGTACGTCGGCCCGCTAAACACCCCCTCTACGCGCCTGCAGCTAACAACGACGCAGAGCCGGTGCTGATTGCAAGCAACTGGGCCGTGGCCACCTGGTGCGGCGTGTCGGTAGTGTCCTACCAGGTGTGCCAGTACTACCGGTCCAAGGAGAAGGCCGGCATCAAGCAGGCGCAGGACCTGATGGAGAAGAAGCGCGCAAACATCGAGGCCAAGAAGGAGGCACGGAGACGGCAGAAAGAGGAATACGAGCGCCAGGAGGGGCTGCGGCGGCTGGAGGAGGAGAGGAAGAAGAGCTGGGCGTACTGGTACGAGAAGAACCTCAAGTTTTGGTAGCGGGAGATTGCGCAGAGTGCTTGTAAGATGATGATGATGATAAAGTGGAGTGCGCTATGTACAGAACGCGTGTAAATCTGGAGTATCTGTATGATATGTCGTCCTATGCGATGGACTCGCTGAAACCAAAAGAATGACCAAAACGCCTGACCCCAATACGCCGTGCACCTGAATGCCGTTCCTTGTAGTCCAGAAAACGAGGTGACCAATTCGTCAGTGTGTCGTGATGTCGTCGTACAATCCTTTACTCCTCCTGTCCTAGATCCACCGATTACATTACTTCCGCGCCTCTCCTGCGTGTGTGAATTTCTGCACTGTGGCTACTACTGTCTTTTGGTGTGTGCATGGATCACATCCCTGATACTGTCCTCCAATGGGTGTTTGTGGGCTCAGACAACAAACGATACCTTCCTTCGAGAAACCTCCAGGGGCGGCGGCGGCAGTTCCCTTTCTATTGTCGACTCTCTGGATGCTGCGGGCCTAGCACTCACACCTCGCTGTCGTCGCTGGCTGCGCTTGGCCCTAGCCTCACGAGTCTCTCGAGCTTTCCACTCTTGGAGCTGCTGTTTCCGCCTCTGCGCGCGTTGATACGCAATAGCAGGGGTCGGCTTGAACCCGATACCGTTGAGACCAGTCCCGTCGTCGTCTGGGTCGTTGGCAGGGCCGGTGAGGTGGCCCGTGATCTCGTCGTCCCGCCACGTGAGAGCTGAAAGCGGGGGCGACGCAGGCATCTTGCGAATGGCTGAATGCGGCGACGATGTGTCTGTCGACGCGGGTGTTTGGATATTCTGGCTGCTGAGTAGCGTCCGCAGCGACGGCGTGCTGCCAGATGGCGATCCAAAAGTGGTGGGTTGTGCAAATGCGGCAATGTCTGTCACGGTGCGGGGTCGTGGCGCTTGAGGAGTCTCCGGGATCTCTCTCTTGCCTCCAAAGGTCGGCTCAAACGAGACTGTCTCCATGATGGTGACCCTCCTACGGGGCTTTGCGGGTGTCTGCGCTGCGTGCATGTCCGGTGCTGTGTCGTCGTCCACGTCCTTAGCGCCCAGCTTCGGCTTTTTGCGTGTGATGTCGTCGGTAGGCGTCAGCGGCGACATGGGGATGGCGGCCGTGGAGATGAGGGACATCCCCCGCAGCTGGTCTGCGACTTCATTTCTGGGGCTGTCGGGGCCCGTCGAGGGGGCGGGACTGTCGCGTCGTGGTGGGGTTTGTGCGGGTCGAATGGCCAGTGCCGTGTTGAGCAGCGGGATCGGCTGGGGCTGGTCGCGCTTGCGCTTGGGCGAGGGGTGGGCAAGCTGCATTGGTGGCATTTCGCCGGCTGTGGCCTTTACATGAGCGCGATGTCAGGGCAGACGCCGTCGTCAAGGAGCAGAAGAGTGGTGTTGACTGGTAAGCATGTTGCCGCGGGCCCATGATCGCCCGTTAGCGAGGGTGGGGCACGCACGGCCCGGCTGTAGGGCTGATATCCCTGCGTCTGCCCATGCATCGCTGGAGAGCCGCGGAGGAGATCCGTCCATCACTGGTGGGCTGTCGTTGCCTGTCACTCCACGGGCATCATCTCGCAGTGGCCCTGCGTCGAAAGGATAATTGAACGTGCGCAGCGGTACCCGGACCACCCTTCGCAACTGCAATCGTCTCCCTGCTTGCTGCCTAGCCGTAGCGTCGAATGACTCGTCTGAGCTGGAGTCTCTGTAGGCATGCCCGTGACTTTACTCTACTGCATCAGAGAGCGAATCTCCGTTTTTACCTCGTTGTTTATTTGGTAAGCATAGCATCTCGAGCGCTGGTCGCACCTGCCTTCACCATGCAGCAAAGCTCCATCACCGGCTTCTTCAAGAAGACTCCGCGGCCAGACACCGCTCGCGAGGACGAAGACAGGCCTAGCAGCGACCGACAGCAGCGAAGACCCGGACCTTATCACTCTCGTGGCGGATATTCGAGTCCAAGCACGCGTGGCGGAGCCTCGACCTCAAGCATGCGTGGCGGGCATTCAACTCCAAGCACGCGTGGTGGACATTCAACTCCAAGTAGGCGTGGTAGATACTCATCACCAAGCACGCCGGGCCAGCATCGAGGTGGCACATCTCCACGCAATCTAGAGCTCAGGAAGGTAGCCAAAGAAACCATGGACGTGCTGCCGGCCGTGCTCAAGTCACTGCCTGGCTTCGGAGCTGACATCGCTTCTGTCTACGACTTGGACAGCCTTGCGCCGCTTGACCCAAAGGACTGCCCCGGGTACACCCTTCCAGCTGGCGACAAAGACGCAGGCAGAGCAGGCACGCGGATACGTGTCTTGGACAAGGACTCGTTCGACGCTGCCATCGAGCTGCAACCGCACTACACAGCTCGTGTCCACCTGGCCAGCTTACCTGCAACATCAAGCCCTGCAGCCGACACACCTGACAGCAGCCCCGCCAACGATAGTCAAGAGACGGACCTCGACGGCCTCCCAGTCCAAGAACCCTGGGATCTCTCCACGGCCCCCAAACAACCCCAACAACTCCAACAACCCCACTCACCTCACCCCATCACCCCCGGCCCTCCGACAGCAAAACCCGTCCTAGTCCTAAACCTCGCCTCCCCCACCCACCCCGGCGGCGGCTTCCTCAACGGCGCCATGGCGCAAGAAGAAGCGCTCTGCTACCGCTCCACGCTCTCCCTCTCGCTGCACCGCACCTTCTACCCCCTCCCGCCCCTCTCCGTAATCCACTCCCCGTCATGCCTCATCATACGCTCGTCGTCCGCCGACGGCCACACCCTGTACCCGACTCCAGCCCCCGGTCTGCCTGTCACAGCCGTCCTTAGCGTCGCGGCGCAGCGCCGCCCGTGGCTCACGGATGACAGGAGCGCGTACAAGAACGCAGGGGCGCGCGCGAAGATGAAAGGACGTGTGCGCGTTGTGCTGCGTGTTGTGGCGCGCCAGGGCCACTCGAAGCTCGTGTTGGGCGCGCTGGGGTGCGGGGTCTTCGGGAACCCGGCTGGGGAGGTAGCGGGGTGTTTTCTGGAGGTGATGCGGGAGCGGGAGTTCCAAGGCGGGTGGTGGGAGGATGTAGTTTTCGCCGTGCTGGATACCGCGAAGGACGGCGAGGGGGGAAAGCAGGGTGATGGGAATTTCGGGGTGTTTTTCAGAGCGCTGGATGGGCGGGTTGTGTGAAGCTTGGAAAGGGGGGGGGGGACATGTGGTAACAAATGAAGAATCTTGATATCAGAGTATTTGGAAGGGTATCAATCCCGACAGTCCCCACGCCCACGCCCCGCGCACAATTACACCCATATCACACCATCTTCTCCGCGCTCACGCTCCGCTTAATCCCCCACGCATCCTCCAGACTCGGATTCCGCACCGTCCGCCCGTACCCCGTCTCCCCGTCCTCGCTGCTTCCGCTGTCAATGCACACCTCCCGCTGCACGTGTATCTTATGCAGCTCGACCTCCTCGGCGCCGCCCTCCTCGCGCTTCACCAGCACGCGCCCGTTGCGGCTCTTATCGCGCGCCGGCGCGGCCGCACTGCGGATCTCGGTCGTCACGCAGCCGGGCAGGCGCGCAGGCACCGGGGTCGCGGGCTCGGTGTCGTAGGGCCAGATGCTGAGGTCCGGGGGGTGCTCTGCGCAGAGTTCCAACGCATCCTCCTTCACATCCGAGGTGGATTTCTCGGGCGCGGGCACGAGGCTGTTGCGCTGCGCGCCGGTCGAGGGCGAGCCGTCCAGCGTCAGGTTGCGCGAGCGGCTGCGGCTCGAGGCGTACGAGGATGGCTTGTCTTTCGATGTCACCCAGTGCAGGACCACGGCGCAGAAGAGAATGTCCGCGTTGCAGCACATCAGGCAGATCCAGCCCGGTTCGCCTTTTAGGACCATGAGGACGGTGAGGTTGGCGACGCTGGTGGTTAGGGTGGCGAGGCTGCCGATGAGGGAGCGGAAGGCCATGCGGTTGAGTTTGGGGTTGGTGTTGTTTCGGTAGGAGTAGAGTTCTGGGTGGGGGGGTTAGTATTCTCAGTGAACAAGTCGGGTTTGGGCGACGTACTGCGGACGGGGACGATGAATAGGAGGGTGAGGTAGATGTTGACGACCACTTCGAAGGTGATGAGAGGCAGCATGGCGATTTTCTGCATGCCGATTATGCACATGCCCTTGTCATCAATGTACGTGATGCGCCAGACGAAGTTCATGATGACGAAGATCGTGTACGGGAGCATCATGAAGACGCAGTTGAACAGCCATAGCTTCGTATGGCGACGGGCTTTTAGCGATCCACGGACGATGTATGCGCGCTCCACCAGGAAGTAGTAGATCAAGATCTTTGTCGTCATATAACACACCAGGCACAAGAGGATCCCGCCCTCACATACTTTGCGCGAAGAGTTGATGCCGAGCCCATGGACGATGATGGCGGTTGCAAATACGAAGAGTGTCGAGTCAACGTAGATCATGATGATGACTAGATGTCTTAGACAGAGCAGTTGAGTGGAGACATTGCGGACTTACGCCAGATGGCCAGCGGCAAGGTTCCTGTGATTGTCAGTCTGGGGATGATTACTGTGGACCATGTGGGACTTACGCCAGTTCGACATCCATGATGCTCTTCGTGCTATACATCGTCAGCTCGTCACCTTCCGAAGAGGGCTTGCGGCCTTCAAGTACTTACTGAAGCATATACACAACACCCCAAAAGTGCTCATCTGCAGCACGACACTAATGACTTGCCCCGGTGTCGGTACCAGCGCAGGAACGTAGTCTTGTGCCATCTCGCTTGCATCCACTTTCAGCCTCAACGTGCAAGAGTAATTGTCGTCCAAGTTCCCAAGCTCCTTTTGTCTGTAGCTGGTCGGTGAAACAAGTCAAAGAAGAATCAGAATCGTACGATTATCAAAATCAGCATGCCGGCTACTGTACATGTTCACTCCAATGCACCCCATGCAGCTCGCTCATCATCTTACCCTTCCACAACTATCTCCCCGAGGCCGCGCCTTTTGCATAGGCTTCAGCTGCCATCCAATGGCCGGTGTGAGGCCCCGTCCTCCCGGGACCCGCCACAGAAGATCCTGGCCCAGCGGTCGTGCATTAGAACTCTAAACACGCGGAGCTTCCCCCCGTGTATCTGACTTGCGGAAATGAGAGCCCCGCGGTGCCCAAGCCCTATATGCGAGGGTTCGGCTGAGGCGCGTTGCCGCGTTAAGACTCGCTATCGTAGCCTAATCTACCCGCATGGAGTTGCAGAGGAGAGTTTGGCGAGCAATGCCTGCACGATCCTGCTTCAGACGTACGCAACCACGCAGGTGTCGCATGTTGCTCGAGCAAGCACCGGCAGGGGGTTCCAGACCTGGTGGCGGATGCTACCTGCCCAGCGCGGGTGCATGCTTTATCAACGCCGTTTTGGGTTTGACGCCTTTTGGAGACGGCGATCTCGCGCGCGTGGCTTGGGTTGGAGATGTTTTTGGACAATGATTGCAGGTCCTCAACGTCCAGGGCTTCCAGGGGCGGGAGGTGGGCCGAACACGAGCTGCGCGCCAAGTGAACCCATCGCACGTGTATCGCACGTCAAGCGCCCTTAATAGCTGCAATGCGAGTGCGATCGAGTGGGCGTTGACAAATGCACGTGCAGTCAAATACGTGGTATCGGCATAGCATGCATACTGCAAGATTCGGCCATCGACGATAGTACAACGCCGTTCAGAGGTTCTGCCATGCTGAGGCATGCCACATTGGCCACACGTCTCAAGCCGCCGTGGGGCACTGTAATAAGTACCGTGAGTTACGGTCCGAAAGCAACTTAAACGTTGCGACAGTACCATAGCTCCTACGTGCGCCTCATTGCTAAGTCGTTCTTAGATGTACCGAACATAGCGGCTTCACGTGAAGATTTTCGGAAGGGTCAGTCCAGCACGCCGGTGTCATCGTCCCAAGCTTCGGTGCAGGATTCTACGCAACTTGAGGCGCGCAAGGTGCAGCGTGTGCCGGTGCCCATGTACATGGCAGATCAAAGTCTGCTTTGGGCATGGTTGAAGTCTCCCCTTAAGCGCAAGATGACTGGTAATTTTTCCTTTCCCATGGTGTTATGCGGTTCCGCAGTAAGCAGGGAGAGGATGTACACACCATGTGCCTGTCTACTTCCACAATCGTTACACACTGCTATTCGACAATGCTCATAGACTACGTAAGTCCAGCGCTTCATAAACCTTGCGCCTTAGTACTGCGCGATTGAGCGATCTGGCCTTTCTTTTAATTATTTGGTTCATTGCCAATGCCGCCATCGAAGAAGGATTTGTATACTGTTCCTGTGGAGGATAGTGGTGGCGTTTGAGGCGCCTTCCTGACAACACGATTCAAGCGAGCTGAGTAGGTAGATAAACTAGTCAAGCACAACATAGCAAAGCCGTTGACACGAACAGGCGCAGGCTACACCTAAATCGCGAAAGCCAGCCGCTTAAATACAGCCGATGAGTATCTGGGCATGTTCAGAGGATCTGGATAAGACATCCGTGTTTCATGCTTGAGTTTCATTGATCCTCGCGGGTGCATACACCCGACACTTAGTAACCCTGCCGACTGGGTGCGTTTACTTTGCCACTGGAGAACGTGGCTGTCTGCTTGTCCAGTGCCTTCTGCCTTTGTTTCCCTGTGATCCCTGTTCTATCTGTGGTGGGTTGCGCCTTCATGAAAGCGTCAAACTCGTCGTCATCTGCGCCGTCGCTCGATGCATCGCCCTCAGCCTCGTCATCAGTTTTGGGTGCCGGCTTAGCGCGAGGTATGTGCTCGGGGGCTTTCTTGGCATCAGAATCAGAATCATCGTCAATCTTCGGAGTGGGGTTGGCGAAAGGCTTTGATGCTAAGACGCGACGGCGCAGCTCTGCCATCTCCTCTTCGTCATCAGACTCAGGGAGGTCGTAAGGATTCTGCGGGTCGACGGCATCTTCCTCGTCGTCGTCGTCGTCGTCTGAATCGTCAATGACCCTCCTGTTTTGGTTTCCTCCAGCCCAGACGTCGTCTTCGGCGCCATCCTCCTTATCAGCTCGGCTCTGCTCGTATTCCTGCTCGATCTTTGCAAGCCAGACCTCTTCGGCCTTTTTGATCTCCTCCTCATTCTCGCATGCCTCGTAGCGTTTGAGCAGCGCGGCGTTGATGTCCAAGAATGCTCGACCATACGAGAATGTCGAGAGAATGTCTTCGGCCCATTCTGGATGACCGCAGATGTAGAAACACGCCGCAAGCGCCTCGACGCAGTTCAGCCTCCAGGGCTTCCCGTAGTTTGTGGGGTTTGCCGCGACTAGATAGGGCAATAGCCGCTCGCATTTGCCACCAATTCTGCCAAATGGCACCTCGTCAATCCTGTTCCAGCTTGCCTCCACAACTGCAGCCCCATATTGGTCTAGCAGCTCCTTATCTTCCCGCGACACTATTCTCTTGCCCTTGGGACTGATGACTACGCCGGCAAACTTTTGGCCCACATGCAACTCCCTCATCATGCCCAAGCGCATGAGCCTTTTGCCGGAGCATCGTTTCGCGTCGCAATGCCCCAGATCCCAACATGCTGCCTTGAATTCTGGCTTCCTTGGGCGTTCGTTCTCGGGGTCGCTTTCGCTTCCAGACTCGGAGTTACGGCGGGGGCGTGGTGGTCCGGCGCCTACGGCCCTCCCTCCTCTGCCTCTGCCTCCCCGACTCGAGTATTTGTTATTTGGTTTGAAATCTTTCTTGTGACGCACCATGGTGGGCGGTCTGAGTAATGTCTGAGCTGTGCGTTGTGGTGGGGTTACAGAGGCTTGGAGGGGCAAACGATGATGATTGACTGCACGTCAATTATCGATGACGCTAGTGAGGCTGAGCCATGGACGGGGAATTTTATTAAACTAATCCGTGAATCCGGCACGGACAAGGGAATTTGTTAGTTTGCTGACTAGATTCCCCACCCATGTAAGGAGCCAGGGACCCATGACATGCCTCAAATTGCACATCGTGTACAGATAAAATGTAGGCAGGGAGAAGCGCTCAATCGGCGGTTCTTTTTATACTACAGGCATAAAAATGGTATCTGTCTTTTCCGACGGTTGTGCCGAGCCTCCTATGAGACGCCCAAGCTGGCAATCTCGCCCTGTTCACTCTTCTGCTGCCCGCCAAGGGAGTAAGATGCCTTCCACCGCATCTTCACGCTGCTCCCGTTCCCTCTTTGTACATTGTTCACCCGTATGTTCTGTGTGATCCCGTTTTTCTGGTTAGGTGCCAGTGTAACACCGGACTGAGGCTCGAGTTGCAGTTGCGCTCCCTTTACCGCGTTAGCTCGATGTGTTGTGTTGCAACTCCTGTTTGCTTACCTTTGATGCTGCAACCTGAAGTGTCAGACCAGAGATCGGTAGAGGTGTGTTGTTCGATACTCGAGAGTTGATGTAGAGGGTTGTATCAGTCTCGCGCGAAATGCTGAAGAGCACGTTGATGCTCGAATTGACGACAGTAATTTCCTTCGAGCTGTCTGGCACCGAAGAAGCAAAGGTCCACTCATCGTCATCATTAGCTGCGCTTGTACTGCTTTGAGCCAGATTGGACGTCGGTCCAAGGATATCACCCCCTAAGAGGTCAACAGCGGCAGATGCTGGCGCTGGTGGCTTGATTGACTGTTGATACTGGAATGGTGAGCCCTGGCGAGGCGTCGATGTGAGAGCCGCGAATGGATCTGGCGTTCGCGAGGGCTGAATGGAGCTAGACGAGAATGTAGCAGAAGGCGTTGGTGAGGAGATTTGTTGCGGAGGCGGTGTTGACCGTGATCCTGATGAGAAAAGATCGGTGATGGCCTGGTTAGATGCCTTTTGCTGCTGTGGAACGGGAACTCCTGAAAGACCAAGCACCGATCCGTTCGAAGCACCGAGCGAGATGCTGCCTGACTGGCCATAGCTGTCACCGGCCAGGGACAACCCTAACAAATCGTCCTCCAGAGCATTGCCCTTGCCAGCGGGCTGTGCTGGAGCAGCACCCGAGGATTCTGCCGCTGCAGGAGCTGATGCAGGCTCTGGATCACCAAAATCGATGAGGTTCAATTGGTTGTTCGCACCCTTCGAGACTCCAGCGCCACTTCGTCCTAGTGTGCCCTGTGGGATCTTGTTTGCGCCCTCGATATCCCCGTCCTTGATTAACTTGTATCTTTGTATAGTGCGATGTATGCTGTCGTTGATTTCGAACAGCTTGGCGACGGCTTCTGTGTCTTCCGAATCTTCTTCACACATCTTGTGGATCTTCGGCTGCGCGTTCTGCAGAGCACTGGCAAGCTCTTCAAAGACGTCCCCCTCTTTGAGCTGGTCTCCAGGCTTGTATCCCTGCAACATCTCTTCGAGAATTCTGGCTTTCTGTTGAATCTTACCGACTTCCTCTGCGGCCTTTGCTCGCCAATCTGTCTTATTCCTTTGGTCGTAGCCAGCCATTACTTTCATAAGCTTATTGGCTTCTTGCAAGTCTTGGGGTCCTCCACGGCGAATTAGCTCTTGGAGCTTAGCAGATTGCGCTTCTCGTTCTTCTGCTTCCATTTCGTCTGCGGATCGAAGGTTCTGCCTGGAATTAGCGTATTCCTACTCCCATCACAATAGCCCAACGCACATCACTGGGATTCAACACAGCAGCATCCTCCTTGCGTACTTCCGGAAACATGTATCCTTTGTAGCTCAAAAGTCTGTGCATGTCCCTGACGAAACCCAAGTCATCCTTGTACCGCGAAGTCTGACATATTGTCTGCCGCCACTCTTCGATCAATTCGAGGATTCGGTTCTGTACGCGCGAGGAGTGCACCGGTGGGCGCTCGGGGAAGCGACGAACGAGCTCGTTGAGGAACTCCTTGGTACTGATTTGGAGGTGGAACGGATAGCCGCAGTTCTTGACGCAAATATCGAGGAGCTAGAAGTTGGTGAGCGGTAGGTCGAGTAGGCGGGGTAGCTGTCCGTACGCTGAGCGCAAGCAAGGCCACGTTCTGATTGCGGTGGTTGACATAGTGTACTATCGACACGGCTGCTTCGCGGGGTCTGCATATCCGTGAGCCGCCTGTTCCGTCCACTGGGTGGTGTATTCATACGCAGAGCCTTTCTTTTGGTTGATCAGGTCGGTGATTTCGAGATTCAGCGCGAGATTTGGCTCGAAGTTCTGAGGGTCGCACGCCTGCACTGTTACGGTCAGTCGCCTACATCGGCCAAACCACAATTGCCGTATTCGTACAGATGAAGCGCTGCAGCGGCGAAGAGGGGGCTTCGCCAAACGCGCCATAGCGGTCGCGGGCGGCCATGCGTGCAGATGCAGCCTCCATTGCCGCCGCCGATGGAGCTCTGCTGGAATAGTTGGGAAACACGGTTGCGCACGGTTCGCGAAACTGGGGGGTAAAGACAGGTAGACGTATGACGAAGCACCCTATGCCCGAAAGAGGTGCAGATAGAGGCGTGGGAGTTGGTGTGGATGGCGGGTATCTGGCCAATGGTGGGTGATGGCGCAGCAGCAAGGCACTCGAAAGAGTAGCTTGGCGCGGAGCCTCAAATCGAATCAGGCTTCTTCTGTCCTCTCTGACGACTTCACCCACAACACGCTTGCAACATTAGAGGTTCCTTCCATCACTACGATGTCCCCAGTGACTGGCTGGTGCTACTAAGTTTTGAGGTTGCGACGATCACGGAGGCGAGAACCGTCCATTCCGAGGACCAAAAAGGTACCTTGGTACTCAAAGTAATCAGCCCTATCAAATACATTGTAGCCTCAACACATCAACAAGTACAACGGGAAGATCTGTCCTACAGAGGACAAGATTCGGAAATCCTTCCGGTCACTAAGATGTTACTCATCTCTCCATAACCCAGGTAGCTATCGCGGTTGATCCATAGTCACCAACGGACGAGAACTCCTTTGTAGCTTCGGTATAGGCGTATGATGCACCCGATTTGCCCAGAATTCACGTTGAGGATCAGGAATGTACGCAGATAATCTCGTCTCCATGAAGTCCTGACGTCGTACATCCATTCATCTTGTTTCATCATCACACACTCTTTTCAGTCGTACATCTCCATTTAATCATGATCAAGTGTAAGCTTTTGGCCGCCTCGACCCTTGCCATAATTGCGCCTGCACGTCCTGCTATCGAGATTAGCAGCAGTGAGAAGTGCTCCTATGCCAATGAAGCACACGAGTTCATCTCGCCTGTGATCTTGGGCCTCCTACGGCACTGTCCCTGAGGCCGCGACCTGAGACATGCCGTCTCACTGCCTCCTGACCAGACTTGGAAGCGTCTTCTCAAGGAGAACCCCAATGGTCTCAAAGACAGAAATCAGAGCATGGACCAGCCCATGGTCAACGAGGACAGCATCGATGGAACATCGTTGTGCACAAGAGCATTGTCGCCAACAGTACACAGATCACCGCCACTCTCGAACCAGAGTTGGTAACAGACAAATTTTTGATGACGAGCAGATCAAGCTGAGCTCCGTGGTAGCCTCTAAGGGCCTCTTGCTGGCTTGTTCGTCATCAAACACCCGTTCGTCGCCAACTCTGGCTGGATCGGATAGGGCGATCGAGATACAACTAGGGCCAGGAGCTTGGGTAACGTACATTGGACAAGATACCCTCCTGCACAAGATCAGCCACGGCTATGGTCTGCTCGATCCCTGTGACTGGGTTCTTCAGGGGCAAACCAACTTCTTTTGATGGCTTGAAGCTGCTGTGGAGATTGTGGAGTTCAGTACCTGTACGCTGAGAGATTAGTACCGTAAGCTCGAGGCTGTTCGTGGTTGGCAGACGGCCAAATCCCTGAGCCTGATCTGATCTCGACCATTCGGAGTCGGTACCACCTGATCATGGTCTTACTACCCTCTCGTTCATAGCGGATGGACGATCATGCCGACACAAACGTGAATAGCAATATTCTGTACATATTTTTTCCTACACATACATTATACTCGGACATCCTATGCGCCTATTCTTGATCGACCGTCATTTCGCATCTCGTATTCTTGCATGAGCCGTGTCCTGCTGTCCCGTGTATTGCGTAAGCTGCAATTATGCAGCGATTTGTAGAAAATCCTTCACCAGATACGCAGTATATCCAGCCAATGCGACAAGCACACCCTGTGACCCGTAGTATCCTATGATGCGCCCAGGGCCCATTGAGTTCTGTCTCATGAGTCCAAGCTCGACGTGACTAATTCTAAGCGCGAACAGGGTACCAAGTGCCCAGTTCAGGTATGTGCTTCGCAATGGTAAGTATGAGGTTCGATCCATGTGCCAAACTGTTGACATACCGGTTCGCCCCATTCAACTCAGCAAGCAGCGCAATGGCCAGTGCAAGCGGCACGTTCTCAGCGAAGTTGAGCTGCGCCCGCGTCGCAACGTAAAGAGGATCCTTGGTTCCTTGTGTGCTGTCTGTCGAGTCGCCCATAAATGTCTCGGTGGTGAGTCGGTGGTACACAATGCGGTTCTGCAGGAAAACATAATAGGCTGCAAAGGGCGCGGCCCAGGTTGCTGTCGCGGGTGCAAGGAGAGGCATGGGAACACCGAGGCCGATTTTGGTAGCCATTTTGGATATGAATTGGGCTGATTTGGGAGAGAATGAAGTGAGGTTAATGCTGCGCGGATGGATGGAGCTTAAGATTTAGTCGAAGCTATCCCGTCATGACGTCGACAGGGATGTTAGCGCGTTGTTGATGTGGATCATCTGAGAAACATCGTGAGATCAAACAACATCTTGTAGCTGCTCGATATACCTAAACACGAACAGTGTTGACGGGTGTTATAGAAAAAAGATGGGACCCGTTACTCTTTCTTGAATGAAACGATGCCATAGAACGGTCAATGAAAACCAAGAACGGTCTGACTACAGTGGGGTTCGAAATACAATATATTTGAAGAGCTAGATGGAATATACATGGGTATCGTATCGTACATGCGTGACTGGTTTCAGAACTCACGTCGTTATCTTCGGATGCGTAGTGTTGTACAGCTATGAGCCTGCACTTAGAAGCGATATAGTCTACCGTTTCTACAGCTCTCGTTAGCAATGGTCCTGGTGACCATTTACGTCGGACTGACCGGCTTCATATGTTCGGCATCATTGTCCCTGTTGTCATCCCGGACTTCCTTCAGCATTTTGTCGATACCTCGCTCGGAGAGTGCTTTCTACAGCCGGGATCAATTTAAACTCTTGTGTAGGTAAATGGTATAACATACTGAAAGACACTTCTCGTACTGATCGAACATAGGCTTGCATTCATCTGTTGTCGACGTACCCCTCAAAAACTCTTGATACATTGTTAGCAAAGCTCATCTGACAATTGAACTGAAAAATAACCTACTCTCGCTATACCATTTGAGGAAGCAGTTGTCATATTTTCTTCCAAGGTCAGCAGCTGCTTGTTATACAGAGAAAAAAGCTTTCGTACTCTTTGACCTCGTTGCACTCTGGCGCTAATGATGCAGACATGATGTTGGTGCAGAACGGAGAGAGACCCACCGGCGGCGAGTGAAGGTCGCGCCTGCCTGCAGCTCTTATCGATAGCGTTGCGCCAAGACATTGAATTTCTGCGACTTCTTCGAAAGTTGCGACAAGCGCATTTCCTAGCTACGACATCGCCTGCGTCAGTACGGACGTTGTGCTGTACAACGCCACTCAACCCACCGTCAGAGCATGCACAACTAGTGAAGAGTCATGGAATCATTCAAAGCACTCCAGGACGACATTTCCCAGGCTTTAGTCTCGACAACGCGGTCGGCTACTCGCATTGCAGGCACAGACATCGCTTTCCAGCGATCACTCGATCCAGATGTTGCTGCAGCCCTCGATGCGCAGAATGAGCGCCTTCTCCAGCTTGCGCAACGCCTTCTTGAAAGCGCTGCCGCAAGCTCGGACGCCGTAGGTCCCAAGCTACCCGACGTCGAATCCATAGACGGCAACTGGAGGGCGGTCGTTGATGTCATCGACAGCTTGCTTGAGAAGGCGGACATAAGTCTCGACGAATACACGGGAGTTGTGAAGCGATTGAGCCCCAGCGCGGATCCGGTAGGGAAAATTTGTGTATATTCTATGAGCAAAGACTGACAGAGCACAGGCTGCCACAAAGCCACGACCCAACATCGCCGAAAAGAAGCACCTCTCAAAGCCACAGCTCACGTTTGACCATGTGCCAACGAATGACGAAACTGGTCCCTTTCGCCCATTGCTAGTCACAAAGCCCCATGCAAAGATACCACTTGAGGAATGTTTGAAGACCTTCAAAGACAGCAAAGGCCGAGAACAGTACCCGCACCCATACCAGACCGAAATCGAAACCTACGAATATCCGCAAACTGTTTACCAACATGCGGAACCAAAGCAATACCAGCCATTCGGGGAAACCACCGCTACATTTGTTGACACGCCCGAGGCGGTCGACGACATGTTGACTGAACTGAGAGAGGCGAAAGAAATTGCTATCGACCTGGAACATCACGACAACCGCTCTTACATTGGCATGGTCTCTTTGATGCAGATCAGTACGCGCGACAAGGACTGGATAGTGGATACACTGATGCCTTGGAGGCGGAAGCTGGAATGTCTAAACGAAGTCTTCGCAGATCCTAGCATTCTGAAGGTTTTGCACGGATCGTTCATGGACGTCATTTGGCTTCAACGCGATCTTGGACTCTACCTGGTTGGTCTGTTCGACACATACCATGCTGCTCGATCTCTAGGTTACCCGGGCGCAAGCCTAGCATACCTGCTTGAGAGACATGTCAGCTTCAAAGCGCAGAAGCAGTACCAGATGGCGGACTGGCGAACACGACCACTCAGCCAGGAGCTCTTCGATTACGCTCGCGCAGATACCCACTTCTTACTGTATATCTACGACAAAATGCGGAACGAGCTAGTTGAGAAGTCGGACTTCTCCGACGCTGAGAGGAACAAGGTGCATGATGTACAAGAAAAATCGAAGGAGTACGCCCTGCAGCGGTACGAGCACCCAATATACGATCGCGAGCTGGGTCTCGGACCTGTTGGCTGGCACAAGGTCGTCTCAAAATCGCCTGTCACATTCACGTCACAGCAGTTTGCTGTATTTAGGGCAGTGCACGAGTGGCGCGACAGCTTAAGCCGGAAAAACGACGAGAGCACCTTCTTCATCATGCCAAACCACGCGTTGTTCAGTATAGCTCGAATGATGCCCCTAGACAAGCCGGCACTCTTTACCGCCATCCAGCACGTCTCGCACATCGTTCGGGCTCACGCGGATGAACTTATAGGAGTTATTACACGGGCGAAAGAGGAGGGCCTTGAGGGACCTGAGCTGAACGATGTTCTTACCAAGATCGCCGACATGAAAGAAGCAGAGAAAGTAGCGAAGTACGCATCTGATCCTCCAAAAGCGACTGCACCCGTACCTGCTGCTATACCTGCTGCACCGGCACCATTACTCAGCGACGTTGCTGTACCAGCAACTAGAATGTCGTCATCAGATTTCTGGGGCACATTGTCGACTACACCATCGACGTCTGATCGCCAACGAATTCTCGACATCGCACTCGCCCTTCCATTACCACCACTCACCGCGGAAATATTTGCCGAGGCCAACGCCAAGTCCGAGGCGAACACACCAAAAGAGAAGCCACAGTATCTTACCAAGGATGAAAGACCACAAGAGGACCAGAGAACCGACATGTTCGTTGTGAAGCAGCTCGGCGGTAAGAAGAGGAAGCGGGCAGAAGCCTCAGGGCCCGAAGATCAGGCCAAGCCCGCACTGGATCCCATGGTCAACAATGAGATTATGCTCGATGGCGAAATCGAGGAAGACGACGAAGCAGCAGCGCGATCAGCCCGCAAAGCAGCCCGCAAAGCCGATAAAAAACAGAAGAAGCTGGAGGCGCAAGCTGCGGTGCTTGAAGCTACTGGTGAAGCTGCTTTTGACTACGCCAGCGCGCCCACGGTCCTGCATGCCGCGGACGAGCAGGCAAAGAAGGACGCAAGGGACAGGAAGAAGGACAAGAAGGAGAAGAAAAAGAAGGGCTTCCAGGGCTTCGCAGGTCTTGCAGATGCGCCGAAGGGGTTGCCGAGGGCACAGAAAGAAGTTGCTGGAAGGACTAAGACGTTCACGAAATAGGGCGTGGACGATTGGCATTAGCTGGGCGTTCATCGGCGCATCATCAGTCATGCATTGTTCTGTACATAGTATTGCATCATGATACCTGGCTGCGGCGGTATCAATCGAGAAGTCAGCCTTAATAGGGCAATCATTACCCAACGTCCAGTTGCCTTACGTGTATATGCAAAGACGCATAGCTCTTAAGTATTGTGAACCTAATACAGCTTCAAACCAAAATGTCCCCACCTATACAGACCGCTCTTCTGCTCGTTGGAATGAAAACGCACGGAGCATTATGACAGACCCAGAGAAGGTGCGATAGTTGAGATAATCGCAATGACGACGAAGCAGAAATTGACCTATAAATGCCTCGTCGATAGCGCGTCTGGACCTAGCCCAATTGTTGTCTGCTGTGTGCAATTCAACAAAATTGACGGATTGTTTACTTGCAACCTCCAGCGTCTCCGTTGTCTCCACCCAGGTGCAGATGAGCCCAACACGTTAATGGCGGTCTGCCGTTCGATGGAAAGGGATAGGTACAGACGAACGCATCGATCGACATGGACTATCCGAGAGTAAGTCAAGACAGAGAAGAACAGGTCGTTGCAGGATCGCAAACGTGCAATCTGTCCAGTGATAATGAGATTGTCGGACACCGCTTGCCTGCCTATCCAAGTTAAGGTACCATTTGCGGTGCGAGTGGACCGTGGTGATCTGTGCAGCTCGCAGTGATGGTGGCGACACGGACGGTCCCTATATTCCTAAGAAGCTAGAGGTTATGAGATAAGGATGTAGCAAATGCTGCGGTGAAGCTACAATGAAAGCGAGAAGAAGCGGAAGAGGATACAGATGATCTGCAGCGACAGGTCAAAGAACATGTGTGGGCGCTCCTGGAGGAGCGCAACGATGTACGTACAGCGAAGACTTGTAGGTCACCAGCGAATACTTCTGACCAGAAAGGGGAGCTGCGAAGCGAACCTTGAAAGGCACTGCTGTGCCGGACCGACTACGATAACGCATACTCATCCGAAGTTGTGGAGAATGTGGAGACAACTTCGGACAGGAGAGGGAAGCAGTCAATGTGCGCGCAACAGAAAACGTCGTACAACACCTCGGGGAGGCATCTAAACAGGTGAGGTCACGAGACCCGGTTACCGGAACCGAGGGTACTCGTCCAGATCCAACTGCCGTGAAGGACAAACCACATGCCATGGAGGCTGCGTAAGCTAGCCAAGCTGTCTACCTAATACGCGCTGTATGCACGAGTTGCTGGTGCACTACTCATCCTGTCGGACACAACGAAGGAACTGGACAGATGATTCAAGCGAGGCTTGGGAAAGTCTGACGAGCAGTTTGAAGTAGCAGGTCGACGGAGTGACATATTTGTGGTGTTTGTCTTGACGGAAGTTAATGTTAATTTGATGCAGGGTGACCCAAAGACTTCGCGATGATGGCTGGGTCTTTTCCCGGCCCTTCAACGACTCGACGTGTTAACAGCACAAGACAGACAGCATGAGTATGCATTTTATTGGTCAGCTGCTACTGGCAAGATCACACTGTGTACATACCGACAATCGTGGCGGCTGCTTGGCAGCCTTGCTCAATTGACGATTGACGTAGTCGTCGTGCCGAAGAAAACCCTGGATCCACAAGACTCCTCACGCCGGCCGCGCGTGAATCAGTCCGCCCACGACAGGCATCTCAAAGCATGAAACTACCAACATCATTCCGAATCCCGAGGTATTGCAAGTCGCGATCTCAGTTGATACTCGTGCATCTGCCGAACTTGCTTCCTCCTCCTTCGTATGTCCCACAGTGCCAAGAGGAGGCGCTCAGAATGATTGAGTGCCGCAGCCGCTATCCATGCGTTATAACCGTCAAACCTTGCCAGCCAAGGAGCTGCCCCGCAAACCGCCCAGCCAAAGAGGGCACCGCTCTGATCTTGTGGCGCCAGTGACAGGTCTTGTATGGACTCGGCAAGCATGAGCACCATAAAAAGGCCCTGTTGCAACACATGCCCCATGCCGCGGGAGAAAGGCCGTTCGGAGCTAGTCGAAGCCAAGTTGAAGCCCAAAATGATTGTTTTCTGCCTCAGAGCAACTGCCGAATCTTACATCCAGATTCTGATTCAACGCCGTGGTTCCGTCGGGGAGCGCTATGTAGCGAGCCGTGACGGATGGCCACCTTATATGGACTGTGCTCTTCCCCAGATCCTTTACCCCAGACTGACGATTTAGACCCCTGACTCACGGACTAAGCTGTGTGGGTCCACGGCGCATTACTGTAAAAGAGAAGTTTTCATAGATATTGTCCGACTCTCCCCCATCAGAGCAATTCAGTAGACTTCATCATCATGGCGCAGTATGAGTCCGAAACCGGAGAGAAGGGGGACACTACGCTCTGTAAGTTACGCATTCGAGGGATCACTGCCAATAGCTAACGTGAAAGATTCAGTTGAGGGCGGAGCCACCTCACCAAGTGACCGCTCCACTGATGAGTTCACCTGGACTGAGGAGGAGGAGACAGCTGTCCGACGCAAGCTGGACAGAGTCATCGTGCCGCTGACCACGTTCCTCTACTTGCTGTGTTTCCTTGACCGGTATGTTCGAATCGATATTCGCCACCCGTATGTTCTAACTTTCAAAGTGCGAACGTCGGAAATGCACGTATCCAGGGTATGGCAACCGACTTGAATCTTGTTGGCTATCGATTCAATTGGGTTACCTCGGTCTTTTACATTGTCTACATGTTTGTCGAAGGTGAGTCCCCATCTCTCATGCTTTACAGTTCGCATAACTCACAAATCCAGTGCCATCAAATATTCTTTTGAAGAAGATTGGTCCGAAATGGTACTTGCCGTTGCTAGTCGTTGGCTTCGGCTTTGTCTCGCTTTGCACAGCTTTCGTTCAGAGCTTCGAAGGCTTGCTGGCTGCTCGAGCCATGCTTGGTGTCTTTGAAGGTGGTGTTATGCCGTAAGTGTCCTTCGTCAACACACATTGCACTAGCTCACATGATACAGTGGTCTTGCGTTCTTCATCACTTGCTTTTACAAGCGCAACGAGCTGTTGTTCCGTATCGGTATCTACGTCTCGGCTGCCAGTATGGCTGGTGCTTTCGGTGGACTCTTAGCTACAGGGTAAGTTGACGAGGACTGGTTCTACTACAAATGGTCTAACAGAGCTTCCATAGATTAGCCCGAATTCCTGCATGGGGTGCATCCGGCATGATTATCCACACGTGGCGCAACATCTTCTTCTTCGAAGGTCTCTTCACTCTCCTTGTTGGACTCGGCTCACCCTTCTTGATGCCGACAAGTCCAGGGGAGTGCTGGTTTTTGAACGAACGCGAGCGAAGGATTGCGCACGATCGTTTGGTTTCAAAGACTGGAGCCGGAGAGCACGAGAAGGTCCAACCTCGCCATGTGAAGCGGGCGGTGCTCAACATCACCAACTACATCTGCGCGTTCGGTTTTTTCTTCATCAACATCACCGTCCAGGGTATCTCTCTGTTCATGGTAAGTTCGGAGACTATCATCATGTCACCAGTGCTAACGTTCGACATAGCCCACCATCCTGAGGGATCTTGGCTGGACAGCCACCAAGGCCCAGCTCTACTCCGTTCCCCCGTACGTCTGCGCGTGTCTCGTAGCAATCGGCATCGCGTTCGCCAGCGACAAGACCAACCGCCGCGGTATCTTCCTCGCCGTGTTCACCATCCCCGCCATCGCCGGCTTCGCCATTCTTCGCTGGGTCACCGATCCTAACGTGCGCTACGGTGGCATCTTCCTGATCACAATCGGTGCATTCCCCGGCGGTCCCGGTTTCCTCGCCTGGGCGACCAACAACGCCGGCAACCCGTCTGTACGCGCCGTATCAACCGCCTACGTTGTCACGCTCGGCACGGCTGGTGGTATTCTTTCGACCTGGACATACATCTCCAAGGACGCGCCGAAATACCCAACGGGCCACACCATCAACTTGGTTGGTCAGATCTGTGTTTTGATCTTGGCTATTGCGGGTATCATCTACTCGAAGTGGGAGAACAAGCAGCGCGACCTGGGGAGGCGCGATCACCGCCTCAACGGCTTGAACGAGGAGGAGATCAGGGATCTTGGATACAGACACCCGGAGTTCCGATACATTCACTGAGGGTGTCATTGGCTGGGACAGGACACGGGCCTGCAATGGCTGGATTTAATATTTAACACGTTTCCATTGACTCAACTCATGGACCGAATCGAATTGTTCGACTCTAAACGGTGGTTTTACTTTGACGTGATGCATGCCATGCAAGTTACTTTCGACAAGATCCAAGCCCTACGTAGCCTGAAACCGCTGACAACTCTCACACATGTGTATTCATTATTAATCAAGCAAACACGTTCGTCCCGCAGAGCCTCAATTTGAGGGTCCTCCAAGAGCTAATGAATATCTGGTGCTCATGCGAATAGCGTGCCAGCATGACTCGTAAATCCGCCGAGTCTAATGGTAGGGCTCAGACGATGATGGTCCGTGAGGATTGTACGAGTGGCGCAACGGAGCAGATCAACGGAATCTTGTCCTTGATGGCAGCGGATCCGCTTGAGATAATGTTTGTGGAGGGAGGATAGGAAACCAGTCAACGCATGTTGTCACAGTGCGACTAGGAACGACACGTATGAAGTCATAGATGCGTAGTACATCCGAAATTTCGGCATTAGGTATATAGTCGTCAAGATCGTTAAGTCATTACAGCTTTCGCTGCTAGTTATTTGGCCCAGTAAAATTACCGATGAAAACCACTAAAATAGCACAATACGCTGCAGAGGCCGCGAACATTTCGTGTCTTGCGGCTTTGGTCAGAACTGAAAGTGCTGCACTGAATAAGAGCGTGAAGACAATCAGTACACCGACAGCGTTGAATGTGTTTTGAGATGTGACGGCTGGTGAGGCGCCGTCTATGTCGATGGTACTTGTCAACTTGTACATAGTAACTGATGAAGTTAGTACAGACACAGTGCAATTGTGCACGTGATGACAACTTACCAATTGGTACAACTAATAAAACAAAGATGACGAAGGTGATGAAGATGTTGACCATTTTGTCGATCCGGGTAGCACTGTACAAGGAGACGTCTGTGTTCTTGGTCTTCGCTGCAAGCTCGGGGGTACGGAAGTATCTCTGTTGTAGGGTTAGAGTCTGCCCAGACTTAGGCTTTGGTGAACTCTTCTTACCAAAAGCGGTGGCTGCTTGAGATTGAACCACTTTTGAAGAGTGCCATCGACTTGGCCAATCAACGTCTCAACGCCGCCATCGAAAGCTGCTCGCTCGCGGCCATTACTGATCGATACAATGTCTTCTTTACAGCGGATTGAATCCATTTCGCCATCCATGAGTGGCTTGGTGTTGTTGTAATAACGGCGAACGCTGCGGTAGTCACGATCTGATGGCTTTTGGAAGGATTCCAATCTCCGGACGTTTAGAAGAACCTCGTCTGTATGCCAAATCAGTCGATACCCTGAATACTAGAGTGGAAACCATACCGTATTCCATCAATTTCGTTTTGATCTCGCGAAGGACTGTTCTGCGTGTCCGGTCACCTCCTTCGTCATCAGGGCCTGCACAGCGGCGCTTCGGGAGATCTGAATCCTCATCATAGTCATCCCAATCACAATTATCAAGCTCCTTCTCAAGCTCAGTGATCTCGTCTTGGTAGTCAAGAAGGATACGCGAGTGTAAGTAGCCATAAGACCTGTATAGTCCGAAGTTTGCATCACTGGCTTGAAAGGTCGCAAGACGTGGGTATCCGTTTGGATTGTTCTCCACTGTTGGCGGAAGTCAGTTCCCGACAGATGTAGAAGTCGTTGCTGACAGATTCAGTAAGCTTACGGGTTCTTGTTTTTGTCTCCGTTACATGGAAGGGTTCTGGTTTGATCTTGAATGAGCCGGTCACTCGTCGCAAAAAGCCGGGTCGCTTTTCATCTCCTGCTCTTGGTCAGAAGGTGTCAAGGATATTTGCCTTATCTTCGTTGTTGTCGCAATGACTATGAAGCATTTTTTTGCTTGATTCATTCGCAATAGACACAGGCACAGATCGTCAACGCATAAAATGCGAGAACGAAAATGTGTGGAGCGCAATGTCTGGGGCTGACACGGGACGTTTTGGTCACGTACCAGGCTGTGCATCCTCAACATTGACTACGGGACTGGCATCCAGATGATGCCCTACGTTCGAAACGTCATCTTCTCCGATCTCGATGATGGCATCGCCTTGCAGAGTGCTTAGATCTGTGTTTGTGGGCGATACCGGTGTCTTCTCGTCGATGAACGTGTCGCCTGTCAAGGGTCGCGAGTGTGCCATTTTCGCGGGGTGCGATGGAAGCAAGAATAGCAACAGCAACCGAAACGCCAAAAGCTGACAAGCACCAAAGTCAAGGTCGCAGGAATCAGAGAGTAAACGAACTAGTGATGCGAGAGGGTACTGTGGCTCAATGGGAATTGTGGCGGGTGAAGTATCTTAACAGCATCCAGGCAGCGGTTAATGAGGCAAGGAAGAAGGAACGATCACAGGTCCGAGACTCTGACCATACCTTCAAAGCACCCAGCCTCCCTAAACATCAGAATCTATTGGTCGAGGATCAGCCTCAGCCGCAGTGAAAATCAAAACCGGTCAACACTGCCACGCGCATCCTGGTCTACGCTGCGCCTCATCATTGCCCAGCTTTCAGGTCTCTCTCACGAACCGCAGCACCTCGATTGTGGAGCTGATTTGTGTAGGGATCAATCAGCTGGTAATCAACCCATCCGGCAGGGTTGTACACGAGGGCATAGATTTTGAAAACGCCTTTGCTCCTGCTGCCGTTCGCGATGACAGACATGTGTACCCAGTCGCCTTTGCCAAATTTTGCATTTTGCTGCCATCTGTCAGCAAGACTTCGCGATATGGCGACTGTCTCTGCTTGCCATGACAACCTCGCGCGAGTTGCGCACGCCTGACTTCGTTGCTGGGTGCTCCTCATCGTTTACGGAGTCCAGATGGGGCTCGTCCTGCGCTGCATCAGCCTGAGTGGCAACATCATCACGGCGCGGCCGACCTCGGTCGCCTGCAAAGGCGCACTGTCGTAATCGTTGGTCTGCATAGGTGCAACCGACATAGCTTTCAGAAGCAGGACTTGTAAAGGAGGCGGTATAAAAGCGGTTTGCTAGTCTTGGAGCCCTTCAAGAGAAGGCTGTCTGATATTATACATTGCCTTCCTGCAGGCCTCCTAGGCAACTAACTGCCTAAGGCTGCAAAGGGTTTCTGGCCCCCAAACGAAGTGGGTGAGCTGTGCACAGCCGCCTCACCGCATGGCTATGCATGAGATCTCCAACACAGGTTGACTAGCCCCCTCGGTGTGAAGCGCCATCCCCCGCCGCTGTCAGATAGAGGAGTTGAGGCTTTAATACGCGACAGCTCGTCGCTCTCGCTCACCCTTAAAATCGTAGTGGGAGGTCGATGTATGTACTATGAGGTTTGCTTTGGCCCCCACTGTGCGGTGGGCAGGGGTTTGTAAGCGCACAAGGTAGCGCGCTTACGGGCGGGGTGAGCCGCTGCTAAATGCGAACCACTCTGCCGTCAACAATCCTATCAATATGGGGGCTGACAGCCTCAGTGGATCTGTCATAATATTTGGACGACCGCTGCGACACTCTCAGCGTTGATGCTCCATGCTGCCTTGACCATCAAATGCCATGTCTTCTTCCCTCGGCCCCCCTTCGCGCATCGTGAAAGCTGTGGATGTCAATATGTCTTCTCATGGCATCAATGCTCTCGCAAACAAGGTCTTTCACACCCATGCTGACTTCCGAGTCGATTCGATCGAGGAGATAGCGCCAGCTACAGAACAATATGTATCGCTTGACGCTCCGCTGCAACCAAGTAGCGTGAGCCCCATAGAGGATGCGGACAAGAAGCGTGCCGCACTCATGCGCATGTGGTGGGACGAGGCTATGGCGAGACACATGGTGCTCTCTGAGGGTTACTCTCATGTCGCTGTACTGATTATCAAGTGGGCCGACTATCTTGATGACCTCAACACGAAGAGTGAGGTATGTGGGTAGACTCTACTTGCAAATTGCAGGCACTAACAACAAGCAGGCACAAGAACTTGAAAACATCTTCCGTGACCGCTTTCGATACGACACCGAAACCGTCGAACTCAACGTTAAGGGCAAGCCGCAGCTACAGCTCAATAGTCGTGTCAGCGCCTTTGCCGAGAAGCATAACGGACCGAACAATCTCCTGATCATATACTACACCGGACATGGCGTTTGGCGCGAAGCTGAGAAGTATCTCCAGCTGACTGCCGCGATAAATCCCGTTCGAGGGAAGGGGTTTCAGAAGGATGCGCATGCCAACTGGAACAGGGCCGAGCAGATTTTGAAAGACGATATTCTGGATTCCGATGTTCTTACCATCTTAGACACCTGCTATTCGAGCAATATAGCAAAGTCAGCCAAACAATCTATCAGGAAGTTTGAGCTGCTGAGCGCTTGCCCGCACAACGAAACGACCTCGTCTCCCGGCGATAGATCCTTCACTCGCGTGTTGATCGATAAGCTTACGGATCTCGCCAATGAGTACAATGACAGGCCATTCTCCACGTTTCATCTCAACCAGCTCATTTGCATGGACGAACGACGTCATGACACCCCGTCTCAGCTTTGGTTCCGACTTCCTAACGAACAAAATATACTCCTGGCGCCGTTGAAGCCGAGAGCTGGACTGGCACCTCAAAAGCCACGGGTCCAGCTGGAGCCTAGAGGCTACCTTACGTTACGGTTCGCCCTGAAGGAAGAGAAACTCAGTCAACCGCAGATTGAGTATCTGGCGCAGAAGCTGTCAAAGGCGTTTGAGAACAAACAACTCATCGGCCTGAGGAAAATCGATTGGATCACCATCAAGCCGGCCAAGATATCTCCATTCGAACGTGTTGCATTAGCCGCGTACGCTATCACACAGTGGAAAAGGGCTGTGCAAAGAAGAAAAGAGAATACACTTTTCCAACCGATCGAAACTGGTTCGACCCCAATGGAGGTGGACACAGACCGTAACTCGTCAGCTGCGTCACCTCCGCTCAAGCGCTTGCGAGATGAGGACGACGAAACCAGAATTACAAAGCGACAGAATACCGACAGCTCCCAACCGCCTCCATCGCCAGTGTCGATTTCGTCGCGCGGTAATGATGATCTGTAGGATCATTTTGGGTGTGTCGAATACGTTTTGCTCATGTGGTTGCATTCCATCGTTGTTATAGCATTTCAGGATACCCGTAGCGACAGCTACTCGAGCATTGTTGTTATTTCTACTTACATACTCATTTTCTAGAGCGTTAGCATCTATATCAGAAACTCGTCCATTTGATCATCTTCGGCAAGAAATTGAAAGTCCACGAGTGAATAGTGAGAGTATCCAGTTCTGGACCGACGTCGCCAAGCTATCAAGAGCAAGGACGGGCAAACACATACTTGGAAGGCGCGAGCGATGCCTGAAGGTTACACATTCGGTAAGAATTGTGGACATCTGCCTCAGTTGCCACAGGTTGCGCAAATACGTTTCACCAAGCGAAGGAGTATTGATGATAATCCTGCTTCTACGCAGGTATTCTGCCCCACAATATACCTCTAGGATGCCATGTCTTCTGGCCAATCCAAGCGGACGAATGCTTGCGCGGCTCCGAGTTGATTAATAACAGGCACCGCGCGCACTGATCGGACCGTGTCTTGCCACACGAAGAGTACACCTACAGAAGTGATTTATTGACAACAGACAGAAGGAGCTGCTACGTGAAGTCCTTCCATTATTTTCACAGGTCCTTGTCACGAACATTGTTCTGCCACCTCAAACCAAAGATTGATTACCTCGCTCTTATATCTCCGCAACTGCCGGAGTGTAAGGGTGGGTGGGTTGCCGAGAGCAAAGTTTTAATCAAGCATCGAACTAGCGGCTTTTGGTGGAGAAAGAATGAAGCTTCGACAGGGAAGTGGCGCTGTCGTTGGACGATCGGGCAAACGAAGACGTAAAATTCGCCGTAGCGGGCAAGCTATGAAGATACACAATGCAAACCTCGAATGGCGCAATTGATCGAGCGATTGGAAATCATGGTGTTTAAGAAGTGCCAGGACTGGAAAAGTGAACAGAGAAGAAGCCTGCCAAGATGACCGACGACCTAAAGGCCGACAAGGCGACGGCGACGGCCAAGCTTAGCCCTGTCTCAAGCCACCCCGGGTCATCCGCCTACGACAAGGGCGCTCTCAACACCACAGAGGCTCAAACATTATCTGGACTCGACGACACCGCGATCGTCGAAGAAGAAGCTCATGATGACCCCGAAATCGCACAGTTGCCTCTTATTGTGCGCCAGACCGTCTCGCTCGAGGATGACCCTACTCTTCCGACCATCACCTTCCGCTACTTCGTTCTCTGCATTCTATTCATCGTACCAGGAGCCTTCTTGTCTCAGATGAGCCATTACCGCACAACTCAGGCACCATACTCGGTCTTTTTTGTGCAGATTGCTTGTCACTACGTCGGCCATGGATTAGCGAAAGTTCTGCCAGCCTGGCAAATAAATTTGCCTTTTGGCTATGGGTTTAATCTCAACCCTGCACCATGGAGTATTAAGGAGCATGTTTTAGTGACTCTGACTGCGGCGTCTGGAGCGACCTACAACCTAGGCTATACCCCGATAAGCATGGCCGAGCTATGGTACGACACGAAGATCAACCCTGCCGTGGCTATCTTCTTCATGCTGGCCATCGTTTGGGTGGGCTACGCTATCGCCGCTATTGCACGCTCTTTGCTACTATGGGAGCCTGAGTATGTATGGCCGCAGGCGCTCATGCAGACGACTCTATTCGAGACATTCCGCAAACAGGACCGCAACAGCCCGCTAGCTAAAAGACAGATGCACGTATTCTTCCTTTGCCTTGTTGGCATGACACTTTGGCAGTTCCTGCCAGAGTACGTCTTCCCAATGACTTCATCGCTTGCCTTCCTGTGCTGGGTGGCACCGAAGAACCCGGTTGCAAACTTCATTGGATCTGGTCTTGGAGGTATGGGCTTCATGAACCTCAGTCTCGACTGGTCCAACATCAACTGGAACGGCACGTCGATTTTGATTACACCCTTCTGGACACAAACTGTTCTATTCCTTGCATTCGTGCTCAACTGCTGGATCCTACTTCCAGCAGCTAAATGGGGCAACCTGGGCTCGTATAAACACGGTCTCATGTCCAACTCCCTACTCCTGGCTAATGGAACAAAATATCCCACGGCCAAGATTGTCAACAGCGATTTCAGTCTCAACGAGACCGCTTGGGAAGAGTACGGTCCAGCATATATGGGTTTGCAATTCGCTTGGGCTACGTTTTTCAACTACGCCAAACTACCGTCGGCCTTTGTCTGGATGGCTACTTTTGGAGGTCCTGCCATCCTGGCAACGTTTGGAAAGAATATGGCTGCACGAAAAGCTCGAAGCGAGGCGAAGAAGCAGCAAACCTCCACTGGCGCCGCGGAACCCAACATCCATCACCAGTACACTGACCGCCTGAACGTTCTCCAGCGCTCATACAAGGAAGTGCCTGGATGGTGGTTCGCGACTTTGTTCATTGTTGGAGTGGTCATCTTACTTGCAATCGTAGGTTCCGGCCAGCTTTTTATCCCTTGGTGGACCGTGATCGTTGGTGTCGCAACCGGTTTTGTTGTCGTTGTGCCTCTCGGCTACCTCTACGCCATTTCGAACTACCAAGTTGCGATTGGTGACTTCAACGAGCTTATCTACGGTTACATGGTCCACACGGCTGCGGGAGCTGGTCACCACCACCCTTGTGGACCATCAGTCTACGGTTCCATCGCAGGTGATGCCTGGTATCGTGCGCAGTACATGCTCCAGGATCAGCGCATCGGACATTACATGCATATCCCGCCACGTACTGTGTTCTTCAGTCAGGTCTTTGGAAGTATCCTAGGCATACCCATCAACTACGGTGTGATTCGTTGGGTCCTCAACACAAAATTCGACATCTTGTCTGGGGCGACAACAGATCCTCTACACCAGTGGACAGGCCAGAGCCTTGTAAGTTCCAACACGATTGGCGTACAGTATGGTGTCATCGGCCCTAAAAGGATGTTTGGCGCCAGCGAGTTGAAGATCCTGCCTTACGGCTTCCTCGTCGGCGCAGGAGCACCGCTTGTTATGTACGCACTACACCGTGCATTCCCGAACTCAAAGCTCAAATTCCACCTCTGGAATACGACAATCTTCTTTTCAGGTCTTACTGTGTTCTACGGAAACATATCGACAGGATACTTCAGTGCGTTCATCGGAGGCTTTGTCGCGATGTACTGGATCTTCCGCCATCACTTCAAGATTTGGAAGCGCTACAACTACATCGTCGCAGCGGCGTTCGACGCAGCCTTCAATTTCAACATGTTGTTGATCTTTTTGTTCTTTGGAAGTGGAAAGCAAATCAAGATGCCAGCTTGGTGGGGCAACAATGCAGATAGCGCTGAGAGGTGCTTTGCGTCGGAATGAAAGACTTAAACGCAGATATAGATATCCAATCAATCTTTACTTACCGTTCAATGCAAAGGGATCGCGCAGTTTAACTGTGACGGCGGTGACGTGTAGGCTGCATCGAAACCGCGGGTGACTTTCCCTCTTTTACTCTAGCGCGGATTCGAAACGGAGATCAATCTGTAATTTGTGTGGTGCACGACGATCTGTTGCCCCCATTCCCCCACACAGGAGCTGCTATCCACCTTATCAAAGTCTGCAACACCCTGGTCATCCTATGCTATAATCACTGAAGTGCTGCGTGAAAAACTAAAAGAAAGCGGCTCCAACATCTCTCAATTGCGGCCAGTCAATGGGCGATCATCCTTAGCGGCCGAGCTTCAAAGAACGACAGGTCTTATCGGAGAATAGCACCCAACGTTACTTCTCATCGCTACATCTAGCCTATCCATACGCCCAGAGAATTTCGGCCTCACATGTCTGGCCCAACATCGAACCCAGCCTGGAACACCAATGACAACGGCGCAGCCTACGGAACCTTTCCTCGGCCGAGACTGAGTTCCAACTTCAGCAGTCGCGATAGTGTCGACAGTACTGCTGTACAGAGTAATGGCGGCGACGTCTCTCCCAAAGCTCGCCCTCCACTAGCCCAGCGCCCGTCCTCGCGACACATTGAGTTCCGAAACCACATTAGGCGACCCCATCTTACAGAGACCCAGCGGACCTTAAGCGATGCTTTACGTGCCGCCAAGAGTAGGGAAGAGCAGGAAACTTTGCTGCCCGAGGAGGATCATGCAGGCTCGGATGGTTGTTTCAATGGAACTGGTCAGCCTGCGGGACCGAGAGACTTGATCACACCTTATCCACATTCCGGTTTGAAGGTGTACTACAATATTCACCGGTGCGTGCTCGTTGCAATCTGGGAGACTCCTGGAGAACTACCAATGGTGGGATACGGTGATATTGGAGCTAACGCTCTGCAGAATACGAAGACTTGTACTGGCTGTTATCGAGGACCCGTATACAGTTGAGCAACTGAGAGAACCGCGTATGAATGTCTTGATTGTCAAACCCCTGGTTGACCGTCTCTACGATGAAGAAGACATCTCTGTTGGTATGTGTTTGGAATCTGCGATCAGATTCAGTGCTGACTGGCTGCAGTGTACAGTCTGCTTGTCAACCGCATGCAGTTCTTGCGGGAGCAGCAATTTCAGCAACACCATCAAACCGTGGACCTGACCAGAGCAAATCTGTGCGAGCTGGTTGCAATGAAGGTCCTGCGTAGACATGACGAAGAGAGTACTGGTAAGCCCGGACTCTTGCTGCTGGCACAGGTTCTCGTAGCGCCGTTCTGGCCGTTCCAAGGCGCCCCAGAAGACGTATCACCACCGCGCCATTTCTCGGAGTACCAGGGGCAGGGCGACTACGAAGGGAAGCTCACAGCGCTGGAAGTTGCCATCGTCTCCGAGAGCAAGATCCTTCTCAGCAGCAGCGCTAGCCAGAAGGTCATTGACGCAGTGTACCGAGGACGTATTGTGTACACGCCAACGACTTTCATCGACATCATTCCAGACCATTATAAGCACAAGCCTATATCGCTATACGATCCACGCAAGGCCCCACTTCTAAACCAGTACCGCCTGATGGTACCCCGAACGCGAAACATGATCGAGGTCGCTCAGTTCGTTCTTCTACTTGCATGCTATTGCTGGGCAATGCACACACGGGACGACGAAAAACTGACGACAGCCGAGATAGTGTTCTTGCTGTACGCTGGTGGCTGGGTACTTGATGAACTAGTCTCCTGTCTCGAGCACGGGTGGGAAGTCCATACCCAGGAACTCTGGGCCTTCCTCGACGTCACATTCGCAGGCATCTTCATCATCTACTTCTGGATGCGCGTGCATGGCTGGATGCTCGGAAACGACGAAACAGGCAGACAAGCACTCGATTTGCTGGCGATAGCCTCTCCGATTCTGTTCCCGCGTATCGCCTTCAATCTGATGCCAGAGAACATGCTGTTTATCTCCTTGCGGGCAATGGTCAAGGAGTTCACTGCGCTTAGTCTCATTGCCGTCTGGTGCTTTGGCGGTTTCTTGTTGGCGCTTAAGTGGCTGAGCATGTCTAACCCTGCGACCGATGCGAACGCACCAAACGTGATCACCATCTCGAAGTGGATGCTGTGGATTTGGTTTGGTCTCGACGGCACTGGCATCGATGAAGCGCCCACATTCCATGAGATCCTCGGTCCGGTTCTGATGGTCATCTACGCGTTTATTGGTAACACGCTCTTCTTGACGGTCTTGGTGTCCATTCTCTCAAACACCTTCTCGAAGATCGCTGCCGACTCCACGGCAGAGATCCAGTTCCGCCGCGCAGTCATGACCTTCGAAGGCGTCAAGTCGGACACACTGTTCGCCTACCGTCCGCCGTTCAACCTCCTCGCTTTCGTCATCCTGCTGCCCCTCAAGTTCATCCTGTCGCCACGCTGGTTCCACAAGATCAACATCACCGCAATCCGCGTTCTTAACGCGCCGTTCCTGCTAGCAATCGCATGGCATGAGCGCCGCACACTGTGGAAGTCGACGCGCAGACGCAGCATCAGCGGCCCGGGACCCACCAAGCGCTCCAAGTGGCTGTTCGACGGCGGCTTCTGGAGTTGGAGCAAGATGAGCCCGCACGCAGATCTGCAAGCGGTGTTTGAAGAGGATGCGCCGCGGGAGATCATTGAGAGGATCGAGGAGGAGGACGACCTCGAGGACGCGATTCTCGAGAACAGTTTTGCTGGCGCTGCCGGCGCGGAACGTAGGAGCATCAGTCCGGGTAGCGTCCTGACGAGGCGGAGGAGGCTGAGCAGCGCATGGCCAGGAACAGTCCCGTAGTCCTTTGGCGCTGTTAGTACGTGGACGGGGGTCCAGCATGTCTTCTTTACGAGTACACAGCAACCTCACAGGCAACAACGATAGTCCTACACCCCAGCCATATTGTATTGTGTTATCCTGTGATGTGAAGAAGCCACCGCGCCATCCAGATCAGTCCTCTTCCTGTCCGTCAGCCTCACCCCACTTTGCCCCACCCGGACATTCAAAGTCCGACCTCACCACCATTACCCCCAGACAATTAACAACCGCCGCGCCATATCTAGCAATCTGCAATCCGTGACCGAACCAGGCTTAGCACGCGCCCTTTTTGCTTCACCCCGACACTATTACCCCCAGCTTTCTCGCGCATTACAACGAGTCGTGCGATAGGCCGAATTGATAGCGAAAGCCAAAGGCCCTGCCGTGTTTCCCTGCGGAAAACCCTCTCTCGGAGTGATGAGTTGCGTTGTATAAAGTCCCCCGACCAGGACTCCTCCCCAATCATCGATATAGAACAACACTCACCCCTCCATCCTCACCTCTACATATACATATCTCCCTCGAAACCCCCAACACTACAGTCAAAATGGCGCTCAACGAAAACTACCCCCTCTCCTCCCCCTCCTCCCTAAAATCCCAGTTCCTGGGCAAGAAACTCGCCGACCTGCCCACGCCGTCTATAATCCTCGACCGCGCGCTCGTGCGCCGCCATTGCGCGGAGATGCAGCGCGTGTGCGGGGCGCTCGGGATCGGGTTCCGGGCGCACGTGAAGAGCCACAAGACGACGGAGGTCTCGCGGTACATGGTCGGGGACGGGCTGAGCTGGGAGGGGAAAGAAGGCGGGCACGAGGGGCCGGCGAACTTCATCGTCAGCACCGTGGCCGAGGCGGAGCATCTCGCGCCGTTTGTGCGCGGCGAGCAGGCCAGGGGGCGGGAGGCCAGTGTGCGTTTCGCGTGCTCCTGCTGAGATTCTCGAGTGCGTGCTAATCGTGTAGATTCTCTACGGCGTGCCGGTCCCGCCCTCGTCGCTCCCGCGGCTCCTCGCCCTCGCCGCATCACTGCAGCCCAAAAGCATCCTCCTCATGCTCGACTCGCCCGCCACACTAACCCGCCTCCTCGCCGCCCTCGCCACAACCCCAACGCCCACCCTCGGCCTCTTCGTCAAAGTAGACACGGGCTACCACCGCGCCGGCCTCGCGCCCGAATCCCCCTCGCTCGCCGCCCTGATCGCCGCGATCCTGCAATCCGAGCAGGACGGCCAGAGCGTGGAGTTGGTAGGCTTGTACTCGCACCTGGGCTCCTCGTACGCGAACTCCAGCCCGCAGGACGCCGCGTCCGGGCTGGCCACCGAATTCGCAGGCCTGGAGAGCGCGCTCCGCGTCGTCCCTGCGCCGCGGCGCAAAAGCCTCGTGCTGAGCGTCGGCGCGACGCCCACGGTTGCCGCAGCGCAGAACCTGGCGTCGGGCAGCGGCGCGCAGGACGCCGCGTTGCGGCAGGCGCTGGACCGCGTCAAGGCGCTGTGCAGGGTCGAAGTGCACGCGGGCGTGTACCCGCTGCTGGATTGCCAGCAGGTGGCTACGGGCGCGAGGGGCGCGCGGCATGCGGATATCGCTGTGCGTGTGCTGCTTGAGGTGTCGTCGGTGTACGGCGAGCGCGAGCGGCCGGAGGTGCTTGTCTCGGGGGGCAGTCTGGCGCTGGGGCGGGAGCCGTGTAAGAGTTATTCTGGCTGGGGGATTGTGGAGGGGTCGTTGGGGAATGAGGGCGCGGCAGTGTTTGGGGAGGGGGGCGCGGGGTGGGTGGTTGGGAGGGTGAGTCAGGAGCATGGGGTGCTTCTTTGGGAGGGTGATGTTGGGCAGTATAAGGAGTTGCGGGTGGGGGACAAGGTGGCAGTTTGGCCGAATCATGCGTGTATAGCGGGGGTTGGGTTTGGGTGGTATCTTGTGGTGGATTCGGAGTTAGGTGGGGACGAGGTTGTGGACGTGTGGGTGAGGTGGAGGGGGTGGTAGGCTGTCGTAGGTATGTGTGCGATATTGATTCTAGAAACAATGACGTTCTTGTTAGAATGTAGTACTCTAAATGCCTAATGAGACTTTTTTTCCTTGGGTTTATTTGGGTGGTAGACACCATTGTTAACACCATACTCGCCTAGAATTAGTCCATCTGTCTGACACGATCTGGAAGTCAGTCCAAGTGGACGTTGATTACTACAACGCGGACTGGGTGCCGCGCACATGATCGCAGTCTTCTCCATTACTTCGCTACAATGTTGGTGTGTCAGGCGATAACCTGAGTAAGCTGACGCTGCGGATGGTCATAGTTGTGGTTAGCTAGGTAGAGAATCGACAACACTGTTCGTCAGAAGGAACACGCGACCTGGTACACCGCAAGGTCAAACTAGGTTTGCGTAGCCCCGATCACGTATAAACGCTAATACTTTTCGCGTCGAAATTGATGTGAAGTGTCCAACTCGGGTCATTGGGTGTCACGGCCAGCGAGCACATCACCACGTCGTCTGAAGTGCCAGCGCACGAGCCTTGGCGTAATGAACGGTCAGCAGTATTCACCCCTCACCACAAAGTCCCAAACATTGATGGTATCGGAACAGAGCAACGTTCTGACAGTGCTGGCGAGTCAGCCGGAAAAAGAGACGAGTCATTAGCTTGCGCTGCCGACGGCCGGTGGTGGGTTCCTAACGAACGGCTCTTCCATGCGGGTGGTATATCTCCTTCGCCGCAGGAAGGCCGAGGTGGATCGGTAGAACCATGCTCGTCTGGTATCGATTCTCACGATACTTCATCAAGCGTCCAACAGAATGTTTCAACACACTACATCCGTTCTGTGTACTGGACCGCGAGCTGTTTTCCAGGTAGTATGGCTGAGCCGAAGGTTCGCGCTTGACGAAGAGTGCGTATCGGCTAAGTTGAGTACGCAGCGATAGTTCTGCATAGGAGTAGTAACTTCGATAAGCGACCGATGCGTGGTTCATGTAGCTTGGCCATATCTGCGCGTGCAAGCCAATGTCGTTGAGTTTGATTAAAACCTGGTTGAGGCGAGTGCATTGCCGGCTTGTGGACCACTTGGCTCTGGAAGGGTGTGTGGTGGTGCAATTGATGGCCGTGGAAGATGTCTCCGCGCCCGACGTCGCTGTCTGCAGTCTATCCGTGGACTGCAGTTGATGGCCATGGAGGATGAGTCTTCGCGCTCGACATGGACGCTGCTAAAGCCGATCGCCGAAAAGCAGCTCCCTCTTGCTGTCCACCCACTGGCTTGCTGCAAGAGGGAGCTGCTTTTCGGCGATCGGCTTTAGCAGCGAGTCATTGGCGTTGGTGTCGGAAGGGTCCATCCGCCTGGGCCTGCTGGGACGTTGAGTGCGAGAGTGGTCCTTGGAGTCGCGGTGCTCATGCCGTTTTTGGTCGATGTGTCGGTGGTGTCGTCCTGGATGTTGTCCTGGATGTTGTCCGAGGCTTGGCTACTGGTCGCGGTCTTGCGTGGTGATCAGGGGCAGAGGTGCTCGGCGCTATATTCACTGGAGAGGCGCTTGGTTGGGCCGTGGTCATGGTTCCTGAGCCGGCGCTTCTGGCGGGGGACGGCGTCGGCGTCGGCATGTGAAGCGCGTCGCGTGAAGCTGAGGCCGACGTGGTTGCGCAGTGGGCGATTGGGGTCCTGTGAGGGCGGTAGCATGCTCGCTGTCGAGGGCATCGGACGAAGGTTTGGAGGCGCCGGGCTGCAGCCGATTCCGACTGCAGCGATCCCTGGTCGTGCGCGTGGCAGGCGCGGTCGCTCGCCGTTGAGGTCGGTGGTGACGTCGGCTGTCTCCTGGGGCGTCTGCAGTAGCGTTGGAACATTGAAACGTTGAAACGTTGAAACAGAAGACGGCTGACTCAGGCACGGCGCTCCAGCACTGCGCACGCGTTGGGCATGCTGGCGGGCGCTGGCAGCAGAAGTCTCCTGGCACAGTGCTGGTCTCAGGCGACATGCACGGCGCAGGCCCGTCGTCGCACAGGGAGGGGTCGCAGTGCAGGGCGGCGTGCAGCGAGCGTGCAGCGTGCGTGCAGCAGCGCAGTGCTGGCAGGGCGACACTCGCGGCGGCGTGGATAGAGTTGCAGCAGCTGCAGCAGCTGCTGCCGCCCTGGTGCGCTTGGCTGGGGCGTGGTTCGCGCTGGCTGGCGGCCGGCGTGGCTCGCTGGCGCTGGCAGGCAGGCACTGGCGGCGCTGCTCTGGCTGCTCGGGCTGCTCGGGCTGCTCTGGCTGCGCGGACGGCGCTGCTGCACTGGCGGCAGGCGTGGTTCGCGGTCGGGCGTGGGGCTCGGAGCAGCCCTCACGCCGGCACGCTTCAGCGGCCCCTGCGCGGACGGGCAGGCGACCAGGCCGGCTCAGGCCAGCGAGGGCTGCTCTGCACTCTGCGCTCCGCTCCTGGCGTCGATCGGCAGCTGAGCTGACTGCAGCGCTCCTGAGCCTCCATCGAGTCCATCCCACACTCGTTCGTCCGCGCCCTCCCGCCGTGCCTGTGCAGCCCTGGTGGCCCCCTCGACTCCCCAGAACCATGTGGCACACCTCGCCGGGCGCTGAGCACTGCTGAACCGGCGCCCCCCAGCGGCCGCACACCTCAGACCTCGGCGCCTCTCTCCCCGTGGCGTGTGCGCTGCTTATGCGCACGTCGCCCTACACTGCGAGCTGCCCGTCTGGGCCCGGCACTGCCTGCGCGCGATAGCGGGAGCTGCCTCGGACTCCAGGCCAGCCGCGCAGCGCCGTCGACTCGGGCACCGCTGCCCATGGTGCCTCTCCGGAGAGCCTCTCAACGCGGGCGCCGCAGCCTCGACCGTCGTCGCGATCCCTTCGCATGGCACGACGAGCGCGACACGCCCATCATGACCGCCACCTTCCCCATCCACCCCCTGCCGTCCATGCAGGCCGCCTTCGAGGAGTCGATGCTCGACGCGACCGGCGAGACCGGCTTCGTGCCCTTCAAAACCCCCGGCCGCGGCGTCAAGACCCGCCAGCAGCTGCTGTGCAGAGAGGCCGACGCCGAGGAGCTGGCCTACAACTACACCTACAGCTGCCATTGGCGCCACCACCCCAAGGGCAAGCACCACCCCTTGCTCAAGACCATCACCCAGATCGTCTTCGGCGTGCACCTGCTGCACCAGCGCCTCGAAAAGTCCACCGCCGACGTCGCCGACATCCTGCTCAAGCACGTCAACGAGCTCGACAGCTTCCTGCAGCGCGCCAACGAGGACCTCGAGCAGAGCATGAAGGACATGCTCTTCCGCCATAAGTGCCTGCGCGTGCCCATGGAGCACGTCAACGAGTTCGACCGTCTGCTCGACGACCGCTCCTACCGCGCCTCGTTGCTGGACGGCAACATCACCATCGAGCGCACCATCAACCGCATGTCGCAGCTGCTCAACGACTACCTCGTCGACATCAGCATCTACCGCGACGCCAACCACGAGCTGGAGCACTACCTGCGCGACATTGGCGACGAGTGGGCCTACCACAACGAAGATGTCGGCCGCATCTACTCGGCCATGTGTGGAAACACGGGTGGCTGGGCTCAATTTTTACAGAGTCTCGTGACCAAGGCCGAACGTCTCGGCACTGTGCTGGTGCAAGTTAGCAGTTATTGCAATGAGATTGAGAAGCGCTGTGGTGCCGCCAGTCGGCGAAGTCTGGTAGGTCACCTGTCATATGCAGCCGTGCCGAAGCTAACAGCTGCACAGATTGCGACCACCTCATCATCGCGAAACTCATCCAAATCAAACGTACGCGACAATGGTCGTCGAGCCTCTCGAAAAGGCTCACAGAATAAACCTCTTCCCACGCCGCCCACGCCACAGGTGCCCGTGATTCTCACCGCTGCACAGCCAGACCCCAGAGGGTTCCCTGATGCAGAAGTCCGTGGCCGCCCCATCTCACGCGTGCCACATTACCAGCCGCAGCCTGAGCCCGTAAACCCGTACATGGCTGGAAGTCGCCAACAACAGGTTGAGCTTCCCGCCTCGTCCCCAGCGCCTGCTTCTCGTCCTGATGTGCATGTGCCAAGCCAGCCTGCACAAAGCCAGCAAATCCAACAGAGCCTACAAAGCCAGCCCGCCCCAAAGCAACCCGAACCCAAACAACCCGCACCAAAGCAACCCGAGTACCACCACGAAGCCTGGCACAACGAAGAGCAAAGTAAGGCTACCGCACAACCCCAGACAGAAGCAGGCCGCATGGGCCACAAGCACGGCCATCGGCGAGCGTCCAACAAAGAAGGAGATAGTCCGCCCGTGACAGCAAAGGACTCAGCTTACTCTTCATTATCAGGGGCTTCGATCATGTCGCCGACTAGCGCAGCATCGCCACGTTCGGCGTCTTCGAACGCTCAGTTTGGCCTGTTTCCGAGCAGTGCCCAGCATACACCTAAACAGTCCTTGTCTGGTCGCGTGGGTTCTATAACACCATCTACTTCATCAAATCTACGATCAGTAAAATCTGCCGATCCGCCAGATCGGCCCCCAACTTCTGCAAGCACTTACTCAGAGACGCCGGCAAGTAAAAGACTGCTCAAAAGGGGCAGTCTTCAGTCGCTCAGGCGTTTCTTCACAAAGAAGAAGAACGACATACATACCATTGCGGAGTGAGCCACATACCCTTACATTTGATTTGTATCATTTCAAGCGGGCGTTGTCTGTGTTGGCATCTCGCAGCCATATACCCTTTTGTTTGCTGGTTGGTTTTCCTTATTCTGTGTATATACCATACTCTTGTCTCTTAGTCTTTCTGGCATCTCTTGTCTGCGTACATACAATTTGTACATGAATTCTTCCATATGCCAGTGTAATGACAATGCCATATTGGCAAGTGCGTGCGCCGACCTCCAGCGCACCTCGTGGGTGCGGGTAGAATGAGGAACGAGGGGGCATAGGGTGTGCTGCTCTGATAAAAGTTTGTACGTGCGATTCTTTCAGCAGGGGCGCGCAAAGCTTGCCCTGGGCGCAAGCAGTATCGAAAGGAGCTTGAAAGCTGCAGCGGAGGCATTGAGCCTGCCGGGTGCGATGCATTGGGCCTGTGGTAAGGGGAAAGTAGGTATCAATGTCAGAGTGGCCGCAACGTCGCTACTGCTCCTGATGCTCCTTTGTCGTTCAGCCGGATAGTCCCTTCTGCCATTCTCTCTCACCCTGTTGTCGCTGCGTTCCGTGCGGTTCATGAGCTGCGGCGCCCTCCTGCCTGCATCGTGGAGGTAAGAGCCACTCTGGCTGGTCATACCCTTTTGTGCTCGGCCTTCCTTCTGTCTCCTCTCTTTCTTTGCACGCCGCTTGTCTATCGTCAGCATCACTCTCGTCTTGGTTGTGCGTAGGTGATAGCGGAGTCGCCGTCACTCGTTTGTTTTTGAATAGCCTCAGCTTCGCCGGCGTCGTCTCTTTTGGTCATCCCACTATCACCCACATCTTCACCCCCCACCCACCCTACTACCACAGCTCTTTCTACGCCCAGTATAGCATCTGGGCTGGCGTTGCTACGCTCCAGGCTGCACGATGCTGAACGAGCGAGATCCCAACACCAGCGGGCGCACCAGCAGGGCGTCGAACCTGTCTGCTGCATCTCGAGCCACCTTCCGGCCAAATGGCGGAGCTGACAAGCAGGACCACCTCGCCTCAGCCCCTGGCATCATGTCCATGCTGCGTACGTCCACTGAGATGGGCAACGTCGTCGGCCTCACCGGAGATCTCTCTGGCTTGAGCAACGTGCCTCGAGGTCAGCGAGGTCGTGCTGGCACGAGCAGCAGGCTCTCCACAGCTTCGTCCGTGTCAGGTAACTCCAGTCGTGCAAGCAAGCACCATCGGCAGTGGCCTTCGTCTTCCTCAGCGCCCAGACGGCCCTCCACGCGAGAGCCAGCTGGCCCGCAGTACGTTGCTGACACCCTCTCACCCACGGTGATGGATCTGCCAGGATCGTCGCCCCTCATTCCAACGCACCACCCGGGCAGCTACAACAACAGAGACAGCCAGCGGTCCTTCTCGATGACCAACACCACCCAGCGGGCCTTCAGATTGTCAAGCAATCGGTCGCTTGGTAGCCTGCGCAGCCACGAGCTCATTCAGCGTTCGAGGTCACCATACATTTACCCCACTAGACTCCGCCGTCCCTCATACCGGCCAGCATCACCTGCTTTGAGCGACGCCGCTAGCTCGCGTGCGCAACGCTTACGTAGCTATGACAGCCAAGGGCAGGTCCAGCATCAAGGACAGATGCGGCTGAGGATCCCCTCAGATGCGAGCCTTGGATATCAGGACAGAGCGTCAGGCATGCGCCGCGATCACCCTTCCGCCTATTACAATGGACTCGAGGAGGACATTCCTCCTGTTCCGCCGCTGGTCTACCCTGTCGCACCGCTCCGACGACCTAGTGCGATCCAGAGTCCATTCAAGGGAAAGTTCCGTCGTGGCTCGATCAAGAAGCGCAACGAACCTGACACGTCTTCGTCTGACCAGCCCTTACCCCCGACCCCACGGAGTGGGTCGATGGAGGTCATGCTCAACACCCAAGTCCGTGTCGACACTGTCAGTGGCAGGGTTGTGAAAGAGACAGTCCCCAGTGTCCCACGCTACTATGACTACAGCGAGCAGTTCGAGCGTGAACACCTCCTGGAGCCGGAGGTCAACCCCATTCAGGCTGACTCCGTCAAGCAAGTTAGAACTGCACAGGAAGAACATGGCTCCGCGCAGCCTACGACTCCAGCTCGTGGCACTTGGAACTCCGGTACCATGCAGGTATCGAATGCCGCCGTTCCTGATGTGGCAGAACTCCCTGCATCTCCAGTCCCTCGGCGCATCACTAGAGACATGATTCTTGAGGTACTTGAGGCGGCTTCGACCACGGTGGACGTCAGTGACTCTGGAGCTACCATCGCCTGTGACAACGACGAGAGCCTACAGCATGAAGGTGTGGCCCATCGCCATGTCTCGACACAGGCAAAGACTTCCGGACGTCATGATGGTTTGGATAGGCGATTCAGTGTTTTGTCTCAGGCTGATTCCAGCGTCATCAATTCTTCCACGCTTGATTTTGCTGTGAGATGCTCGATTCCCATCGTCACTGGAGCTCAGGTAGGTTCTGGCGCACCACCCATGCCTGACAAGGACTCGCCGTTGCCTCCAGATACCGCGCCCAACACCGATGTTGACATGTCTGATCTTCTGGCCGGCTATCAACACACCGATTCTAGGCATGGAGATGGAAGTGTTGCGAAGGAGGACACGCAGGAACCTGACATCGAACCTGAGAAAGACCGCGTGGTTGAGAGTAGGAGCAGTCATGCGCAGAAGTCATCTGACCCTGAGTCGTTCAAGTCTGCGACGGATGTTCTAGAATCTGAGCCTTCCGAGAGTAGTCCAGCAAACGATGACGAGGCGAAGTCCTATAGGTCCGGTCCGGGACCATCGATCCAGGATGCAGACGCACACTCGTTCAAGACCGCTCAAGACCTCACAACGCCTCGTCGATCTGCATCGAGGCCTGTAGCAAAATCGTCATCCGTTCGGCTTGTCGAAGTACTGACCCCGAGGCCCATCTCTGAAGGACCGCTTTCGCCTCCGGCTCCCGCTGTACTCCGAAAGACGCGTGTTCCTCGCGAGTCAAGTTCTCTACTTGCAAAATTTCGAGCAAGCTCCAAGCCAGGCAGCGCGGTGTCAATCTTGGGGTCGTCGTCTCCTCTCAGCGGTTCTCATCAGCCGCCTCCAGTACCACCCCGAGAGTCCAGCACTTCGAAAGAGGCTCAACGATCGATGAGTGTTGCGTCCTGGATGCTATTCAAGCGTTGGGGCAAGAGGACCAGTAAAGAGGAAGACCAGACGAAGACCAGCAACAGCTCTCGTGACACCTTGCGCCCTGTCGAAAGGGCACATTCGTCACAGCAATCTCTCGGTGATACCATCAAGACTCCAGAGAAGGCATTGTTCAAGGAAACCCATGTTCCCACGCGAGCTGATCCACCCAAAGATTGCGCCCCGTCACAAGTGCACAATGTGGGTGTTACTGCTTCTTCACGTCAACTGTCATTCAACAGCTCAGGACCCGTTCCTGCGGACCCTTCATCTGTGTACTCTTCCAAGGATAGCTCTTCTACGTCTCGTGTACAGTCTTCACCAGCCGGTGTCCCCAAGCCTGTGGACAACCGTCGAGACAGCCAGACGACTACGCATCTTGCATGGCATGGCCGTAGATCTCTCAACCTGAACAACCAGGCCGCGAGCATCAGCGAGCCACACCTTCCGTTCCCGTCTTCGGGTGATGACACCACCACCGATCTGAGGTTGTCGCAGTACAGGTATCCTGCGGGCCTCCACCATCTCCCAGATCTCAAAGAGGAGTCACACGAGGACTCGAGCTTGAACACGAGTGCCAGCAATCTGAAGAACTCGAATTTCCGATTCCCCTTTGGCGTTCCTGGTGGCGTGCGCGCCTCGGTCGATGATGGAGCTCTTTTCTCGAGGAGGTCGTCAGCAGGCTCATATCGAAAGAGCGCTCTCGGCAGCAGCACCATGAGCCAGCCACATGAGCTGCCGCTGATGCGCTTCAGCCGTATGGACTTGTTCGAAAAGGTAGACGAGGTGGTGCGCCTGCGCAGCTCGCGTTCGCTGGCTCACGTGTCGGTGGAGGTGCCTGAGGTCCACGACGATACGCCACCGCGGCCAGCGTCAGTAGGAGAAATGCGAGAGAAGTACCGCAGCTTCTATGACAAACTTGATGGGCTGAACACGCCTCGAGGGGCCGTGCGTACAGAGATGTCGCCCGAGTTGATGGCGGAGATCGAGCAAATGACAGTGCCTTCGGTCAATGGTCTTACAGATCGCATCACTGAGCTCCTACCGTCACTCAAGGGGTACTACAAGTCTGGCGAGGAAGGTCCGTTCGTTGCTGAGGAGATGATTATGGAGCATGCCATGGAGGATATCCACGACGTCGGCGGCCCTGCACAGAAGCGCTCATCTGCACGTCTGCGGCCATTACCTGGATCGCCGAACATGATGGTTATGGACGACGCACTGTACGATGAGCTCACGCACAAAGAAGGAGAAGGCGATGTTGCAGTTGCCCAGGGCGATGAGGGGGTCGGGCCTGCACAAGGTGAATCTCGCGCTAGCGTGACCAAGACCAGCAGCTTAACACGCCCCAAAACTCACCCCGCCGAGCTCGAAACGCTCTCACCTACTCGCCTCCGGCCCCGTGCTACCACTGGTGGTCACCACGATCTGCGAGCATCCGTTGATCTGGGCTTGACCACGAGGTCTCTGAGATCGTTTGCGTCTACCCCAACCAAGACTGATACGCGTCCCTGGAACTCTGACAAAAACTACCCTTGGGCAACAACAACAGTTCCCTCGGTCGACATCTCACTCCCTCCGTCGAAGACGGTCAGGCATTCACCGCGTCCTGGCCCCTCGCACCTTCGCAACAACGTCTCTGACACGTCTTCTGTAAGCACTTTTGTCGTTCTCACGCCAATTCCCAGGCCTTGCGAGGTAGGTCTTGAGCCGAGTGAGGATTTTCGACAGCTGGAGCGCTTCGAGCGGCTTGAGCGCACCCGTGGCCAGTATCACGAACCTGGTGAACGCTACCCCACCTCAGCTTGTTCACCGCCTACTGCAATCTTCCGCGACCACCTCTTGCTCTCTTACACGTCTGACGACGAACCAGAGCTACAGGTCACGCGCAGAAGCAGACTGAGGGAGCGTTTCTCTTCCGCCCGCAACGCTACGCTCGACAGCACTCGAGCAACAGACCAATCCCCCACCTCTGCCCACCCTCTCGGGCTTCCTTCACCTGAATCTGCTCGCCGCTCTGCACCTTCACTCCTCCAAGACACTGCAGGTGAAGCAAGCGCTTTTACCTCAAACCGCCACACTTTCAGCGACGCTCAGGGCATGCCCAGTGTCGTTTATCATCGCAACCGACTCATCGACCACCTAAAGCGCTGGTGGCACAAGGGAGGAGACCTGTTCAGGAATCTGTCTCACCGCTCTACGTCGAAGACGCGCCGTTAAGATGGACGCCACGTACTCTCACTACAAGTCGGCGGAGTTCGCGAGGGGACTCGAGATGTCCTTCGCCTTTCTCAAGAATCACATGTTGAAGAGGGCGTGGCCAAGGATGCGCTGCTGGGGCTGTCCCAACACCCCGGTCGGGCCCATGATCGAGCATCCCTCCGTCAGCTGCCGCGCCCCTGACGAGGACTACTACATCAGCATGGAAGAGGGCTACTTTTTCTGAAGTGGGATACGACACGGTGATCATCTGGCCGCCAGCGCTGCCACTAATGGGCCAGCTATGACTGGTCGCTGCTGGGCCTGGCGGCCATAATCGGGCAATATTGGAAATCGGATATGGAAAAAAGTCACTGCGAGTATCTACCTTCCGCGTTGGAGTAATGAAAGCTGTGACATAACTTGCAGTCATGACAGTGATGTGATGTGTTGTGAACGGGTGAGTCGATGTCACCGTAGCCGTCTTGATGTGGTGTGGTATAGAGTTCGAAACACGTAAAGAGATCAAGTGACCTGTGATGCAGTGAGATATGGAAAGTGACCTCACGATACACGAAAGGAGTCATGACAGTGGTATTTTGCATCATTCAAGGGCACTTCAACGTCGTCGTAGTCATCTCAGATTGATGTGATAATTTATCTAAAACGCATGGGGAAATCGAGCATCCTGCGCTGCTGCACTGAGGAGAAAGTGAAGTGCTCCCACAATACACGACGCCCTCCTCGCTGACAGTGTGCTTGGCATGGCATGGTATGGCATTGTGCATGTCATGGTATGGCATTGTGCGAGTCCGAGGGTGATGTATCGTTTCGTATCGTGTACATGGTCTTATATAGTGTTACACAGTGTTGTGTATGATGTTGGTCAGCGTGTATTGGTTACTTGCGTTGGTTACATGCTTTGATCGCATGCTTTGATCGCATTGTGCTGATCACGTTATATATGCTGATGTGAGGATGTGCGGATGTGCAATTTTTTCTTTCAGTGCGGTAGGTGGTGTGGGTTCACTGAGATGCTGTTTTTCACTCTGATGCTGGTTTTCACTCAGATTGTTTTTCGCTCAGATTGTTTTTCGCTCAGATGCTGTTTCTCACTGCGGGTGGGCGATGTGATGCGATGTGATGCGATGCGACGCAATGCAATGCAATGGGAGTCTGATTTTGTCTTGTCTGGGTGTAGATGGGTGTAGCTAGGTATAGATAGGTGGTGGAATGAAGATAAGCTTGAGACTAAGGATAGAAGGCGGGAACACTGATGGTGAGAAGACTGGAGGTGAGGAGACTGGAGGTGAGGAGACTGGAGGTGAGGAGACTGGAGGTGAGGAGACTGGAGGTGGGAAGTCTGAGGTGAGGAGATTCTTAGGTCCCAGCCAGCGACCTGCGTGTGGGTTTTGTGGGTTCTGAGGTACTGAGGTATTACGGTAATGAGGTATGAAGATCGCGTACACGGACACGAACACGGGTTTCTGGAATCTCGGGTGTGCGCGGCGCTGGACTGGGTGTACGGAGGCAGGTTGGAGGTGCCGTGCCAACGACTCTGTGTTCGGGGAGTCAAGGCTTGAGAAGACAAGGCCCGAGGTCGAGAGCGAGGGCGGCGATGTACACGACGGAAGAGAGGTAAGTCCAATTACAGGTGCGGGTTTTCAACGTGAACAAAGGAGGAGAGGTGTTTTGAGGACACAGCTGCAAGACCGAAAGTGCTGCAATCATATACAAAGGGCTGGAGATATCAGTCCCAGAACCCGGCGCTCTGAGCAGTCTCGGTGACGAGATATGAGGAACCGTATAACCCCCTCGAAGAGCGAGGGCATCCAGGACAAACGATGCGTTCAAGAGGAAGATAATGGCGAGATGGAGCGCGCTGTGGATACGACACAGCAGAGCTAGGTTCCTCAAAAACGGAGCCGGCAGCGAGATATCCAGTACTAGAGATGGAGTTGTAGAGCGGAGCTGCAGAGAGCAAGGGGACGAACTCCCCAGAGTTACGCACATGCCGCAGCGAGAACACAAAACGCAAGCGCAGACGCAAACGCAGGCACGCAGGCACGCAGAAATACGGTAGCAGATATAGGGAGACATACACATACACACATGCAGAACGCAGATATATAGATATGTAGATATGGAGCTATAGAGGTACGTGGACATGTAGACGCAGCTGCTCTGTTTTCGGTCTTCAGTCTTTAATCTCAGTCTCCATCCAGTCTCCAGTTCCCACCCACCGCCAGAGTACCCATGTATACATATCAGGACATCCAGGCCTGCGTGTACCACGGAGGCTGGTGATAGTCTGGTGTGGAAGCGTGGCGATGGGCGAAGCGGTAAGAAATAGCAGTAGAGGATATCGGTGGAGTATATCGGGGGATTGCAGTGTGGTGTTGTAGTGTGCTTGGTGTTGCAGTGTGCTTGGTGTGATGGTGAGGGACATGCCGTAGAGAAGGACAGTGCCATATGAAAACGCCGTGGAGAGGAAAAGCGCTGTTGAGATGGTTCGACGGCAGCGATGGAGTGTCGGCATTGGGATTGACATCGCCATCGCCATGGACATCAAACATCACCACAGCATCACCACAGCACCACAAACACCCAACCCCCCGCACCCTCAAGAACAGAAGAACATCATTTCATTACCCCCTCATCACCCATCCCTTTCGTGTCCCCTCACGCATACATACTATACCGCACAGGCACACACCCATATTCTGTACTGCGTCCACCGGGCACGTACCCACGTGGCTACTACACACACTCGTCCGCTGTGATACACACACACACGCCCTGCTGCAGTACCCTGTACCTGCACAACCCCGCACACACACCAAAAAAAGGACACCCATATGTAAGAAGAAAGGCCGAGAAAGATGGATAAGATAGCATCACAACAGCCCGGGGACAAGAAGGGGCAGGGACACTGTGTGCTGTGTGGCCTGAGACATGGGCTCGACCTGCTTTCGTGGGGGAGTCTGCGGTCCACAGTCCACTCGCAGTCCGCAGTCCACCACCACCTCCACCACCAGCGCCGGCAAAAGAGGGTCGTAAATCTAAGATACCGCACTGCACTGCACTGCACTGCACTGCACTGCGCCGCACAGTACTGCGCTACGCACACCAACTGCGTCTCAGGGGCGCGGGCGCGGGCCGGCGCGAGCGCAACTAGCGCAACTTGCCGTCTTTCTTGGCGTCCTGGACTTGCTCGAAGACCTGCGATTATTGAGATTAGCCGGGGTGCGTGAGGTATGTGTTAGGGTGACATCGGGGGTGAGTTTGAGGTTGAGGATGAAGGGGTAGAATGGGGGAGTATGAGGTGATGTGTCAAGTGAGTGAGGCTTTGCAAACGCACCTTGAGCATCTTCCGCCTGGCACCGAGCGCGTTGACGCCGCGCGCCTCGAGCCCCGCGTCGTCCAGCTCCACGAGCTCCTGCCACTGCAGATCCTTCAGGTTGTCGGTGTACTTGTGGAGTCGGAGGCTGCGCAGCCAGTTGGGGATGTCCTGCAGGAGCGACGGGTCGGTGGGGTCCTCCGGGGGCTTGGAGGAGCCGCGGCGGCCGCGGGGCGAGCGGCCGCGGTTGATCTCGTCGCCGAGGAAGCCGCTGTTGTGCGTGTCGAAGCCGCCGCCGCCGCCGAGGCCGAATTGGCCGAGCGTCAGGGCCGACATGCCGTTGCTCATCAGCCCGGCGTTGGTGTAGTCGGCGGCCAGGAAGCCGTTGGCTTGCGGCGAGGTGAAGGAGTTCATGCCGGACATGGCGCCTTGCATGGCGAAGCCGGGGGAGGAGGGGCGCGAGCGGCGCCCGTTCATGGCGGCGAGCTGCTGAGCCTGGAGCGCGGCGGCTTGCTGCGGGGTCAGCACCTGGCCGAGCTCGTTCGTCATGAGGATGTTGTTGCCCATGGGCGGGAAGCCGGGCGATAGGGGCCCGTTGCCGTCGGATGAGCGGGCGCGGCGGTACTTGCGGACGTCGTCGAGCTGGATGCGGTTGTTGACGGTGGAGAGGGCGGCGAGCTTCATGGCGGTGGCATTGGCGACCATGTCGGCCTGGTTGGCCTGCTGGCCGAAGTTGGCGACCATGGGGGTGCTGAGCTGCGAGGCCCAGCTGCCGCCCTGGTAGGCGGGCGACAGCAGCGCCATGTTCGAGTTGGCCTCGAGGGCGTTGAGGGTGGTGGTCTGCACGTTGTTGGAGTCCTGCTGCAGCGGCAGGCGGGGCGAGCGCAGGCCAGCAGACGGCGGGGGCGCGGTGAACTGGCCCATAGCGGGCTGCGGGGCGGGCGGCTGGCCCGACGACTTGGGACGCGCCGACTGGGCGTCATTCCACGGCGAGGCGGGGCCGTTCTCCTTCTTGTCGTCGGGGGCGGAGATGGTGGGGGCCAGCATGGAGCTGCGGTCGGGGCCGATGGTGCTGTTGCGGTTCGAGGCAGGCGGCACGCCAACGGCCTCGGTGAACTCGGACTTTTGCTTGGCGATGGCGGCGGCGGCGTCGGGGAACATGCGGTGGATGGTCGACGGGTCGAGGCCCGAGGCGCGCTTGCCGGCGCCCGGCGACGGCGGCGGGCGGGCGGTGAACGACTGGCGGTTCTCGGCGGTGGTGAGCTTGCTCATGGCGTCGCTCAGCTTCTGGGTCATGGGGTCTGGGGGGTCAGCACAAAAATTACAGACTGATCGGGACAAGTACCCTTCTCGCCAAAGTTGGCGGGCGACAGCACGCCCGACATGGGCAGGCTCTTGCTCATCTGCTGCAGGACCTGGATGAAGAAGCGAATCTGCACCTGGGTGGTCTGCTGCAGCAGGGCGTACAGGGCGGCGGTGCGCTCGGCCTCGCTCAGCACGCGGAACCACTGCTCGATGGCGCTCAGCTCGTCCTTGAAGTCCTGGTCGAGCGTGGCCGTGGCCATCTCCTCGAGCGTGTTCTCGTACTGGTCGATGTCGGCCAGCCACTGCTGGGCGGCGCGCTCCATCTCGTCGGGGTTGCCCGACGGCGTGGGCTGGCGGCCAAAGTAGATCTCGGACGCGGGTCGGATGCCGCGGTTGGCCAGCGGCGACGAGAAGCCGCCCATGTCGGCCGAGGCGCGCAGGTGGTGGCCGGCGCCGAGCGAGGTGCGGTTGACGGGCGGGCGCAGCGAGGACGAGCCCTCGGGGGTGCTGTTGCGGTTGGCCATGTGGTTGGCGGACATGGCGCGGTATTCTGGGCCGTCAGCAGGCGCGGCAGCGGACGGGCGGGCGACGCACAGGAGGCGGGCGGCGGCTCGGGGACTCCTGCAGCACAGCTGGCCTCAAAGGAGCTCGAATGCGAAGCCGTCAGGGGATCGGGACGAAGCGCAGGCGGGGCCGGGGCGGGGAGAAGCGGCCGGCGGAAGAAGAGACACGAAGAATAGCCAAGATACAACGAAGGAAAGGCGACAGAGCCGGACGGGGGTGACAGAGCGAGCGAGCTCACGGGCGGAGGGCGGAAGGCGAGAGGACGGTTGGCCGTCGAAAAGACACCACGCTCAGCGCCAGCCCATGGCCGGCAGACGTTTAGCGCAGCCAATCAGCCGCCGCCAGCCGTTTCATCAGATCAGCCCTGTGAGCCCCGTGCTGCAGCCCACGCCGACGGCAGCACGCTCGCACTGCAGTGCATGCGCTGCCGCCCGCCGGCTGTGGTACACGCGCGGCCATCTGCTGCAGCACACGCTGCAGAGCGGCCTCGCGCAGACGACGACGAAGCAGGTCCTTGCGTCGGCACTGCGATAGAACCACACGCGAACCGTCTCGAGCCCGCAGCACCACCGCTGCGCTGCCGCCGCCTGCTGCCAGTCCACAGCGCCGCCCGTACACACCACGCTCGGATCGCGCCGTCTTGTAACGTCTGCGGCGCCCGCCGTCCCTGATTGGCCGCGCCCGCCTCAACTTGCTACGCTGAGCGTCGTGCAGCCCTCGGACGCAGCGCTCTCCAGCAGATGGGCCAGCTCACGGGCACGCGACGGAGTGCACTGCGGAGCCGCGCGAATTGCAGGGCCGCTGACAGAGGCGATCAAACGCTGCACTGGCGCCTGCTATCGCGCCAAGCACGGTATCGCGAGCGGTGCACGTTACAAATATAAATGTTTATGTGTTTTTTTGTGTCTTGTCGCGTCTTATTTTATGCCGCCGACCACGCTGCCCACCATCACCGCCGCCTCGCGCTCCCACCCCTCGCCCTTGCGCCCGGCCTTCTCGCCGGGGACCCGGCTGCCCCGGTCCACGCACTCGCGCACCGCATCGCGCACCCGCTCCTTGTTGCTGCGCAGCGTCCGCGCCGACACCCCGCCCTTGTACATAATCTCCTGCATGCGCGGCGACATGCTCGACGCCAGGCTGCGCCAGAAGTAGCTCGGCAGCGAGCTCGTGTCGAGCGCGTGCAGCAGCGGCTGGAGGAAGCTGCTGTCTTTCGTAGGGGGGGTCGGTGAACATGGGGTGCGCGGGGGGTTTGGTCGACTGCAGGAGGGACTGCAGCGCCACGATGTTCTGGCAGCGTGCGGAGATCTCGAGGAGCGCGCGGTCTAGGAGGGGTAGTTGCGCGAGCGCTCGAGCGAGCGAAGCCACCGAGCTCTTGAGGCTCGTCTGGAGATATTCCTGGAGCACGCTGAGCATGAGCGTTGGCTCGAAGCCCTCGATCGTCTTTGCGTTGGTTGGAGACAGCAGGTACAGCGTCTGTAGTGCCGACGTCGTCCTGCTCTTCGTGTCTTCCGTCTGTGCAAACGTGCTCGCCGACGTCTGTCCCGCAGCCAGCAAACTCGACATGCTAAACTCCTTGACTACCTGCTGTGCCCTCGACGCAATACTCCGCTCCCCGGGCACCACCAGCTCGTTCTTCAGCGTATTCACCACATTGACCCTGTCCAGCCCCTCGCCCTCCTGCCCCGGCTTGGTATTCGTGAAGATCTGGCGCAGCGCCAGAATCGAATCCGCACTCCTCACCATCGCCCTGTGATCCTCCTTCTTCGCGCCGCCCACGCCCCCGACCTCCGCCATGCGCACCTCCAGCTGGCGCCCCAGCATCAGACACCGCGCCACCGCGCGCCCCAACCGCACCGTCTCCACGAGCCGCTCCGCCGTCAGCCGCACCTGCTCAGCGACCTCGTACCGCTCGACCACTTCCTTCTCCAGCGTCTTGTAGCTCTCCGTCAGACTCGCAACCTGGCCCTCGACCGCCGCCAGGATGCGCCCGCTCGCCTCTGCATGGTCGCGCGTGTGCTCGAGCAGCGGCAGCGCCGACTTGGTCGTGAGCGTGTCGATGTGGGTGTCGACTTCCTGGACGTCGAAGAGCACGCGGGACAGCGGCGTGGACAGGTCGAGCGGCGTGTCCGAGGGGTTGTTTGTGGCGAGCACGAGCGTGTTTGCGAACGCGGTCGCGGAGAAGTCGGGGTCGAGGAATGCCTCGTAGTCTATGTAGGAGGGCTCGTCGGCGGTCGACATGGTGGGCGGTCAATTGCTGTGGTGTGGTGTGGCTTGGTGGCTTGGGCGAGAGGTGCGCCAGGGTCCGGGGCGCTAGTGCCTTCACTGTTCATGACTCGCGTAAGCTCCTTTCTTCTTTCAGCATTCGAGTTCACTGCATTTTGATGGGGATTGCTTGGAGTTCACAGTTCTACTTTGTTCATTATCTGCTCGAGTCTTTATAATGGTAATTACATCTTTACAACAACATTGCTCATCTGTCTACCTGCTACCATAGTTGGGTCCACCAATGCCCTCCTCACCAGGCTTATTCGCGCTGGGGTCAACGCCGACGTTTGAATTCCCGCTGTCGCTGGCTACAGGGGCCTCGCCAGGCTTGCTGAGCTCCTTTGCGGCAGGTGCATTGGATGCGCCAAGGCCCTTCGCTGTCATCGGTCAGTACAACAATGCTGAAGCAGGAGTCGCCCTCAAAGGGCTTGAGAGAAACACACCTTCAGCCTGAGCCTTGTTGAACTTGTCAGAAGCCGCGTTCGACTGGCCGGGTGTCTTGGAGTGAGGCATTGTGCGTTGGGTGTGGGTGTGGGTGTGGGTGTGGGTGTGGTAGGAGTGTGTGTAGGTCAATGTGTAGTATCGACATTCTCCTTCTGAATTTGCAGCTCTGTTTATAGTCACCAACGTAGTCGCTTTTACCGTGATGTCATGACGTGATGATGCGATGATGCTTCGAAGGGTCCACTTTAGTCTGGCGCACACTGTGGTTGACAGCAACATCAACGTCTGCAACGTGCACAAAATCCAGCAGTTGGTCATCGTAACGAAGCTTCTATTCCGCTCAAGTGGGTATATACGCACAACTCTGAAAAGCACCGCATCACTGATCTTCCACTATGCCTTGGGTAGTTTGAACGGGTGTGCTTCGGTATTGAAGACATAGTCGTCCAAGCTGATGGCGCTTGGCTCACTGAAGAGAAGGAAGAAGTACTTGAGAGTCTCGGCCATCCAAAAGCTCTGTAAAGTTATTAGCGATGAGTGAGGTCTTCAGTACCCACACTTACCTCCATCGAGTCCATCATTGGCGGTGTATCTGCCGAGATGTCCGACAACGCCGCGTTTCCAATATCGGTGTCCGTGACTCTCATGATTGAAGTCCACATGTCCCATCCTGCCGCCTGCCAGGACTGCTCACCAGTGATTCGGTACATAACGAACACGCTCTCAATAGCTTCAGGTCGTAGGATGTAGCGACGGTCCCCGATCGATGCAAACCCCGGAGGCAACCTGAGGCCGGCGATGTTCTTCAGTGGATCCGCCTCTCTCTGCAAATCAGCCCGCGCTGTGATCTCGGCATGCCATGCTTTGTCATCCCAGTGGCATTCAGTTGTGTTTGCACATTTCACAAGATGGGACACCTCAGGCATGATGCCTGCCGGATTGCTCTTGTATGCCCACACACATGTGTCTGTAAGCTTGCGGCCAATGGCAACATGGTCCTTGTTGGCGAATATCTTGCCCCCCAACGCCAACATGCCGCCGGTATAGCAGCCCAGATGCTGCAGTTCAGGCTCAGCGAAGATCGTCGTACCCTCGACTCGCACGAAACCTGATCCGAGCAGGTCGGAGTCATCCGGCGTCATGGGACGATAAATAACGTGCTCAATCGCGGTCGCCATTGCCTTTTCGTACATCTTCTTGTACACCGGGTCCAGGCCGCCGAGCAGAGCATGCATCTTCCCGAGGTACTCATAGGTAGAGTCAGCCATAGAGGATAGCGTGAAGCTGTTGTCATGAGTGAATTCGAGCTTCCTCGCGTTGACAACAACCGGCCACATTCCCGGCAGCTTGGTGCTGTCCTGCTGCTTGTCGAGCTCTTTGGTGACACGGGTAACTGCATCGTACCATTTGGGGTCGCCAGTGAGCTGAGACAGACGGGTGAACTCCATCGTCATCGAGCCAATCTCTGCCAATAGAACCTGGGGATCTGCAAGCTGCATCTTGCCCTCCCCTGCAGCATGGAAGTCCCACCTGGTGATGGGCATGCGGTTGGGGGTATCGAAGGCATGGTAGAGCATCTCGCCGACTTCTTTCGCCTTCTTGAGAAGTCTCTTTTCTCCGCTCAGCTCGTATGCCGCCAGCAGCCCGCCAAGATGTCGGATGTTGGTCTCAAACACGTTGACCTTCTCTAGCGGAGTGTAGCCAAAGTTGATTTTTTCGACGTCCTTGATCGCAGACTCAAACTCCTCCTTGAAGCCCATGATCCATAATGTGTCTAGTGAGTCAATGAGAGTCGCAGCCCACCCTCCAAAGTGGTCGTTGGCGTCGCCGCTGATGGGCCTCAGCTCGTCGTGCATCCACGCCATCTGGCGGTACGACGTCCAGCATTTCAGGAATTGCTTTTTCACTTCTTCCTTCCTGGTCTCGCGTATGTTCTTCGCAGTGGCATCCTCTTCTTTAAACTCGAACTGTATCTTGGGCAGTTTTGCTGGCGTCCCTGTGGGCAACTGAAGCAGGCTCTTGACAGGGTGCTGGATAGGTTTGCGCGCCCAATCGATGGACTTGACCGGGTGCTGCGGCTGCTTCTGGTCGGGGCGCTGTGCCTCGGCATTGTTCGAGGGCGGACTCGGCTTCGCATTGGGATCGTCGATTTCGTATGGGAAGCTCAAGCTGTACAGCGCATACAGGAAGAAGGCAGCCAGGACAGTGTACAACGCATACCGTCGAATCAGCGCCATGGTGGATTACTATTAATGCAAAAAAGTGAGACAGACAGAAGAGGAAGAAGACAGCGCACGCGCTGCGAGCCGAAGAAAGGGAGCATCGCCGCGAAATATGGGGAAGTCAGACCGTTACGTAGGGGCGTCCCTGCCAAGTCGGAACTGGCAACGGTGGTGCCCTGTCGATCCGCAAGGCGCGCGGTTCGGACCCACATCAAGACACAGGTACGGATGCGGACACTAGACACTGATGCTGAACACGCTTTGGCTGACGTTGGCAACGCGCCTTGACTTTTGTACTTCAAGACTCGAGAGGTGGAATCACCCGCTCCAACCACGAGCACAGGTCCCTCAGCTCAGCGCCACCCAGGGCGTGGCCCATCCCTTCGTACTCTTTGACCGTCACCAAATCATCCTTGACTCCGAATTTAGCCAATGCTTCACGGCATAAGCGGGAGTATCTCTTCGGAACCATCCTGTCGCCTGTGCCTCTAGCAAGGAATATCTCGACATCGTCCTCGACGTCCTTCGGTAACCCAGCCTCTTCTCTCAACGCAGGCACTCGCTCTGGAATCGCCATGTAGCCACTCAACCCAGCCAGACCACCCAGCTTGCCTGCGTACCTGGACGTCAGACCGGTGAGTAGGGCCATGACCTGCCCCTGTGAAAACCCTGCCAAGACTATCCGCTTCTCCGGCACGCCTTGCGCAACAAGCTCGTCTATCAGCCCCGTGATGTACTTCCTACTTCTCAGCAAGCCGTCCTCGTCTTCGTCTTCTTCGAGCTCTGGACGCGAGGGAGGGAATGGCGAGAGCCTGGTCGGCATGAACCATGCTGTGCTGGCGAGATCGTGGTCTTCGATGGCGTTTGGTATCGTCCACGACATGTACGGCAGCTTGCCGCCGCGCTGGAACTGCTCGGCGACTGACGCGGGGCCTTCGGCGGTGTCGCCAAAGCCATGGATGAAGATGATGGCGGCGGAATGAGCAGGAGAAGATGCCGGGGAAGTCGCAGGAAGCACCGTCGGAGGCTCGCGTGTTGCCATCTTAATTGGCGCTCAAGGTTACAATGAGAAGCGATGTGCAGACACTCAACTACAAGCCGCGACGTTTTCAAGAGTACATGTCGCCTACTTGTAGCAATTCCAAATATCAATACCCCGCGCGGGGCATCGCGTGAACGCCGGCGCGCAGCCACGTGCAGGCACTTCCGTCTTTCCTCCGCAACGCCGAACCACGCCCCAACCACCAACCATGCCACACGTCGAAGTGCTGCCCAACTCGGCCGCGACCGTGACGCCCGGCTGGACATACGTCGTGGACACCGGCTACGACCCGTCGAAAGTCGCCATCAACCCCAAAAACAAAAAGCGCGCGGCCGCCACCACCACCCAGCGCGGCGACACCGACCTCTCCGCGCGCCAGCAAACCGCCATCGCGCGCCGCATCGCCGACCTCGAGCGCGACAACGACCCCAAGCAGCACATCCCCGTGCCCGCCAAACCCTCCGTCCCGAAGACCCAGAACGCCCGCCGCATCATCCAGTACCAGCGCCAGATCAAGCACTGGCTCGACGACGAAGACGCCCAGCTCGCGCTGCAGCCCCCGCCCGCCCGCAGAGACGCCCCGGGCACTCGCACTGCGCCGCGCGCGCCGGGCTCGCTGCCGGCCTCGGCCGATGCCACGCCCGCGCCTGCGCCCATGGACATCGACCCCTCGGACGACGCGCTGCTCGACGTCTCCAGTCTCGTGCCCGCACCGCTGAACCCCGCGGCGCTGGACGCGCTGCTCAGCGCGCCGCCCCTCCCGTACTCGCAGAGTTTCGCCGCGGGGCCGGGCGCGGGCGAGCCGCCGCAGCGGCAATTCTGTGATAACTGCGGGTACTGGGGGACGATTCGGTGTCGGCGGTGTGGGGCGCGGGTGTGTGGGCTGGAGTGCAGGGATGCGCATGAGGCGACGCGGTGCTTGAAGTGGGCTTGAGGGGTAGGGGTGAGAGTGGAGAGGGAGGTGTTTTATACCCTTTGATTATTTGACTTGAGCGGGGGAGAGAGGATGGAGTGCTATGTTGACTAAAGGGCTTGGTTGGGGGCGAGTAATGAGGGGTCTCAGGCTTTCGAGTCGGAGCCCTGTCATTCCTCCGCACGCCTCAGCTTGAACTCTAAACATCCAACTCAAATCACCGCACATACGTCCCTGAGCCCATCTCCTGGGCACGATTCCGAGCACATCGACCATGCACTTGCGCACATCCGCGCATCCCGAGTACGTCTCCAACCACGTCTCAGACCACGTCTACGCACCCCCTGAACACGTTCACCGAGCGTGTCTTCCACTAGACACACGCTGTACCCATCTACCGGGTCGAATCAAACAGTCTGCGCCTGCGTGCTGAGCGTGGGCGTCCAGTACCAGAGCCTGTCAAACTACGGATCTCGCTTCCATGGAACCGCGCTTTATAGATGCTTGCGATTGGCTGGACACGCTTAGTCTGTTTGGTTCAACCAGTGTGTCAGTCTGGGAGACGTCCTGTAGGGCGAGAATGTGGGTTCGACGTGTCTCTCGTACCATGGTACGCGTTGTGGGGTGGAAAGATACTCTGGCTGTGGTATGTACCCAGAAGTGAGTGGTGAGGTGGGGACGAAGAGAAGGAAAGTGGACAGTGGTAATCGTGAATCAAACGGCCAGGACATGAACATGGGGGATGGGAAAAGGAAATGCGTAGATAATGTGGGTGGATACTTTGGTCAGGCCCGTACACTGGATTGGGACTGAGTACACTGAGGCTCGCTGCGTTCGCTTTTGTCTTCGTTTCCCACGGTCTATCTCCTCGGTCTCATAGTTCCTGCGTAAGCACCACACACATCTACCCTGCGAACCCCCCGCGCGCCATCTTCTTGTCCCGCTGCGCCTTGCGGTTGTGATTCGCACTCGCACCCTTATTCGCCTCCTTCCGCTGCCGCGAGATCTGCGTCGCCTTATCATCGCTAGGCCCAGCCACGCTCCCGCCGCGTCCTCCCCGACCGCCACCGCGTCCACGGCCCCTACCGCGCCCGCCAAACCCGCCGCGTCCGCCGTCGCCGCTCGCCTCGTCGCCCGACCCAGCGGGACTGGCTTTCCACGCCGACGCGTGCAGTTCGCGCTGCTGTCCCGCGAAAGCCGAGAACCGCGCTTCCAGGCGGCGGAGACGCCGCGGGTCGCGTCCGGCCATCAGGCCCCAGCCCTCGATCGCCTCGTCGGTCATGCCGGTGTCTGCTCTGAGGGCGGCGCGCGGCGCGCCGCGGCGGGTATCCGACCCGCGGGTGAAGACGGCAGGGGTGGTCGTGTAGGCGCGGAAGAGAGCTTCTTCTGTCTTGCCGGACAGGGCGTCGGCGTCTGGGGCGGTGTCGACGGAGGCGCCGACGTCTTCGAAGTCGTAGGTGTCGTCGCGCTCGTCGTCGTCGGAGTCGAAGGCGGCGAGGGCGGCGAGGATGTGGGATTTCTCCGGCGCGGTGCTGCGGTCGGAGAGGACTTTGTCGGCGGTGAGGTGTTGGTTTTTGCGCCCGATGTGGAGTCGGGAGGTGTCGACGGCGAGCTTGTCGAATTCGTCGTCGTCAAAGATGTTGCGCCGTTCGGGCAGATGTTGGCTCGACCTGGGAGGGAGATGTGATGGTGGTGCTGAGGTTGATGTGGGGCTGTTGGCATTGTCAGGACATCTTCGATCATTGTGGTTAGGAACATACAACTGCTCGCTGCGGTCGGCATTAGCGAGATGCGGCGGTAATGAGTCGTCCAGCAGATGCGCGGTGACTTCCTCGACGTTGTCGTTGTACTCATCCAGCAGCTTCACAACAAAGCCGGCACCAAGATCCGGGAACAGATCCTGTATTTGAGTGACTACACTCATGCGATGGATGTGGAATTCACCAGTAAACGCTGCGTTGCCGTGGTCATCTCCCTCTGCTTTACTCTTGCCCTTATCCACCTTTCGTCGCACGAGTCGCTTGGGTCGAACGACGCCTGCTTGACGGAACGCGCTGAGCGACGCTGCTGTGTTCCGAACTCTAGACGCTTCAGGGGCAGTAGCCTTGTCTCTTATCTTCTCAAGTAGCGGCGTAATGGTCACTAAATCTGCAACAAGCGTCCTCTTCCCCGGTTCCTTCTTTTGCTCCAGCTCTTCACTGGACTTGAGTGAATAGAGGTGATCGGACAGAAGAGAGTAGTTTGGTTTCTCTCCTTCCAGTGTAGCCGTGAGACCGAGATATGCGGTTGTGACGAGCTTCTTCTGCATTGCTGGCGGCACTTTGGGGTAGGCGCTGGAAAGCGCATCAAGGAAATCAGAACCAGTAAGCATGTAAATGCTCGCGTTTGGCGAAGCTCTCAAAAGCGGCGCTATTCGGTTCAAAGTGCTCTCTGTTTCCTCAGGTCGTTTCGATTCCAGATTCCGAATCAGGGATGTCTTCGCTGTCTGTAGTGACTTCTCGATTGCCCCACTTTTCCGCTTCCACAAGGCTTGGAGCAGGTTGCGAAACTGCTCACTCTTTGTGAAGGCATGACAGATATCGGCCAGCACTGGCCAGACAAGGAAGGCGTCCTCGATATCCTGCCCAGACCATATCCTGTGCAGTAACAGGAATGACTTCTTGCGCAGCGAGGTGACCCTTGTTGCAAGGCTGTCGTCGCCTGCAAGCTCGTGAAAGAAGGAGATCAAGAAGAGCCCCAGCGAATCAACATCCTTCCGCGCCGATGCAAACTGCTGATCATCCAGGCGCAGATAGAGATCTGTCAGCGACGTCCATGATTCCAGGTACAGCTGCCACTCGTCTGGCCGAATGCTCTGTCGGACTTTGGCGTCTGGAAAGGGCGCAAATTGAGGCAGAGACATGGGCGTTTGATTGTGCAGCTACAAGCCGGCAGTTTCTTAATGTTTATGCGCTCGTTTTCTCAATACATGACGACGTCAAGGCCCCACGTCGCGCAGTCATGATGGCTCATGCTCGCGGCGGCGGCTAGGCCGCTAGCGCTCTAGTTTAGCCGCACTCTTGGCGCGGCCACAGTGAAATTTGATTTGGATCTCTCGCGGACGTCGAACTCCACGTACGCCGTCGCTAAAGCAAAAACCACGCCAGTCATCACATTACCGTGATCCGTTTCGATCCAGGTCGTGACTGCCATTTGATTCCATCAACACCACACTCCACATCAATCACCATGTCTTACAGTACGTTGTCCCGCGCGCACACAATGCGCATGCTGACCGCGCGCAGACAAGCCTGAGAAGGACTTCGGCGAGGGCCCCAAGATCCACAAGATCCGCATCACCCTCACCTCCCGCAACGTCAAGTCGCTCGAGAAGGTCTGCCAGGAGCTCATCGACCGTGCCAAGAACAAGGAGCTCCGTAACAAGGGCCCCGTCCGTCTCCCCACCAAGGTCCTTAAGATCACCACCCGTAAGACCCCTAACGGTGAGGGTTCCAAGACCTGGGACACCTACGAGATGCGCATCCACAAGCGTAAGTTATTCTAATCGCGGACTATGACAGTAGACTGACAACAAGCAGGCCTCATCGACCTCCACGCCCCCACCGAGGTTGTCAAGCAGATCATCATCAACATCGAGGCCGGTGTTGAGGTTGAGGTCACCATCGCCGCATAAGCGCTTAGTTGGGACATAGGAAGGAGTGAATGGTCTGGACAAATACGTGGATATGACAGCTTAACTGCTGGTTATGAAATGGAACGATTCAGAACCAAAAGCATCTCATGCCTGCTGTTGATCAATGTGAGATATGTGCAGTGAACCAAGAGTGCCAAATAGTCAACCAACGCCCCCATCGACCTTCGTAAACATGACTATCAAGGCATGGCTGGGTCGACAATGACACACAATCGGTCATGCCGATGTCGCACTGCGTACCCTTGGATGATCATGCGATCTCCGTGCTGCTAAGGCGGTCTAACGCTGCACTCGCAGCCGGGCGACCTGCTGTGGCACGTTTGTTGTTTTAAGCCAAGGCGTGAGCGTGAATTTGTGGCTGAGAACAGTGTCACAGTACAGTGAAATTCCTTGGTGGAGATACCAGGTCAAGTCAAAAGCACAAACTTATAGATCGAGATGTAGGCCAAAGGATATACTCGGTGCTAGGAAGACTGGGATCGACTTCACATGCAACCGTATTGTTTCGTGGAGACAACGTTGCTTGTACATGATACTGCCGTGGCCGAACAAGTGTGCACTTGCAGATACAGCTCTTGGCCAATGGGGTTCAATGAGATGCGAGGAGATGCGAGGACAGTGCACGTATATCGCAAGGAATTGATAAAAGGTCTACCTATCACATCAGACCAGAAAGCATGTCTACAAATGGGGAAGCCTCCGGGATAGTAAGAAGTTAAATGGCGCTAGCGAAATTAGCGCTTTTCGCGATTCGCTCTTTTGAGTGTCGCCCTCTCATCATGGACATGATCGCATCAACAATCCACATCAACATATCTGCATCGGCACAATGGCTGACACTGCACCGGTGAAAAGAAAAGCCGAGTCAGACACAAGAGGTGATGGCGACTCTAAGCGATCTAAGGTGAGATCATTCGGTCCTGCCATGGATTGCACCAAGCCTGGACTCTGGTTCTAGAGTTTCCTCGCGTATGCAACTCGGCCGTCCCGCATAATGCTGATGCTCACTCCAGGGTAAGAAGAAGTGGGAGATGCCAAAACGTGGCAACGCTGAAGCTCGACAAATCAATCCCGGTGATGTGGGGATTTGGGCGACCTGCGCTATGAAGAAGGAAGCACCGACTGTCGCGGATTTGCGAGATGTATTTCAAGGAGTATGTTGCTTTTGCCACATGACCAATCGCTTCATTTTCCCCGGGTAGCCAGAGCTGACAGATCGGGAGTACGCTACGAAGCTGTATGGTGACCAGGCCGACGGAACAGCCAAGGACGACGAGGACTCGGACGCCGGCGGCGATATCGAGGCCGAGATCAAAAAGGAGCTTGCCGAAATTCGAAAGCCAACTGTGAAGCCCCTCTTCACATCCGTGAAGTTAGACACACAATGCTGTGGGTACAATCTTAATTGTCACTGACGAACTTTATCCTGACTTCAGCAGTGGTCTTTTTCAAGACACGTGCACCTGTGGAGCCTCTGTCGTTCGTTCACAAGATCTGCCAAGACACTGCAGATGGTGTCCAGCATAAGAATTGTCGTTTCGTGAAACGCCTCACCCCAATCAGTGGAACTGAGAAAGCCACTCAGAAGGGACTTGAAACTGTTGCAGAGGCAGTACTTGCACCTCACTTCCACGGAGACGAGAATGCAGGGAAGAAAGTAAGACAGACTTCTGCCGTTTGCTGCCATTTTACGGATGGCCTTATCACTTCGGCTCGCTAATATGCAGTGGCACCACAGTTTGCGATTCGCCCAACGATCCGGAACCACAGAGATCTCAAAAGAGACGACGTTATCAAGACAGTCGCAGCTGCAGTAGGTCCAGGCCACAAGGTCGATCTGAAAGGGTACGATCTTCTAATCCTCGTCGAGATCTACAAGGTACAAAAACTCTACCAAGGAAATGCACAACAAGCACGCTTTGTGACCAGTGCCATCTTGACAGCCGCTGACAGACTCCAGAACATCGTTGGTATGAGTGTTGTAGGCCCGGATTATGATAAGCTTAAGCGATACAATATCGAAGAGCTGCGCCAGGGACCTTCAGGCGACACCTCAGAGACGCCAGCTCCAGCTCCAGCTCCAGCTCCCGCGCCAGATGCAACTACTGAGAGTACCTAGATGGACTCGTAGTCAGCGTCACGGTTCTGAACTGTATTGACCAAGCGAGCCTTTGCCAGGCGATCTGCAGTTGGTCGCTATGGTTGCGTACGCATGTCGTGTTGTAGATATGAAAACGGCACAATACATAGTCTTGTACCATCTAGCGTCCGCCTAAGTCCTGATCCACTGTGCCGGAACCGAGGCGAGGCTTACATGGGTGCATAGCTTCCGACTCCACCACGTTCGCAGCCAGGCGTGCCGTGCTGATGGGCAATGGATCTAAGAGGCATACTTGGGCCTGGCCAGGCGCACAGCAGCTACGTAGGTATCCTAGAGCGCGGTGAGACGGTTAATGCACATCTCAATTCCGCTTATCCTGGTCGTTCTTGCACGTACAACACGCGCCAACCCCTGTACATTAGCCGAAGCCCACGCGCTCACTCACCGTTTCTTCAGGTTCCATCGTCGTGTGCCAGCATCGAAATGTCGAGTTTCAAGATCTGACTGACTTCCCTTCGCTCGATGTGGCCAATCAGAGCGTGCAGTAAACGACTAACCAGCCGGACGGTCTAACCCAAATTAGACATCGTTGACGAACGACCAGCAGGCCGGTCCAGTGTTGTCACGCCTTCGCACCTTCGTTCTTGTTTCAGTTTCTTTCGAGGGCCTATTCGTTACAATCTCGAGATGAGAGTAGCTGCACGCGTAGTTTGCCCCTTGTAATTCATCGATAAGCGATCGTGGCTTGCCGGATGCTTCATGGTGCGAAATGGCTTTTGCCTCACTCGAATCACTCAAGACCATTCACACAATGAAATGTGCTGGCACTCACCCCTGGTGGCGAGGCAGTGATCACGACGACGCCTGCCTAGATCTTAAACTTTTCTTTATAGTTCAGTGGTTGGCATCATCCTTTATTGATCGCGGTCTGTCCAGCAATTGGCCTAAACGCTCGTACCGCTATCGACATTGTGCATGATCCAGCGCAATCCCAGAGCCCTTTGTATCCACGGCCCGGCCCTGACATGCAGCCAACCAACTCATACTAAGCAGGGTTCTCGCTAAAGCCCTCATCTTACTGTGTCTGTTACCCCGATCTGAGCATTCATAATGCTTCTATCCCCGCTGGAGAATACGGCATTTCAGACCTTCACTATGAGTCGTGGTGCCTACGCAAGTCGTCCCCCTCGGCCGTCATCTACAGTCTCATCCACATCGTCGACTTCATCCACATCATCACGGACGTGCGCTGTTTCGTTGGACTTTCCGAGCATCCAGAAGCTTATACATACTGTCTTCAGGTCTACAAGAATCACAGTTGAGCAAGCAGAGAGATTGCAAAGCCGCATTCACCAAGTCTACCTAGCGAAGCTTGCAGACGGGTATTCACTTGTGCTCAAGTACCCGCCTCCAGCAAACGTACGTCTTCTCCGCCACGAGAAACACACACTGGACTCCGAAGTCAGGGCATTAGAAACCTTGCACCAGCATACACAGATCCCGGTACCGCGCATAATCAAGTACGACAGCCATGGCGGGCAATTCGGCTCGCCCTACCTCATGTTGAGCCACCTTCCAGGCCGCAGACTATCTCAAGTATCATCGCGGCTTACGGCTGCCGAGCGAAGCACCATCGATCGAACACTAGGTTCCTACGTCCGCTGCCTGACAACGATTTCTGCACAACAATTTGGCATGAGCCACCGAGTTCTTGAGAACAGAGGATCCCAATCATGGAGCGAAGCATTCTTCGCACTTCTCGAAGCTGCTTTGCGCGATGCTGAGGATATCCTGGTCACAATACCATACGACAGCATCCGATACTACACCACCAAACACAGCCATGTCCTAGATGAAGTTACACAGCCAAGGCTGGTCGCTCTTGATGTCTGTAGCCCAGACAACGTGCTCATCGACGAGAGTACGAAGAAAATCACCGGTCTTGTCGGCTTCTCCAACATTGTGTGGGGCGACGTGCTTATGAGTGGAGGTCTTGCGGATGGCAGCGAAGCGTTCTTCGAAGGCTTTGGCGAGTGCCCTCTGCGGACCGGCAGTGTCAAGATCCGACTACTAATGTAAGTCTCAGTTTGATATAGCACACATGATCGATTGTTACTGACCTTGATCAAGGTACACCGCCTATCGCGCAATACTGACGATTGTGGCTCATCACTACCGTCCACACTCCAACATTGATGACCTCAAGGTGCGACGCGAGCTCGTATGCGCACTTAATGAACTTGCACGAATGTGAGCCGGCCCCACATGTGCTTATGACATTGCATCAGGCTTTCGCCTGCCATGGTCAAATTTTTCGACTACGAGATATGAACACGTCGGCGCCAACAGCCGTACAACGATTTCCTCTGCCCTAGCAGATTACTCTCTATCCATACGCGTATCTACTATCGCGTCGCTGTACTCACGCCGAATCACGATTATAGCCATGGTCCACGCATGGTCCTCACAGGCGTACGGCGTTATTACCTCATTTGGTCAACAGGTCGATGAAGGCGTTTATTTGCTTAAGTCAATTTCAGGGGGTTATAGTGTGGCTTGATATTTTCAATGGACTTTCGCGCCTTTAGTGCCATCGGAGCTGTGGAACCAAAATCTTCTAGAAGGATAAAGGAAGAGTATTCAAATACTCACGATTAGAAGCAACAAAGGAGAACCAATAATCTATTACACGGCTGCTTTACTTTGACGATACCATGTATATGTGACAGAAACGCATAATCCCAGCCTCATCAAAAATGCAGTCATGCAGTCAGTGCATCGCTCCACGGCGCTTCACCAACGCAAAGTCCACCTTAGTGTAAGACCCAAAACGAGCACGACCCCGCCGCAGACGTCACCATCGCGAACACCTGTCTCGAGAAAGCGATTTGTCGCATGCCACAATGACTTGCAGGTGCAGCCGGGGCAAGCGAAGTCCGCGTGCTCCAGTCGCAAATTAGGCTGAACAGCACTCGGTCACGGCACCGGACCCAACGCCCCATCCTTCACCGCACACGCATGAGCACGCAGGCGCCCATGCCTGCCGGCACACATCACGACCGGCCTTCCCTGCCCGTCCTGCCTTCCTTATTCACCTGCGCGAAAACAACCCCTGGGACTCCTTCTGCACGCCGCCCCACGCAGTCCCACAGCGCTGTACGCGCACGTCGTCGCCAACCCCTGCAGCCGTTGGCACTCAAATGCTCCTTCGCTCACCCCTGCGCTTCCAGAACGCTCGCTTGCGGTAGCGAGCGCACCAATCAGCGCGCCGGAACCCGTGCTTTTCGCTTTTCTTTGCTGGATTCGGACTAGAGTGAGTGTGTACCCGCCGTGGACTTCAACAGCGTGGTGAGACTCAGCAGGCGATAGAAAGTCGTCAGACGGGGCGCAGCACTGCTGCTGCACCAGGGTTTGCGGGAGCGGGGCGCGGTGCACAGGTTACATCCGTTAAGATGACGGCGCGGTGGGTTGGAGGTTGCTGGGGTGAGCGAGAGACTTGCATGTACCTATGTACTGCATTGTAACTTCACTGCCGATGCTGGGTAGCTTGGGAGTTCACTGATGTGTGCAGATGCAAATTGGGCTGTAGCGCTGAGTCGTTGCGTGTTGCTGAGGTGATTGTGGATTTGGGATGGTGATGCTGGTACCATGACCACAGCAATGGCAGAGCCTCTCCTGACCAGAGTCCCTAGTATCATGCACAACGGTATTCCTTCCACATCGCTACATTTGTGGAACGTATTCATGTAACGAGTCTTATGCACCAGTTGGGTCGCAAGTCTGCTCTGTGTCGCCCACGAGCCGCACATGCGGCCGACGAACCCACATTAACAGTACCTATATCCTTGAGATTACGGACTGCTCAAGGGACCAGAGAAAAAATTCCCGGAAAAGAAATCCATACATCGTAACAACGTCTGACCGAGCCGCTTATGAGGCATTTACAGCCATGGACATGCCGAGTGTACCGCACACGTGCCGTCTCATTCACATGCACAACCCCCAACGTCCATAGAGAGCCCGTCCTACACCCCAGCCATGAAAACCACAAGACCGAGTCAGAACCCCCGTTCCCGCTCTCACTTCCTCACCGTTTACAAGAGCCGGTCCCCAATCTACCCAGGCAACGGCGTGTCCGCTCGAGTTCGGCTCGACTCCGCGTGCTCTTCTCGGGCATTTACCGAACGAACCCCAGAATCGCGTCTGCGCTATCACATCTCACCACGTACGAGTGTTTGCGCGGCCAGTCCCTGCGCGAGACCCTCGGGTAAGCTACATGTGCAGCTGTAGTCGTATATATACGGAAAGTGTTCCTAGACCTGGGGAGGAATGGAGGGTGAGGCCGTGATGTGCGGGGTTTGCGCTGAAGGTTGCCGAATTTCGGTCTGGCCCTTCCGTTTCTGTTTGGAGTTGTTTGTGTTGTGGGAGTGGAACTTTGTTGTTGGGAGATGGAATTTAGATAGGCGGGGGTTGTACCGTGGCTTGGGTATGCTTGAGGCCCTTGGATATTACCGTGATCGGGACTGCAGTATGTCGTATAATGGATCGCAATGCTGTATTCACAGTAGTAAGAGGCCAAAGGATGCGTGCCATTGGTTGCGCTGCCCGCCGCATCTGCTGGCTTGTTTATGGTAAGGTCAACACGTTATCCTGGACGGATATGTGCTGTTTCATATCCCTCACATGCATCGGACTGAGGCCCTTCGATCAGGGTAAGTGAGCTTCTCAGACTTTTACTCTCGCATAGGGAGACATCAACAGTAGAAGAATCATGACGCTGACGCTTGAGCGACTTATCCTGAACCTGTAGGTTAAGGTCTGGAATCGAGACGTATGAAGAGCGCGGGCTGAGAGGCGGCAAATGCTTGTTGTCATAGGCGCCTTCTGTCTTGGGTCCGAAGTTGAAGTCCTCCTTGAATACTGCCTCGGGATTTGACCACTCCCGATTAACATCTAAGATTGTCTGTAGCCAGTCAGAAACAGCATTTGTTTCTTCATCTTCCTCGGTCTTTTGATGTTCCTCTAGGTTTGCTATCTCGTTCCGCTTTCGTACCTCTCCAATTTTCTGGTGCGCCTCTTGTTCCCGCTGCTCTCTCCGGCCCCGCCCGTATGATGCTCTGAGCTTCTTTGCGCTATCGTAATCGGATTGCCTAAGTGGACAAGGCACAAGAGATTTCTGACAGCTGTTCACATTTCTTTTGCCATGGAACATATCCTGCTCTTTCGCAGCTTCACGAATTCATGTACGATAGTATCTTTTAATTTTTGCTTTAGCGATCGTCAAAGTCTCCGTGCTATTCCGATTTCAATTTCAGATGAACATGGTTCGAAACCGCATGTTGGCTCTGGTGATCTATGTAGTGGCAGCGGAGAGGGTGACTTCGATAGCGGGTTTGTAAACCATCCTGGAAGCCTCGCAAGGGCCCATCTAGGCGATGAAGGTTTTTTCAAGGTTGACTCTCGTCCGTAAATGGGCATCTACCGCTCTCTAGAGGGGACTCACGCTCACACTCGCGGATGCGCTTGGTCAGATTCGTGGGACATCCCTGCTGAGAGTAAGCAGCGTATAATTCTGCAGATTCGTACTCTCTAGTCTTTCTGCTCGATAAATGAGGGAACCTTGCGTTTGGAGGGCGCAGAATGGGCACTCGTGGTGGCCCCACTACACTTAGGATATGATCTGCTTCTATTTAATCGTGAAAGATGGATGTTGATTTGCTTTAGCCCTTCGGCTCAACATGGCTCTTGCAGAGCGATATTGTTCGTCTGATCGCATAGTTATTTGTAGTATGAAAGCAGCGGGCGGTATGGGAAGCAAAACAAAGGGCTCAGCTCAGGAGCTTGTAACCCATCTTCGCCGCTCGCATGGCCTTACGGGATACCTAGATTAGTAACATGACTGACGTACCCATGCGTTAGTTGTAGGTTACACAAATCAAATTTCACTGCTGCATTGTCTGGAATCTCGTGCAGACGAAGTAAATTGTGCACTTCGAGTCTATCTACAATCAGCTCGCAGCGTCCCTCACCACACTCTCCCAGATGCCCTTCCAATCCGCCTCGCCGCCACCATACCGTGACTCGAATGCACCCATCGCCAAGTTTCCGAGGAATGGCCTGATTATCCGATCCATCAGCTCTGTCCTTGGCATCTCATACACAATGGCGCCCTCTTCCTCCTCCAGCGCGCGGATTAGAGGATCTAGGGAAAGCGTGCGCAGCGGCTCATCTTCATTAGATAGGTCTTGCGCCGCGGGTGTAATGAGTGGCGTCGACGATGTCTGGCTAAGTACCTCATTGATCTCGTCGGTGAGAGACTGCAAAGCGGGTGTTACTGAGGGTTTGTATACCGCGTCGATGGTGTCGGTGAGATAGAGCCACTCAATGAGTTGGAAGTCGTCTGGGTCGAGTACAACGAGCTCGTCGAGGAGTTTGCAGGCCTGGACTATGCCGGCGCTGGTGTATTGTTCCCTGTTGCTGACGTCTGGTAATAGCGATGATAGGCTAGAGGTCAGCTCGCCGTTCACGACTGGCCACACGGGTGCTAAGTGGATAGGTGATGTTTTGAGGACGACCGATCGTAGGAGAACGAAGACATCAGCGCGTGTGGCGGATGATGGTGATGACGATGGTGTCGCTGTAAGGAGTTCGACAATCTTCTCGAGGATCTGTGGGATGTTTGGTGTAAACGCGTCTTCTGGGCTGGCAAGGATGAGGAGCGAAATTCGCCGCAAAGAGGTTTGCGCTTTGCGGTCAGCTTCCTGCCGTGCAGATGAAGCACCGACGCCGAACATGATTCCGGCTGTTGTCGGGGCTGTCAGCCGTGATAGAAGCTCTGGCACCCGTTCTTTATCTGATTGCGTCCACTGCGAAAGTATCGGTAGCCATGAGTCCCGGATCAGATCGAGAGGTGTATTGAAGAACTTCGAATCATTGAAGGCGTCGTAGATGTCTTTCTTAAGTAGTTTGCTGCCCTGGGCGACCTTTGTCAACTGGTGGAGGAGATCGAGGGTGTTGGCGGATACATTTTCTGGAAACGCCTTCGCTCGAAATGTGGGGCCAATGACCGACGTAGAAATGTCTGAGACTATCTTCGTGACGCGATCTGTATCCGCAAGGACGATGGGCAGATTCGGCACGATAGACGTAAGTATAGCTACTACTTCGGAAGCCCTCTTCTGTGCACGAACGCTGTTCGTGCTCGAAAGTGTCTTTGCGTCCGATTTAGAGTGACTCGCATCCTGCGCGTATCCCATGGGGCGCGTCGTAAACGTCGCTGTTAAGATGCGTGCGAATATATCCTGACAAACTATTAGATCATCGACGGGACCCAGATTGGAGATGACATACCGCAAGTTCTCTCCTCATCTTCCGTTGCTCACCAAATGTTGTATTATCAACCTTTTGGCCAATCACAGCAGTGAACTCGAGTAGAGTTGGTAATATTTGTCGATGCGGCAGAGGGTTGGCCAGGACATCGCGCAAAAACAACGTACAATCCTGCCAGATCTCGTCCATTGCGTCGTCCTCGAGTGATCTAGTGTAGTCCACTAAAAATGCAACAAGATCCGTGTCAGACAGATCCGAGGTCAAGGTGGACATGCGGTTAGAATCCAATGCATTCGGATCTGTGCGGCTGTAAATGGCGTTAAAGATCGCTGGTATAGTGAGCTTCGGCCTCGATCCGTTCAGTACGTTGAGAAGACCCATGACGGCTGTTTCGTGCGCATCTTCTTGGTTTGTATGGGCCCAGGAAACTACCAGAGTCTCAAGGCATTCTAATGCTTCTGCAGCAAAGAGATGTTCGAGGAGACGTCGTGCTCGATTGCGCATACGCAACGAAGTATAACTAAAGGACGACGCCGATGTTGAATCCTGACGATCTTGTGCAAATCCGCCCCAAGACCAGATAGCGAAGCAAATGCGCACAGTATCTTGGAAGCATAATAAGACCGTGAGTCTACTATTAGCAGTTGGTGTCCTTGTCTGATTAGCTTCCGGTGCAAAAACGCCAGATACTACATTGCTGAAGAAGCCCTGAGGAACCTCAGGTGTTTTGTTGGCCGAGGCCTGTGTCTCTTGAATCATCAGGCGATCATGTGCCTTAGCAAGGATCTGCTCGAGACCGTTGATCAAAGAGACGAGCGTGGTTTCGGGCGAAAATCCGACGAGTGCCTCGTGTTTTGCAAAGGTAATCTTCAAAAGATCGAAGGTGTCATTGATCTCTTTGCAGAAGCATTCTACCAGAGGCAATAAACTCTCGAAAATGGTGTCGGCAAACATGGGCAAAACCTCGATGAGAAACTGCACCCAATCATCAAGTACAAGTCGACTGGAGGGGGACGAGAATCCGAACTTGAGGCACTCAATAAGCTGGGAAGGAGGCGGAACGGGTGGCGGTGCTTGATCCACTGAATCCCTGTTCAAGGCTAGCGAGAGCGTTGACCTTTGAGCGACATTTTGTGGCGGTCTTGATTCCTGTGACTTCTCTTCTGGGGGTTGAGTGACGCGTATGCGAAGAGAAGAGAGAATTGCACCCAGCAGGAGGCTTTGCAATGATGGTACTGCGGTCTTGAGTCTGACTATCAGCGGTACCTCAACTTCTAGGTCCCTCAAAGTTAGGGCGAATGGACTTTGGTAGATCTGCGAGATAATAGAAATGGCGATCCGGTGTAGCTCATGGATATGAGGTTCGAGGATCGCGTCTGCGATGCCAGCTTGGATAGACAAGGCACCAAGACACTTCCGAATGAGCCACTCCTGGAGAGACATTCGATGCTCCAAAGCCGTGTCCCATGTAACAGCTGTGTGCGCCAGAGTTGCCCAGGTGAGTTGTGAAGGTCGTTTCAGCATGTGAAAGATGTGTCCTAGGTAGTACAAGCATTCTCTGGTATCATCCTCGGCATTCGCTCTTGGTCTTAAGTTGGAAGTCTTGCTGGGGTTAAGCGACTCGATTGCTGCTAGACATTGCAGAGACTGGAGGTGCAGCGCCAATACTTCAAAGACTTTACCGAGTGTGGGAAGGTCGAGTAGCCAACTCTTTACAAAGGTCGCAGTCTCTGCGCCCTCTTCAGCCAAGGTATCCAGCAGCAAAAGCAAGGGTCTTGTCAAAACTGAATGAAACGTTGCTGGAGCCAGCGTAGGAGCCGGCAAAGACATCCCGCTTGGTCGTCGTGTCACACTTCCACGTTTCTCTGATTGAAGGCTAAGCTCATGCATAGTATGCGTCCAGAGCACTGCAAAGCGTCGACCGCAGTCTGGAATGAGCGTAGCCGTCGAAACATCCCGAATTTCTTTTGCAATCATCGCAGCGATGGCCGCTTCAATCAAGCGACCGGATGGTGAGATTGAGTGCAACTGCAGTACACAAAGAGTAGCTTCGACATGATACTTCGGCAATGTTGGTGATAGATAGTGCCATAAGCAGGCAAGTAGCTGATGCAAAAGTCCGGACAGAATCGACGGGGAGATGTATGGCTGTGAGAGGCGACCCACTTGTAATGCTACGAGGACGCCAGCGATCGCAACCAGGTGTGAGAAAGACACGGGCTTTACAGATGTGTATGTAGAGAGGGAGTCCTGGAGAACAGATGCAAAGTCGAAGTCGTCAATTGCGTCCAGGTTCTGAGTCTTGACGATTAAATTAGCCAAGATCTTTGATGGCATCTCGGGCGAATACGACCATCCATCTGCTTGGAGTGTGGCGAGTGTCATGTGTGAAGCCTGACGCAGGGCAATGCGACCGGCAAAAGCAGGTTCGTACAGTTGGTCCGTCGGCTCCAGTCCTGCTTGGGCGTCTTCGTAGAAGGCTGCTATCTGCTCCAGAACTTGGATCCTCGATACTTCCTCGGCCTTGCCTACTTGCGGCTCTTGCGAGGCTTGATCAGCTCTCAATGCCCGATCCGGTACACCTTGAACAAGGGACTCAGCTATTTCAAGAGCCAAGTCAATAACCTCAGCTTCGATAGCTAGCGAGTTGCGACGTTGTGAGATGTCGCCAAGGGAGGTCAGAGTAGCAACAATCATCAGTGGCATATGATGAAGCAGCATATCTTCTTCCTTGAGATTGAAGCGAGCAAGAACAAACTTCGCAAGCTTCATTTGCCGTAACGCCTCTTGGCTGGTTATTGATCCGTCTAGAGACGAAGTGACAAGATGAGTCAATTTGCCCCATATCAAGCCACTATCAACACCATCGAAGAATGCACTGGCACTTCGCATGACCTCGTCTACCTGTTCTTTCGATGCCTGTTCGCTATAGGTGTGAACACTCTGCAGCGCGGGTAGGAACAGCTCGGGCACAATCAAACCGCCGACTTCCCAGCGATCCATGAGCGACAAACAAACGCGAAATGGTCGTGCGCGCTCAGCGGGAGCCATTGTGCGTCGGTTGATCAATTTCAGTACACTCGTCGTCAATGCAGCCAGACCGTATCGGGAGAAGTAGGCTGCATGAATAGTGGACGGGTCAGCCGTCGTCTGATGTCGTTCCTGGGTAGGCGATTCAACACCGTCGCCAGCATCAGCAGCAGAAGGTTCTGGACCAAGAAACCACGCCCACAACCTGCGATTCAAGCTCATGTCTCTGCGCGATACTACGCTTGCTGCAGCGGCTACCAAGCGCTCTAGGTCTGCTTTGCTAATACTCTGCTGAAGAACAGGAGAGTCGAGCGGTAGGTGACTGACGATCAGGTCGAGGAAGCCTCTTTGAATCAGAAGTTGTGGGTCCGAGAGACCCGATTCGAAGCATCGTATCAACAAGCCCGGTTCTGGATGGACAGCTGCCTCAGCTTCGAGCGATAGACTTCCAGCCTGTTGTCCAAACCTGGGTAGTCGACGAGTCAGGAAGGCAAGTGCACCTTGCCGTCTCGAAGCGTTCGTAATGCTTGCAAGGAAGAAGCACTGCCAGAAATGAGACGCATGCCCGTTACTGCTTTTCGCATCTGCCATGTCATTCGTCTGATCCTGGACAGCGTTCCGTAGTTTATCGAGCGCCAACACCATACGCTCAAAGTCCTCGCTTGTCTCATCTTCAAGACCTGGCAGCAGAGACAGTATGACGGCTTTCAGGGCAGGTCTTAGCGCATCGCCGCTGAGTTTCAAGATGTGATTCTCGAAGATGGAGAGGAATAGCGGACGGACGGAGAGCGAGGCGAACGAGAGGGTCGTGGCAAGGCCTGGCAGGTAGAGGTTCAGGTCACGAGCAAGGGCATCTTCCTGGGCCAGTGGTCAGCGTCTGCCGACCTGGATTCTTTGATGTGCATACTCCAATGGTGGTGAAGATGTAAGCATAGACCTCGAGGACTTTCTGATGTACACCCGAAGGCAACGCTGGATTCAAGCACTGCGCTAATCGCAGTGCGACTGTATCGCTATGAGGTATGACAGGTGTCTCGGGTGGATGCGCCTGCAGGGCCTACACACAACAACGTATAAGCGTGCTATTATTTCAAAGTATCAAGGAGCAATTGACCTTCAGCAGGCGCCCAAGGAAAGAGATATAGTCGGCCCATTCCTGCTGCGCCGTGTCCCAGAGGGCGAGTGTTCGATCGACGCCGAGCGCATAACGCCGGAAAGACTTGTCCTTCTTGTACAAAGCTGACTTTGCGTCAGTCTAGGTTGCTATGGGAGAGCGTGCGTCGTGTACCGTCTTCTGCAGCGTTGCGCGTTGCTCGTGGTGCTGGTGAAGAGCGCCCCGAGCCTGGTGGTGAGAACAGCTGCAGGTTAGCAGCCGAATCAGCGGCCATGCTGAGTTTGGCAAGAGGTCAAGTATCCGTTCAGCGCGCCGCAGGCACGGGACATGTCGTTGCAATATAGCGCTCAATTGCCGGTTGCCTGCTGTCGCAAACCGGAGCTTCAGCGACACGAAGCAGTATCGGCAAATGTGAAACGCAACCGCCGACATGCGTCATCACATGCCGACAAATGCAGAAGGTGCGACCACCACTCCCATTCTCCAACACAGCACTTGCGCCTAAACCTCACCCATGATCTGAGTAACCTGGAGGGCTCCATGGCCCCCTACACCTGCCATGCAACCCACTCTCTCCGTATGATGCCTCCGCGAAGCCCACAGATGCCGCTAATCATCGTCAGGCTCCACGAGGCCAACATCCCGTTCAGCACAGCAACTGCTACGACCCTGTGTATGCCGCTCCTCCCCCAGAAGAAGAGCCACCACCCTCATATGACGCCGCGACCTACTCCCCGACCTCGCCCCTCCTCGTAGGACCTCCCCCCGACTATGGCGCCATTAGAGCCTACCTCGACCCGGACGAGTCCTCGGAGGCCAGCAGCGAGGTCGACGAGACCGAGCAATACTTTCCAGAACGCTTAGGCCAGGCTTTCTCTGTCTTAATGCTCGTGGGCATTTTGTGCATCTTTTGGAGCATTATAAATCAGCCTGATCCAGACAACTCCATGCACAGCTACATGTGACCACTCGCGCGACGCTTCAAGTGGACTCACAGCATCTCATCTACGAATGCCGGAGTCGGAACTTAGCGGATAAATTCGAAGGGAAATGGATGGTCGTGTTTTCGTGCATTACGCCAGCTACTGCAAGTGCAGCTATATCAGAACCCAGCTTTTGATGCGCCACCTTCTGAAAGTAAGTCATTCATTTAGGCGGCTGTGGAGTGTAAGCAAAGGCTGTGCGATAGCTGGACCCCTTGCGACACGACAACTGCTTGAGCTGGGCTCCCTCTTGAAGATTTTCGCCGATCTTGCAAGTGTATCATTGAGAACGGGTAGCAACGAAGCCTCGGATCAGCACCAAGTGCAGGTCACCGCTGTCACGCATGGTTACCATGGAAAATGCTCTTTGCAGGAACATGGCGCAGTCAACGCTAGTCTGCGGCCGATGCAGGCGCAGCAAGGAGTGTACAAGTCTTGCTAACGCATGGCCGAAGCCTCGCATATGCTAGCGCACTTCGCTATTGTCTCTCTATTATATCTCGATCAACCGATCGGTTACTTCTGTGAAGTGCAACAAATGGATGCAGCTTCATCAACACCAAACATCAGGCTAAACAATTAGTGTTGAATGTTTACCGTACGTGCATGCGGCGTCAGTCAGCCCTATCAGATTGCGCATGCTCGACATCCAGCAGTCGTTTGCGGAGGCACTCCGATCTCGCCGCATGTCAGCCGCCTGGGTGTTTAGCGCCTGTGCCGCACACGCCGTGATTGTGACCAAACTCACTTTCCAAGTCTTGGCTCTCCAGCGTACGTCAAAGCTTGTCATAACGAAGTCATCCCCGCTTTCGAAGTTTGCTTTGCAACACAGCGCCCGCGGCGTTGTCGATCTCGGTGTCCCCGAGCTGAGATCTGCGGTGTCCAAAGACTGTCTCGAAACTTGTTGATCATCAACGCCGGACTGTCCACCAAGTCGCGCCAGTCCCATCACCTGGGACTGAGCATTAACGGCGCGGCGCGCCATCCCGTAGCTCTTGCCGCTGCTTTGGGCCAGGCCACCATGATGGTCTACCGTTTTGGGCGTTGCTTGGTACTGAGGGTATTCGAGAGGGACTTCGTGCCGGCTTCCACAACAGCTCCTTGTGCCTGGGCGAGTGTTTGTAAAAAAGCTAATGCAAGCAATGGTTCCACCTACCAGTAGAGTCAGATCAACGGCTAGCAAGCGCCGTGGCTGTCACAGCTATCCGCGCCAGTTGCACTGCGCAGCAAAGTGGCAGCCATGCATACGAGAGAGAAGATAAACTTTGGGTGACGAATGATGCGTTCGCCGTGAAAACTCCGCTCCGGACATGCTCATTCGGTGTGGCATCAATACGAAGCGTTCACAGCGGTTGCGCTACGATGCAGTCACATCGTGGAGATGTTAGTCTACATCTGACCCAAGCTAACCCAGCGGATACGTATCCGTCTCCATCTCACCTTACACTGCACGACAGTCTGTCGGAATGTGACACGTGGCTTGCTTTATCATTTAGACTATCTTCGTGAGGGTATTTCGATGGAAATGCACAGTTTAGATCCAGCCTTGTCATGTGCGCGGAGTTTTGATGAATGAAGACTCCATGTCATGACCTAGTCAAGGAATGAGAATCAACTCACCTCATCTTGAGAAGAGGTTTGGACATTGTAAACGACTGCTTGTGTACGGAATATCCTATTCACGAAATTCGATTTACCATTATCGCACGATCACTCTACGTCAAGCTTGAATTGTATTAACACAATGACCCCTATCCCACTGCCCCATCATCTTCTACCTCTTTACATCTCTCTCACCAGGTGCCCGTCCCTTGCCCGGCGGCGGTCCCATCCTCCCCCAATACCCCGTTCGACCTTCAGCGTCCTTCTCCCCTCTACACTTCGGCTTTGCATGGTCCTCTAGATTGCCCATGGGCCAGATAGGAATAAAGCACACCTCCTCTTCGCCACACGTCCCGCAGTCTTTCCAGCTCGTCCACCCCAGCCACTCAACCAGCTCCTGCACCACCTCGACCGCGTGCTCAGCGTACACAGTCGAGAAGCCTGAGTGCGGCAGCGGCGACGACGCAATCGACCAACTCGTCAGCAGCGCATCGCAGATCCGCGTCGCCACAGCATGAGTCGCGCGGTGCCCCAGCGGCGTTAGCGAACTCGGTGGAATACTCAGCGCCGGCAGCGCAGGCACAAACTGCGCAACACAGCGCTCCGTCTCTCGCGCCGCATTGCGTGCCGACACATCAACAAAGGGCCGCAGAAGCTCCCCCAGGTACACCGCCAGCGCGGCCCCGTCCTCGCGAAACACCCTGTTCGTGGCGATGTAGTGCAGCGGCCCCGAGTACCGCGCTACCACCATGTCCGCCACGCCCTGCCAGTCGCGGCCCTCGCGAGCCTCCCAGTCCTTCCGCAGCACCAGCGCTGCCACGTCGTCTCTGGCCGCGCGCAACACCTCGGGCGCAACGTGCGTGAGCCGCGGCATCTTGACGTCCGAGCGCACGTCGTTGTCCCACAGACCCGCAGGCGCATACTCGAACACGCTGACGAAGTCGGCCGTATCGACGTGAACGCGCGCCCCGCCGATGCCGTGGTAGCGCGACGTGATCGCCTTGACGTACTCCCAGCCGCCGAGCATGGGCGCGCGACGAGAGGCCACGGACACGACATCAACGCGCTGGAGGTGTGCTTCAAAGTCGCACAGGATGATCTCGAAGCCGCCCTCGAGCCGAAGCACGCCGTCGATGCGTCCCCCCCATGTCGTGGATGCGAGTGAGCATAGCCCCTGGGCGCGCGCCATTTCGCCGCCCATGGGACCGTCGGGGTTGCTGGACGTTAGGTTCAACAGTAGGAGGTCCTGGGTGTCTAGCGTGCCATTGGAGGTTTTGCCTGCGCTGAGGCCATCGATGTAGAGCAGGCGGAGGTCGTGAACAGGCGCGTAGGTATGCAGGTGGCCCATGGGCGGGTCCTGAGGGGCAGGCATAGGCTCTTGAAGGGGCTGTTGGGAGTGTCGTTTTTGTGGAGATCCTGTCGGCGTACGGAAGGGAGGGGGCGAAGCAGGGAAGGCATGTTGGCGGTCGTGATGTGCAGGTAAGCTGTCTCGTTGGGCTGTGGGTGAGCCGTTGCGATATACAGGAGGCGGGCGGCGACGGTCAGAGCTCCATGGTCGTCTGTAATCTTTGAATGGATGCTTCTTGCGAGGGGGTGGCGGGTAGGGTCTGTAGATGTGACCTGGCGGCAGTGGAGGAGGGGGGCCATACTTGTGGTGTTTGCGCGGCCCTCGTTCGTGATCTCGTGGGGGAACGTCTGCTGTATCGTTACTTGGCTTGTGCTCGGGGGGCGGTGGTCGCTCATGTTCACGGTGTTCCCCATAAGCATGCCCCGGTGGCGGTCCATGGTGCCTCCAGTCCTCGACACGCGTCATGCCTTCTGAACCAGAGTCTCTATCGTCCGGTGGCCCTTCTCCTTTCCCAGGTGGAGGTCTCCCAGGTCCTCCACGTGGTCGCGCAAAGATTAGCGCATGCTCTGGTTCGAAAGCCAGCCACTGCATTCCCTTTACGAAGTCTGGGTCTGAAGTACCATGATACAACTGCGTGCCCTCAGGTACTGTCGCCAAGAATATCGACATTCCATTGTGGTTCAAGCTGCCTCCCCATTGTCGCATTGAGGAGTGTACTGCGTTGAAAACATGATTGGCATTGGAGACTGCGTGAGCGCTGGTACTGGCAAGAACTGGACTCGACAGCAGAAAAGGGAACAACAACAAAACGGATGCTTTGATGCGCATCTTGACTAAGCTGCGTGCGCGCTCCTCACGAACGTTGAAACGAGACAAAATAGAAACTTGATGCAATATGTAGATGATAGGGGAAATAGAGCGACATGGCGAGAGAACTTCAACCTACCTACGTGTGTGTATACGCGGCTCTCCGTGAGCTAGGTTCTCGCGATGTTTTTTCGAGCCTCACTTACGCGGCCTCATCTAGGCTGCTGCTTCTGTACACGTGCACTGATAAGATCGTTAGGATCTATTGGCTGAAGAGATCAGAGCGTATGAACTCCAAAGATCAAACATGCGACGTTGTACAAATGGTCGTTAGAAAGACTTCGGATTCTCTTGCATTGCAAACGAGAAAGTGCATGTTTGAACGACATGTGCTGAGTGCGGTCGGTCCGATCGATGTACGAGCGGGTACACATCCACTTGCATAGGATAGGCTCCGCGAAATGCTCAAAAGCGCGTCAAGCGCTTAAGCACAACCCAGATGGCTGTGCCGCATGCATGCATACATCTTGCAGACGAAGAGAGGGCGGAAAGAGGATTCGAAGCGAGGTGGCAATGAGCGCGTTTCGGAGTCAAGAGCAACGCTCATGCATCGTGCATCGAAACGGGATCATCGCAAATCAGATACAGCAGACTGCGCGACGTGACGATTGATTCCGGTTTAGTCCCCTTTACAACAAAGAACTGTCCCGGTGCCCGCTCGCAATGTGCCGTCTTGAGCCGTCTTCAATTTTCGTTGCTGTGGCTAAGGCTGCTAGACAGCAGACTGTGGAGCTTCAATATTGCACCACGCTGGTTTTGAGTCAGTTGTCGTTCGATGAACTCCATTGGTTCCAGAGCGTAAAGTCGTGGAAGGATTCCGCGCCAGCTCAATGCGGATGTGAGAGCCAACGGCATTATTGTGAGTCGTGGAGAATTCTGTTGGGTGTAGTCCAGCCTCGAGGATTGCGTGATAGGTGAATTCTCAGGTAGCAAAACAGTGAAGAAATTGTGGACTCGGGCCATAGTCGGGACATGAGTACACATTCACCATGTGTGCGTCTGGCTCCGAGGAGCTACCCAAAGTAAATGACACGGAGTACGTGCAGCCGAAACTCCTAGAGCGGTGTTGGCGGTACGCACTGGATGATGAAAGGGACGAAAACCTTGATAGGTCACCGGCTATGTGGTGTGTTGGTGTCGCTGATGCGCGTCATTTGAATCCGCTGGAGAGGACCGCCATCACATGGGAAGACCCAGTTCGCACTCCCTCCCCAAAACTGTTAGGCAACCGGCCCGAGCTCGTGGGAGTCGCGAATGCCACAAGGATCATCGCTCGCATTGGGGTAGGCTTTGGAAATTGCACCTACCATGGGGGCCAGGGTTGGTGGGTGGAAGGGGACAGCGCAAAGTGGGGGGAAGTGGGTGCTGGCGTCCGCCCGACTGATGCGCCCAGAGATCGTCTCGTTAGAGGCACCATTTCACCGCACTAACGCTTAGATTGCCGAGTTAGTCAGTCACGAGCAAGCCCAGGACCCGGGGCAAAGGCGCCAGTGTCGAGAGACAGCATGCATGATGCAGGCACTTGGATACCGAACACAATATGACAGCTGTAACCTGAGGCGGATGGAGAATTCCGTATTCTAGCAACAACTGCACGTGTATCCTCAATAAAGATCTCTGTAGGTGGTGGATCTCGCACGATGGTTCCTATTCAGGCATACACGGCGTAGCGTAACCACTGCCACGGGCTCTGGCGACCCTGGTGATTGTGCCAGACAATTATCGGCCGCCGAGGGCCGCATCAACGGCGCAATCATAGCGATGGCAGGATTCCCGCCCGGCACAGACGCCGTCGAGCTTAAATCTAAAATCGGCTGCGCAGCCATGCCGCCTCTCTGTCTGCACATGAGAGGTCGCTGGCCGTCAATGATGTAGTTGTGCATTTTGAGCAGCAGGGACGCCCAGCCACCTCAATGGGCAAAACAAACACTAGTTCCAAGCAAAGATTGGCTATGCATCATGAGTGTGGCACAGATTCGCGGGATGGACCCGTTTGGGCGTTTGCCTTGCATGCGAGCAGACCCAACGGACCTTATCCAACGTAATATTCCTTCCGATGCGGTGTGGAGTAGATCTGACTGTGTTGTTATGCTGTTCTGTCTTATTGCAAAATGGCCTATCTTCCATAGCCACCACCATCACAAGTAAACTGCACTGCCCATGGTCTATGGAGCAAACCGCTCCACCAGACGGGAAGACACTCCACGATGCTCGTTACGATGACCTGCTCCAAGCGGCAAGCGCTTGTGCGCGTCTGTGTGTTCTCGTATGATGGCGGGCGGGCCGGCGGTCCCCTTGGTTCGCAGAACACTTCTGCTTTGACCACCCAAACCGGTGAGCTTGACGGAGCAGCACGCAGCGGCATGCAGGCACCGCGGAAACACACACCGGGATTGTGATTCGCCAGGGGAACCCTCCACTTGGAGCATGGCAATTGCAGGGTCTCGACCAGTCAAGTGTTGGGTGGAGCCCATGTCAAGTCAGCCTTGTTCGTAGAAATAAGGCCCCCAGCTAGTAGTTTGTGGGTCTTACACCAAAGACCAATAACGGAAAAGATCATCCGGCATAGCTGGTTTCGGCATGGATTTTGGCTGTGCGAATGCCGGTACGAAGGGCATCGTCATAGTTGAGAGCATTCGAAGACCGGCCGTCGCCGAATGCACAATAATAATCATGGCGATGTTGCAATGTGAAAGCTGTCAGGGGTATGAGACGGAGACGACAAGGAGAAGCGATTGAACATAGAACGGAACAACAAGACTTTGGGCTAGCTAATCTAGGCAGCAGCGCCGCTGTATGCACCCATCTTCATCTTGTCCCAACAGAGTCTATTGAATGTATGGATGTACAACATCTCCACAAAAATGATGTGAACGCCGTGTATGCAAATGCAAAATGTGCAGCTATCCGAGGACTGCGGGTATACAATCGAGCGAATGTAAGATGATGAAAAGCGAGGGTATCTTGAATCGTAAAAGGGTGGTAGACCGGCTACAAGGCGTAATGGTCGTTGTGAAGTCGAAAGTCGCAGCTGGAGAAGTCTATGCGGTAATGGCTAAGCTGACTCAATAGTGATAGCCCAGTCAATCAGCCAGAGTCGAAATGTAAGAGGTGCATCTGTCCTGCAGCATCGTGCTCAAGCTTTGCTACGATGCTGCCGATGACTTTCGAGAAGCCTTGTGGTGTATCCTCTTAACGTGGTCTCTCTGTGGAACATGGTTAGCGCAGATCTCGGCCAAACGTAGGAAATGATCAAGGTCGTACCATATTGTCGACTCGACTGAAAACCCTGTCGCACCCGGCCCAGTCGCACAGAACACCGGGATTGTGCTTGGCCTCGTGTCGTGCCAGGTCTTTCTTGCTTGAGAAACCTCCACCAGTAGCTTGAGGGCATTCCGCGTGCCTACAGAAGAAGTTCTTGCTGTGCCTCTTGTGGTGCTTACGAAGGTCGCATCCTCGGGTAAATACTGCTCTTGATGTGCATCCTGGATAAGCGCACGACCACGTTCCGTTCTTGTTAGGAAAGCCATAGGCTCGAAGGTCTGGTGAGCTCGGAGACAAAGATCGCGGTGGTGTTCTTTCTGAGTGAGCACTTGATGTGAGTCCGGGATTGCCAGAGGATGAGGCCGAGTGTGACCTTGATGTTCGCGGGCCTGCGAAAGATTGAGAGAGGAGGTTTGTATCAGGTGCGAGAACGGGACCAGCGGTCATGTTTGTAAATGATGGGTACGAGTACGATGAGACTGGCGGCATCGGCATCGCTTGAGAAGGCCACGGGCTATGTTGCGGGTATGGAGAGTTCATGATTGGCCTGTACTGCGGGTGCGCGTAGATGGGCCCGTTGCTTGGGAGAGTAGTCGGTACGGCGTGTGTCATCTGATGGAGGGGTGGTGACGAGTACATGATGTTCGGTGGTGATTGACATGTACTAAAGGGCGACATGGCGCCCATGTTGTCTTCTGGTGCGAGTAGAACCATGTCTACTTCCGGTGAGTAGTATGACATGATCATGTAAGCGACTTGGAGGGGGTTGATGAGTGTGTGTTAGGTGTGGGTTGTGACAGTACAGGATGAGGAAAGCTGCCGGTCTTAAGATGGCCGCCAACCGAAGTATATGTGGGTTGGATTGTCGTGTGAGAGTGGGCCAGTGCGTCCAGACGGAAATCCTAGTGAAGTGAGAACGGTCGAGTCTCTGGCACAGACCCAGTATACAGGGAAGCGGATTCCCAGCAACTAGTCCGGGATGTAAAGCTCTAGTCTGTGAGCGTTTCAGGGGCCTCTCCGCAAAATAAGGCTGAAGCCCTTGGGCTTGTCGCAGCAAGTGGCGGGTAGTGGCGGTGTCTGCAATGTCTTGCAATGCCTGGTACAAGATGGGTCCGTGAGACTGAGCCTAATCACCAAGATAGAAATCGGCGGGAACAGCTAACTGGATTGTCAACGTTACCCACAGTAGATCTGGGGCGCAGACAGCAGCTCCAGCACTTGTATGTCAGAGAGGTGAGCATCATCTCACCCAGATTGCATACATCGATAAATAGAATCAGAGCTAGTTACGATCATCCAAGTGGGTAAGTCGACTAACGCTTGTTGCGCTGGCTTCTCAACTCGTTACCGCCCAAGGCTGCTGCCTCCTGGTTGAGAAGGTGCATAACCCGTTCACAAGTGCGGGCGCTCGAGTGAGCCTTGGGGCGGGTGAGTGGTGCCAGGCCCTACTCTAGCGCTGGTCGCTCCTGCGGCTTACCGGGGTTGGTTTTCTGGAAGGAAAGCTTCAGTCAGTGAGCATACTCGCTTGGGACGATTGGTTTGCATGTTCACGCCCCTGTCAGCGCACGCACTAGCGAATCAGCGATGCAGTGATACCAGAAGCCTCGCCGTCTCCCACATCGCGAAGGATTTAGTCTCCGAATACAACGTTGTCAGGCGTGGCACCCCAGCGCAGCCATTGAGCGTCCTAGCTGACCTGCGAGACTGTATCATAGGCGCCTGCGCATGAGGGATGAGGGGCACCAGCCTCAGCTTCCAGTGCTGCGGCTTTGGATGTGATAGACGGTCGATCGCAGCATGGCGAACGCAGTGTCGGTGTGTGCGTGCGGGTGCGAGCTTGGGCGCTGGGTCGCTAAGTCCGGTCGCATGTCGCGCGATGCCGTGTGCCGGTGAGAAGTGGTTCATTCCCGGTGGAGATTGAGCGTCAGTGCGTCGAGCTAAGAATAGGTGCAGCGACGAAAGCAGCCCTGCTTCTAACCTCCTCCAGAGCCATCACGTTCTGAGTCAGAGTCGTTTCAACTGTCGCGACATTTTTCAACTGGTATTCCGTCCCGTCGATGTCGAGTCTGCCTAGTGTTGCTATGCACTCATTCCACCGAAGACCGGCCGTCTCGCAATGAGTGCCAAGACGGCTGCCAGTGAATTCAGATTGCAAACCAACAAACAACGTCAAGTCACTCGAGTCGTCACATTTGTTGTGCGCAGGGCAAGAGCGCGAAGGAAGAAACATGGCCAACCAACGAGCTTTCGTTGGACCTCCTCAAATAACTCTACCCTGCTCAGTCAATCCAATGAGTGCTTTGCACCAGAGACGTGCCGTGATCGCCGTATACAAGTTATCTGAGCGAAAGCAGCAGCAGCAGCAACGTCACCGTCCATTATGTCATTAGCTCCATTATGGAGCTCGTTGGATTTGTGCTGGACAAGTTACCACTGTCTCTAACAACGTCATTAATGTCGCTTCGACTCAGTGATGTTTAGTGCACTGTGAGTTCAGGTCCAAGCCCTCAAGTGCGCAACTTCGGCGACGGGGGGTCTCCTTCTCAGTGTGTGCTTAATGCGTATGGCCTAACTGAGTACCTCCTAGGCGCCTCGCTCATCTCATGTTAGATGCACTGACGAGTGGCTTCCTGCTGTGAGGAATCAGTCGGTGACTGGTCGACAACTGGATGGGATCAATCTTTGAGACTCTCGCAGAGCGAATTAAGCCATTGCTCATCATGAACTGCGGATTCTACTTGTTGGGCATGCGCAATAATCACGCCCTGATACCTGGGGGCGTCGGCAGCGTGACATCCATACGCTCTTCACGCCAACTGCTGGCTTACACCGTGTCATTGGCTCTACGGTCACCGTTAAGCGCTTTCAAAAACGCATCTAAACTTGTAGTACGCTGCACGCGGCAACAGTCGCACTCAACTCCTAGCTCAGGCCGGCAGCTGAAGCGGACGTTTGAAACGGCTGTGGAATATCTGAACCCAGCATCAAGATGTAATTACCTCTCATGCACTCAGCTGTATTTCCTATGCCGCACTCGGCTCCCGTCTACACCGAATCCCCCGACTTAGCCCGCACGCAGAGTCAGTCTCACTCCACAATGATCAGTATCGAACACTGGAAGGGACTGCGCCAGCAAAAAAGCTTTGACCTGCATCTGAACCTCTTAAATTACTCCCTACAAGTGTTTGCTACATGTTCGCGTTGTAGCAGACCCTAGTGAAATTCATCGTCATATCTGGGACACTACGGCAACTGTGGCGAGCATGTTCAAGCCACATCAATGTCATCCGCTGCCGACTATCGGCGAAGGCATGAAGCTCCGTGGAGGGGTGCCCAATCAAAAATAATCAAGACAGAAGTCGGAGATGGTAAAAGTTTGGAATCGAGTTCAAGTCGGACAGCCGCAGCTGTCGGACGCCTAACGAGCTTCAGCCCCAGACAATCGGAGCGGAGCTTATGGCGCAGCCCCATCCTCCGGTGGAGCTCATTGCCACGACTCCGCGAGCATCATCCAGGACACAGTAAGTCGGCCTTGGTCTGGACAATAGCAGGCCATCCGCTCTTGAGAGAGGCCTGCCATTGTTGTTTTGCAATTCCCCACTTCTCGACCAGACACTTGTCTGAGAAATATAGATGAAGGACAGTCCAGTACCTGGCACTGCGCAGCATTTGGACCCAACGTAATCGGAATCATTGCTGAGCTCAGGCACTTCAAGATTAATCCTATCAGCAGCTTGCAGCTGAGGCCATTGTCGAGGAAAGATCTCGCTTGACCTTGCAAAGCACTTGGTTTGTTGCGGGTCTAAGAAGATCACAGGAGCTTGAGCTTAGATTCACTAAGGCTTTTGGCAGTCAGACCCACCATCTTGAAGCGCGGCGAGTGCACTACCCGCAAGCCTCATTCTCCTAGCCGCGACACCATATACTCTCAACCAGATACTTGGGTCACTCGAAGAGTGATCTGCGCTTCTCCTTCTAGAAGGAATTACGCGACCCTAAGCGCAGGTTTACCTCCCTACCATAGCAATGTGGAGACCAAATGTCGCTTTTCGGTGATTCCGGCTTCTTCGACCAGAGTCAGGTCTCGCGGGCCAAGAGATGGCTTCAGCAGATCGGCTCATTTATCCATACCACAATTCTACAACGATCTTGCTACAGCGTCAATACCTGTCAGGACCCAGTGCTCGATCCGACGCTATCATCATCTCCACCTACTAGTCTGTGTGAATGGCTTGTAATAGTGCAGGAAGAGATGTACAGGGTCCATACGTTACGGGTTAACCAGTGACCTCAGTGCTGTTGAGACTCTGGTCATGCTCAGCGCCACCGGTGAGGGAGGAAGTTCAGGCGAGCAGACATGAGCAGAAAATTTGTCAGACATGCGCTTCCAGCCATACTGAGGAGCCATTCGTCCTAATATCGTAAGGAGAAGATGCGGAAACTGATCTCCTTTTGCGCGGTGAGCTTTTCGATGGATCGCTGAGACGGTACATGGCTCATGGTTGTCGGTCGATGTTTCGTCGAATCCCTCCACCGGTTTTGACGATAACAGGTGACCGAAGTCATACACTTTCACGACCCAGTGCAACCAGACCACGTCCCAATACGCTTTGTTGTGCGTATGAAGGCTGTCATATCGTTTCTAAGCCACTCTGAAAGGCTGTCATGAGTGTAGCGTCCCAGACGACGGAGATTACACCAAACTCCTCCTTTTCAGCGTCGCTTACCACCTTTCTCCTGAGTATATCACACAGAGGTGTGGTTTGCGGTGAAGTGTGTAGAAGGCCTGCTTTACGCTCAATGAAACGGAGCCAGACTCTGCTTATGCAGTTGGCTACCAGCTCTTTCTTCGTCGTACGAAGCTCCTTCTTAATGACTGTGAGCTCGCTCTCGTCTACCAAGGGATCTCAAAGGTTGTCGCTGAAGCTCTCGAGTCCACCTCTTTCACTGTTGAGCAGATCCAATACCCTCTGGTGGTTCGCGTTCCATGATTAGCAAGAAACTGACAGAAGATTCGCTCAGAGAGTCTTTCGATACCCAGCCAGATCTGGTCGCTACGAACTTCCACGCTATACGCCGTATCACTTGGACGGATGCCCGAAAGGCCACGGCCTTGCTATGTGTTACCACACATCTATAACTGATCCAAGGTTTGGGTGGCTCTCATATCCTACACGCGTCAGTCAGTACGCATACGCGTGAGATTTTGTTGGAACATTCCGCCAGTCCCCCAGAAGATATTGGCGTTACCGATTTTTGGATCTCATGCGACGACTCTCAAGGGTGAATCGCCATTGTATGATGACTTTACTCTCTGCTCTTAGGCCATTGCAGAAATGAGGGGTGAGATACAAGAGCCAGAAGTGGTGTGTACTCGTCACTTTTTGCAGATACTTCTCAGGCTCGTCAGGTCATTTCCAACTGTATGAAAGTACAGTCATGACCCGCGATACATATGATACGAGTTGATACCTTCAAAGAAAGAATTCCGACTGGTGGCTAGTATAAAATTTAGTGTTTATCGAGTGCCTGCTAATGATAAATTGCTATGTCGCTACGTCCTCGCAGAAGGTCTTGCGGTTTTGTGTCATTCTTATTACATCAGATACGTAGCACTAGAAACCAGAATATAAAGTCCCTAGGACTTGATGCTCCATTTGTGAGCAAATCTTAGAAAAAGTCCTACGGGACGTAAGTTCATCCTCGTATATCCATAGGGCAAGTGCTGGCAAGCACAAGGTCTCGATCATACGCGCTCAACTGAACACTTAAACCAGGTAGGATTACTCTGGAAGACACTCGCCAGCATATCAGTTTACACGCAGTTATGGCACCTTGATATACCCGGATCACATTGGGTACGCGAATGGCATTGAAACTTCCTGGCACGATGCTAGATACAACGGAGACCCGGAGTCCGGTTGCAGTAAGATCTCATACGTCCACAGTGTTGCTTGTGGGGAGAACTCGGAATTTCCCAAGATACCTTCGCATTCCGAAAACCATGCTGACTGCCGTCGGAGTTATGTTTCCGGAAACAATATTATCCTCGCTGCAGCTCGCATTGTAGCATCTGGCTACACTAAGTGGGCATGCTAGCGTTGTAGGTGATTCCTTGAAACGTCAACAGGGGGATCTGACTACTAAGATACCGCGAGCATTGATGGCAGGAGCTGCTCTAGAGTCTGGAATCTATAACATCGTAGTCTAAGAAGAGTGTAGCTACCAAGGTCACTCTTCTTACTGAAGGATGGACCTGTGCTTTCAATAAGATATTGTCTAGGTCTCTACGATAAACTAGAACGGTCATAATAATCAACGCTAAAAGGCTAGATGTCGCGGGCACGTTGACATGCACATATAATAAGCTTGTAATACTATACTTAGGCAACTGATAGTATCTATCAGTGTCTATCTAACTTTAGATACCTAGAAGTCTAGATTTTATATAGAAAATATATGTAGGTTCTACAACTAAAATAAGCGTGGGTATCCAGCGCCGTTTTGATTAACCGCACCGTCTCGCCAGGCCTCGTCACCAGGGTGAACTTTTACTGCAAACTCTTCCACCCAGTTGATGGATGTTTGCGAATGCCCGCACAACATCGCAATTGCTTTGTGAGCTAGTTCTTCATTGAAATACGTCTAGAAACATTCCACAACCCATACATCAATGCCGACTTCTGTGGGTACAAAGCCGTGTGGAAGATTGCTCGACGATATTTGATCGCCTACGGCTGGGGGTCTTTCGATGATCAGAGATACACTTTCAATCCGCGTTGGTTCCAATCGTTCTCTTCGCTGACAAAGAACATCCAGAGACTCGTATATGCTAAGGAAATTCGATTTGCGTCGTGCATGCTGCGGGCCAGGATAGAGTGGTCAAACTTAGCCCTCGACTTCAGGTCTCTCCACTAATTTGGCTGGTTTAATGTTTGTCAAGTTCAAGAGTGATGATGTGTTATCTCATTGATAGCTTTTGAAGGGGAAAAATGCTAAAAGAAGTGGTTTATGCACAGTGGCCAAGTATGTGGCCTTCAAATATATACAGAAGAAGATGAGAGCCGTATCGCAAGGACACCCCCTCTTACACGGCAACCATATCAAGAGCATCAAAGCTGACACCGCCACTCAAGTATCCCGTCGCAGTCTTACCAGTGATCACGTCGATCTTCAATATCTGGTACTCCCTCGCACTCTTCAACCACGCACTAGCCGGCACTGTGTACTCATACACCTGGTTGTTGCCTCGGTAGGTGCCAACAGTCAAACTTCTAGTATCGCCCTGGAGCTTCTGCGACTGCAGTGGCGCAGCCCAGCTGTTGACATTGATAGCAGGACGACCACCTGCGAGGCCTTCCGTCACACCGATCCTGATCTTGAAGCTCTTGGTGAGCTGATCGTCCGTCAGGCGGAAGTACACGAGGTAGCCGCTATTGACGTCCTTCCACATGTAACCGGGGAACTGGTTCGCATTGCTGGTGCCGATAATGTAGTTGCCGGTCTTCCAGTTAGCGAGGCGGCCGTCAGAGGGATGCATGTATGTGGGCTTCATGGGGGTGTCTTCGAAGTTGAGGAAGCCCTTGGGCGAGCCGTCCCACTCTCCGATACGCCAGACGACGGCGGCGTCTTGAGGATCGGCGCAGGTGATAGTGTTCTTTGTCGCTGTGGAGCCAGCGGCGATTGTGACAGTGCTTGTGTGGACTTCGAGCTCGTTCTTGTACACGTTCAAGGTATATGTGCCAGGCAGAGCCTTCTCGATCCTCCAAGCACCGTTTGCTCCGGCTGTGGTCCAGTACTGGGCAGCGTTATTTTTCATGCCGATAACGTATTGCTGGCCGTTCTTCATGTTTGCCAGTCCGACACCAGCAACGGCTCCGCGCTGGCTAGTGGGCACCCATCCGTCGATTCCAAGGCCGTCGAACCAGTCCCAGTTGGCCTTGCGGGCGAACAGGTTTCCGTTAGGTGCAGCGCCGCTGTCAGTAAAGTGCAGAACACTTGGGCCTTGCAAGCCCAAGCGCATAACATCAGTGTGACCTAAGCAGAGTGTCAGTTTCGAGGGAATAAGGGGGATCGTGGGGGCCTCTTACCCATGTTGTAATGGTAGATGTCGTACAGATCTGGTCCGCCCGATCCACCGCGCCTGACCAAGCTCCTGAAGAATGGTCCACCGGAAGCCTTCTCGTGATTTGACCTGATCAAGTACATTCCCACGTTATTGTTTGTGTAGCCGACATAGTCGTAGTCGATAGTTCGCCCATACTTGTAGCCAGAGTAATGCTTGCTGTAAGTGTGCTTGCCGACCGTGTTGACATCGCCGGCTTCAATGACTGCCGCGTTATTCGGGATCCAGTCGGTGTCGGTGTCAACATTATTGGTGAAGATGTTTGGTGGAATGCGGACAATGTAACGCGAGACAGTCACGCTTGTGTCGACTTTGTTCATGAAAATGTACACGTTCGGGTTGCCATAACGGAAGACAAGATCATGCTTGAGAGTCCCGTACTTGATGTTGACTTTTATGACGTTGGGGCTCGCGATTTGTCTAATCGTGACCGTGGATGCACCCAATCCTGATTCGACGTGGGAGTACTTGCCAGCCTGACCACTGTACTCGACACCACGGTATTTGATCGATGTCATGTCACCATTCGTCTTGCTAACCTTCACCACAAGATTGGCATTTGTGTCGATAACGTAGTTCTTGCCATCGTCGGTGTAGCCCCAAGCTGCTAGGACCGCAGCGGGAGCTAGAAGGAAAGAAGTGAGAGAGATGAGCTTCATATTCAAAGAGTGTGATGCCAAAACTGGTCAACGGAAAGAACAAATGGAGAGGCCCTGACTGAGTTTCCACAGCCTTGACTTGAGAAAGGAAACGATCTGCCTAGAAACACTCCTCTTATATCCCTTTCACCCCATGCTCACGATCCCTTTCTCTCGGTATACCCATGCCGTTCAGATTGCTGCACGAGGCTGTGGCTGCTGAAAATGGTATTCGCCTTACCCAAACTGCTTATTTTCCGGTTCGAATCGCGGACGGCCCATCGAAGGATGCCCACTTGAGTAAATCCCATGTCGCGCGACAAGCCAACACCATCCGTCCTTTCATTTGACATCTATGTTCGGTAGGTGGAACATCCCGCGGAAGTTTTCTGATTGGTCAACCGAGTCATGATGTTTCATAAAAGGCATGTGGAGATCACAGGATCTACAGGGATCTTGATCCTTCTTACCACCCTCTAGTCTAGTTCCCGTATACAGAACGGTCTTCTGAGCCATCTCCTTGATGGCGTGGGTTTGCGAACCCGAGCTTTGATGGCCCAGAACTATTGCCTTATATATATACCACTGACAAGCTTTCGGAGCACCAATTCATCAGTGTCCGCGGAACCGGCAAAGCACCGAACGTGCTGTGCTAGCAGTGGCAACGGCATGACGGTTTCTTGAGAGAAAGATCCAAAAAGAATCTATAACCCAATACGTGCCCGCGCTGGCAACAATACGGACCATACCGTTGGTGCATCGAGGATTGGCTAGGCGAACAAGGTGTGTGCTTGCAATTCGGTGAACACCAAAATCAAGCCGAGAGCTTCCGCATCTAATCGGAACAAGTCTTTACGTGATAGCCTCTTTGTATCTGGGCACCGGGTCGCAAGTATAACAGCTAATGTCGTGTTATCGGCCCTGAGAAGCTTCTCTTAAGAAGTCAATATCTTTCGGAGTCTTCATCGGTGGCTTTGGACTAGTAACAATATACAGCCCTTCCATATCGGCCCTTGATCTCAACCAATATAGAACCCTGCACGTAGCACTACTATGCAAATAAGAGGTAGTAGTACTTTTTAGGACACGAGACCCCGACTCATCCGAGACAGTTACGCTGCAGATGAACTGGCGATGTCAGGAATCAACCATCTTGAGGTATTAATAGGAAAAATCCATAACGTGCGCACCAATCTGTCCAGCTATCGTAGTACCAAGAGCAATAGAGACATAATGCAAGCTGAAGTATCACATGAATCTACAAGTAGGAAATCTCTTTAATACAAGCAAAAAGCCATTGTTCTGGTACTTATATCTGTAATGTACTATTAAAATGTATAGCAAGAGCATGATCTCTGTACTTGCGGCATCGCTTGGCGTCACCACCTCTGCCCTTCCCAGTCCTACAAAAGAAACTATTTTCAGCAACCCAGTCGACAAACGTCAACCCCAAACAGCCCTGTTGAGCACCTCCATTTGTCCAGTCCATTTGAGGGTCGCTGTGTAGCTACCACTATCTCTCCTAGCCTAACTCCTTCTCCAGATACTTTTCTGCGCCGTCTCCTCTAGCGAGATGACGCTCTGTGCCCGGGCTGTGGAGACGAGTCCTCTTCAACTCCGCTGCCAGGTCGTGGAGGAAAGCGTTCGGATAGATATCCGGTCCATACATCAAAGGAACAATGTAAGCGTACATGTCCACAAGCAAGCGGTGCATGGGACATCCTGACAGTGTTCCATCGTACACGGTACGAATACAGGTTAGACTTGCTGGTGAACAGAATCTGTAGTAGTTCCCACAGCGTGACTTCCAATCAATGTTCATGAATGCCTCGATGATAGCGTTCTTCGCATGAGTATCCTCGACTCTCTCTGCGAAGATGTGAGTTTGGCTTGACGCGCCTGCTCTTCAAGCTCCGTAATCGGCGAGGGGACTGTATCAGGCTCGATAGCCAAAGGCAGTCGATAGACGCACTGGAGATACAGCTCTACCGTGTCACTTTCGTCCTCGGGTAGCTTGATGGTGCTCTCCTCTGCTTCCTTCCAAGCACCTGATAGCGCTTTCTTGAAGAAGAGCGAATGTGAGGTGAGGTGTGTGCTGTATACATGGAACGTGTGTAGGTGCTCACCAGTACCAGCATCGAAATCTGGTTGTGAAATGGTAAGCACACGCGATATACTTAAGAGCGTACGACTCACTCCATTCCCTTGCAGCGCGAGATAGTCATCTCGGCACCTGGCATCGTCATCGTCTTTGGTATATATACGCCTGACCTAAGATGCGCTCAAGGTGAGGCAGGTGGTTGAGAATAAGTCTAAGGCTGCGGAACATAAGTAATGAAGGCGCGGTGAGTTAGTTAAAGCTAGTGAAGGCGTCATGAGTCAGTGGAGAGGTTGCACTTGATCCTAATAAGAAGTGTGGGTAAACGGCCGCCAAACTCTTGTTTCCGCTTTCTCAAAGGCGCGACGGATGACTCCAATTATTTTCTTGAAATACATAGCATGTGGATGGTGATACACCATCATATAGCTTTTTAATAAACTCCTTCCAACCTATCATAACCACAGAACGCTTCGTGGATACCCTCATCTCTCATGTTCGCTCAATGTACTGCAAAAACTCGTTGTTGCGATTCCACCATGGTGTTGGTTTTCTCGGCAGAATTAGGTATCATGCACGACCGGGGTTTCCATGAATCGAGTGACGTCTGCTGTGTTGACCAAACCTAACCGTGGTTTTCGCAGATCCAAGACACTCTTCAACAGTGCCTCCATGAACTCGCAAGGAAACTCGTGGTATGAGTCTATCCAAGAACTAGCAGCATCCATGGTATATAACTCCACGAGTAGCTTGCGCATCTTGGAACCTGAAGGAGTACCATCGTAGATGATGCGTATGAAATTGTAACCTGGAGCGTAGACACTGCCGCCGGCTTGCTTGAACCTGGAGGACGCGATGACTGCATTTATAGTCTGATTTTTAGCCTCCATATCCTGCAGTTTCTCTGCGAGAACATAGAGTTTGGCAAGCTCAGCCTTTTCCAGAATGCTTCTGGGATCGTCTGAGGGTAGTTCACGAAGGACCGCAACACGACCAGTATACAGAAGATCGACGTAGAGCTGGAAAGTGACCGGATCGTCCTCGGTAAGTCTGACGACGCGACTCTCTGCCTCGATCCATGGACCCTCCATAGCCTTCTTGAAAAATTGCGAACGCGTCGTTAGAAGACTCTCGTGGACAAAAAAACATTGGTGGATGTCCGGGCAACCGACATGCACCTGTACAATTCTGCTGTAGCTACGGTGAGGAGTCAACCTAAGTATCGTCGTTAAATATGGTTCATTTACTCTTTCCTATCGGTCCGTAGCGACCGAAGATCCACGACTGCAATTACAGTAGTTGCAGGCGTTGCAGTAGACTCAGTACTCCGCGAAGCCATAGTGAGTGGGATTGGTGTGACAGCCGTATCTGTTGACAGCGTGGGTGGTGGGAAGGAGGATTGGGCTAATCAATTAGAAGAGGAAGTATCAATCGTTATAAGGGCAGGCATGTAATCCGTCCTGGTCTCCCGGTGAGGGGCAAACGGTACGAGATCTCACCCTCACCTTCATATTATTTTCTCTGCGTGAAGTGCGAACAGCTGCAGAATGCACACGCCATAACGTCCGATATCAACGTCGTGTAAATATCCTGTGGAACGCCACCACTGCCTGTGACCTTTGCTTACGTCGAACCCACCGCCCTCGGTGAGCTCTTCATTCTTTTCTGCACCCTCCCCCAAACCACCTCAGTCTTCTTTCCATCCGAGAATATGGCATCAGGTGGCGCCTGCCCAGGATCACAATCCCAACACTCTCCTCCTTTCGTGCTTTCTATCTCAGTCTGTAAAGTGCATTCTTTGCCCCGGTGACAAGAGCGCTTGACCCAAAAGTGGTGTTTGCAGGTGACGTGCTTCAGGGTGAAGTTGGTGCACATCCCTGATGCTTGTACCCTCCTATCCACCTTTCCACGCTGTCCCTGCTTTTGTAGTGTTCCCTTGCCTTCTCCACTGCTAAAACTCGCAGGCGCTCTTTCCTGAACTTCGTGTACGACAGGTGGAGTCCGAGAACTCCGGAACGCGCTGCAAAATGATCTCAGATCGTGCTCATCGAACGTTATTGCCCAACTTCATGCAGATGAGGTGATGTGAGTTCGTATGAGAGGATATAGCATAGCATGATCGCGAGTGGAAGGTCCAATCGTGCTCGTGTTAACGTTGTGGTCAAGAACGTTATCGAACTTGTGCGGTCTGCCTCTTTCTGGAGCCTTTGGGTTCTGACCTCGAATTCGATCGTTGATTTTCCAAGCGTTTGGCGGTTTGTGCGGGGATCGTTGTATCCGTAATCGACCGTGGCAGGGTGGTTTCAACGTGGTTCTGTACCGCAAGCTTGAACCAGCAATAGGCGTACGGTACCCGCCACTTCCGAGAAAGACTGTCAAAAAACAATGCCCTTGAAAGATTCGGCCCTAACTCCAGTAATCGACTTCGTATGTTGAAAAACGAATTTCGAAAATTCCCCTCTTACGTCACAGGGTACTCTCGGGGAAGGCACCACCGGTGGTGTTGACATTGCTTGCATGACCAGGGCTTGAACGCCCTCTTAAACCTTCCAACCTCACTCCTCTCAATTAATGTCCCACTTCTGACTAAGCCTGCACCAAGCCATTCGAGGTCACCATAAATCAGGCTTTGATCCTGGGCCGAAGCGCGATCGCCGATTCACTTCTGTGCAGGGCTGACAACCGTTGGTTGCGACACCTCACAGAATGCCCAAAACACGCGACATTCGACCCATTCAACATCCGCACAACGTGTTTAGAGCTATTTGAGAACCCTCACGGCTGTGTGTCTGGTCTCTAACGCTGCCCTGCCGTCTTACAGTGTACGCCAACAGTGCCTCGTGTCAGACCGTCGATTCCGATCTCGCACAGCTGCAATAAACGAATCGTATCGTGCCCCTCCGGAGACTCCACTCGAACCGCACACACCGTAGCGGATGCAGACGTTGCACTGCATGTCGAAGGCTCGTGGCCATCCACCTCCTTCATCCGGACCAACCGAAGAAGAAAAAGCAGTCTGGATAACGCCCAACGACCGTCCCATTGGCCAAATCATTCAACTTCATGCTCAGGGTCCTCCAACTAGCGAGATTGTTGAAGTTTCGTGCGAGCTATCTTCCTTAGTGGCGATTATCACCAGGGCAAGATGGACCCTGAACGACAGGGGTCGCGGTGGTTCGAGGACGAGCGTGCCGAAGCCGAGCCCAATGCGAGTTAGAGGCCCCGCCAGCATACAGAAGATGCAGAAGCCATCTGCCTGAGGCAATCATCGTGAAAGCAACTCCTTTCGGGGTTGAATGGCGCTGTTCAAGATCTTCAAAACTGTTCCCGAGATACTGATGCCAGCAGAGACCCACCGATACCCCGGCATTCCATCGTGTAACGAAGATCCCATATTCTCATAACTCTGATCCCCAGTGTCACTTTCGATCTTATGATCCTTGGGGTCTTGGCACTAGTCGTTGCGAATCGCCGCTAAATCCTCCGAGTGCTCAGCTTCAGAAGCGCGAAAGAGAGCCAAATTGAGCTACTGGATACCGTAGACTGGAACTCCTTCAACGATGAGCAAGCTGAAACACCAAACTTATGTGCTTGAGTCAAGACGAAAGAACGATAGGCTAGTCGAAGTACTCGTAGCTGTTGATACACGCCTCACCTAGAGCTTCATAGAATTCGTGGTAAGAACTCGAAGTCATGGAACAACACTGCGTGGAGAAGGCAGATCGGATACGCATCAGGTGCACAGATTTGTCGTTCTAGCGAGAACAATGATCGCGCTTACATGTCCAGCCGACCTGTGTCACCTCACTTCAGCTGTCAGTGATCTAGGCTTTCAGGACAGTTTGAATCGGTGTAGCTACTTCGACATGCTGTCGCATGTCAGCACAGTCAACACACTTCACAGGATACCCACCAACAGAAAAATCATGCCGATCCGCCTTGATGAACTCAAGTCTTATTTTGTATACGAGGTATTGTACAACTACTATCTCAAGCCGACCCAATGTCGTCCATCTCCTGTAGTCTATCGAAGCCCAGCCTTTCATGCCCTCGACTGGAATACAGCCAAATATACAGGTCATGGTACATACACACTAGCCCCAAGAGTCCCGTGTCCATACTCTTACATCTTGTACCACTGCCAAAGGCTCCTCCTCTGCTCCGCCTCACTCTTCTCAAGCACGTCAATCCCTCTATCCACACACGCACGCAGCAACTCCTGCTTCGACAGCGCCTGCGCCCCACCGTCGCGCCTAATCAACTCATCGTCCTGCGTCAAATACGCCAACGTCTTGCTCACATTCCGCTGCAGCAGCCACTTCGGCGGCGTCAGATACAGCCTGTCCAGAATCCGCGGATGGCAGTCCAACCGCGCACTCAACAACAGCAAATGGAACAACCCCAGATCCCCCGCCGCACCCGGCGGCACAATCGCACTCGCCATCGGCACGCCCCCCGCCTTCCCCACCTTCGCCTCCGGACTCAGCAGCCCCTCGGCCGCAGCGCCGAGCCGGATCGCACTCTCATCAGTCCTAGGCGTGCGGTCCCTGCTCTGCAGCCGCAGCGCATGCGTCGCGATCCTGCTCAACCGCTCGCGCCGCCCCTCTTCCTTCAAGCGCAGCACCCGCGCCACCTGCGCCGGGATCCGACACGCCTCCGGCACCACGGGTGTCAAGTACACGACAATCAGCGGCAGCCACTCGCCCAGCGCCAGGATCAAGAAGCCCATGACCGGCAGCCGGATTAGGTCCCTCTTCGACCGCCGCGCGACCTGCCACTCCGCGCGCGTCAGTAGCCCCGCGCCCGGCGCATCGCTCTGCACGCCCCGCCCCTGGCCGCCCGTTTTCGCGCGCACAGATTTTGCGTACTTCAGCGTCTGTCGCGTGTGCGAGATGCCGGTCTTGTAGAACGCGATATACGCTTTTCCGCACGCGAAGAGGTACGGGATGTACGCTTGCCCGGGTTTGCGCGCAGGGACGGAGAGGTCGGGCGGGTAGGTGAAGGGCGGGGGGTTGAGGGGGTCGTTTGTGGACGCGGGAGTTGGCGACAGTGCTGCGGGCGCGGGGGCGTGCTTCGCAGGAGAAGACGAGTGTTTCGCGGCCGAAGGCGCGCTGTGGTGTTTCGCGGGCGCCGCGGGCTTCGTGGTCGGCCCCGGCGTGTGCGGTTTCGCGGCGGACGGTTTCGCGGGTGCTGGCGGCGGCATCGGGTAGCGGATCTTCGACGCCGACGCCGTGGAGGTAGACGCGCATCGCGACAGCGCATACGGCGTCCCCGCCGCGCGCAGAAAAGACACTTGTCTACATTGCAACTGCGCTCTCGCGCGCGGCGCACCGAGCGCAGCAAACACAGGCCGAGGCTTCATATCGAATATGCGCGAGCGAGCTGTATCGCGGGAATTGCGAATAGACGTTGTGCAGAGCGCGAGGGGAGGCGTTGAGAAGTAGTCGTCACAGACGCGGATTTCCGCCCGTCACAGCGACGGCGAAATTACGCGGTCATGGGTGACGTCTCGATGCGCGACGGGCCGAATCCCTGCCAGCGATCCCGGGCACCGCGGGCGGCGCGCGCGATGTCATCACACCGCGCGACGGCGCTAGGCCGGGACGGGAACTGGGACTACACGTCTACCCTCAAGACCATGTTACGGGGCATACATGTCTGTCCTCGCGTGTGCGGTGGTTCGCAGTCGGTGACGGGATGTAGGGCAGTGCAATTGTGGAAATATGAAGTATGGGGGCACGCAGACAGTGTGGAATCGCCTCTGAATTCGCCTACACGGGACTTACAACCTTTCATCCACCATCCACCGTACCATTTACCCACCCACCACCCACCACCACCTACCACTCATCCACACCCACGGTCCATCGTCTATCATCCACCATCCACAACCCCATATCGCTAAAAACCCAGCGCTAAAACCCAAGCAAAACCGAAACTGCAAGTGCGAAAGGAAGAAAACGCCGGGGACATGCATGCACCCAAAACCAACGCTGGAATGCCGGCAAAACGCCTGGAAAAACAAGAAAGCGGGGAAGTATTTTATGCATGGAAGTACAAGGTGCGCCGACGCGGATCGCGGGCGGACAGACCGGGGGGGGGGATGCTGCGGAGACAGCGAGAGGAGAGCTGCGGGTGGAGTGGAGGGGAGTGGGCTGACAGACGAAGGGGGAGGACGATGCGCAACGAAGAGCTGCGGGGCGACACGCGAGCACGCCTCGCATCAAACGAGCGCAGACGCACCGCCAGGCTCGCGCGCAGCCAGCGGCTTTGGAATCTTGACCAGCACGAACGTGCCCCCAGGCAGATCGCAGAACGGCATGACCGCCACGCCCTCGATCCTGCACGCGTCAATCAACATGCAAGACAGGAACGCGGCATCAGCGCTGGTACTTGGCCAACTGCGCCATGATCTCGCTCATATCGGGCGCCGCGCTGGACTGCTGAGCTGGGGGCTGGACAGGCGGGGCGGCGGGCTGTGACTGGCCTCCGAGCATGGCGGCGAGCGCGGAGTACTGCGGCTGGCCGAGCTGGGGCTGGGCGGCGGGGCTGAAGCCGGGGGTCTGGCTGGGGCTGGAGACCTGGGCGAGGAGGCGGGCGAAGTCGGCGTTGAGGCCAGGTGTGGTGGGCGCGGTGTTCTGAGGCGCGTTGTGCTGCTGCGACATGGCGCCGAGCAGCTGGGAGAGCGTGCTGGGGTCGAGCGAGGAGATGATGTTGGAGATGTTGGGCTGGGCGGCTGGTGCAGCCGGGAAGGGGTTGGAAGCAGGTTGGGCGTACTGCGGGATGGCCGGGTTGTAGCCGTAGGCGGGAGCAGGCGGTTGCGCTGCTTGGGCTGTCTGCTTTGCGTTGTTGATGAGCATCGCACATGTGATGAGGTCGAGATCGGCATATTCTAGGATCGTTAGCGGCGGACGTTATAATCCTGAAGTGGAGCTCACCATTGAACTGAACATTTCCAGCCCCACCACGTCGATCAAAGACTTGTACATTGACCTTTCCCTTAGAAAGCGATCCTGTGTCGAGCCTTACAATAGCCAGGACCCCCTCGATAATTTGTCTTCGCACGACTGCTGCCTCCGGTAGACGCGGGCTCATTATCAGGACGTTGCAGCGCAAATTCTGGGTGCGGAATGTATCCTCAACGTATCGAATGAAGTCACTGTGCGCGTTAGTGATTGCATTTGGACTTGAAATTAAGGCACTTACCGAGGAAGTCCTTCGTTGAGTACCAGAACCTGAATATCAGGAACGTCTTGTGCTGCCCTACGAGGCAGAGCCAAGTCGTCATCAGGGTCACGTCTTGGTGACGGACTCCTGTACCGACGAGGTGGCGTTCGTGATCGACTGCGGTACCGACCATCATATCTGTCGCGGCTCCTGTCTCTTGATCGCATGCCTCGCGGCGGGCCACGAGGTGAGGGTGAGCGCATGGGCCGGTAATCGTCTCGGTCGCGGAAACGCCTATCGCGGTCTCTCGGCGAGATGGAGTTCTGCGGTCCTCCGTATCTTCCATCCCGTGAAGGTCCAGTGCCGCCTCTGTTGTAATCGGGAGACCTTGAACGTTGACGGGGTCTAGCGTTGGCGGCTGAATCAGCCTTCTTTGTGTTGCGTTGCGGTTTGGATATTTCCAGGTCTGCTGTTGTTAATACACGCCTATAATTACGACTGCCAGCACTTACGCATTTTCCTACCACGCACAGCCTGCCCTTGTTCCGTGTCCAGCGCTCGTCGACATGATTCGGAATCCAAGAACTGAACGAATCCGTATGCTTGTTTGATCGAGATCTGGGCCAGCTTGCCGTGTCGGTAGAATCGGTGGAAGATGTCGCGTTTCGTGACTTTCTCGGTGGGCAGATTGCCTGATGTATGTTAGAGAGATTATAATAGGAATTGAGGATGCTCACCGATGAACAGTCGCGAACCCATTGGAAACTGGTCCCATTGCCCTTCAGTAACAAACTTCCTCTCTTGATCAAGAAAAGCCTCGTATAGCCTGTTCACCTCGGGCCCCCATCGTATATCCTCGTCATCTCCCGGCGATGAGCTCCGCTGGGGCTGCGTCTGGCCAGCGCCCGGCGCAGGTGAGCTCTGGGCGGCCATTGGCGGCGGCTGCTGGCCCCCCACGGACGGAGGCTGCGACTGACCGTTGGCGCGCTGCTGCGTATTAGGCGGCATCTGGCTGCCGGGATGATAGGACCGGATATCATCGCTGGGGTCATAGTTGGGATGTGTGGCAGGCTTGTCCTGCGCAGGCGGCCGCGGAGGCAGGTTGGACGCCGGCTGGGGTAATGAGGCGGAGGCGCTGCCTTGCGGCTGGGCAGACGGAGACAATTGGGAGGCATAGAGGCCGGGGGGCGCATTGTTTGCAGAAGGCGTCAAAGAGTCCAACAAGGCTTGTACGTCAACATGGCCGGCCGCAGCGGCGTCAGTCTGATAGTGCGCGCCTGGGGCAGACTGGGCATAGGCGGGCTGGGCGTACGCATTATTATGGGCAAGAGGGTACGCAGCGTGGATCTGAGGGGCAGCTTGGGCGTCATGGGCGGACGAGGCGCCTGAGTGGTGCGGTGCAGAATAGTTCTGGATTGTAGAGGTATCTTGCGTCTGCGTACCCGATGCGCCGAATGCCGAAGGCGCGCCCGGCGCATAGCTCCCAGCGGCCTGCGCGCCTACATCGTGGAAGCCGCGCGCGTGGTCGGCCAAGTGCGGCGCGCTGTTCGACGGGATGCTCAGCGTGTGCGACGCGGCCGAGGGATACTGCGGCGCTGGCGAGGCATGCAGGGCGGCGTAGGCAGACTCGTCAAAGGCCGGGTCCATCTGCTTGTCAAGGCTCAGGATGGGGATGTTCGCAGGCGACGGCACCTGCTGCGGGCGCGGCGACTCGGGCGTCAATTGCTGATGGCGGACGTGCTCGGCTTGCTGTGGCGGGCTGTAGGTCATGTATGCGGAGAAGGCGCAGGGCTCAGGCAACCGGAGCAGCCTAGTCAACTATGGCAGCGCGTACAGACACTCGTCGCAGAGACTGGCAGTGCTGGCGGTGCGGGCGGTGGAGCCGTGCGAAGATTCGCGACCGACGGCGAAATGCTGCAGCTGGGTAAAGGTGGGGCGCAAGGAGCTAGACGTGCAGCGATAAGGGCAGACAGCAGCGAGCGGGTGCAGAAGGGGGCGGCAGCGGGCGCAGTGCAGTCATATGGAGTCTGATGGAGTGTGGAGGCAAGAGCGAGGGCGAGGGCAGGCGCGGTGCAGCAGCTGGTGGGCGACACAGAGTGGGGATGAATGACAATCACGGCGCGCATCGTCCTTCGGCGGCCTTTTTCCTCAGAGGCAGCTCTAGACTATACATCTCGTGACGGCGCTAGTGGCTTGCGCAATGACCGCCCGCTCCGTGGTCTGCGATGTGAAATCACCATGACCAGCCAACATGCTCCTCCTGCGCTGCCGCCGTGTCCTCGGCGCTGCCACCCTCGCACGCACCCCGCAGGCCGTGCGACGCCGCTGGTCGTCGCCGCGTGCTGGCAGCAGCAGTGTCAGCGACGACGAGCTGCAGCGCGCGCGGGCCTGGCTGGCAGCGCTGCATGCAGACGTGATCCCACTCAAGACCATTGGCGAGTTGAGTTTCAGCAGGTCTTCCGGCCCGGGCGGGCAGAATGTGAACAAGTGAGACCGATCACGTCCCGAGCAGAAAACGGCGCGCTATACTGAACATGCACACAAGAGTCAATTCTAAAGCTACTTTGAGAGTACCCCTCGCCGCCCTCCTGAGCCATGTCCCCACAGCTCTCCATGCTGCCCTGCGCGGCTCGCGCTACGTGACCCCCAAGACCCTCGATATGGTCGTGCAGGCCGATGACAGTCGCAAGCAGAGCGACAACGCGCAGGCCTGCTACAAGCGCCTGTACGCCGCAATTGTCGACGCTGGCCGCGATGCTGTGCCAAACGAGGCCTCCGCGGACCAAATGCGCCATGTCAAGAATCTGTGCGTAGCCGCCTGCGTGCACGCGCACTGCTCGTCTGCTGACTATCTACACCGCAGGCAAAAGGCCGACAACGAGCGCCGACTGAAAAGTAAGAAGCAGCAAAGCGCCAAAAAGAGTTCGAGAAGAGGCCGTGGAGACGACTGAAGCGGCCAAGCATGAATTGGCCACAACGAGGTCGTGTCCGCTCGGCTAGCCGCTCGCACGTCTGCGAAGATCCTGCGTACAGCTGACGTGGTAAAAATTCAGTGCAAGTGCAGCCGGGCACGACCCACGATGATTCTCTTGTTGTAGCAGCAGCGGTGAAGTCGTGGCGTCCGGACCGATCACTGGCGACGTGCCGACATGCAGGGTATACCTAGCGTGCCGTATCTTCTGACCCTCATGTTTCTAGAGCGGCCCTGATCTCCTGCAGCTCTTCATTGGCGGACCATGTCTTGATACTCAATGGAAGCAACGCTTGTGCATCGTCTCTTTTCCCTTCCTGCACTAACGCCCTCGCCAAACCTGCAACCCTGTCTCCATCGGTGCCTCCCAGCGCCTTCAGGTACTTGCGGAGCGTGGACCTGATTGCCTTTTGCAGAGCGGGGTCAACATCGGCAGATGAGCTCTGGATGGTCAACAGTTGACGGACAGCGACTTCGGCTAGTCGAGTAACCTCACTTGGGTAGCTGTCGATCGCTGAGCTGATAGCGTCAAACGCATCCCCAAGCACAACAGGAAACTCCGGGCTGGCAGCATATTGGCCAAAGAGCTGCATCTGGAACTGGCAGATGGCATTTTCGACAGCCTTTGGGTGGGCCTGCTGCAGGTAATCGAGGACATGCTGCAGGATGCGCGGAATGCAAGCCAATTGGTCGAACTCGGCGAACATGTTGAAGAACTTCTCCACGACCTTGGGCCTGTTCTGGAACTGCTTCATAGCCGAGTCGAAGATGGCCAGAGGAATTGCACCTGTCAGCACTGGCGCCGAAGCCAAGTTCTGCAGCGCCACCTCGTCCACGCCGTCGTCTTGCTTCAGGCTGGGGTTGATGTCCTCTGCCGTCACGTCGGGGAGCGCAATCATGTCGGTGTCCTCGTCATCGGTCGGCTGCTTCTTGGTACGGTCGATGTCCAGACCCAGAATCTTCCTTCGGCCGGCGATCTTGCCCACGTAGATGGTCTCCAGCTTGGCATAGTCCAACCAAATCTCCTCCGAGTTTTTGCAAAATCGCAGTCCTCGCTGCATGTAGCTCCTTGCATTGGTGATGTCCGCCTGGGTGCCCATGAAGTAGTTGGCAGCAAGCGTCCACAGCTCAGGCTTGGTGGGGTGGAGACGGACGACTGAGGTGAAGATATCGCTCAGGCGCCTGTAGGCCTTGTCCTTGCGCGCAAATTCTATGTAGTGCAGCCATAGCGTCAGGTCCCCGGAAAACTTCTTCGTGGCGCGGTTGTAGAGGAAGTAAATGCTGCGCTGTCCGGCGCCCTTGTGGCGGATGCCCAGTCGTTTTGTTCGCTTCTGGCGGAGCGCGTCGACGTTCTTCTCAAATTCGATGTATCGCATGTAGTCGCTTGGGTGGGAGCCGCGGGCGTTTATGATGTGCTCAAAGTCTGAGCGCTTCTTGGCTATCGCTTTGATCTCATCCTGCAGAGCGTCAGCTACACGCAATATGCGCTGTGTGGGGTCTTCGAAACTCACTCTTGTGAAAATCTTCTTGCGCTCGAGCTCGTTCAGCTCTGTCGCGCTCTGCTCCAGGAAGAAACGCGCCTTGTCACTGGGGCCGGCCATGTTCGCGGTGGTGTTTTGCTGCAGCAGCGGCGATCGCAAAAAAGTTGCGGAGCTCAAATCCAAAGCCGTTGGACCGTTGCCAGCCAATCACCACGCCGGCTTGGCCCGCAGCCATCAACCCTGACCTCACACCAGCGCGGCGTCAGGAGAACGTCGCGTGTCTGCATTGGCATCTTCTTGCACACATTCGTTCCTTTCGTTCGTTCGCTTCTTGCTTTGGGTACTCGCGCAAAGTCCCAATTGATTCGCCATGGCGCCAAAATTCAGAGACGGCGACACGGTCGCATCTGTAGGTGCTCATTGCACCTCCGCAGCTCTCCGCAAGCTCACGGCCAGCAGTTCAATGGAAAATGGGTCTCTTATGCGCACACCGCTATGGCCTATGGTGAGTTCTGTAACTCCTGTACCATGATACTTCTCTGACGCTTTACAGCTGCCTTTGTTGGTGCCCTCATCGTTGGAATGTACAACCACCCCTCCACCAACAGCCTCGAGCACGACTGAGCATAGACAGACGGTTGCACTACCACAAGATTGTACAGAATGAGATCGCAGTAAGTGCATGTCGTCAATGTCTTGAAGCTATACCAACAAGTGCAGGGCTACCCAGAGGAATGGTTTCCTTCCGTCTCTGCCACCATTGGCGACCGTTATCCCGAGCGATCCGTCTTCATGCTCTTCATTGCCCTCACGTCCGGTACGCCTCTGACCAGATCACACAACACATAGACTGATTAGAATCAGGCCCTCGACTTGCGCTCGTTGGTCTTTGGTACATCCTGACCCGTCGACCCAACTCAGCCCTCCCCAAATTCGTTGCCGGCGTCGGCGTCTTCCGAACCTTGACCTGTGGAGGATGGACCTATGTCACGTCGACTGATGACCACGACTGGCACGATATCTTCATGATCTCGTATTTGGTGGCTACTCTGCCCTGGACTCTTGGCTGCCTCGCTCTGAGCCCACGCAACCCCACCGCCATCAAGTACCGCAAGCTGTTTGGCGGATCCTTCTTCTTGACACTTGTGCCGTTGGTCTACTTCTTCATCCAGCACAAGGTGCATCGCATTCCTGGAGGTACGTCAACCGAGATCCTGGCCCAGTCTTGAAGCCCTACTAACCAGCTCAGCGTACACAATCTATGCCTTCTTCGAATGGACCCTCGTTCTGCTCGATGTGGCATTTGACGCAGTCACAATGGTCGAATTCGCGAACTTCGAGATTGTTGTAAAGGATGTCCGAGGTGTATCTCGCGGGTACGTTTCACGGCTTCCATTATAGATAGACGTCCCGCACGAATGCAAATGTTCTACGACCACGTTCTGATTCGCTGCATCTTTAGTGCTGGCACCAAAGCCGTCTCCGACGCTGTTCTCGAGAAAGAGTACGTCCACCAGGCCCAATCGCGAGCCTGATATCTAATCACCGAACAGGAAGGAGAAGGAGATCGGTGCCGTCTTCTCTGGTGCCTTTTCTTGGGTTGGTCTCCTCGACGCAGCTGCTGATGTCTACACTGGCGTATGTTCGATCCCTCATTTCTAGTCACCTAAGAATACTAACAACAGCAGTTTGTCTTCTGGTCTATGCTGACTGCCCTCGGAGTGTGCGTCTGGTGTAAGTGCAAATGTAATGACATATGGTCATGGCTGACATCACAGACTTCCCCCTCTGGCACATGGGCATCTCTGGCTACGAGGTCATGGTCATGAGCACCGTTTCTCCTTTCTTGCTCTGCGTGCGGTCATTCCGCTTCCTCGTCGTTCGCCATGTCCGCATCTGCCACTTGTTGTCGCTCTCAGGCCTGCTCTCCTTCCTTGCCAAGTCGCCTGAGAACCGTCTGTTCTCCGCTGGTTTCGGTGTATGGATGGCCTGCTTGTCCTGGGCTGCTACATTCTACGGAGAGAGGTCGCAGCCTCACCGCCTGGAGGCCCGCATCTCAGCATTCTCGCTTGGTCTGGTCGCATCCAGCGTTGCCAAATTCGCCTTCTACACTAACAACCCCATCTGGCCGATCATGCATGAAGCAAACGGCGGCTGGAACAAGACCGGTCTTGGTGTTGCTGTAGTCGCTATCCTGTGGTCGACGAGGTCTACTGCCAGCTCTGGCGCTGATCTCCCAGCTCCTGGCCCCACCAAGGGCTCCTCTACCCTGTCTGCTTTCGGTATCGCTGGCCTCTTTTTCTCTATGCACTCCTTGTTGTCGGATTCCAGCACCATGATCTCATGGGTCTGGGAAGGCTACCCTGTACGAGGCCCGCTCGCCGTTCCCCATGGCGCGGTCACACTTCTCGCCATGGGTCTTGGACTGTCCATTGGTCTGTTCGCACCAAACCTTTCGCGCTCATGGGCCTTCTACGGTGTGGGCTCCATTGGAGCTGCTGTTCTCACCACTTCCAAGCACTGGACTGGGTACTATGGAGCGCTTGTCACTGCCATCTACACTATGGCTGTAGCCCCCACTCTCATCTCCCAGGCCGCTCGCCACTCTCCAGCTAAGACATTCGGTCTTGGATTCTTGGTGTATAACTTCATGGTCCTATTCCATGTTTGGGTCGTCGCCTATGCTTTCGTTCCTGGCGGTCCCCTTGTTCGCGAGCGCACTGACTGGGTCATGACGACAATGATGCTTCTGATTGGCGCAGGTGTTTTCAGCGCGTCTGCTCAGCCGGCTGCTCTGAAGAGCTATAAGGGCAAGCGCACTGTCACTGCTGCTGCTAGCAGACAGCGTTCATACTACCTGTACGTTTTGGGCTTCCTCGAGGTGCTTGCCGTCGCTGTTGCGTACCTTCGCTTCCCTTCTTACAACTACACGCCGTACCACCCCGAGACGAAGTCCATCACAGCTGGTATCTGGACTATTCACTTCTCCCTCGACAACGATATGTGGTCCTCGGAGTACCGCATGCGCGATCTGATCAAAGAACTTGAAGTCGACGTTATTGGACTCCTGGAATCCGACCTGCAGCGCATCATCATGGGCAACCGCGACACTACCCAGTTCCTCGCCGAAGACCTCGGCATGTACGTCGACTTCGGTCCGGGTCCCAACAAGCATACGTGGGGTTCGGCTCTACTTTCCAAGTTCCCTATCGTGAACTCAACCCATCACCTCCTCCCCTCCCCAGTCGGCGAACTGGCGCCAGCCATCGAAGCAACAATCGACGCCTATGGAACGCTTGTAGACGTCTTTGTCTTCCACTCCGGCCAGGAAGAGGACCCCGAGGACCGCAGACTGCAGAGCGAGTACCTCGCCAAGATCATGAAAGCGACACCTCGCCCCGCCATCCTGCTCTCGTACCTTGTTATCAAGCCCGGCGAGGGCAACTACAACACCTATGTCGGTGAGAAGAGCGGCATGAAGGACATCGATTCCAGCGACTGGGACAGGTGGTGCGAGTACATTCTCTACAAGGGCCTAAAGCGCACGGGATACGCCCGTGTGTCTCGTCACACCATCACCGATACGGAGCTTCAGGTAAGCGCTTCTCTCTCCGCTGATGCAGGAAAAGTAATGCTAATATACCACAGGTCGGTAAATTCGTGGTTGATCAGCCCGAGAACGGATACGATTACATTCCTGAGGAGCAGGTTGTGCCGGGCCTGCGCTTCCCGGATCTGTTCAAGGGTGAGGGTGTCAGGGGCCATAAGTACCATGTCTTCAATGAGCCGAGGTACTATGCTTAGGATGGAGAGGGTTCCTGGGTTGTCAAAAGAGGGGTGCCCGTTCTTGAGGGTTGAGTGGGTGTATATGTAGTATAGTGTAGCATATGCTGATTCCTTTGTTCGACAGACATGGCTTTGTGAAGTGGTACTATTCGAATAGAGTGACTACAACGCTGTCTTGCTGTATTCATTGCTTGGAAGCTCGAATGTTATGTTCGTTGCGATGGCTTGGGCGGCAGACGTCGACACTATCGATGCTGCGCGATGACGTGATGCCAGCCAAGCATGGCACCAGTGGTGGCATGCACCCGTCGTCTCCATCAACGCAACAATCCCAACTGTACTATCCAGCCTTTGCTTGGATCAATAAGCCGACGCCAATTGCTCGCATAATCACCTACCAAACCCTGTACCCACAGGGCGTGCTATCTACACCAGCCCCGCAGCTCCACCCGGTACGCCCTACATGTAGATCCCGCGAACCGCATATGAACCCGTATAACCAACCCAACTCGCCACCAAACCCTAACAACAACCAGCACCACAAGTTAATCATGGCGTCTGAGCTCCCCAGGAAGATTCTAATCTTCGGTGCAACCGGGCTCATCGGCAAATATATCATCCAGGAGATTGTCAGCGCGCAGCCGCCGTTTGAGAAAATCGGGCTTTTTACGTCGCCCGCTACGGTGGAGAAGAAGGCTGAGGAGATTCAGGGGTGGAGGGAGAAGGGTGTTGAGGTTGTTGTTGGGGATGTGAATGATGAGGGGGATGTTAGGGACGCTTACAAATGTACCCCCCCCCCCATACGCATGCCAGACACACAAACATACCACCATAAACACCCACGCACAAGCTGTAGCTCTTACTGACCACCCCGCCCAGCCTACGACACCGTCATCTCCGCCCTCGGCCGCAACGCAATCCTAACCCAAATCCCCCTCCTCCGCCTCGCAGCCCAATCCCCCTCAATCCGCTACTTCTACCCCTCCGAATACGGCACCGACATCGAGTACTCCCCCGCCTCCGCCTCTGAGCCCCCGCATCAGCTCAAACTGCAAGTCCGCGCGTACATCCGCGAGCAAGTCCAGGACCTGAGCGTCACGTACCTAGTCACCGGCCCGTACTCGGACCTCTACTTCGCGCCCAGCGGCGCGGGCGCGGGCTCCTTCGACCCGAAAGCGCGGCGCGCGACGCTGCTGGGTACCGGCGAGGAGAAGGTGAGTTTCACGACGATGCGGGACGTGGGGCGGCTGCTGGTTGCGGCGCTGCGGATGCGGGCGCATGGCGCCGAGAGGGTGTTGAAGGTGAATTCGTTTACGGCGACGGGGAGGCAGGCGGTTGCGGAGTTCGAGGCGCAGACGGGCGGGGCCTGGGAGGTGGATTATGTGGGGCTTGAGGAGCTGAGGGCCAGGGAGAAGAGGGCGTGGGAGGAGGATAAGCCAACTAAGACGGTGTTTACGCTGAGGCGGATTTGGATCGAGGGCGGGACGTTGTATGAGAGGAGGGATAATGGTGAGGTGGGGTTGGAGGAGGGGCTGGAGACGCTGGCGGATCAGGTGAGGGATGTCATTGCGAGGTACGGATAGGTGGAGGCAGTTGATTGGGTTGGTTGATGGGTGGTGATATCTAGGCTATACTCCATGAAGATCCTTGATGATGAGCTTGATCGTTACAGCTTTATAACTAGTTTTGTTCCACTGACACCCTCTTTAGACAACCTGAGTGCTTCCTGGATATGTTCCAAGCCTTTTCCAACCACGGACGGCGGCGGAAGGCACTTCAGCTTGCCGAACTCCAAAGCAGCCCCGACATAAGCTCTCCAGACAGGACCCGTAGTCTCGTTCACGCCGCCAGACCAGATCATACCAATTTCAACGTTCTCAGGTACCACATCTTCGCCCATATGAGGGTGTGTAAGCGCAAGATGGCCGCCTCCGAGCAGCTCAAGAATCGCCAGATCCTTGGTGATGGTATCAGGGATCGAGATAGCGTCGACGATGCCAACAAACTCTTTTCCCGACTTGCGAACTGCTTCGACAACGTTGTTGACGAGATCAGGATGCTTATGGTCCCAACACTCGGAGGCGCCACTACGCTTCGATAACTCGAAGTTCTTCGCGCCCACGACAGAGATGACGTAAAGTCCGACGGCAGCGGCAAGCTGGGTGGTCACGGAGCCAACGGAAGATGAGCCGCCGTACACGATTATCGCCTTGCCGGCAGAGGGCAGCACGCCGGCCTCCAGAGCGGGGTGGGGTAGCGCGAGTGCGGGTGTGTACACGCCTGGCAAGAAGTCTGGCAGTGGATTGCGCCGGTTGGAGTGCAGGGCAAAAATAGCCGTTTCGAGGGCAGAAGGAAGCACGACACCATCAACGAATGGAACAGATGGCGGTAATCGAGCTGCCTTGTCGACAGAGAGGACAGTGTACAGCTGGAAAGCGCCGTCTTGAGGCCTGCCACTCCACATGGCAATGGCATGACTGTCGATGTCAGTCGTCGGAATATCTCACATTGAGTCGGTGACATACCCAATGACACGATCGCCAATCTTGAAGAGACCAACGTCTGGTCCTGTTTCGTATACCTCGCCAGCCACATCGCAGCCGATCACAGTAGGCCATCGCTTGACAAACATGCCACTGTCCTGCATGTGCCAGTCGACAGGATTCACGGCAATGGCAGCGTTGCGAACCACGATCTCGCCGGTCCCAGCTCTGGGGAACGGAGCGTCTCGAACGACCAAGGGAGCGCCTGGCTCGTCAAGAAAGGCGGCTTTGTTCTGCAAGATGGATTTCATGTCTGCTAGCTGAGTGAATGAAGAAGTATCAAATGATGGGGATTTTTGTTTGTTGTGTGGAATAGCTGTGATAACGAGGTCTGCGGCTGACTTTTATGCATCGTGCACTGCAGTACAGCACATGGTGTTTGGGTCATGATTGGTAAGAGCGTCGGAGGGTAGAGATAGTGGAGACAGTATAAAGCCATGGTTTTTTTGTAATAGTAGGCACTTTGCCTACAGCTTACATAAGTGCAAGAACCTCATGTGGCATTCCCACGTGTGGTGGAGACGCAAGGTAAGTGTGGCCTGGAGCACGTCAAACGGTGTTCCGGAGTCCGGAGGCTTTGTAGTTGTAGTGTGAAATCTGCTTCAGCTCCTGAGTATCAGAAATCGCGATAGTGAGGAGGATGGCTCTTATGTGTCAGCATAATTGGCGGATTGGAGATGTAAGCCCAAGTCCGCCACGTGACAACAATGCTGGGAAACAACATGAAGAACAATCCTAGAATGCTTTCGCCTACAACGTGGCAAACATTAACCTAAGTTTTTAGCTTTGGTTGATATCATGGCTGCAAGTTTGATGTTGGACTTGGTCAGCTTGCAATTGATGGATAGTAAGCAGGATGTGAGGGGAACAGCATGTGTGGTTCTTCGCGGCCCCACTTTTCTCCTTGGAGGTCGTCAGTACCCAGATATCTAATCTACCATTTAACAACATATCTGAACATGTTGTTTCTCCATCACCTTCGAGTATGCCTCCTGTACGACTCGGGCCCAAAGATCTTCTGGAGTACGACGCTAACTACGGAGTGATCATCTGTCGCGAATGCCAATATGCCATCCAGAAGAGCGCCCTCCAAAGCCACTTGCTGCGACACAAAATCTTCCGTCATAAAAGACATAGCCTTCTCAATTCAATTTCTCGGTTTACAATTCTCGAGCCGGAGGATGTAATTCTACCAACACCCGACAGCAAGCCTATTGCAGCTCTACCGACGATCTCGGGCTTTCGCTGCGCAGTCCGGAAGTGCGACAGCCTCTTTGCCAGCGCAAAGCGTATGCGACGTCATCAACTTGAATCGCACGATATTTCTGAGGCCGAATCTTCGGACTCATCTATTCGTCCGGTCACACTTCAGACTTTCTTTCGTGGGACCAAGATCAAGTATTTTGAAGTCACGTCTGCAGGTCGTGCAACGACAACCAGGCCCGCGCCAAAGGCTTCTCGCGAAGATACTGTTGCTGAACATGATCTGGCCGGATCTGAAGGGGAAGATGATTCCAAGTTACCAAACCCTTCAACTACTTCAGCTGCGGACTTCAACTTGCAAAGCCTGGTATACTTCCATCACTTCAAATCCGCAACATGCTCCACGCTGCCCCATCCAGATCCCAAACAACCTCTATACTGGCAAACAGAATTTTTGAGCCAGGCTTTACAACAGAGATGGCTAATGGCTGGCTTATTGGCGCTCTCAGCATCTCACATGGGAGCACTTACACATCAAGCATCCCCTGCAATCGCCCACCATGACCGATCAGTCAAATTCCAAACAGACTTTGAAAACGGCTGGAAAACGAACACACAGGGAGCATTCAACACAAGCCACCGAGGTATACCCACGCCACGCGAGGCGATCCTCCAGCAACTCAGCAGCATGATAGCATGTGCACACGCCACATTCCCCTTCAAGACACCCGACACCACACTGGAAGCACTCATCACTCCCATGCGCGGCCTTACGACCACACAATACAGATCACGACCAAGCGGCGCCGTTGACGATGCCTTCAGCCGAGCAGCTCGCTTGCTGGACCTTCCCATCGACGACCCCGTCCTCGCCTCCATACTGGCGCGCCTCGACACCCTCCCCTCGCGCATGGCAGACGCACTCGGCAGACCCGATGACCCGCATGACGCGGTAACAGCACTATCAGCCACCGCCACGCTGATCGGAAGCTGCATCGAGGGTTTCGAATCCGACGACGCGTTCTGGGCTATGGCGACGTGGATATGCAGGGTGGGGGAACAGTTCCATCAACTGCTCGCTCGGGAGAATCCAGCTGCGTTGCTGGTTTTGGCACATTGGGCCGCGGCGCTGGTTTGGAGGGTTGAGGAGGATGGATGTTGGTTCTTGAATGGTGCGGCGGGGACTATTTTGGGGAGGGTTGGGGAGCTTTTGCCGCCGGATCGACCCGCGATTCAAGACTTGATTGGAGATTTGTGAATCTAGTCGAGATGATGAAAATGAGACCTCGATACAGATGTTGCTCTGGAATACATAGGAGCGTCGTCTAATGATTCGACAGTTGTTACAAACTTTCACCTCCATAATCCTGGAGATCGACCAGCAGAATTCGTAGTTGTTTACTTCACATATATCAATGATGCAGATCGAAGGGTATACTTGGAAGGCTGCCTGTTTTGGCTTCAGGCTGTGGTTTCAAAGCCAAAGGATGCGTAGTAAGCTGCTGTGATTCTAAAGTCGAGAGAAGCTGTGCCAGACCAATCAAACACTTGAACACGTAGCTGACATGTCGGTAGGGCTGAGCTCACGCTCTAGTTGCGGCAGTGAAACTTGCCCGAGATGGCGTTGCTTCAATAAAAGCGAGTGGTGGAGCAATTGACGATTATTTTCGTCAAGTAGCCCAACTAATTGAGAACTACACCACCATTTTCAACGCTGTGAGTTAAGGCGACGGTCTTAGGGGAGATACCGTATACAACCACCCTATTCGGAGTCTCGCACAGACCATTGAAACAGACGTCAATGAGCTACTTTCACGTGTTCAGCAACACCAAACTCATCTAGATGGCCACAGCTCATCTTCATCGATCAGAAACATTGTTGAGAAAGTCAAGTGGGGTGTACATGATTCAAAAAGCGTGTCTGGAAGACGGAAAGAATTCACTGATGGCTTAGTACCGATCGCGCTATTGTTTGATTTGAAGGTAGAGTTTGTAGGCTCCATCTGCAATAAATACTGACCACTCTCATAGTTCACGATTGGCAGCGATCGAGCAATATGAAAAGAAGATAATCGATCTTCAGAGTGAACAGATTGAGCGCTTGACTCTTGGTCAAGCGACCATGGATACACTCAACGTCAACCAAAGGTCGCTTTGTGCACCTGTATCTACAATCCTGGCTCGACTGAAAGCTCTACAATCCATGAATAAAAAGATACTTGACGCCACACATCCACAAGGAAGCGTTCTTCGGCAGACTCCGGCACTCATGCACAATGCAATTACTCCTAACTCATCATTACATCGCAGAAGTATCGCACCAGTTCGCATCACGCAACATCAGACGACACAACGCACTACAGGGATGGAGTCTGTAGGCCTCATCCTCGCAGGTTCGCAGCAAGTGTTTGCCGGCTGTTTACATCTCATGTTTGAGGTCGTCAAAGCCATCATCAAATTTGTCGCTCCGATGATGCACTTGGTGCCGACACTCTCTATGAGCTCTTTGTCGCTTCTCCGTTGTCGTCAGAGCCAGAACGTTTTTGTTTTTCGAGATGCCTCGAGATTTCCAAAACCTTCCTGTACCAGTCGGTGCTCGAGAAAGGGCGGTATCTGTACATTGCTGCTTCGACATCCATCAAATACTCAGTGTTGTACTTGGCAACATCCTCGATCCATACGTCTTGTTTGTTTCGCACAGCACAGTCTTGCAAGTACTTTCTTACTGGATCGTGTTTGACTGTACCTGCGTATAGGATGTTGATAAATTCTGATCCTAGAGCGTAGAGAGATCCATCCTGCCGCGGAGTAGTCGTGACCCGAACGAAGGCTGCAAGTAGGTTGTGTTTCATGCTGATGTCTTGAACCTTCTCGCAGAAGACATACAGTTTGCAGAGTCTGGTGAAGAGTTCTACTATCTTAGCCTTAGTTGTCTCCTCTGAAATGTCTGACTTGCTGACAATGGTGGAGCATTGTTGTGCGAGACTGTCGCCATTATACAGCAACGATAGATACTTGGCAACTATCTCAGGATCGTCTTCAGGAAGATTCAGGACGCCGATCTCGTCCTTAAGCCAGGCAGAATTGCTACTGGTAGTGGAGCTTGATGAATTTGTGTCGTCCCCACTCAGCGTCTTTGCAAATAATGATGATTTAGCGATAAGCAGCTCCTTGTGGACATAGAAAGTTTGCTGCTCGATTGTGTGTTTGTCTGCTACGTCGCTGTAGTTGCTACTTTTATCGTCTGTCTCATCGTTGCTATCCTTCCTGTCATTGCTGCGGCGGCGGCCTACAATGATCTTGACGATAGGACCCGTAAGGCATCTTTGCTTCTCGTTAGCGCAAAAGATGCTGCTGTGAATGTCGCTGATGTCCTACCTGCAAAAAAAATTGTCATTCATCGTTGTGATGATGGTAGTAGAGCTCACTCTGAAGAACCACACAAATGCAGAGACTAGATGAAATGCGATAAATCTATCCACGAGCAGAAGCTGCCTATCTATAGGCAGCAGAGAACTAAGGAAACAAAGAAGTGCTTGCTGGTGTAGCAGCAAGCACGAACAAACTAACTGTGCATGAGATGGAAGTTGCCAGAGGAAACCAACACACTCCGTCGGTGGCGGAGAAGTGGAAGATAAGGGAGCTGGGCTGAGAGGGAGCTACGTGCCGAGCATGCGCATTTACTAGACTCTTTAATCGAGAGTGAAGGAGAGTTGCCGCCGCACAACACATCCATCGCACGTAGTTCCTATTGTTTTCACTGTGATCTGGTCATACGAAGTAATGACAGTCGCCGTGACTTCCAATGCTGCACTCACTTTCACTAACACCCGTACCATCAGACCTCAAGATCACAGGCATGCAGCCGCACAAGATGCTTCTGACGCATCAGCTACCACATCAACCACCCCACCAACGCAGATCTGGCTAAGTGAAGATGCATCGGCAGTCAGCTCCGCGTCGCTGGTTGCCGGCTGAAGAGAATCAGCTGCATCACCTCCGCGTCGTCGAACACCAAACATGGGCCCAAATTGCTCAAGCTCTAGACCGCACTACACCGGCTGTTTCGTTACGATGGTACCAGCTCCAGAATGCGCAGTCCTCTTCTCTACAAGATTGGGACTCAAACATGGACGAGCAAATCATCGACGGTCGACGTCGCGGCCAGAAGTCCAGTGAGATAGCCCGTGAGATGAAACTGCCGACTGAAGCGGTGCAAGGCCGCTGGGCCGAGTTGCTTCAGCAAAAGAAGGTGCCCGCGGACGTCTTGGCGATCAGAAAAAGGAGGGGACCGGTGCAGTGGAGCGAAGCGGAGGATGAGGCTATAATGCAGGCGTGGGTGAACGGACATGATGAGCGGGAGATCTTCCAGATCGTGAAGCTCGAGGGGAAGCATCAGGGTGATGTTCTCAATCGAAGGAGGCTCTTGGTGAGGGAGAGGGGCGCCATATATCAGCGCTCGATGGCGGGGAAGATCAAGTTTGAGCCGTAGGCGTTGGATAAGGCCTTGGATTAGAAAAGGTTTGGCTGGAGGTGTAGAGAAAACTGGCTTTGGCGGTGTCGAGCGTCATGTTCCAGTCTTTGCAAGGCTGAATGCTTGGTCTCTGGCGAGCGAAAGGGTTAGGGTTAGTAATCGAAGACAATGAGTACCATCTGGCGTGACAATGGAGTCAATTACGAGGGCACGAGCCATGACGTGCGCTCTCGTCTTCCACGGGCGTGTTTGTGTTACCTTCTAAACATGGCTGACAGGCTGAAACTCCTATTGCTTTTGAGAAAACACCCATTGCTGGTGGTGATTGTTAGCAAACGCCTGATGGTTGGTGATGACGTTTCGTCTTTCTGTAGAGCTCGGTCGTTGGTCTGGTCGAGCTTGGTTATGCGAGCCATGTCTAATATTATGCACGGACGTAGAACTCTATGTATACATTGCGCAATGCGCATTACCGAAACAAGGGCCTCACTTCGAATGGAATTCGCCCGGGGCGGGGTCCACTGAACCGCGGTACCTGGCCAGCGCCCGCAGTGCTACAAGAGAACACCTGGCCTTGGAGAAAGCATTTCCGGGTCCGCCGCAAGTGCGTATAAGGCACTCTCTGTAGATTAATAATGCGCTCTCGGGAAGCTCGCAGCGGCGGCTGCATTAGCCTAATTGGGCCGAAGCAAAGAGGTACCATATGACAGGCGCTGGTGAAGCAGCGTGCGAACTGGCGCCACACCCCCATAAAAGGATTGTCGCGAGTATATGATTGGCAGTAAGCGGCGCAGGAACTCCAACGTGTCCAATACAGTGGTGCTGAAGCTGAGCAGGGGGGTGCATTGCAGGCATGCGGGTTGCCCTGCCGCTAACTAATCTAGTACGGGAAAGTCAAGTAGACAGGTGTTGCTTTCAAAGAGCTGCCGCCACAAGCTCCACTGCAGTTATAAACTCGCTGCCCACCGCCCCAGCTGCTTCCACTCACTTCACCGCAGCAGAGGTTTTTCTACTCCGCACCTCCTATACCCCCAGATTTTCAATCGCACTTTCACAACCGCCACAATGAAGTGCTCCACAATCTGCGCTGCTTTCTTTGCCGCCGTCGTTGCGGCCTCTTCAGATGTCGTTCAGCTGAAGACAGACACATTCAAGGAGTTCGTCCAGGAGAACGACCTTGTCCTCGCAGAGTGTAAGTAAATGTTTAACAATCAACCTCTTCTGGCCGAAATACTCGCTAACACCGTCGTAGTCTTCGCACCATGGTGCGGCCACTGCAAGGCGCTCGCCCCCGAGTACGAGACCGCTGCCACCACATTGAAGGAGAAGGACATCAAGCTTGTCAAGATTGACTGCACAGAGGAGGCGGATCTCTGCCAAGAGTACGGTGTCGAGGGTTACCCAACCCTGAAGGTCTTCCGTGGCCTCGACAACATCTCGTCCTACGGTGGTCAGCGCAAGGCCGACTCTCTGATCTCGTACATGACCAAGCAGGCCCTGCCCTCCGTCTCCGAGGTCACCAAGGACACCCTCGAGGAGTTCAAGACTGCCGACAAGGTCGTCCTGGTCGCCTACTTCGCCGCCGACGACAAGGCCTCCAACGAGACCTTCAGCGCGGTCGCTGACGGCCTCCGCGACAACTACCTCTTCGGTGCCACAAATGACGCCGCTCTTGCCAAGGCTGAGGGTGTCAAGCAGCCCGGTCTGGTTCTCTACAAGTCGTTCGACGACGGCAAGGACGTCTTCACTGAGAAGTTCGAGGCCGAGGCCATCAAGTCCTTCGCTACCGTCGCTGCCACTCCTCTCATTGGTGAAGTTGGCCCCGAGACCTACGCTGGCTACATGGCCGCCGGTATTCCTCTCGCCTACATCTTCGCCGAGACACCCGAGGAGCGTGAGGAGCTCGCCAAGGAGTTGAAGCCTCTTGCTATCAAGCACAAGGGCGCCATCAGCTTCGCTACCATCGATGCCACCGCTTTCGGCCAGCACGCTGGTAACCTCAACCTTAAGGCCGACTCATGGCCCGCTTTCGCCATTCAGCGCACCGACAAGAACGAGAAGTTCCCCTATGACCAGGACCTCAAGATCAACGAGAAGGACATCGGTACTTTCGTTGAGGATTTCCTCGCTGGCAAGGTCGAGCCCTCGATCAAGTCTGAGCCTATTCCCGAGAAGAACGATGGCCCCGTCACTGTTATTGTCGCCAAGAACTACAAGGACATCGTCATCGACAACGACAAGGATGTTCTCGTCGAGTTCTACGCCCCCTGGTGTGGTCACTGCAAGGCTCTCGCGCCCAAGTACGAGGAGCTCGGCCAGGCTTTCAGCTCTTCCGAGCTTTCCAAGCTTGTGACCATCGCTAAGGTCGATGCCACTCTCAACGACGTTCCCGATGAGATCCAGGGTTTCCCTACCATCAAGCTCTTCGCCGCTGGCAAGAAGGACGCCCCCATCGACTACTCTGGATCCCGCACTGTTGAGGACCTTCTCCAGTTCATCAAGGAGAACGGCTCCCACAAGGCTGCCGGTATCCTCGCTGAGACCGCCGATGCCGTTGAGGAGGGTGCCGAGGAGCTCGCCGAGCAGGCCAAGGCTGCCACCGAGTCTGGCAAGGCTGAGGCTAAGGAGGCCACAGAGTCCGCCAAGTCCGGCGCATCTGAGGCCACCGAGTCCGCCTCCAGCGCTGCCTCTGGCGCCGCTGCCTCAGTCAAGTCGGCTGCCTCTGGCGCCGCCGAGGCTGTCAAGAGCGTCGCTGGTGCTGCTGTTGGTGATGACGAGGAGATCCACGACGAGTTGTAGATCTTACCTTTCGCCTCCTGTCCTTTTAGCGCTTCTTTGGTCGGTTTTATATCCTCTACGACGTCTTTCTTGCACGAGACGGGCTCGGATAAAAGCTTGTAACGATTTACATAGGTCATGTGCAAGTGCCTATTTTTCTTCATTTAGGTTGGGATATCACGGGTAGCTATATAGCTCAATGGAGTTCCGGATCAAAACGTTCAATCATCATTTCTTCTGCTTGTCTACGTGAATAAAAGTTGTGGTAACGGCCTCATGTATATGCACGGTCTCTCGCTGCCTCGCGCTCACTCTGTATCGTGGAGACCAGGAGTAACGTGCAGTCTGCTGCTCTTCTCCACGAATGAACGAGCTTTGTGAAGCTGCGTCTCGAGACTTAGTGGCAGATAAAATGACTCTCAGGCTTGTGGTTACCATGGGTTTAATCTTTGTTTCAAGAGGTCTACCTCGCTCTTTGCCTGCTCCAGCTCCTGCTTGATACGCGTCAGGTCAGCGGTGTTGACCATGAGCTCTGTGCGCGTCTGCGCAAGCTTCTCTTCCATCCACTTGTAGGCACCAGGCCGAGCGCGTTTCGCCATCATGTTGACTGCGAGATCCATTAGGAAGTCTTTGGGAAAGTCTGCTGGGATCACTCCCAATTCATCGCAGAGCCCCAAATCATCGCAAAGCCCATGGTCAGTGTACAGGTTGACCAGCCAGCGGCGAGCTGCATCGTTCTCGGGTGTGCCTTCGTAAATGATTTGAACTGCGTCGCTGTCTGGCAGAAAAACGAAGTTGATTTCCTGGGCGTGCGCAGAAAGTGCAGCAAAAATCGTGTCCTTCGTGGTGCTGTCTATCAGCTTCTCAGCCAGTACATACAGCTTGCACAGAAGCCTATACTGATGTTGTTGTTCAGCAGTCTCCAACTCTGGCGTCTGGACAGGGAGTGTCTTCGTCTGCTACGAGTCAATATTCTGTTTAATCATCACACAAGATCACGTACGTATAAGCACATCAAGTACAGCGAGAACACGGCTGGCTCGTCATCGGGAAGCGGCACACTGCGTTCTGCAGACTCTTTCCAATCACCACCGATTGCTTTCGCGAAGAAGACGCTGCGCTGGGTGATCAGAGCTTCATGGACGAAGAAGGGCGTTGGTGGCTCATCGCTGCCAACAAGGACGCGAATAGAGGGCGATTCGACGAAGCTATTTGTGATGTCAGCAAGCAGACTGCTTATACACAATGTGAGGCATTACCTATAGGTAGCGTTGTAAAGCACGCGAACGTCATCGACTATGCTGGGAGACGCCATGATTGTGGGTTGGTGTGTGGGAGAGAGGTTGTGGTGGGCCGTCAACGACTTTTAGGTCAGAGACACTGCTCACGTGCTGGGCGCTGCTGGCTCACTTTCACTTCACCACGTCGATTTGTTTCAAAGTTCTTCATTTTCGTTAGCAGAAAAGCTGGCGTGGATTCATCAGGTCTTGAGTGAAGTTATTTGCAGACATGTTCGGGCGTAGACACGAAGGGATGGTAGCAACGTCTTATGTAGAGGGTATAACATTGACTAGAGATGCGTGCTGTGTATCTGTGTTGACCGGAGCGAGATATTCGATTCATGTACAACCAGGCTTGTAGGCTTTTCGATATCACATCGTGGTTTGCTCGTTGACCATGTACAGTCAATCTGGGCTCTGAAACATTTGCGCAGTGTACTTAGTAGTCTCTAGATAAGTTACTGCACTCAACCTAATATCCGAGTGTTCTTGCTTATGACAAGTAGATAGCTACATGAACGTGAAAGCTGTAATCCAGCCAGACCTTGAGCCTTGTCCGCATCTTTGGCCTCGGACACGTGTGCTAACAGAGTGATGAAAACTTCGAAGAAATCACTTCCAACATGGCGTATCGTTGACGGACAGAATTTTTCGATACAAGAAAACAGCAGTCGGAAAAGAGATGGAGGCTCTCACGACGCGACGCGACGCGACTTTAGCTCCGGCGCTAGTGCTAACGCCGCTTGCCACTGCGACACACAGTCACTCCAACTTCTTCTCACTCTGTCCGGTAACACTTGCACATACTCTACATTGACAACAGAACTCGGTAACTGCATAATCCACGATTTCAAGCCTAAACCGTTTTCCGCATGCGCAACCCACTATAATGCCTCTAGGCTTCGAGCGCATAAACGAGCGCACTCAGCGACCGAATGCTTTGATCAACTTTGTTCGGACCCTGCCTGGGCCAACGTCGACGACCGCCGAGCAGATTCTCAACCGAGTCGCCGCGATATGTTACCCGTTCATGAAGGCCAACATGATCCTAGTCCAGGCGCTCGAGGAGTTCCCGTACAACACTGAATTCGTCGGCCGCAACTTCAACGCTGGTGAGGTCATTCAGCTTGTGTTGCGAGACCGGAATGGTCGATGGCTGCCACAGCGCATGGTTGAAATGGTCATGGTACACGAGCTGGCGCATTGCAAGCAGATGAATCACTCCAAGGCGTTTTGGAAGGTCAGAGATGCCTACGCAGTTGACCTGCGGGCGCTGTGGGCGAAGGGCTACACCGGAGAGGGTATGTGGGGAAAGGGCAGAGGTTTGGAGACAGGCAACGTACAAACGAGTCTGGGCGATGTTGTCGATGTGCCTGAACATCTGTGTGGTGGCACATATGGGCGCAGATCCAAGAAGAGAAGGAGAGGTGGCAAGGGAAAGGAGACGTTGTCCTACGCTGAGAGAAAGCAGCGGCGTATCTTGAAGAAATTCGGTACAGGTGGTCAGTCCTTAGGCGCAGACGACGATACCAAGATCAAATTGGAAGGTGGCGTGCCGAAGAAAGGTAAGCCCAGAGTAGCGGGCAGCGCACGAGGAAGAGAACTCAGAGCTGCAGCTGCATTAGCGCGCTTTGAGCCTGTCAAGCAGGAACCAGAAGATGTGATGATCAAAAAGGAAGAGACCTCCGACAGTGAGACCGAAGACGAGGTCGATGCAGCCGATGCAGCGCTCGACGTAGATGGGTCGAAGATGGTTGACGATAAGGGTCGCGCTCTGATCAAGATCTGCGAAGACGAAGACGACAGAGATGGCAATGCGCGACGAGAAATGGCAGAAATCCAAGGCATTGAGTCTCAGCACGACGCGCCTGTGAGGAAATCTGCCTCCAAAACAAAAACGCCAAGCGTGCACACTACCAACTCACGCTCGAAGCCCAGCGAACCACTGGAAACATACACAAACTCTTCATCAGCCCAAGCGATCCATCTCGACGAGATCTGGAAGCGACGGCCTGAAACAGCAGAAACTGCTGCCGCTACAAACCCCACAATCAAGCCATCTCCCAAGCCGACATCATGCAATATCTGCTCAGTTGCGAACGAACCTGGGTCATTGACTTGCGCTGTTTGTTCCAATGTTCTTGTGGCACACCTTGTCCCTAATCATTGGAGATGCGTTAGAGATTCATGCAAGGATAGCGCCTACCTCAATGCAGGCGATGCTGGAGCATGCGGCGCATGTGGTCAAGTGAGGCCAGCATCATAATGAGCTTGTTGCGAAACGAGTCATTGACTTTAATGATACGATACCCCAATTCGATAGATAGCTTCGTGATGGTAATGGTTAAGACGCAATCAGCGAATCAAACAGCTCCAGTAGATACTTCTAAAGTGGAAGGTTCACCCCTCATTAGCGTCGATCTCCGAATATTGTCGTCATCAGTTCAACACCAAGTCTATATCATCACACGTTCTTCGACAAACGAGCTCAATCAATCGATCCAATATTGATAGTTCTAATTTGCCGATTCGATGGAATCTTGTGCAGAAGATCAGCATATGCCTTCCTCGCGGTTGCTCCGTTTACCACGCGAGGTCCGGGACCTGATTTGGGAGCATGCCATCGTTCGCGACACAATACCAATTGAATGCGCTGTCGTTGAAGGCCCTGGCTACCGTAGACACACCGGCTATCCATGTCCATATTCTCCTCAACTCCACGAAGCCTATCCGTTGCATCATAATGTGACTTCGCGTAGGACTTGGTCTCTACCGATCTACGATCTCAAAGTCGATATTCAGGGAGGTACATGGATACAACCGAAGCGAGCTCGAATGACCTACCAGCTTGCTATGCCGTGCGCAAGACCAAAGGATGCAAAACGCGATGACAGGATTGCAATTCGCTTGCTACAAGTCTGCCGATCAATCAACGACGAGGCAAGGCCACTGTTCTACAAAAAGAATGTTTTCAGCTTCACAGGGCAATTTCCTATCTCGACCGCCCTTGCATTTCTCCAGGACCGGCCCCCAGCCGCATTGTCCCAGCTTTGGTCCATCGAAATGGTCCTTACAGAGGACAACAACATGAGAGGTTCTGCCGAAGCCCACTTTCCTCCCACCACCAGGTCTTCAGACTGTCTGGTCTTGCAACATGCGTTTCACTACTTCACTGACCTCTGCATGCTGCTTTCCTCACCTGCTGTTCAGCTGCGCAGGCTGTGTCTGACAATCGAGTCGCTCTCGTCATACGGCGACGTCCAGCCAGGGTCTCTGTCCGAGTGTCTGGCGTGGGAAGCCGAGAAGAGCAGTTCGGACCGGCCTTGGGTCGCTTCCTGGATTCAGCCATTACTTCAAATCAAAAGCCTCGAAACTATCAAGATTTACTGGATCTCTGATCGACCTCGAGTGCGCAGGATGTCAGATACCTTATCACTTATGCAAAAATCAATGCTCGTGCAAGCACGCGCAAACCAAGATGATAACAGACTCGAATTGCGAAGCCACGAACTCGACTTCAGCGTCCTTAAAAGCCAACACGATCACGTCATGACCACGCTCGTATTCGATACGCAGACAGAGCAGTTGGAGTGCGGGGACTGTTCATGTGAAGACCGGCCGGCTGGTCTTGAACACATCGCTGAAGAAGCTCCCGAGACGACACGAGCATACTACAAGTGCGGAGTCGCCACATGGAAAGAGCACCAGAGGTCCTTTACTGGATACAAGAGCGCATATGCGGCTTACTGTGAGCTCAATAACTCGTATTCCCTGCGCCGGAAGTCGTCAGCTTGTGCCGTTCACATGGATCGTTGATGGCATATTGTGACTTGAAATACAAGGTTGACCTGCGATGAATACGGCACCGGCAACAAAAGCATCCGAGGATAATGAAGACGAAGACATACAGATAGGCTACTATGTACTGATGCAGGCGGCTAAGTGGACATGAGACCCGAGGGTATCTCTAGCGTCAGCTTTAGCGTAAACGCATACAACCTAAATCACAAAAGACATACGACATGTGTCGCGCTGTGGTGGGAACCAGGATTCACTTTTGACGCCAGCCAACGAAAACTTACACCAGATCCAATCGAGCCTTACCCCGATGTAATCACCAACGAGTATCAGCGTCTTGCTCGTGAAGAGCGACTCGCAGAAGTCTCGTCTTACTGTACGAAATGACAGGTGCTCTCGGGATCTAGGCACCTGATACATGAACTTCATCCTTAAGTGGATAGTCAGTCGCCTCGAATTGGTAGCGGAACGGCGACGCTCCTGTAGTCATTTGCTACCCCAGATCTTCCCCGCACCACGCCGACCTAATTAGGATAACAAGCGCGTTTTGTGATTTGATACACAAGCCGAGCTACGTGCGGCGTTCTTCGTATGGCATGACCTTCTCAGAATTATGCAGCGTCGACATTTCAGATACCAAGGCTTTCGGTTACACAATAACTGCAAGCCACGTCGACGGGTGCAGGGTCGGATTATGCAAGAGCGCAGCGTGGGGAAATTTCGTGAGCTGATCGAATCCACCATCGTGGGCCGCCGCCGACCCCACAGACTAACTCGATTGGGGTTGCGTGAAGGCCAGACATAGCGCTGTCGAACATATCGATAGCGGACTCGACTTGTACGACTCTCCAATTGGAACCAATCAGAGATGTCTGATTAAGTGAGAAGCATTCCCTGTAACGCATGGTTGTAGCTCTCCACGGGTACCTGTAGACCAGGGTCAGTCTAAGTGATCGACTAGAACTACACTGGACTCGCGGTAAAGTGCGGCTGCAAGCTATGATATATAACATCCCAAAAGGCCGGCTTGTCCGCCTTCACTGTTGCTCAGCTCAGGTAGTTCTGGTCTGAGTTTCTGCGCCAACTTGCAGTTTCAACCCGCCATTGACCCCTTCATTCCTTAGCCGGCTGTACACACCATGGCGAAGCTCGTCAACCCCGTGGAGATCGCACACAGCCCGCCGGTGCTTGCTTTCCTTGCACTTTTTACACATCTAGTCCTGCACCGCAACGAGTGGGACAACCACATCAACCTGTTCATCTACGCATGGCTACTCGGCTTCGGTGGTATCGCCACGGCCGAGTATGTCCTGGACCCTCGAGCCAATTCGATAGGTGCTGTCGTCAAGGTTACAGCAACTGCAGCGGCTACTTACTTTGGCGTGCTGATCACAAGTATTTTGATTTACCGAGGGTTCTTCCATCGTCTGCGAAAGGTAATTTGTCCTCACATGAATCCGGCAAGACTAACACAAAACAGATTCCGGGACCCTTCCTGGCGCGCTTCTCCAAGTTCCATGCAACCTTTGCTGGTGTGCTTCCGAACTACCAATACTTCAAGTACAGCGAGGCGTTGCACAAGAAGTACAAGACTGATGTCATCCGGACTGGCCCGCGAGAGGTCACTGTCTTCTGCGCCGAAGCCATCCCTCTCGTCCATGGACCGATGTCGAGATGCAGGAAAGGCACCTGGTACAACAATGCGAGTCACATTGGCAAAGCGTCCACACACACGACCCGCGACAAGCAGGAGCATAAGACGAGGCGCAAGGCCTGGGACCACGCTCTCAACGCAAAGGCACTGCGAGAGTATGAGCCCAGGCTGAACCGACACGCTCTCGCGCTCATGACAAAGCTGAAGGAGGAGGCTGTGAATCCTTCCGTGCGGATCACCAACTGGGTCAACTTCTACAGCTTTGATGTCATGGGCGACATAGGGTTCAGCCGCAGCTTTGGCATGCTGGAGAAGGGCGAGGAGGATCCTATGATCAAGCTCCTGTACGCCAGCATGGAGCCGTTGTCTACTTTTGGGCACATCCCGTGGGCACTGAACCTGATCACACGGACGTCTGCGGGTGCCAAACCACTGATTGAGCACATCAACTGGACAGCAAAGGTTCTGAAGGAGAGGAAGGCTGTGAGTGGATGATATTATTAAAGTTGGATGTCACTGACAAGTCTCAGATCACGCCAAAGGAGAACGACATCTTCACCTGGCTGCTCGACCCCGAGAGTCTAGACGTCACCCCAGAGCTAAACGCCGATTCCCGTCTTCTGATCGTAGCCGGCAGGTAAGCAGCCAACAACCAGACACCCGATGAAACAACCCCTCGCTGACCTCTACTCCCAGCGACACCACCGCCGCAACCCTATCCTTCATCGCGTACGAGCTCTGCAAAAACCCCGCCGTACAACTCAAACTCCGCGCCGCCATCGACGCCATCTGCCCCTCCAAAGCACACCTCGATGTCGACGACGTGCAAAACATCCCCTACCTCGACGGCGTCATCAACGAAGCCCTGCGCCTGCACCCCGCCGTCCCCTCAGGCGTGCAGCGCGAAACGCCCCCCGAGGGCCTCACCCTGCCCTCCGGCACCTACATCCCCGGCACCACCATCCTCTGGATGCCGATCCACTGCATCCAGCGCGACGCGCGGTACTTCAGCTCCCCGCTCACGTTCCTGCCGGAGCGCTGGACCGACGAGCAGCCCGGCGCCGTGCGCGACAAGCGCGCGTTCATGCCCTTCGGCACCGGCGTGTACGGCTGCGTGGGCCAGAAGCTGGCGCTCATGGAGCTGCGCAGTGTGGTTGCGAATCTGATCAGGTTGTTTGAGATTGGGTTTGCGGAGGGCGAGGAGGGGCAGTGTGTCGAGGCGGAGAGCAGGGACTGTTTTACGACGAATGTGGGGAAGTTGGATGTGCGGCTTACGCCGCGGTACAAGGAGTAGGGGGTGGGGTGGGTCTGCGGGTTGCAGAGCGAGGGTTGGTGGTGGATGGCGAGTGCGCTGGTGACATCTTTCAGCGCTGGGGTCGTGGGGTCTTTGGTTCTGCATGCGTGGAATGCAATGTCATGAACTCGATTCTGAGTCTTACTTCGTCTCATGCTCGTGCTCCTCCCAAGTCACTAGGATAACTACCCCTCTCCGATGGCAGAGAATGTACGTTTCGACAGCCCTACACGCTTGTCAAGGAATGTTGGAATTGATTGGATGAAGGCGTCCTTTTGTGAAGTTGTATCGTCGTTTCCGCATGAGAGGGTGATTAGACGACGGACGATAGTAGGAGAGGAAGGCCACCGATGGGTGGCCAGGACATGATAAATGTGTGTGAGCCTGTGGTATTTCCGTAGCCTGCAAAGAAAGCGAGCGCACGCACAGCACACGCAGAAAACACGCAAGACAAGCATGAAGCAATCATTCGGTACATCAAGACCTCGCCGCACCCACGCCTCCCTGCCCTCTTCCCCCAATCGCCATGATGATGCAGTCTTGTCCTCTGCGATGCCCTTGACCAGCACACTCCCCCCTCCGTCTCGTCCTCCACCACCAACCAGTCCCTTCAATCCCACTACAGGTGTTTTAACTGTAGGTGGTTTAATTGTAGGTTTAACGCCTCTTCTCGCCGACCTTGTCCTCCAGCGTGCGCACATAGCCTTCTATCCGCTGCACGGCGCTCTGCAGCGCGTAGATGTCCTCGGTCAGCAGCTGGTTGCTCACGCGGTACTCGTCGATCACGTAGTAGTACATGCCGGCGCCGGCGGAGGCGGTGCCGAGGAGGAAGCCGAAGAGTCTGGGTTGGGTTAGATGGGGAGCTGAAGGGTACGTGGTGCGTGGTGCGTGGTGCGTGGTGCGTGGCGCGGGCGGCAGAGTTCAACGCGGAGATTGACGTTGGTGATGGCTGGGTACATGCTGGGACACTCACCCTCCCCTGAAGGCGCCAACGGGCCTCCGAACGGGCGCCACGAGCGGCTTCTCTTGTCGCAGCGCAGCGGTGGTGTGGAAGCTGCGCGCGGTGTTCGCGAGGCGGAGCGCCGGGCGGAGTGCGCGGGAAGCCATTGAGCGGAGTGCGCGGGCGCTGGGTGCAGTCGGGAATGTGTGGGGGGGATTGTGTGCGGAGGCAGCGCAGCAGGTGTCGTGCCTGTTGTGACGTGATGTGTGGCAGCTCCAGCGACTCCGCTCGCCGCTGGCAGACCCTGGCCGGGGATCTAGCTTTGGCCAATGGGGCGGCGGCGAGGCGGGCTAGCGTTGTTTGGGACTGTGTTTACGCGGTGCGGTGCTCGTGCTGGGCGCGGACGGGCAGGGCTGGCCGGCAAACGCTGCGTTCGACAGGTCCTGGGTTGTTGCATCCTGGAGCTGCTGGGTCTTCTACCCGGTTCGGTTGGCGGATCCGAGCACGAGAGTCTCAACAGCCACTGCACGCACACGCAACGTGCACTGGGTGTCTCACGCTTGCCAGGGACCTGGGGAGAAAAAGAACAAGTGAGGGCCACCTCGCGTCATGTCTACCGTTGACCGCAGCAGCGAAGAACGGGCTTCTTCGCGGGATGCCCGGAGCCTTGGTATGTAAGCGGAGCTTTGGTACTGTGGTTGAATTTAGAGCACTCGTAGTCTCGTACTGTACATCTAAATACGGCAGCCAGCACCACGACTCGATAGGCCGGTCCTGCTCGGCGGTCAAGTGCATCGTGATGAAGCTGCACGGACGGCACCCTGAGCTTCTTTTCAAAGTGTATGTGCGGGCTAATCCGTCCGTGGCCCTCCCACGCGCCCAACGCAGGATGCGTGCAAATTGCACGCGTAGTATCTAGTGCTGCCTGCTGCTATTGACACATCGCAGCGTCGGCGTGGTTTGCGCCTCCTGCACCGAGACGGCAGGTGCCGCAGGGCGCAGGCTTGAGGCGTCGAGTCCGCAATCTCTGCGTCATCCCTGCGCGCGCGAGTCGCGCTGGATAGGGCTGCAGCACCCGCAACGAACGGGCGCACCGAGAGCACCACCGCGCAGCTGTCGCGCCAACATGGCACAAGGCGCGCCCGCAGCCTCGCCATCGCAGAAGCGGTGGTGGCGCCCGAGCGCCAAACCTTCGCGGAAGCCATGCCGCCGCCGTGGGCAAGGGTGCTACCGGGCCTCGACGCCCACACCAGGTGATCGCCGCCAGGTCCTGAGCCGGCGACGCTCTCCTTTCGCGGTCCGGATTGCTGGCTGACGGCCCCGGGACACCCTCGTTGCCACTTTGATTACGACGCTGGCTAGCGACTCCTTTCTTTTATCCAGCGCCGCGCGAAGCTGCTTAAGACGAGTGAGGCTGAACCCGAGACGTAGCTGCTGCACTACCAACGACAACGGCCGCGACCAACGACGCCGATCCCCGTCATTTGCCCACGCGAGACTGTACCGAGACCGCGAGACTGCGAGACTGTACTGCGCGCACTGCACACCCATCGAGCCACGGCCCTCACGGCACACACCACGCCTCACGTGGACGCACAGCACACCGCACGCCAGACCACCAGCGCTCCCTCACCGCGCACCCACCGCGCACCCACACGCCCACACGCCCACACACCCACACCGCTCACTCACACCACACGCCATGGAGGAACAAGATCGCATCACAATCACCATCTGCGGCGACGGCGGATGCGGTACGTCACTCTCTCCCCCATCCACATCACCGCTAATTTCTCCAGGCAAGAGCTCCATAACCCTGCGCCTCGTACGGTCAGAATGGACCTCAGAGTACGTCCCCCCCCTCTCCACACCGCCCCTCACTAACAACCCCAGCTACGACCCCACCATCGAAGACTCCTACTCCGTGACCCGCACCGTCGACGGCCACTCGTACTACCTAATGCTGACCGACACCGCGGGGCAAGAAGAATACCGCGGCCTCTGGGCCGCCTCGAATCTGCAATCCGACGCCTTCCTGCTCGTCTACGACATCACGTCGCCCAACTCGCTCGACGCCCTCGACTACTTCATGGAGATGATCGACATGGAGACAGAAAACCGGCTCGACAACAACCGCACCCCGCCCGTCAAAATCGTCGCCGCAAACAAGTGCGACCTGCAGGCCCAGCGCCAGATCGAGGCCAAGACGGGGCTGGAATGGGCCCGCGCCCGCGGCTGCGGCTTCATGGAGACGAGCGCCCGCGAAATGGTCAATATCGAGGAGAGCTTTGCGCTGCTCGTGCGCCGCGTCGTCGAGGCCCGCGCCAGTGCGGGTAGGCTGCCTGGCGCCCCGGCGCCGTATGCGCAGACCCCGCGGTTGCCGCCGCAGGGCGAGAAGGCGCCGCGCGTGCAGGACGAGGGGGAGGCGGATCCGAAGGGGGGGTTCTGGGCTAAGTTGAAGTGCTGGTGAGGCGTGCGGCGGGTCGCAGTAGTAAAATAGTGTTTAAATGGGTGGTTGGACGGCACGGTCGGTTGTCGAGGGCTGCGCGGGATTTGACTGGTTTGGGCGGTTGGCCTGGTTTGGACGGTTGGTCTGGTTCAAAAGCATGCACACACGCACGCATGGTCGGTTGGATTGCTGGTTGGATGTATGATCGGTTGGATGGGTGGATGCACCAACGGCAAGGATCTGGGATTTTATGTACTATACCCCCCCCCCGCCCCCCTGTTCCCTTGCGGAGGGACGGATGGAAGGATGGATGGACGGCACTCTCTCTTTGGGACCCACTTTTCATATGTACACACACACACACTCACAGTCTCACAGTCTCACTGTTTCACAGTCTCACTCTCACAGTTCATCTTATAGCGTAGCGTAGCGTGCATGGAATATTCAGATTCCCGTCTCCTGTTTCTGCGAGTTGTATCCTGCCGTGGTGTCGTGTGGTGGCGCAGACTGGGCTTCCACGTCCATGTCCATAACCACGTCCGTGTCTGTACAGGAATCCCGTGGTAAGAGGGTCTCGGTATATGGGTTGTTTGTGATCTACTCAAGAGTGCGATCTACTCTAGAGAGAGAGAGCCGGGGTGGGGTGGGTGGGGGCTCAGAAGACCCGTCGTCTCCCCCAAGCCAAGAGACCGGGGTGTAGGACCGGGGCTGGGAATAGGACGGGCTGGGATTGTAGACTCATGTGGACTGGAAGTGTGATGTGTTTGGGATGAGAGGAAAAAGTCGAACCGGACTTGCTGTGTCGTCCGTTTGATTGTCTTCTTTTAATCCCGTCTATTCATGTATATCCTCTTGGTCCTGTTCCCTCAGTCTCTTCATCCAGTTCCGTCCGTCTATTCATTCCGATGATCTAGTTCAATCAATCCAATCCAATCCCAGTCCCTGCTCTTCTCCAGGTCCGCCCTCAAGACTCGCTCCCTTACAACAACTTTCAGCCCACCTCACATCCACAGCCAATCCACCCCTCTCTAACTGATCATACGCATCGTAACCTCAACCGTAGCAAACGTCCCCGCACTGACCGGCATAGCCCTCAACAGCGTCGGCCCAATGCCTTTCCAAAACCCCCTTGCCCCCTCCGCCGCCCACACCTTCGCAAAGCAATCCCGCATACTCTTATACTTCTGCGCGCCCCCGAACCCATCACTCTGCATCTTGCTCTTGACCACGTCAAACGGATAACTACTAATCCACAGCATCTCGCCCGCCAGCCCGCCGTACGCGGCGACCTTCAGCGTCGAAATGTCCTCGCGCTTGACCCCGTTGCGCGCCGCGTCCGCGTTCATCAGGTACTCGAACGTCGTGAACCACATCCCGTAGGCCTGGGCTTCGCGCAGGAAGGTGACGGCGGTGCCGCGGTACACGCCGCCGAGTACGCCCTGGTGCGCGGCGAGTTTGCGCACGCAGTCCAGCGGTCCGGTGTACAGGCGTGCGGACCCGCTGGGCTGCGTCTGCAGCCGGATGCGGATGTGCTCGATGGGCGAGGAGAGCGCGGTGTTGGCGACGCCCGCAAAAGCACCTGCCGCATAGTACTGGGTGTACGACAGCGCAGGACTACCTGTCTTCGCAGCATTCTGGCCCTCGAAGTACCGGCGCGCGGCGTTGAAGCCACCGAATTGCACAGACACGCACGCGCCGATGCCAATCAGCGGGGTCAGCGTGCCCTTGTAGAACGCCAGCGCGCCCTCGGACTTGTAGATGCTGGTTGCCGCGTGCAGGGCGCCCGAGTACTGGGAAGTGGTCTGCAGACGCACTTTGACAATGTCGAAGGGCTGGCCCAGCAGCACTTGGGCGACGCCGCCGACGGCACCCGCAAAGAGGTCTTTTGCGACGCGGCCGGAGCCCGACTCTGCGTGCTCTATTTCTTGCTCGAGTTGGGAGACCATGTTGATGTTTTTTTGGTGTGGAGTAGGGCTTGGGGTCTGGGGCTCCGCTATCGCTCCCGGTCCTGGCTCTTATCAACCACGCGCGAATGGCGGGATGGTGTCTTGTGTTCCAGCTCTTGAGACTTCACAATTGTGCAGGCAGAGTGCAATTGGCAAGTTTGCAGATCTAGGATATTGGTGTGGAAGATATGTGCCCGTGATGTTGCAAGATGCGGTTGCTGGCATGGTGCGGAAAACTACTGAAATTCACCAATGACGATTGCGTGCTTGACGCACAGACGCGGTTGGCGCTGGTCGCCGTCGGAAAGGCGATGCTTGCCTCGATGAGGCTCAACTTTCCAGCCTTCGCTGGCCTTGTCTTTCCGCCTTGTCTTTCTGTTGCACATCAGTCTTGCTCTAGACGAATCCGAAGAGGGAAGCAATCGCTGTCGTGTTTCACTGAATTACTCCAATGTGAGTTGTGAGGTTTAATTGCATTGCATCCACCCCAACGTCTCTACTCCCCACATGACTGTCGATATAGCAATAGGCATTAAATGTTGGTAAATGAACTCCAAAAATGCTTCCATCTGTTACACTCAGGTCGTGTACCTGAAGCGAGGACTCTCATCACCCATCTCCGCAATCTCCTCTTCGCTCTTGCCCTCCATCAGATAGTCCTCCTCGCCCTTCTCACGTCGCGCGTTCAGCATACCGAGGTATGCCCACAAGATCGCATAGCAGGCAAGCGCGAACGCAACCATGGCCATGGTAACAGCGTGACCTTTGATGAAGCGCGGACCTTGCTTCGCTGGATACAACTACCGAATGTTAGCACGTGCATAGATGCAACAAGGAGGCAACTTACAAACGACGACATGATGCCTGCGCAGTTGCCGATCGAAAGCTGCAGCCCCGTCGAACTCGTGCGCTTGCCATAGCGCGGGAGGTTGGTCGGGAGCCAGGCGAGCGGAATGCCAACGCACACGTACAGCCCCATGGCGACCAGGAAGCAGCCGGCATAGTGCGTGCCGGAGCTGCTCGGGCTGATCAGCATGGCGTAGCCGACGATGCTGACAACGCCCATCAGGATGCTCCAGAACGCCCGTTTCTGCTGCTTGTCGGAGAAGTACGCAACGACCAGGTAGGTGATGGCGCCCAGCGCGTAGCACGGGATCGTGAGGACCTGGACCATTGCGCTCGACGCCTTGGGCATGATGGCGCGGATGATGGTGGGCAGGAAGGTCGAGAAGCCGTAGAGCATGGTGTCGGATCCGAATTGAGCAAAACAGAACAGCCACACCTTCCAGTCTTTGAAGCACTTCCGGACGTCGTCCCAGTGGAACTCAGCTGCACTTTTCGTGTACCCAGTCTGGCGCTTGAGCCGCGCAACCGCGTACGCCTTCTCGTCCTCGGTGAGGAAGTACGCTGTGGCCGGCTCGTCGGGCAGGATCCACCACGTTGCAATACCGAGGACGAAGGTAGGGATTCCCTCAATGATCATGATCCAGCGCCACCCACGCTGCCCGGCGACGCCATCCATGTGGCCGATTCCGTAGGCCAACAGACCACCACAGGCACCCGCCAGCGCGGCGGAAACGAACAGATACCCAATGCGCAGGGCCAATTCGCGCTTGGTGTAAAAGAACGTAAGATAGACAGCAAGACCAGGGAAAAGGCCGCCCTCCACGGCGCCGAGAAAGAGACGGCACGCAAGCAGGCCGCCGTAACTTTGCACGACACCCGTCAAGGTCGCGACAATGCCCCAGGCGACGGTGATAAACGCGATCCAACGAGACGGGCGAATCTTCTTAAGCACGAGGTTACTGGGTATCTCAGAGAGAATGTAGGTGACGAAGAGGATTGAGACAGCGGTCTGGAACTGCGTCGAGTCCATTCCCAGATCCTCCTCGAGTCCATAAAGTCGTGCGTTACCAATGTTCACCCTGTGCTTGTGTCAGAGAACTATTCAACGAGTAAATCGTCCCCGGACTGATGAAAATGCTGACTGGTGCTTCTTCTCGCAGTGAAGAGCAATATCATTAATCAAAACTTACCTGTCAAGAAAGCTGAGCAGGTACAGCAGCATCACTACCGGGATGATGTAGCAGTCGAGTTTTCGGACGAGTTTCGCCTCGTACACCGGGTCGCTTTCTCCCAGCTGCATATCGAGATCGTCACTGTTGACCGAGTTTGGCTGGGGACCCGTGCCATCGTACCGCTTCTCGATGTCGCTCATGGCTGCAGAAATTTGTCGAGAACGATGAGTTTGGTTGACAGGTGAGTCGCGTCACGTAAGAGTTTTAGTGGGGTCGCGTGGCCCAGGATTGATAAGGAATTGTGTAAAGTCGCACGAAGAAAATATTGTAGGCGGTACAGTAGGAGATTCTCTTCAGAGGCGCATCTTGGAACCGATTGTAGCAGCCGTCATGGTCACGTCTTCTCAGTATCTTGCCACGAGCAAATGCCCTTGCTCTTAAATCTTCGGACTTAGGGTAAGAGACCCACCTTTGGAGGATGGCAGATCCCGGGCGCGGGGCTGGGCCAATGAGAGAAGCGCTAGCCGTTTTTGCATAGCGTCGTCGTCCTGATATGGTAGGACGAAGAGATAACCACTGATATGCTTGCGCTGATGCCAAGATGAGTACGGTTGCTAATCCCCAAAGTTGGGGGGAACAATGCAACTTGAAGATGGGGGTTCCGGTCGTCGTCGCTGGGCGCCTCGGGTGCCGGCAAAGTTGCACCAGCGGTTCTCGAACTTCGAAGTGGACCTTGTGTTTCGCACTTCCTTAGCCAGTCCTAACGACGGCTTGTCTTGTCACATAGTAGTCATAGCAATGATGGATTTGTATCGTGCGATCAGCCTTGCGATCCGGCTGAGCCCAGACTCCACCCGAGCTATCCAAGGGTGACATAGCAACTCGCTACTGCAATACTGGAGAGCTCATTCTCGCCTCGCTACTCTGTCGCGTCGTGTAAATCAGACAGGTGTGATGGAAGAAGTCTATAAGCCAAGATCATCGAGACTAGACGGTTGGAAGACAGCCGCATCGAAGTCTACCGGCGCCGACGAAGAATAACCAGAAGTCATCTGGTCCCAGTCCACTGGCATTACAATACCGCTGTAGATATCGACGCCTGCTGAAGGGTCGACTGGCCAGATCAGCTCGTCCCGCGGTATCTCGATCTCGGCTGACGGATCACACCCCACTGTCGTGACACTCGGCGGCATGTACAGTATCGATCGAGCTATTGCACGCACATCCTTCGCCATAGCCTTCCCCGACGGCCATATCGAGCCCATTGAACTCAAAAACCCAATGCTTAGCTTGATGCGATCGCGGGCTATGGACAGAGCGTGGTCTTCGAGGAGGTTGTTGCACGCTGACACCTGAGCGGCTGCGATTAGTGCACTTGGGCACATGGCGAAGACACTGTGTTTCTCGATAGTGCAAGGGATGGCAAGGAGTTTGGTCTGGATCTCGATCACTCTCAGTACTCGTGCAGTGTGCACGTTTCTTGAGGGCACGGCGGGTATGGTGAATGGCGTTGGTGCTGCGAAGGCGGTCGTTCGGAGCTCCGCATCGTGATAGACTAGTGAAGACAGGGGTCGATGCATTGTCAATAAAACACTCTTAGAGTTAGATACTGTATGTGCAGCAGGATGTATCGGGATGCACAACTTACATCGCTCCAATCATGTGAGCCGTGAACATGATCTCGTCCACTGTGCCATCCTTTCGCATCGGATCTCGCTTGACGGACGGAAGCTGAGAATGCCATATAGCTATCTTTGCATCCATACTATCGATAAGCTCTCTATTGAACCGTGGGTTGGCGGCAAACGAACTCATTACTTGAATCGTTAGCGCGGTACGAGGCTCGGGAGGATGAACGTGCCGTAAGCGACGGTTCTGCCCATATCATGTAGATACGCGAGAGAAGAATATACAACTTCAATGTCTGCAAACTCCCGATCTTGCATCTCTTGGTAAGTCGCAGGTGTCGGTATGTCCTGTGTCTGTCAGGCCAGAGCTTATTTGTGTGGGCGTAATTGACTTACTCCTGCTACGTAAAACTCATCGTCGCAGGGCAGGTAGACATCGCTAGGCATATCACAAAGTTGATATACAGGTGTGTTCATCACAATCGAAAAATGCTGGTCGCTGGTGACCAGCATATACCAAGTTCGTCTCCAAGACTCTTCCAAGACGGGGTTTCCTTCACCCCACAGACGGGCAAAGTCTCGTTTATTCATGTCGAGCTCCAGCGCAACCAGAATGGCTAGGTCTAATATCTTCCGAGATTCTGACCGCATGTCCTGATGATGCTGGGCGACCGCGAAGAGCATAATAGTCTGAACGTTGAAAGGTGTTCGCGGTAATGACGGCGAGCTTACAGCGTCAAGTGCCGCCAGATAGTACGGCTCTGATGGGCACCAAGAAGCATATAGGGACCCGATCCACTCCAGAACTAGCGATAGCTCACCTAATCCATGATTTTCGCTTTTCTTCCTTGCCTGGAAGAAGTGCTGTGGAAGAACAATTGGAAAAGGAGCCCAGAAATACTCGTAATACAGCTCAAGCAAGCGTTCGTCGTTGATCTGGAAGGAGACAGTTCCCGCGGGTGAGGCTTTCGAGTCCTGTATGCGTAGATCGTGTAGAGAGGGAACACTCGAAGGCCCACTGTACATTCCATCATCACCCTGTGAGGAAGACATGGGAGTACCATGTGGGGTCTCGTTGACTGGAGGCGATACTGGCGCTTTTTGCTTTGCTTGCTCTTGTAATCTTAAGCGCCTCCGTGCGAGTGCTTCTTTGTTCAGACCACCTCTTCGAGACTTCTGATAGAGGCATTCTTTCCCGTCACGCCTGCACCTGTTGCAGACTGGCTGGTTGGAGTCGCATTTGACGTGTCTGCTTCGGCATTGAACGCAAGCTAACATAACGCGCTCGATATGCTTTGGATCTGGGGGTGTATCCATGTTGAGTACCGCGCCAATCAGGAGACCCGCTTGTCGAATAGTGGCTTTCGTGTAGGTCAATGGAAAATCTTGCCCAAGGCTGTCAAGTGTTCCGATATCATTATATTTGTCGGGCCGTTATATGGGGATTTGGTGGTCAGATGAAGTATAAGTAGGCTGCCGTCGTGTGACAAAGGTGCATGTTGCACGCCTAGCGGGGCAGATTCCGCGACCGTTGGAAGAGCAGCCGCGCTCGGCCTAATTTGGACGTGCAAACAAGGCTGACAATGCTAGATGGTCACACGCTCTGTCGACCAAGACTGTTTAACCTCAATTCTATGGATTGCTCCAAGTATAATTAAATGCCTCCTTGGCGCTCCTTTGCTGCCTACATTGCTGCGCGCCGATATCTCTAGCTTTCGCCACTATTCTATTTGGTCTTCGGTACAATCTTGAGCGAGAAGTCGACATGAGGAACACCCTGATGTATGCTGCTCGTGCTGACGATGTCGATGTCGGCGCAGACATACTTCTCCACATTGTGTTCCGTAAGGCCTCCACTGACCTCGACCAGGAACGATTTCCTGTCTCCCGTGCCTCGTCCCCACTTCTCTTTCAGCTGCGCAGCCGCGGCCTTGACACCGTCGGGTGTAAAGTTGTCCAACATGACAATGTCTGCTCCAGCGGCAATAGCTTCGTCTGCTTCTTCGAAGCTCTGGCATTCGACTTCAATCTTGGTAGCAAACCCACCCGCAGACTTCGCGGCCCGCACTGCATTAGTGATGCTCCCTGCGGCCACGATGTGGTTGTCCTTCAACATCGTCATGTGTGACAGATCAACTCTGTGGGCATCGACGCCACCAACAAGCATACCGTACTTCTCTACCAATCGGAAACCAGGTGTTGTCTTGCGAGTGCCAGCAAGGATGTTCTGGTAGCCTGCTTTACGCAGCAGAGTGAGAAGGCGGTTGGACTTTGTTGCGATGCCTGAACAACGGGCAAGAGTGTTGAGCGCTACGCGCTCGCCGAGGAGCAGATTGCGAACTGGCCCGCGGACCGTGGCGCAATGGGTGATTTTCTCTCCGACTGAATCGCCCTCATTGACATGCCATTCGACCCTTGATGCAGGATCAGTATTCGAAATTCTCGAATATGAAGAGTGACTCACGTGCAATCCAACTGCTTGAAGACCTCGTTGAAGAATGGCACGCCAGCAACGATGCCCTGAGTTCATCAGCTTGGAAAGTCACAGACATGAGCTGAATATTTACCTCGCTCTTGCCTAACAGCTTGGCTTCTGATTGCTCTTCACCAACGACGAAGCCTCCATAGTCGAAGCTCGGCGTGTCCTCTTCGAGCCATTCCGAGACATATCGCTTGTACGTCAAAGGAAGCAAGTGGGCTACGGTGCCATGTGCTGGAGCTCCTTCGACCTTTGCCATTGTATCGAGACGAAAAGATTGTTGACGTTCTTGAGACTGGAGGTTTTGCGTGCTCAGATCGGTGAGGACTTGGAAGGCAAAGATGAGTTCATCGCACCTTCGGTACTGCGGTACTGCCCCGCCAATTAGCGGGCGCATTCGGAACGCCGCTACGAAGTACCTACCAAGGGTCGGGTATTGCACATCATATCACTTTGACTGAATATAAGCTCGAATTAAATATGTTCAAGTTGAAGAAGGATGTGTTATTCGACTGCGGACCGGCTACAGGATCGCCCTTCATTGGCAGATTCAGGTCGTGTTACCAACACCAATGAATAAATCGGAGAAGGCGACAACAGATCTTTACCGCAAGAACTCTCGTTCATGAATCCACGCTCAGCCCTTCACTCCCTACTCATCCAGCCCCCACGCCTCCCTCAACGCCTCCCTCTCCTCCCCCTCAGTCCCCTCCTCAACCATCCCCCAAAACTCCCTCGCAATCCTCTCCCGCCTGCCACTCACACCCTTGACGGCCCTCCACTCGCGCCCCACCCGCTCCCGCTCCTCCGCCGAAACCTGCACTCCGCGGCCCGCCCGCAACGCCTCCAGTCTGCCCCCAAGCTCTTCTTTCTCGCGCTCCAGCGCTGCAACGCGCGAGAGCAGGTCTGCGGCGCGCGGCGCGCTAAGGGCGGCGAGGGCGGTGCGCAGTGTCTTGGTGCGGGAGTGGAGGTCGGTGGTCTGGGCGGTAAGGGCTGCGGTGCGGGCGTCGTAGTCTGCGAGTTGGTCGGGGGAGATAGCGTCGGTTGGGTTCTTGGGGGGTTAGACGGGTGGTGGAGAGGGAGTGGGGGAGGGGAGACGGACTTGCAGGGCGTGGTAGACAATTTGCTTGCCTGGGTTTGTTAGCTGAGTGGGGTGTGTGAATGGGGTCATCGTACCGGATGCGCGGCCTTCGATTAGTTTTTGCTCGTGGAGGTCTTTGAGGAGCTTTGCGGTGGCGGCTGGGGGCTGTTAGGCGTGCATTCCTTGCTGATACGCACTCTGAGCTTGACGAACCTTTGGTGACCTTGTTGTACAGATTAGTTGACACTTCAATGGCCGAGTATGGTCTGTTTGTTTTGCCTGCACAGCGTCAGTATAGGCGGACTGTGTGGTCTCAGATGAGATATGGTAAAAGGGTACGCACGCAGGTAGCGCAGAATCATGTCTGAGCCCTCAGCACCAGTTGCTTTCTCCTCCTTCTCAGGCTTGTCGGTCTTCTTACGTGGCGCCATGCTATAGGTCTGTGAATTGCTGAGCGAGGTCAATGTAAACATCGGTCCAGAGTCCGCAGAGCTGACGGCGGCTGAGGGGCGTTACGTCACGAGCCTGATAGTGAGTGCTCAGGAAGGAAGGAGCAGTCGTCAACACAGGAGGTGGGGTAGACCTCTACACTGGGCAACACATTGCATTAGATGAGTTTGGCCACGCTGGACAAATACGCGTGCCTCATTGAAGGGCTGGTGCGCGCACAGTATGCCGCACGGTATTTACCCTCCGCGCTCTCCAAACTCCCTGGCCCAGTCCTCGAACTCCTTCAAGCCCTGCTTACTAACAGATGGTCTGATGGTGCGCAAGCTGGCCTGGAAATCTTGGAAGCATATCGGGCGGATTTCATCCATCGTCATGGTGAGAAGACTCTCACCCAGCGAGCGCAAGGGCCCCATCGCCGCATCTTTTGCAAGGGCAGTGATATCAGACCCAGAGAAGCCTAAGTCATTGTTAGCAGCACATCTAACACATTATACATCACACGTGGGTACTTACCATCAGTGAGCGCAATCAAACGGTCGAGATCCTTCTCGCTCAGATCATGTTTCTGATGGCTCAGCAGCGTCTTCACTTGCTGTTTCCTGACAAAGTCTTCCGGCAATGGGATATACTGTCGCCTAACGAATCTGCGCCGTGCAGCTTCATCGATAGCCCAAGGCAAGTTCGTCGCGGCAAGGACAAGCACGCGCGATGCATCGCCCGCCTCCCTGTCCTTATCGCTTGTTTCTCGCCCAGCAGCTGCCTTCTGCAGATCGGACCATTGAATCAAGAACTCGGTTTTGATGCGCCGTGTAGCCTCGTGTTCGGAAGACCCTCCTCTCGACGACAACAAAGAGTCGATTTCATCGACAAATATGATGGAGGGGGCGAGCATTTTCGCGAGAGAGAAAAGCGCGCGGACGAGCTTCTCCGATTCACCAAGAAACTTCGAGGTCAAGCTGCTTGCCGATATCGCGAAAAACGTCGATTTCGACTCTGTAGCCACTGCTCTTGCAAGCATCGTCTTTCCAGTGCCTGGTGGCCCGAAAAGCAGCATTCCTCTGGCAGGCTCTCGTAGTCCCATGAACAGATCCGGTCTGAGGAACGGATACACAACGTTCTCTTTGAGTGCAGATTTCGCGATCTCCAGCCCCGCCACATCGTCCCAATGAACCTCATCTCCCTGTATGACGATTTCGTTCAAGATGTTCTGTGCCGACTGCTTGTCCACGCCACGGGGAAGGTTCTTCAATACTTCTTCCGTCTTCCTCTTCCACTCATCAGGTTCCTCCTCTGGCTCACCACCTTCGCCAAACTCAGCTTTTGGGTTTGGAGGAATATCAGCGCGCATCGAGTCCCCGCGTCTCCTGGTCTTTCGATGCGGCGGCGGTCGAGGCTCGTCGTCGAAATCATCCTCAGCAAGCGGAATCGGCTCGGGTGTTGGCTCTCTCCGCACGTTCCTGGTTCTACTGGTGTTGCTCGGCGTCGGAGCCGCGCCAGACGGTCTGCGCGTAGTATCGATTTCCTTGTTCCCGTACTTTGTTGAGCCGATGTCATTATACGACCGTGCTGCAGCGGATGCCGCGAGAAGACGTGGATCCAGCTGAGTTGTTGGGTATTCCTTTCGATAAGATGGAAACGCAGGAAGATGCGGAAGCGCAGAGCTCGCCTGGGACGATTGGTTCTTAGTCAGCTCGGCTGGCTTCGATGGCACTGGTGGAGGTGGAGGTGCAGCTTTCCGGGATATTGGGTGAGGTTTCGGCTTCTCTGAATCACTGCCACACCTTGGTGCTGGCACGGCATAGTTAGCAGACGCCGATCCTTCGCGAGTCTGGAAGTAGAACGGGGCTGGTTTGGGCGAATCATGAGGCGAGGGTTGTGGAAGCGATGCTTCTGGCTGAGGTGTCGCGGTCGGCATGTCTATCGATGTACGGGGAGAAACGTTGACAGGGGGCGTTGATGATTTGGGGACACTCAAGCTCTGTCGACTTGAACTTGATGCAACCGCCCTTGACCCAAAAGCCAGCGTCGCAGCCTTGGAAGCATCAGGGCGCGACCTCATAGACATGGGCATCTTCGAGGCTGGCCTTCCCTCCTTGTTTGGCCTCAATGTCCTCAGCATCCTCCCTCCCTTCTTCTCCGGCGATGGTGTTCGCGACTTCTTGTTTTCCGAAGGTGCGACGTTCAGTGTAGAATTGCTCATTGTCTGCGTCAGGCTGTTGAGTCGCTTCGAGATGTTGCCAGAGCTCTGTCGAGGTGTCATTGGGGGACGGGTAGGCAGCGGTGGCGGTCGTGCGAGATCGCTCTGAGCGACAGGTGGAATCGAGCCTCCTCCGAGCCACTCTGACGAGCCACTCGCGTTGGTCGAGCCCAAGGGCACCCCGTGGAGAGGGGGAGTGGGGGCTTGGGCATCGGTGCTAGACAGACTCTCCTTCGACTCTTCTCTGCTCTTCTTCAGTGCCTCAAGCAGGTCAACACGCTCTTTGCATTGCAGTTCCAGCTGCCGCAGTGACTCCACCAGGGCCCTCTCTGTCTCGGATGATGGGCGGTACGTCGTTGGGTTGCGGCGGGCGTTGTTGTAGTAGATGTGGTCGAGGGCCGTCTTCCATGAGCGCAGGGCCTCTTTCTCGTTGTGCTGGCACGGCTCGTCAGTGTGTTGTCCGCCCGATCTATCTATAGAACACCAACCTGACTTTCGAAGTAGACGGCAGTTGAGCACGCCAGGAACGCCTCGTCGTACGCCTTCTGTGTTGTGTTGGCCCGCATCGTATGGATCGCGAACGGCGCACAAATGGCCGACTATATCATGTGCTGGGGGAGTGTCAGGATGGGGCAGTGCCGTGCCCAAACATGGTTTGAGTTGAGGCTCAGTGTGTCGTATCGCGCCAGGCTATGGCCGCGCTTGCGGTGACGTAGGGCGCCTACCGAACACAGGGCTGAGATGCACGCGACCGCGCGGCCCGTTTGGGCTCAGATTTCAGCCACACGCCCAAGACACCAGATCCAACTGACCAGGTTGCCTCCGATTATCAGGCACTCTCACGGGCACAAGCGATGGGGCGAAGGATGGACAGGGCATGTGCGGGTCGCATTCAGATCTACACTGGGTCCACTTTATCGATTGCGCTCCTCGCAAAATGGTCGAGCAAGACAACAATGCCACTTGACGAAGACGCCGATGCTATATTCCCCATATGGTACAAACATGCGCGCTGACTGCATAACGCTCAAGAGAAAAAGCGTCAAAGATTCCGTACGCCGCCATATGGTCCCTCCAGATATCAAGGCCAGGGAAGTTTCTATGACTATACAACGAAATGTGAAGACCGTTACGCTGCCAGGGAAGCTGCACGGTGCGGCCTGGTAGCCTGCTCTATGCTGAGAATATCGAGGTCCCTTCTACTGCTGGGAAATGTATGTCGCATTATAGGAGCATGCGCTGGAGTGAGCGCAATAATTTGGTAACGAGATTATCGTTATAAGGCTGTGTTGGGGTTCGTGCTGCGAGCAATGAAGAACGCCTTCGCCATCTCGTATGCAGACCTGGGTCGAATTAGTTTCATGTTACCGCTCGCCCCAGAGTGTGCTTACCAGCAAATCGCCGTGCTAGGCATTGTCGTGATGATCCTGGGCTTCAGCCCGCGGAAGTAGCCCTTGTAGCCTTCCCTCTGGTGGATGATCTTGGCCGCCTGGACCAGTCCAGAAACCGACCTCAGTTCAGCGTCGTGGGCGCTTCCTCGTGTCTGCAACAGCGTCTTGATAACGTCTAGGGGCGTGGTAAGCGCCGCAGCAAAACCACCAGCGAGGCCGCCGGCGAAACAATGTGTGTACGGGTCGTATCGGCCAGTAGGGTTCATGACCTTCGAAATCGACTCGTATGACATGAACTGCAGCGCGGTGAATGGCACTGTCATGCACAGTGTGGTGGGGTACGAGACGTAGAACGCGCCAATGCCCTCCTTGCGGAAGACATCCCGCGCGCAATGGCCGACCGAAGTGTAGATCGAACCGTGCAATTGCATGCGCTGCTTGACGACTGCGGAATATTCAGTAGGCGTCTGCGACGCAAAGAGAGTGCTACGCACCGTCAAAGGGGTTCATCAGCGCATCGCTCGTGATGGTGGCTGCGGCGCCGCTGGCAGCTAAGGTGGGTCAGCAACACCGCCTCGATTGTAAAAATTGAACACTGCGCACCTGCAGCGAGAGGGTGATGCTCGTGGCTTTCTCCCTCGTTTCCGCCAAGAGCGTGTTTTGTGGCCTCGTAGGATGCGAAGTATACGGCGTGCGCGGGTCCTGCGGTCATGATTAATTACGCGCCCAGACACTGTCGAAGCCGGGGAAATGTACCAGCGCCCAGCACAACACTGGAGAGTCCCTTCCATAGCGACCTGAAGCCCTCTACCCTTGAAACTGTTACGAGGGCATTGGCGATGGAGCTCTGGTACGTCGCGGTAGGCCCGGGGTTGATGACTTGCATCCTAGTCTATCCGACTGTCAGCACAACGCCCAATGCATTGTCGCGGGTTGCAGCGAGGTCGCGTACCTTAAGCATGTCGACGGGGTACATAACTGAGTGTTCCTGATGCTGATTTAGCTGGGTCTGACGCGGCGACTTCGGATGCGTACGGCAATACCAGCGAACGCGCCGGCAAGCATGTTCGCGCCGAGCGAGAAGTTGGGTGGGAGCGCCTCATAGCTGGAGGGAAGGTTAGCGATGCGCATCCCGGTGTGGCTGGTTGTCAAGGAGCTATACTCATGCTCTACTTCTTCAACGGGCACTGCTGGCCGGTCATGGCCACCCATGATCTGGCCGGGCGTGACGACGGTGGATGCCAGTTTAGCGATTCAATGGACGGGAAGAGGATGGAGGGAGGCAGCTGGATCGGTTGCGCGAGCGTTCAATTATTTGGGCGTGGTGATGGCAGAGCGTCCGCACTCGAGGGTTGACACTTTCTTTTGAGCGTAGGGCCAGACGTAAGATGCTGAGAGTTATTAGTGAGCGCACGGCCCTCTAAATTATCAGGCAAACCTCGACCGAGGCTCCGAATCGCAGCATTGCCATGTCGACAAAGGATTTAAATTGTGCGCAATTCTGCGGCTTCAGGTCGCGCAATACTCTTTCCTCTGCTTTTGCGCTCTGCACTAAGCCGCAGTGTTTGCAAAGTCGTGGGCAAATACATGACAGCGACTAATTGGAATGCTGCCGCGGACTTGCATAGTACATCATCGCCATATCGGAGGGATGACCGTCCCGAATGAGGGGAACTAATTGCTAGGATGGGGCAAAAGGATCTGATAAGCAACAGCGCATTGCCTGTCCCAATGCCGCAACATCACACCTCGTCGAGCAGGACCTTGGCAAGCAACATTTGCGCTTGGAAGTTCGTCAAAAAGTTTTCAACGCTGCTGAGAGTGGCCACTTGCATGCAAGAGTATTGACCTTCACACCATCGTGCCTGCTACGTGGCCAGGTTGCTGCCAACGTGGATTTGAAAAAAGATCTGATTACCATCTGATAACTTGGAAACTAAAATTGCGACCCACCCGCTGCACGGGCGGACTTGGTGTCCGCTAATGCCGCCTTCGGAGCTCACGAGAAACCGAGCAACATCAGACGAAGTCGTCTTCCCGGATGACATGAGCGAAGGAGGGGTGCGGACTCTCGTCTTATGTCGTTGTGGGTCAGTGGCCACTGAGGCATGTCGGGCGCATTTGCCAAAATGGGGGGCGAGCAAAGGGACCTGCGCTGTACTCCGGCTCATCAATTACGGTATATGAATGTACAGTGTAGAATGTACAATTTAATTTACAGGTCCACATGTCGACACCTTGCATCGGGTGAGCTTTTGACTCTGTCGGTTGTGGCACAGTCGTGGCGCACAAAGCCTGATGCCCTTGCAGCGGCACGCAGGTACGCGCATCAACAGTCGCACTTCTTGTAGTATCTCGGGAACGCAACCACGTCCCTGATGTTCTGCGCCCCAGATAGATAGCAAATGAGGCGGTCAAAGCCTAGACCGAAGCCTCCATGCGGTACACTGCCGTACCGTCTCAGGTCCAGATACCACTGCAGGGAGCCGTCCGACGCCTCTTCGGTGCTGTCAGCTGCTGCGCGAAGGCCGTGGTCCACCATTGCTTGTTGGAGTTCCGGAAGCCTGTGCTCACGCATTGAGCCGCCTACCAATTCACAGATCTCAGGCACAAGCAGATCAAAGCACGCGACTGTGTCTGATCCAGATGCGCTGGATGGCAGCATGTAGAAAGGCTTCATCGACCGAGGGTAATCCGTGACGAAGACAGGACCGCCGTTACCAAGGTGCTCGGCAAGATACCGCTCGTGCTCGGTTTGTAAACCATCTTTGTGTTCAGGTGAGAACTCGAATCCCGCCTTACCTTGTGCTGTCGCGTCCTTCAAATGTTGTATCGCCTCAGCATATTTGATGCGTGGCCACGGTCCGTCGGCAAGCCCCTGCCATCGTTGTGCGAGTGTGTCGTGCGACACAAATGTGCTCTCCTCACTCTGGTCCCGTGCTCGGCTCTCGAGAAGCTCTTGGCCAACACGTGAAGCCTGAAGTTCGGTTGCAACAGAGCGTAGCATATTTTCTACTACGTCCATGACATCGTTGAGGTCGTCGACAAAAGCGACTTCAGCCTCTAGCATGTAGAACTCGCTGAGGTGACGGGCCGTGTCGCTCTTTTCAGCACGGAATGTTGGAGAAAGCGTCCATACTTTATCGACAGACTGTGCCAGCGCTTCCAAATGCAGCTGACTGGAGACAGTCAGATACTTCGGAGAGCCGAAAAATGGGTCAGGCAGCTTTTTGGGCTTGCTGGGCAAGCCAGGGACAGGCGCCGATGTTGCATCAGATGCAGCAGGCTCGACGGTGAAGACTTCTCCTGCACCTTCGCAGTCGGACGAGGTGATGATCGGCGGATGACATTGAGTAAAATCATTCTTGGCAAAATGACTTGTCACCTGCGCTGTAACAAGGGACCTCAAGCGTAAAAGTAAAGCGTTGAAAGGCAGACGAGGTCGTAGGTGAGGAACAGTGCGGAGATACTCCGCCGATTGATACTTCTTCTGGATTGGAGATGTCGTGGCATCGTTGTCTCCCAGCACCTGGATATTTTCGACCTGAAGTTCGTGCGACTGCTTTCCACCTGGTGAGGCTGTCCATTTCCCGGTCACTCTAACGGCAGCACCCGTTGACAGGCTGTCAATCGCACCGTCAGTACTTAATAATGATGATGCGTTGATTAGACTAACTCTTCTGCTAGCTGAGGTGACAAGACAGCTTGTACAGTCTGTAAAGTGGAGCCATCACCAATGACTGCAAAGGCGATCCGCTTCTGCTTCCTCACCGATCGAATATAGCCATGAACCGTAAGATTATCACTCTCGGACGGCTCCTGCGGTGAGATAGACGAAAGCGGGGAAGCTGGCCTTAGCAGCTCAGCTATGTTCGTCGGGCAAAAGGTGGACTTCTGCCGTGAACGCTGAAGATGCCGCGCCTGTGACTGGGCGACGACAGAGCGCCGGGGTATGGATCGCTGAGCATAGAGAGCGCCCCTTCGAACGGGCAGCAACAGGCTCATTACGCGAACGGCAGTTGGAAACCAGCCAGTGGGCGGCGTTACCGTGGAGCGTGAAGGCACAACACCAACAGATGTCGTTGACGAAACTTCCAAAAGGGAAACCGTGCACGGACGGGCAAACTAAAGCATCATGCTCATGACTTCCGCGTTATTGCACTCAGTCACTCAGCGATCGTGTGACCCGAGCCTGGTCTGAAACACTCCCTAATCTCCACGGCCTTACTCGAGTTACACGAGATCTCATGCCCTGGGTGGCAGCCGATAGCCACCATCTTGGGCGTCTGCTGCTCTCCTATTGGCTGAGACGTATGTCCCCACGCCCCGCCGCTAAAAAGCAGCACCTCGCAGAACGCACGCCACAAGATCTCGACCGCCTTTGCTGCACGCCTCGCCATCGTGCGTGCACAAGAACGCTTTCCCCGTAGGAGCCGTTGCTGCAGTGGATCTGCGGAAACACTCGTAACCTGAGTCGCTGTGTGACCATGCGGTGAAGACAAGATCCACACGAGCACCAGCTATCCGATCCTGAGTACTGACAGCAATGCATTTCTGCACCCTAGACTACAGCCGGCTCGCAGTGCCGGTACTAATGCTGCGGCGCTATCTGGTGCAGGGTCTCTCGGTGCAAAAATTGGGTCAGCGACTGTCATCGTCGGACTGACCAAACGCCGCCAGATCTCGTCTAAGATGCATGCATCGATGCGTAGATCTCGTCCAGGTCAGGCCGATCGATCCTGCTGCAATCCCTGCCGTCGCCGTCTTCTTGTGCCCCGACACGAGCGCCCTGTGGCTCCAAGTTCCTGGCGGCAGAGCGGGAGGACAGTCGTATCCTGGGATCAGGGAGCAAGTCACGTAAGACAAGATGCGGTTGCTTCCGGTTCGCAAGGTCTCAACGCCCTGCAATCTGTGCCTTTCCTGGATTGTGTTGGTCACAACTCAGCACAGCTCTACGCTGTGGCGCGCAGACTACCGCCCGCCAGATCTGGCACCCCGGCTCAGACCAACAAGGCAAAGCTTGATACCCGCAGACGATTTCCCTATTCGTCGTAGATGCAGTGGACCAGATCTTGAGGACCCCTGCAGGTTCGCGGCTCGATCTCAAGCTAATGTTTAGTTGATCTCAATCACACGCCCTTGGGTCAGGTAATATACTGCCCTTGTCCCCAGCTGGAGTAGGTCAGTTGTATACCCGCTGTCTGTCCGTTCACTCTTCCACCGCCAGTCTTTCGCTGCAAATGCTTTGAGTCATCTATACAACGACGTGCAATACATACATTCGTGTACAAACATTCACTAAATTCGCTGTCACTATCTCGTGGCCTACCATGTCACCTTCGAAACCAAAGCCTTCAGAGATAGCAGCAGAAGCAAAACGAGTATGGATGCCCTATATCTGGAAGAACTACATCAAAGACTCAAAGACCTCGTACCTCTACCCGGACGCCACACAGATACGAGCTAGCTCAGAAGGCCGGTCAGCACAACGAACACGAGTAGCCGTTATGGAGGGCGACCCGGTGAACTACGCCCTGGGCTGGTACCAGAGCGCTGCAAATACGAATGTGAAGAAGATTCCCGTCGTCAACGTAGCAAACGAGAAACGGGCGGGCGGTGACTGGGAGTCCGGGCTCATTGCGCCAGAAGAGTGCCTCGCACGGAGAAGCAATCTAGTCCACGCCCTCACCATGCCGTGGAACGCGCAACTCGGCCGCGAGGAGGACTTTTACCCTATACCGCAGCGCGGTGGGATATACTCTCCAGAAGTTTGTACGCACCCTACCTTCTCCATGTCCCTCACGTTGTGCTGATTCTTGATCCAGTTGTCTTCAGAGGCGGCGCCGAGCAGGACTACGCCCCCTTCTCCGAAATCCAGTCGCTCCCCGTTATATCCGTTGCGCCAGTGCGGCGCCCTAAGCTCGACGAGTCCGGCACAAAGTACTCGTTCGCGGCGGAGAAGGAGCTGATGCGCGAGAAGATGCGCGCGGTGCTGCGCATCGCGTCGTACTGCGGGCACCGCAACCTCGTGCTGGGCGCATTCGGGCTGGGCCCCATCTTCAAAAACCCTGCGACTGAGGTCGCGCGCATGTGGCGCACGCTGCTGTTCGAGGACGACGAGTTCTTCGGCGTCTTCCAAGACGTCGTGTTTGCGATCGATGCCGCGCAGGTCGGGCCGCCGTCCAAAGGCGCCCCAAGCGATCTCGACATCTTCCGCCGCGAGTTCGATCCCAGTTCGATATTCCCTGTGCGGTACCAGGCGCGCGTGTAGCTCGCGGCGGCGCAGGTGGGGGTGGTGGGGAGCACGCAAAACCATACCTAGTATTACCAGTAATTCTCGCGCCGCAGTGCAGGCCACGCGGCCCAACGACAACGCGACCCACGACATGATCACGCATACACATACCTCTATACACACACAATAAACAAACAATCCCATTTTTTTCTACAAACATCCTTATCCCCCGTGCGCGATCCAAGTCATGACATCACCCCGCATTCCCCCCTCCGGCGCCACACCCCAGCGATCTCGGTTATCGCCAGCGCAGATTGGGTTTCGCGCCCCGCCAGCCCGCCGCACCGCCAGGGTCCCTGTGCGTTCCGCGGACCCCAAAGTGCATATGTAGCACCGAGATGAGACACGCAACGGCGACCTGCAAGACCACTGTAATGCACTCCCCCCCTCGCAGCGCCCCGAATACCCCGGTTTAAACAAGTCTGGGATCGCGGGCGTGCTTGGCGGGCGTGCGCGATCGCGCATTGCTTTTCGCAGGGCGAGAAGAGCGGCTTGGCGCGAGTGCCGTGCAAGACCTGTGTATTGCGCGTTGCGCCCGTTGGGGGGCTGGCGGACCCGAGGCTCGGTCGGGCTGCTGCTGCATCGGCGGGCCCGCTGGTGAGAATTCTGGATCGGCGGTGCAAGACAGTGCCGTGTCGTGCCGGTCTGGTTGGGTGTGGGCCGGGCGTGTGCTCGCGCAGGCGCGAAGGATCTGGCGTGCGCTGGGTGCGGGTGCGCTGCGTGTGCGTTTGCCTGCGCGATGCTGCAGCTACGATGGCGTGGCCGGGCCCATTGTCCCGTGTGGTGGTGGGTGCAGGAGGGCGTGGCAGCTGCGCGTCGAGGCTGCGAGGGTTGGTCGCGGGTGCTGGTGGTGTGTGGCCACTTGGGTGCCGGGCGGTTCGTTTTGGGACGGGCTGTGCCGTATCGGGGGGTGTGAGCCGTCCAGCGACTGGAAGTGTTCGCATTGGGGACGGGCGTGGTGGCTTGGCGGGTCGTTGGGGATGGGTGGGTAGATGCGGTAGGACCTGAGTCAGGGCCGGTGCGGTGTATACGTACTATGATAGTGAAGGGGAGCTGCTTAGTTGGGACTTGACCGAGGAACAATCCGTGTATCTTAGAAACATCTGTCTAAAGGCGGGTCGTATCTGGTCTGGAAAGAAGGACTGGATTTAAAGTTTTGACCACCTTTGAGTCGTTATCAGAACTAGGAAGGTTTAAAAATGATATGCAAGTCACAGACCTGCGCAGGTCCACTCCCATTGACCAGGTCGCCAGGTGCGTATTCTCTTCAACAAGAAATTGAAGCGATAGGCCAGAAATGGTCGGCGATCTTTCACTGATTGAGTCAGTTGCTGGACCGGTGCATCTGCCGGACTTAGAGCTGTCAGTATATCACCACAAGATCTTCAACAAGATGTCAAACTTGTAAAACAGCAGTCCCGTATCGGCGATGAGGCTGTCTTCCTGGAGGCAGTGCAATTGGTGTATTCTACATATTCAACATGTTGTACAGGTCGTGAGTGGCGTCGTCGTCTTCTACTTCTGGCCCGGCAGTGGCAGCTGCGGCGCAGTGATCTCTCCGCCCTGCGACTCCAGTCTCTTGATAGTCTGTTCCTTCTGGTAATTGACAACTCGTTGCTTCTTGAAGTACTCGACCTGCATGGCTCGTCAGTTTCTTCTCCACACGTACACAGGCACGCAGTCGTGCAGCGCAGGCCACCCACCCAGCTGTGTGCACAGTTCTTCTCAAACTCCTTGTCGAACTGCGAGCAGAAGGTCTCGGCCTTCTCGCGCCCGGATCTTGTGTTTATGCTGTCGAGGATGTTGTTCTTGTCCAGGCACTCGAAGAAGGTGTCGCGCGCTTCGTAGCACTTCTTGCGGTTCGTGCGCGAGGGCGATTCGAAGGCGCCGCCGGAAGTCTTCTTCACGCCGCCCTCATCGGTCGCGCCCGAGCTCCAGGGTAACCAGACCATGGTGAATGTGTGGAGGCGAGGCGAATCTTCGGTGGTGAGGTCTGTCGCGCGCGTTAGGGGGGATTGCAGCGTCAGAAAGGCATCACGTGGGGGTACATACAACAGTCGCTGAGGCTAATGCAGTAACTGCGCAGTGAAGTGTGGCGCTGGTTTGGCAGTGCGGTCCATGGAAATCAGTTCATGCTTAGCAAATCCGAAGCTATGACGATCGTCGGAAGCGCTGCGCCGACCAGCAGGCACCGACGCCGAATGAACACCAAACACCGAACAACAAACGTATCCGCACCACACATGTCATAGTATAGCGACGGCGCCCCCTTTGCGCACTCATGCCCCGCCGACGCCGCCCTCCACGGCCTGGTGCGCTGGCCGACCTGTCCCCCACGCGCATTGCATCCCAGATTGTGCTCCTGCAGGCCGCCTACTACGCCTGCGCCGCGGTGCTCATCCTATTCACGGCTCTGGTCGCCGGCAAGGAGCTCAGCCTGGACCTGATCTTCAACTGGGAGACGCTGCGCGGCGACACCACCGTGGGCTGGACCTTGGGGCTGGTCTGGGTGCTGAACAGCCTGACCAGGTAGGGTGCACCCCAACGACACCCACGCACCGCTGACGTTACCAGTGCTATTTTCATTCTCCTTCTCATTGCACGCTCGAAGCTCGTGCTCGACTTCGCCCTCACCGTGCACTTCATCCACCTGATCGTCACCTCCGTATACACGCACGCGATTCCCTCACACCTCTTCTGGTGGGCCCTGCAGGCGACGAGCGCGACCATCATGACGTCTCTCGGCGTGTGGGCGTGTCAGTGGCGCGAACTGCGGCCCATTAATTTTGGCACTAAGAGCACGAAGAGCACGAAGCCAGCTGACGACAGCGCGGGCGAGGTCAGAGGGTCGGGGAGAGGCAGGGGGAGAGATGGCGGCGGGGAGTACGAGATGGCCAACATGAACGATGGCGACAACGTCTGATAGAATACGCGAGGCTTTGCATTGCCTGGAGTTGCATGGTTTACGGTCGCTGCATCACAAGAATATACCCCTGTTGTCTATTATCGGACGCGACTGTCACAGCGGCATACTTGATCTTTCTGCTATTGCTTCACCAGCACTCGATGTTCTTTATTGATCTACCTGCCAGAAACCACCTCGAGTCCGATCGGTCCAGAATCACAATCCCGTCCTCTACGCCAAACGTCGGCCAGACACGCAGTTCACTACCTGAATCAGACGCCGCGCTGACTTCCTCGGCGCTGAACGCTGGCTCGATTCTGCAGCGCACCCGCACCAGCTCGTCCTCGGACCTAAACGCCGCTGTCTCCGCATCCAGCACGGCCACAATCTTCATCGAGTTCACGGCTCGGTGTGTGTCGTGCCAAGGGTCATCGTGCAGCACCGATCCTAGCAATCTGATTAGAAGGAGGCGTTCGGCGGTCTCTGGGCGACATACCTCGTATGGGCCGTCGCAATGGGAACTGAAATGTTGCCTCGTGATCCTCCCCATTCCGCTTGTAGGCGATCAGAACGCTCGAATGCTCCGGCTTGGCGGAGTCCTGGTGCTGCGAAGACAACAGCGGGACCTGTGCTGTGGGTGGAAGTGCGCGTGACAAAGCACCGTGGACGAGGCAAACCGCCGTGAGCAGAATTCGCGGAATCATCGTGACTGTAGTGATTCGAATGCAGACCTGTCAGTAACAGGGTTGGGGTATATACTGAAGAATGCAGCGCAACAAGGGCGAGAGGTGCTACTGTGCTATGTCGTGTGCTAAGACTGCTATTCGGCACCCAAGAGCGCATTGTACACTGCCCGGCACCGCACTTCCGGCTCCTGCACGTTATCGCCCGCAATGCAAAACATAGCACCTGACCCACGGCAGCGAGTGTGACTTGAACGGAATTAGGTCGTGTGGACTGGGGAGCGGTGCGTGCGCCGTTTCGGTTTCATGTTGCGGCTTGCTGCTGGGTGGCTGATGCAGCTACTCCCGCACGCCTCTCCGCCGCTCATAGGGCTAGCGACTATAATAGCCTCAGGAACGCTGTGGCGTAGCTTAGGTCTCATCCGACGAGTTTGTAGTTTCGCGACGCTTGCTGCAGTTTAAGGCTTCACTTGAGGGGTCAGGGTCTTTGCTAGCGTCGTCGCGCCGTTGCGCATCCTGGTCGTGCAATTCAACACCATCCGCGGTCATCTCCGTGGCCATGATCGACCGCTAACAAGAAAGTTGAGTTCCAGCTGATGCACACGTGACGAGCCTGACACCATGGCGGGTGGCTATCTAAATCAGCTGTGGGGAGACTCAGAGTTGCCGCCAGAGAGGCCGCGATACCTACCACTTGCAGGTACATTTTCAGACGAGGGGCCTGGCATTCCAGGCACTGAGTCGCATCACCTGGAATTCCCGTTGGGGTTGCCGCACTCGCAGCCGTTTGATCCCTCTGAGCAGCTTTTCCAGCACCCGACTCCACTCATTCCGCTCAGCGCTGTAGAGGACTTGCATGCACACGAACCGTATATCAGCTCGACCTTCCAAGACCCTTTCAACAGAGCTTTTGCCAGCAATCAGCCCGTCGTTCACGAAGGCTATATCCCAGCACCCGGCACTCGAGATGAAGACCTGTACCCAAATCTGCCAGACGGATACCGTGAATCGCTGTTCCAGGACTACGATGAAAGCTCCGACGAGAGCGACTTTGACCGTCGGCTGGCTGAAGCCGAGGAGCTGCGCGAGATAGAAGAGAAGGATAATCCGGAGGTAGACGCAGACTACTCCGAAGAGGAAGCCGAGCAGGATGAGGGCGATCCCAACGAGATGGAGATTGACGAGAGTTATGTCGAAGAACGAGCCCGGCCAAAGGCGAAGCGCGGCGGCCGTGGAGGGCGCCGCGGCAGGCCTGCAGGCAGAGCGCAAGGCGGCTTCCAGGGCCCTACTCGAAAGCAGCTGCGCGGCAAGAAGAAAGCCGGGCGTCCGAGTGGGAAGAGAGGTCCTCGCGCGATCGCTGATCCGGGGCCAGACTTTAAACGCTTGCAGCGCGCTGCTAACGAGAGATTTATTGCTCGCGACTACTCTGCGGCTCTCGTGTACGGGCAGAAGGCTGTCCAGCTGAATCCCGAGATCTTCGATGCCCACAACCTCGTGGCTGAGTGCTACGCAGCCATGGGCGAGGAGCTGAACTCGATTGAGTCTCTGATTATTGGTGCACCTACGAAGCGCGATCCAGAGCTGTGGCACCTCATCATCGAGCGCATCAAAAGGCTAGACACAACAGAACATCCGACATACACTGACGAGGTCAAGACAGCGGTCGTCCTACAGTGTCTCAAATCCATCATCGCTCTCGACGTGACCAACTACGAAGCGCGCAGTCTGAAGCTGGAGATTGAAGCTCGTCTGGGACACGTCTCGAAGTGTGTGAACCTCGGCACGAAGATGCTGAAGACGCTGCGGGAGCAGAAACAAGACCCTGACACTGAGGTGTTGAAGATCATGGCTATGATGGGCACCTCGACTTCGAAGCAGACGAAGCGCCATCTACCCAAGATCATTGAAGAGTTTGACCAGGCTATTGAAGTCTTCACCGGTCCTGGTCGCGATCCAAAGACGAGCGACCTCGACTGGGAGTTGATCAATATCTACCTGGACTTGGTGGACAGAACTGGCGACTACGATCACGGTCTAAAACGCCTCAAGGATCTATCGAGATGGAAGCAGGGCCGACGGAACGAAACATTCTGGGACGAAGAAAAGGACGACCGCGAGTTTGATATTGACGATGAGCCACGACGTGTCGAGGTCTTTGACTTCAAGCGCAAGTCCGAGTCGGCAAAGTATGGCGAAACGCTTCCACTGGAGATCAGAGTCAAGATGGGTCTGTTCCGGTTGCGTAGGAGCGCCGACGACTACGACGAAGCAATGTACCATCTGCAGATGCTTGAGCCGGACGACAAGAGCTCAGACGCCCTCATGTGGGACTATCTGGATCTGTTCCGGGTAATTGCCGATGCACTTCATTCCACCGGCCACGACACAGAGGCTCTGCGCTTCTACGAGCCGCTGCTGGAGAGCAACTCCAGTGAGATGAGTCTCATGAGCTATCTCGGGCTGTACACGGTGTACAAGAACTTGGGCCAGCCCGAGAGGGCCGAGCAGATTATACCCATCCTCGTAGGGTGGACGGCCGATACGGTCGACGACCTCGCTGTGCTGGCCAAGTTCTTCGAGGTGCATGATATGCCGCAGGAGGCTATGGAACGCGCAGACGCCTGCTACCGGAACCGCGGTCTTGTCAAGCTGCGCAGAATCGGATACTCAAGGTTGCGTGAGATTAGGAGTCACTACGAGGATTGGCGGAGAAAGTCTCGCGGCAACCATGGCAAGAAGAAGGATGCGATGAAGAAGCAGAGGAAACTCATGAGGAGGGCGCTCGCAGACGCGGACGACGACGATGACGATGAAGATGACGATGGCAACGGGGAGCGGCCGTCTCTTGCACCGCCCAGGGAGCGTCCAGCGAAAGGTCTATTCCGGACGAAACGAACCGCCCCTAAGCCTCCCAAAACGCAGACATTTCTTCCGTTCGACCTGCAGGCCCAGCAAGAATCGTCGACGTTGCGGTCGCGCATACTCGAGCCTAAGCATCTAGAGGGCACAGACGTGCCGATGGACGCTATCGATCACCGTATCTTCCGCAAAAAGCTCCAGAAACTCGCCGAAGACAACGCTGACGATCTCACGGCTGCTCGTGCTCAGCACCGCGAGATTGTTGCCAGCTTCCAGAAACTGGACGATCTCTACGACGCCGCTGAAGACGGTGATGAAGAGGCTATCAGTACTGTACTGTCCATCACTCGCGAGCTGATCGAAGAGTTCTCTACATTCGACCTGTTCTACGCCGACAAAAAGGAGGACTTCAAGGGCTACTTCCGCCGCATCGGCGCGGGCGACTTCTGGAAAGAATCGGCTCTGATGATGCTCGCCGTCGTCGCCAACAACGTCGAAGACGGCGAGACGTCCCCCGAGCTGCGCGAGAGACCAGACGTCGCACCCACCGACTTCTGGGGCGTCCACTTCGACACCTGGTGCGACGCGTTTGCCCGCTACGCGCTCTTGATGGCCCGAACCGGCGACGCCTCCCCCGCCTTCAGCACGCTCGACATCGGCCTCGCGTCCAACATCTTCGCCCGCCACTCTGACTACACCCACACTCTCCAGCTCACCCGCCTCGCCGCCGCCCTCGCCCTCGACGACTCCACCCAGGCCTCCTCCGCCATCCGCTGGCTCCTGCGCGAACACCCCTTCGGCTCCGACCTATTCCGTCTCTACTCGTGTGCAAACCGCCTCACCTCCGCACCCGCCGGCTACGCCACCGGCCCCGCCCACAAAGTCCTCATGCGCTACATCAAAACGACCGACTTCGCGCTCTTACCCCCGGCGCAACGCCCCCTCTACAACTTCCGCGCCAACCGCGCTCGCGCCCACGCCGGCGTCAACGCAACCACCCTCCCCGCCGTGCGCGGCCACGACCCCGCGCTCTTCGCCCTCTACGCACACGTCCTCATCGCAGGCGGCAGCTACATGGCAGCCCTGAACTACTATTTCCGCGCCTACGCACTCGTCCCGCACGATCCCGTGCTCAACCTCGCCATCGGCACCGCGTACATCCAGCACGCCATGAAACGGCTGAGCGAGAACCGCCAGTTCCAGATCCAACAAGGCCTTAGTTTCGTGCACCGGTACTACGAGCTCAGGCTCCAGGAGGGCCGGGCGGTGTTGGCGCAGGAGGCGGAGTTTAATGTTGGGCGCGTGTGGCATGCGCTCGGGCTTGTGGGTCACGCGCTGCAGGCGTACGAGCGGTGTGTTGGGCTGAGTGGGCGGGTACGGGAGGAGGCGGAGGCGGAGGGGGGGCGGGATGGCGGGTGGGAGGATTTCAGCACGGAGGCGGCGTTTGCGATGCAGAGTATTTACGCGGTGAGCGGGAATGTAGCCGCGGCGCAGCAGGTCACGCGCGAGGTGTTGGTGATTGAGTAGGCTGAGGACGTGCTCGAGTAGGCTGAGGCGGAGAGGGTGTTTGCAGAAGGGCATAAACAACGAGAACATGTCTATATACCTTGTAGAAGAAGCTATACACATAAAGTGCTAGGGTACTTAGAGCTAATAGCATTATATCTATATCCAGGGAGGCACATACAAGGACATCAGCACCGACGCGGCGTTTGCCATGCAGAGCATTTACGCGGTGAGCCAGAATCTGGCGGCGGCGCGGCAGGCCACACGTGAGGCGTTGGTGACTGAGTAGGTAAGGCAGAGGGGGGGATAGCAAGGCAAGCAGGTCAGGGAGAAGGGAGGCAGACATAAGCCGTTTACAGAAGCCAGCTATAGAGATTTCAGCACTAAAGCCGCGTGTGCAATACAGAGCATCTACGCTATAAGCAGGTTACGCGCAAAGTATCAAGGGGTAGGGGAGGCAGGTATAATGAGGCGTTTGTAAAAGTTAGCTATAGAGATTTTAGCACCAACACTATGTTTATAACCTAGAGTATTTATATTATTAGTAATAACCTTGTAGCTATGTAGTAAGTAACATACAATGTAGCAGGATATTGTTGTTAATTAGGGATTACGAACAACCTAAGGCCGTTGTTATTACTTGAACACATACCCTATTTTAGAGTAGGATCAGGCTAAGATGCCAAGCTAATTAGAGATTACTCCCCTGCTGGTGTGATCGTGCAGGTTGGTGAGTAAGATCAGGTGACTTGCACCTTCTCTGTGATCATGGTACGTGATCGAGCAGTGACTTGCTGTAATAGATATGAACATTTAACACTTTCAGGCTCCATTATCTACCTTTCTAAACGCCATTCTATTACTACTTTGCGCCTGTTGGCGCGCTATGGTATGTTGACCACGGGTGGAGACTTGCCCTTTCCGAAGAATGTCCTGAAACGCTACGAAAGGACTTCACGCTGACATCTTGCGCGAAGAGAGACAATGGCGAAATGTCGCTGCTTCCGGTGCCCGATCCCACAGCTGCAACTGGTTCCGCGAAGTGCAGGCGGATCTTAGTCCACGACTGGTGGGTGACAGTGTGAAGTACCTTTGGATGCATAGCCACGTCCAGGCTGCTTCTGGTGGTACTCACTCAGACTGAAGGGCCGATGGCGCTTCAAACAAACAACGATTGATCGAGCAGCATGTCATCGCATCAGACAGAGAATACAGCCCCGGGGTTTCGACTACTAATAGGTGGTCGTTTGCCTCTGCAAATGTCCTTGAGTATATAATATACTTCCATGTCACTTCTTCAAAGTCACGTGTAACCCGGGTCCAACTAATCATAGTGATTTCGACGCTCCCGGTCATAGTCGATCAGCGGGCGATAGATGTCCTCGTAACCAGGGGGGCCTCCAAGACTCATAGCCGCCTGCAACGTGGTCACCCGCACCCGCCCCCCGTTCAAAGCCTCATCCGCGTCTAGTAGTAGTCTCATTGTATTGATGTTCTCCGCTTGTGTCCCCCACATCAATGGCGTGAAGCCGATTTCATCCACCAACTCGAGATTGCACTTTCTTGCCTTGAGCAAGGCTTCGACCATCCATGTCCCATAGTGATAGCCCGCAGCCCAGCTCAGAGGTGTACGTCCCATTTCATCTTGGAATTCACAATCGTTCTCCTCTTTTTCCAACCAGAGGCTGATTGCATTCTTCTCGGCGTCCCCTATCGCACGTTTCAAGGGCAATCGTTCTGCTTGGCCAGTCGATTTGGGATAGAACATGGCTTTCTCCAAGAGAGTGTTCAGTACGTTGTTGAACCCCACCTCCGCTTCCCAGTCTAGGAGTGTCTCGTCTGCCATATTAGGGTCGATGTGCCCCGTCTCCAACAGCAGCGCAATCATCTTACCCCAGTTATATTTCGCTGCAAACGACAAGATACTGAGCTTTGTGTCACAGTTCAACGCTCCGGTTTTGACCAGTTCTTTCGCCCATGGCCATGCTTTAGAGCCCATCTGGAAAGCGTACTTTATTAGACAGTCCTCCAAACAATCAAGATTCGCCCAGAACGCTGACAATGTCCACGCTGGCAACGCTTCCTGAGGTACCGCAGGAATCAGTGATGCAATAATAGCATTAACAAATTCTTTCTCTTTTTTGCTATAGCTCAGCCTTGCGCTGGCTTCCTCATGCTCTGTTGATAGGCCGAGCAACGCAAAGATCTTATCCTTTGGCTCGGTCGACTGGCTCTCTCGGAAGTCGCCTAGTAATGTCCGCAGACTTCGATGGATCCAGGTCCCATTCTGGTTGAAGTCCGCAGCTTGTGAGACTGGGGCGTATCTCATACCCGGCATAACGTTGAACACTTGTCGGCAATGGCGGTCTACAGGGACTCCAATGAGGTCAGGAAGTTGTGCAAACGTGGCGGCCTCTACCGAGTAGTGCCCACGCATGACAACGGCTGACCGGCTTTGCGCAACCTCTTGTATCACCCAGACTCTTGTGAACCATGGATGACGTAGTAGATGTGTCATGCTGGCCTGCACGTCCTTCTTCAGCGGCTGAAGTACTGGGTTGTTTTCCCACGAATCCCTCAGGTATTCTATGTGATTATTGTCTTGTGGGCCCCATGTCAAGAACTCGAAGACCACATCTTTTAGTTGATCGCTGTCACCCAACCAGACAACGACGCGTTTTGCTCTCCTGTAAATATCTCCCATTTGACGCACCTGGTGCGTCTTCTCCTCTTCATCAGACTGGTTGATACAAATCGCGTCAACCCACAACAGACGCTCCTCCTCCTGCTCCTGGGGTCGAAGATTGCGCAATGCATCTATCAGGTTTCCAGTTATCTTCAGACTTTGGCTGTTGACTGTGATCCCGAAATATTCGGGCTGATTGCCCCAAGTGTACGATAAAGCTTCGTAGTCAGGACAGTCTTCGGCGTGCAAGTCCACGTCGCGCAGTTTGCACTTAACGTCCAAGCTTGTTCCTGGTCGGGGCTGGAGTGCAAGCAAACGAAAGCTGGTGTTCTTCTCCAGCTTAAGCTTGCTGTATTCGAATTTATCGACAACGACGGGGGACGACGATGCTGATTGCTCTTCAGTATCCGACCAGGCAAACCCGAACCCGTCATCGGAGCCTTCGGTAAGGTCGAAGTCGCCGTCATCGACATCTTCAGAGAGGTCACTGTTGTGGTCGTCCATGTGCAGCTGGGCGTCGAGGAATATCTGCTTGTTAGAGTTTGGTCGCCGTGTCTAGCTTACCTCGCTCACTCAGCTTACAGAAGCTTGCCCTCAGCCTTGCGTGCGCAGATCCGGGTACCCGGACGGTTTTTGTCGTGATGAGCACAATTTGCGATATTCGAAATGCTATACTGTTTGCGTTTGAGAGATTGTAAGTAGCCCATATGACCAGTAGTCTCTTCTACATCGCAAGGGGTGTCACTCTATTAGCGCCACGTAGCCTTGCATGTATTATAATTTTATAAAAAAGTGCAGCATAGTATAATAAGTAACTAACTAGGTTCTATCTCAGTTATAAAAGTATAGTAAGTAAAACTTATAATTATAGTTATATAACTTACTTAGTAATAAGTAAGTATATAAACTAACGTATATTATAGGCAAGCAGCATATATAGGCAAACAGCGCACTTTTGCTAAGACCCTACTAAAACACTAACCTCTACTAATACCTCTACAACAACAATAGCTTAACGCATTAAAAGAATATTAGATATAGCTTATAATCTAAGCTCTTAAATAAGACCTAGAGCTCTCTATATAACGTGCTATAGCTATCTATAGCACCTTTAAAATAACACTATATATAAGACGTGCTAGATAACCTTTATATATTAATACTATAGCTAATTTATAGAATCTAACTAATACTAAGAAGTAGGTAATTATTATATATATACTTAAGCTAGCTAAGTAAGGATAACCCCCCTAGCTTATAGATATAACTAATATTACTAATTCTCTATAGAAAGAGTATAGTTTAGCACCTATTAGCTTAAACTAGGCTAGTATATTTGTTTTATATTAGGAGGAGCTTAAAGTAGTTTTTAATTATAAGTATAACTATAAGTAAGCCCTCTATAAGGATCCTAAGGTTATATAGGGCTAGTTTAACCTTATAGCTAATACTAAAGCTAAGTATAGTTTCTAGAATAATAATACTTATAACTTTAATAAGATAGGCTTTATAATAGGCTAGATAAGCTCTAGAGTAGTTATTATAGCTTTAGAGAACTATAGATAGGCAAAGGTAGTCTAGCTAGGCAATTATAAGTAGATAATAGTTATCTAGGGTATTAATACTATAGAGTAGGCTATTCTACTCTATATTATCTTTAAAGCCTACTACTACTAGTCTAACTAGTATAAAGATAATAACCTATTAAGGTTATACTTTAAGCAAAGCTTATAAGTACTATTTAATTAGTTCTTAGAGATAAATACTATTAGGGAAACTAAAGGGGTCTTATACTAAGGAGTATAGATATAATCTATCTATCTTAAGGGTAAGAGGTAATAATAAGTAGTATAGAGTAGACTATCTAGCTTAAAAGTTAAGTTAAGATCTAATATTATAGATTAATACTTAAGTTAAATATAAACTATAAAGGTTATATTTCTACTTATTATATACTTAAGCTATCTTATAGAATCTTATAGTCTTATAGAACTCTATCCTAAAGTCTTATAGGATTCTTATAGAATACTAGTTATTTATCTTATAAATCCTATAATATACCTTATAGGCAAGTTAGACACTAGGCAAGTTAGACACTTTTGCTAAGCCCCTACTAAACTTTACCCTCTATACTAATACCTCCTTAATAATACTAGTTAAACGCGTTAAAGGAAGCTTAGATACAGCTTACACTCTAGGCTCTTAAACAAGACGCGACTCTATTACTATAACGCGCTACTACTCTCTATAGCGTTCCTTAAAGCACACTAAGTAACTAACGCACTAGACAGCCTTTACAAGCGGTTTCTATACCTAATATGCAGAACCTAGATAATAATAAGGAGAAGGTAATTATTAAGCATGTCCTTAAGCTTATTACGCATAGTTTTCCCCCTTAGCTTGCAGATATAGCTACTATAGCTAATTCTTTGCGCGCTAAGCGCAATCTAGGCCCTATTAGCATAAACTAGCCTAGTATATTTGTTAAGCAGCAGCTAGAGCTTATAGTTAAGTTTAATCGCAAGTATAACTATAAGAGAGCCCTCTATAAGGACTCTAAGGTCCTACAGGGCTAGTATAGCCTAGTAGCTAATGTTAAAGCTAAGTATAGCATCTAGAATAAAGACACATACAACTTTAACAAGACAGGCTTTATAATAGGCTAGACCTTCTAAGAAGTAGTTATTATAGCTTTAGAACAACGAGGTCGGCTAAAGGCAGTCTAGCTAGGCAACTAGGAGTAGGCTATAGCTATAGTAGGCATTAATACTAAAGAATAGGCTATTCTAGCCTTCTTTATCTTTAAGGCCTACTACTACCTCTCTACCTAGTATAAGAAGGAAGAACTGCCTCAAGACTAGGTTATTAGGGTCTCTAATAATAGCTAGACTACTAATAAGCTTAGTCTAGACTAGATAGAGCACTTTAATAAGTATACAAAGCAGCGTACTATTAGCAGCTACTATTTGCTTATTATTAATAGTTATAAGAGCTACAACTCTCTTAAATTCTAGCAATACTGCAAGGATAATAAGATAATTACTCTCTATTTGCCTACTTACTTATTACACCTTATATAGCCCCTTAATGTAGGTTATTTTACTACTTTAAAGAAGGTATATAGGCGCTAAGCTAAAATACTTATACGCAATTAGATTAACTATATTATAAAGTCTAAGTTCCTACTATGCTTTATACGCGCCTATAATGCTGCAATTACTCCTAGCAACATCTAGGGAGGGTTCCAAGGCACTGGACTAGTCCTATTTAACCTAGAACGGGTTATATTAGCCCTTAATATAAAGCTGCGCACTCTATTACTACTACTCCCTATTAATAGGGAGCTCTAGTAGTTGCAAACCCTAAGCAATACCCTAGAACTTAGGTTGCAATTAATACTTATAAAGATAAGGATTTAGAGGCATATAAATAGCTTACTAACGTCTCTAGTTAAAGCGTTTAAGAAGGTCTTAAAGGGGGTAGCTATTATTGCGCACAAGCTAGTATTAGCGCAACAGGAAATTACTAAGCTTTAAGTAGCTAACAAGGCTGCTACGCAACATAAATTATATAAAAGAAAGCAAGTTAAGGTAGAAGGGACCTTAATAGTTAAGGATAGGCAGCAATTAACTACTCTAAAGGAGTTTAGGGCGCGTAGTAATAGGAAGAAGGTAAAGAAGCAAGAGCGCGCTAATAGGGCTAAGCTAACCTAAAGGCGCTATAGACAGTGCAACTAGACAGGACATAATACGCAAACGTGCAAGACTAAGGTAGAAGAGGTATCTAAGTAATATTATAGCTTATTTTGCCTTATACAGCGCTAGTTTATAGTGTTTTAGGCTATAATAGGGGGAGGTTTAGTAGGGGCTTAGTAAAAGTGTCTAACTCGCCTAGTGTCTAACTCGCCTATAAGGTACGTTAGCTTGCTTAGCCTTTATCTTATAAGATGCTTTACCCTTTTAGTACTAGTATCTTATATATAGTATGCTATTATTACCTATAAGGTAATAGCCTTCCTAGTAGTTATTATACTACCTTATAATATCTATCTATAAAACCTAGTATTTCCTTCCTTAGAATTTATATTTATAATACTATCCTCTCTCTCTCTAGCTTATATTCTTATAAGCTAATATATTCTCTTATAGTACTCTTTATTATTAGAAATATAGTAAGTATATAAATAATAGGAGCTAGTTTACTATAGTTACCTATAAGTATTATATTAGGTTTAAGCTTCTATATAAGCTTTTATTATTAAGTAAGAAGTATAGTAACTATATTAGTATAGGCTCTATATTATATATTATAGTAGAGGTCTCTACTCTTAACTTTATACATATCAATGCTAAAATAGAAAGGTTATAGGTATAAGAGGAAGAGACTAATTTAGTGCTAGAGGTATAAGAAGTAATTATAGAGGTAGTACTAAATAAGATATGCATACTATATATAAAGAGTTAGTAGTTATATAAGTAATAGGTATTATTAAAATAAAAAGAATAGTAAGTATTTAATATAGGTACTATAGATACTAAGAAGCTAGAGTATCTAGAGTAGTAAGAAATGCTAAACTAAGTAATTACCTCTATTAACTCTAAAGCGCCTATATAAGCTAAAACTATTAACTAGTTAATTATCTAGAGTTTTAAGAACCTAAGTACTTCTAAAGTAATTTCTAGTAGTTTATAAGGTTTATTACTAGTTTCTATATATTTTCTAAGTTTAGATATCTTAACTACTTAACTAGGTATTCTTTATCTAGTTTAATTTCTTAATATTTTATTATTTTCTTAACTTCCTATTTATTATTTCTATTATTTTAGTAATAGAAGTCTTTCTAGATTAGTATACTAGTATTAGCTAGTTCTAATAAAGAGATATAGAATATAGAGTATATTTTTATATCTTTTAGTAGCTTAAGTTAGTAGTTAACTATTATAATTACCTTTTTATAACTAACTAGATGCTAATACTTAATAAGTACTAATATACTTAGCATAATATTATATAGACTCTTCTATATAGTATAGTTTATTATAAGTTATATAATAAGCTTACTTCTTAGTTATTAAGCTAAAGTAGGTCTTATATAGAGCTTATATAGCTTATATTAAGCTTAGTAAGCCTAGCTTATAAAGCTTATATTAAGCTTAGTAAGCTACTATACTCTCTATAGTATATAGCAAGTAGGAATAAAACTCTTATAGTTTATATTTAACTTAAGTATTAATCTATAATATTAGATCTTAACCTAACCTTTAAGCTAGATAGTCTACTCTATACTACTTATTATTACCTCTTACCCTTAAGATAGATAGATTATATCTATACTTCTTAGAGCAAGACCCCTTTAGTTTCTCTAATAGTATTTATCTCTAAGAACTAATTAAATAGTACTTATAAGCTTTACTTAAAGTATAACCTTAATATTTTAAATACTCTTAAGATATCTACTACCTTAGAAAACTAAGCTACCCCTAGCTTATTAAATAATATAGATATAACTAATAATAGTGCTACCTATATAGGTAATATTATAGTTAATAAATCTAACCTCTACTTTAGTAAATAAAGTAAGCTTAATAATTAGCTTATATAATAAGACTTATTCTTTATATTCTAGAGTAAGTATATTAAAGAGAAAAAAAAAGTTATACTTACTAGCAGCTATATATATAGTATAGTATTTAAGTAGATTAAGCTCTTTATATAATAATATAACT